AATGAGGGCACCATTGATGAGGTCGTGCTTCGTGCCATATTGACAAGGTGGAACAATAGATAAGAATTTTTCACGAACGATCGGCTGTGAATTGATGTCAGATATGATGTGACGCTGAGTGGAAGGTTGTTTGCTTTAATTTCATGGTGGATTGCATTAAAAATATGATTATCAAGTGTCATTTTCACTTTTCCTTTGTTCAGGTGGTTCATAATCTGTGCAGGACAATCAATATGGGTCTTCATTTGTGAATCAGAAATCATTAGCAATCACTTTACATTTATGTAACCTCTGAAGAGTAGTTTTTATTTAAGGTACAAGTTTGAACTTCATTTCACATGCATGGGGGCTCATTTGATAACTTTGCAATGTTAGTTGCCTAGACGATAGATAAATCTTCTTTCAATACAAATATAACAAGTATATTCCGTTCAGCACATACCATTCCATACATTAGATATCCCACTGCAAAGTATAGATCTCTAGATATATTTTCCTACTCTTTATTTCATGAAGGGCATAACTAGTCACCAATTTCATATTCTGGAAGAGGACCGCAGACAGCCCGATCTTTGTTTATATTGAACCTTTTATGTAGATATTAGACTTTATCTACATAACTAATATTTGAAGTACAATTCCAAAGTTCCGATCAAATGATTTGATTAGTACTTGTTAAAATCAACAAGTTGTCAACCTTGCTCTATAACAGTGCTCCCTAGTTAATTTTCATCCCCAATGTTAGGGAATGCGACTAGATTTAGGACTTAATGGGTTTGAGAGTTGTACTTTAATGTGGCTTACTTTTTTTCAAGGCTGCCACATTAAATGTGAGCATTTAATGTGGAGAGTAGAAATGGAGTGAGAAGGAAAAACGGTCAACAGAAAGACCGATTCTCAGGAACTCAACAGCCCATTTATGGGCTGAGCAGCCACAAAGCGGAATGGCACAGACGGAAGAAAGGGAAACTATTTGGCATGCTTATCGAGGTTCTTATTGTCACATTTATCGAGGTGGTTGCAAGTTGCCTATCAATAGAGGGTCACCTCTCTTCATTCGGGAAGTTTATATGTGGCTCGGCAACCCTCTTCTACCTTTGTTTCACTATAGAGAGAGAGTGTTTGAAAGAGAGCTTTCAAGAAAGATTTCTTGGATTGGTAAGTGCATCATAAGGCCAAGATCAAAGATCTATTCTTTAAGATCTTGGAAGGGTCAAGATCAAATATTTGTTCTATGAGTTTTTGAGGAATCATTCTCTTATACTACTTTTTACATCTAGTGGAGTTTTCATCATCACCTGTGGACATAGGAGGTCAACCTCCAAACCACGTAAAATCTTTGTGTCAGTGCTCTTGTTGTGAATTGTTCTTTCTTCTACTTTATTTCATGTTGTGAGTATCACTTCTACTGAAGTCCATATAGGATGTCTTACTCTAACAAGAGTAGTCTGATACAACGATGGAAGGGAGAGCACGAATACATGATATTTATAAGATAATAAATGAGATGGAGAAAGTATAGTATGTTATAATAAGGCAGCGCGATTTTTATGTGATCTAAAGAGGATAAAGACACTTCAAGATCACAACAAAAAGAATGGAGAATATCTAATCGTCAATGAGGCACAAAGTACAAAAGTATATAGAGTTAATGAAGCATTGATATCAGCCACCAAATGGGAGAAGAAGAGAAGAAGCTAGAATTGTGTTTACAGCCATCAAAGAGAAAAGGGCTTCCCTTGCCCTTGATTTCTCTCTCTCTCTCTCTCTCTCTCTCTCTCTCTCTCTCTCTCTCTCTCTCTCTCTCTTTCTCTCTCCCCAAGCCCTCTTTTAATATCTATATTACAAAGGGGGTTGGACTGGTTTTATACATGAAACTTGTCCTAAACATAAGGTGAAAATGTGAGATAAGGTCCAAACAGACCTCTTATAAAGACGAGTTGACCAAGTCACCCTTGTACCCAACCTAATTCTCACTATCATTTGCCTTTCGACTTCTTGTCAACTTTATATCAATAACTTCATCACTTTTCTATAGTGTTGGAGTTGAAGAAGTCAGCAACATCATTATCTCTACTAGATTTTTGAGTGCTATCCAAATCAATAATCATCTAAACTTCATGAAAGATCTCATCTATGTTTCTAAAAATCTATTTATTTTATGGATTACGCAGTTTGTATGTGGAACTCTTCATTTACATACGCAAAAAAAATAGATAGACTTGCCTTGTCACCAATCTTGGACTTGTACTCCTATGAGATACATATGAAAGACACATGAGGAAAATGTTGGCACATTCATGTGCACGTGTAGATCAGCATAAGAATGAGTGTGGGTGAGGCACAGATGGGGACATTGGCAGAAAGGCACAGACCAATGATAGCAGAGACGTGGGATTGAGAACATGATGAGAAGAACCCCCCACCTCAGGGCCACTTTGGCAGACTCTCTCAAAGTTGATAATATGTACAAAAAGCCTCATATCTTCATCATTAACTCTAAATGAGGACTAGAAAAATATCTTCACCTCCTAATATCTTCTTTCTGATGTTGTTCACTAAAAAACCAGGTGATGTTTTCCAAATAAAAAATGGTGACAAGGGTCAAGACAAATACATTTGGACAAAAAAAAGAGAAACTTCTATGATAAGATTCATAAAAAATTATTAAGATGCCCAAGAATATCACAAAAGATTCATCTGGAGCCTATTCAATCAACATTTTCATATCCTTGTATAGGTGTTACTTAAAGGAAAAAGGGCTTCCTTTTGCAATAAACAACGATCCTCTATTGATCTTATCCAACAATTTCCAGCTAACTCAATTAACACTATGAGAAATGTCTTTAGAGATTGTAGGTAGATAAATGACAAATCACAAAAAATTGTGGAGTTCACTATTTCACTAACCTCTATTGGTTGGGGAAGATGATTCAATCATATACGAATGAACAAGAAATCAACCTTAATCAATGTAATTCATGTTGTCAAATTTCCTTCAGACCTAATTCTCTCAGTTTGGGACAAATTGTAACTATCTAAACTCCTTTCATCTCCTTGTAAAAAGAATAACTCGCCCCCACCATTAGCTCTTATTTTTGCCCCACTTATGACCAAGTGAAAATAATTGAAAATCAAATCAATGTCTCTCTTTAAAATACACTATTACCAATCCATAAAATATCTATGAAGGAAAAGAAGTATGAAGCAAGTTCATCTAAAATTAGCATTACAACACATCCTAGTTACCCATGAAATATTAAACAATATATTGGACAAAAATCCATTTATCATCTCAATTAAAGTTTTCTATTTGAAGACATTAACCATTTTTTTTTTGACAGAAGATCACACAAACATGCATCTAGCCAGCCCATAAACCTACTCACTAGAAACATTATAACCTGACGTAAGCAGGGTGTCAGAATTTAGTCCTTTCTCTTATTTACGCTTAATAAATAATCACAAAACCTTAAAACATGTTTGAAATAATAAAATGGATGTATTCACATGGTGGTGCTCAAAAACTCAAACCCCACAATGAGAAACTTGGAAGGCAATGAAACATAGGTAGATAAACAGTGGAATCAAGGATACGCCAACCTAATAGGCATTGACATATTCCATGAATTGAGCAGTAGGATAATGTCAGGGGGGAGTGGATCATGATTATGATGGTATTTTCCTAAACGGTGAGGCAGAGGCATGAGATAAGCCTTTTGTATGAGTTCCGATCTTGGGGTCGTAGGGATCCATGAGTAAGCAGTCAAGTCCTATGGATTTTAGAATGGCAAGAATTGGACCACACACAACAGACTCAAGACATCAAGGCTATGTTAGAGTTGTGAAGATTGATCTCCTATTGGGCTTTACTCGACTCTAATGGACTCTTGGGTGAGTCCTTTGTCCCCAGAGAGTTTTATCATAATCTTGTGTTTAAGAGGATGGGCGTCGTCATCTCATCCAGGAGTGCAAAGAGGTTTTGACATCAGAGGCCTATAAGAGAATCTCTAGAGGGAGGCTTGATTTGTGTGCGATCGTGGAAGTATGAGATTTCTCCAAATCGTGTAAATCTGGTGTGCTCTTTGTTCTTGTCATTCTCTCGTTCTCTCTCTCTTGTGTTTCAATTTCTATCAGACTTCTACTGAGAAACATGGGGGAGATGATGACACTTCGATCCCAAAAAATGTACTAGGTCAGAGAGGAAGGCCAACCGGAAACTAACTAACCAGAAATATTCTGGGGATGTAAAAGTGTATGGCACTTGTCGATAAATTGAGAGAAAGAAAAATGAGTTGGGAAAGAGGATGACTCATGTGGTGGCCCAAATTTCGAAACCCACAAGGAAGATGTGAGAGGATTTTTCCCCGAGGGGCTTGTGAGAAGGTGTCAACACAAAGGGAAGAGGAGACTCCTTGGCGTCTGAGTCACCGCTATGCCAGCTTTAGCTTTTTATATAATAGATAAAAAGGCACTAGCACATTCAACACTTTTCTTTCGTTGCTATTCAGAAATTTGAGGACATTGATTTGCACTTCAAAATGGCACCTGAATTTGATAGGAATATGCTTCTTATCCATGTAGTTCTTTTTAAAGAGAAGTCAACTATAAAGTTCATAATTATTTATTTAAGGAACATCAATTTCTAAAAGAAAGAAAATTAATGCTCTCCTCCTAGAATTATGAAGAAGGAATAGAACCGACGCCATGACACCTCCTAAGTCAACACCTGCTTCTTGAAATACAAACCAAATCTAGTGCAATGGACATGAGAAAATATTTCCTTCACAGAAGACTCATCCACCATCTGAAATAGTTTCAAATTCCCTATGAGATTTTGCAATCACTTTGTACTCCATTACAGACCGTCATGCACAATTAGTCCAATTAGAGTGAAATAAAGTCATAAGATCGATTAAAAATTGCACCGATGATCTTGGGAGAGTTTCCATCTCATTTCATCAAGAAGTAAATTTGCACGTGGATGAGGAACTTGATCATTATATTAAAACTTTATCAAATTTTCTATTTTTAAAATATATGTCAATTAATTCACAATTGGGGACGTCTGATTTATAACTATAGAAACCACATATGTAGTAAGAGACCCTCATGTCCTTGAAGGATTAATAGAATAACCAATAGACAAGTATCTCAATCCATTGTTGAAAAAGGTGTTTCAAATGAAGACATATTAGAAGAATATGAGATTTTAAGATGTGGTCTAGTGTAGAAATGAACAAGTTACCTAATGTGCTCCTGAAAGCAAAACTATCAATGTGCACCATCCCACACTAAAACAACAACCATTTTGTGATAGCAAAACTCCAAACAGCATAAAACATGCACTAAGAAAGACAGCTCAAGATTTTTTTGCATAATAATGAAACTACCACACTACTAACCACACCAATATTTGTCTACTATTCAACTAGTCGGTCATAAGATTTTCACTCTTTGAGAGGTTCTAATGCCAATTTCCTATTCTAGACAAGATAAAGGCAGTCATGAACCAGAGTGAAACAAGCAGATCTATTAATTATCATCTAATATCCATTATTAAAATTAATTACTTTAGAACAATTGAAAGTGATATGTCATTATTTAATCAGTCAATTTCATCTCTAAATTAGTTTTGATAGTGATGACCTTAATATGATAATACTTGAGAATTACTCAACACCAACACTAGTAGTGAATGGGGTATCTATCCTCAACCATCACAAGGTCATCAACTTTGATGCTATTTTTAATTCATTGTCAAGCTTTTGCTATGGGAATCAATTTCTTCTCCTCCCAAAAGGACAGTATGACTTTCTTATCCTCAATTCTAGTTCGATTTAGTAACACTAGTCTCCTATGCTACAGAAATATATATTCCTTTCATACCAAATTTATTTTCCTTTATCCAAAAACTCGGAATTACATATACAACTAGATGTGATACCCTGGTCTCAATGATATACTTTGTTTTGGCAAAAAAAATAGACCAAAAGAAACAAAGGTGATAGACAGACCAAACAGCATAAGTTGGATCTCAAAAATTATTAACCCTTTTAATATGGATATGTCCAAGATATAATGGACAATGCGACAATGGTATTCAAATGACAAACAAGCACTTAATAAGAAGAAATCCTCCCTATTACATAAAGAGAACTAAACATAGAGAAATAAATTAAAATTATAACCAACTTGAGTCTCTTTTTTAGACTTGATGTCAGATGGATTGTATGATCCCTCTTTATTATGACAACTTCTTTCATGTTTTGGAGTAAGTTCTGGACAATCTATTTTTCTAGCATCCTCTTTCTTAACCTGAACCTTCTACTATGACTTTCAACACTTGTGAAATGTTTGTTTCAAATGTAGACTTGACCTCTTCTATCTTTAAAGTGACATTGCCATATGAGATGGTAATAAATAAATGGTCATTCAAGTAAGGTAAAAATGAGAGAAGAAGAATGACTTGTTATTCTTCCTCCACTTTAACCTCCAAAATGCAAAGTTGTGAGATCAACCTATTGAATATATTCATATGCTCTAACATATTTCATCAGTTGCACATATGTAGGTTATTTAATTATTTTTTCAAATATAAATTATTTGTAAGATATTTTGACATTTATAACATCTCTAATTTATTCCATTAATCAATAGCAATATCAAGATTGGCAATGCTATACATTGACTTATCAATTAACCATAACTAAATTGTAATACTACTTTAGATCTAATTTATTTCGATCTTCATACTTCATTTCTATGTTTTCCTTCCCATAAGGAGTTCTATGAAGTCTTTATTGTACAAGAATTGCCTTCACTCTCTTCTACCATAACAAAAAAATGATTTTTCCGCCTAATTTTGCAACATTTAGTCTTTTGTTGACATGTTCACAAGACCAAAAGATAAGATAATACTAGCTTGACTTAGATATCAAATGTTGTGACAAAAAAATACATCTTAAGGAACAAAGGCTGTTACTCCTTTCAAATGATAGAAGTTTGATATCAAAAACTGTTACCCCTTTCAATATGGATGTCTAAGATATCAAGGATAATGTGACTTGGAAAGATTATATCCAAATGAAAGTACATTACTTAATAAGTGATGAACAAAGATTCATGAGAAGTCCTCCCTATTCTAGTAAAATTAATAGTCTGTGAGAACTTTACGAACACTGGATCTCTTTTCTTGATATAATGTGAGTTGCCTTCCTCTTCAAGTAGACAGGAAGATTGACAGTAGAAGAAGTGGAACACTCCCTCTTCTTCACTCACTAAGCTCCAAAATCTCCTCTCAAGCTTTTCTATGTCTCTAAAACTCTCCCCGACATTTACAAATTGATTTGATGCCTTTCCCTTTTGTAGAGAGGGAGGAGGGAGGAGACCAAGAGAGAGTACGGTTAAAAACGCCCCTCGCTTATTTAATGGGCAATCTCTAACGCTCCTCCGATGTCTCTCGAGCCTGTTATAAACTCCCTTGATTTATTGAGCCGTTAACACAAGTTTAATGAGTGAACAAATAGCAGTACTGGACCGGACAGCTTGCCCGTCTGTACCAACTGAAGCAATAAAATATTAACAACTCATTGTCGTTGAACGTATCCAATATAGACAGCCTCTCTGCTTTATCTCGCCGCCTCTTTACTCACTCACAGTTCGTAATAGCGATACTCAAAGGGTCCCATTAATTATTGGATATGAACGTAGAGAGAACCTATTCTCTAAGCCTTCCTCTAACTCAGGGTGGGTTGTCGTAGGGCTAGACACCAGACGGACCTATGAAGCCCTGGTGTGGACGAACGTATCGAGTATGGCTCAACTGAAGCTCATTAACCTTCTCTAAGCCTGCGTCACCCGGCCGAACCTAACCAGCCTCGGTGAGGGAGACAGAAACCATGGATGAAGTAGAAGAGAGTGACCCATGATCTCAACCACTGGAGAACGAGGGCTGTGGAGGAGCTAAAGATGGTTAGCTTATGACCTGAAATGTGGAGGATAGCATAAGGGAGGATGGGGTTCGGGGACGAAAGAGTCAGCCTTGTGAGTGATCCATCAACGTGAACAGGATTAAATAATTATCAGGCTGGTCATTAGAATCCCTCAGATAAACTAATTCTTCAACCTTACCTCAGTCAAGTGATCCCTTGGAGACCATCCCGGGAGTCTCTATCGACGACCATTATAAAACCAATAGTCCGGCACTTCGCATTAACAGGCAAAGCACGCATCTCTCAGGTAATAACCTTAATATAGGAGTTAAAAATTCGATTTTTCACATCCCAGACCAAAGATCGGCCTTCGTGCACAGTTGAAGAGAATTTGAGGGAGGGGCTCGTGATAGAAGAGGTGAACAGGTCTGACATAAAACGGGTGAGGGAAACAGGTTGATGAAGTGAGAGAGGGATTCACGCGGAGGGAGAGGGGAAGGAGGATACGTTACGTCTACCATAGCAAACATCGGAACCATAATTACGTTTCTAGAGGTTGACCCGTCCATGACTAGTTGTTATTCTTCGCCAAACCCTCCAATACCTCCATGCTTGTGGAGCTCTATTCTCGCGCACTTTTTATCACATACATCCATTTTCGGCACGAATTTTAGAATTCAACGCAGTTGTTAGTGGCTGCCATGCACTTGCTCTCTCTGTTTGTAGAGGAACTCGTCGGGTTCACGACAACATGGCATAAATCTAATGCTAAATCATTATGCGTCGGCTCTGTCTAATCCCCTGCATGGGCAATACAATTGTAGATTAAGTAAAATTAACCACTGTCATTGGCAGGGAAAACTCCAGGCCCAGCTTAAGCCTCTTCCCCCCTCGGGAAGAGCCAACCCTGGGAAAATGCTGCTACCAGCCATTTTTGCTCGAGTCCAGATCCAGACGAAGAAAATGGTCGCGGATCGACCAGGACCACCCAGGAATGAAAAAGGAGCAAAAGGAAAACTTTATTACCCCGTCCTTCATTTCAACGAATGCTTGGCATCTCGGGGAAGGATTTTCCATCTGCAAGGGGAGTCAGGAGCTTGAGTAACTCACTTCCTAAAAATAAAATCGATCACTTTATTTGCACAAGGCACCACCGAGAGACTCATGCAGGATTGCTTGGCTTCAACAGAATGATCACACGATGATGCCCAATTCGCGTCTCTTGGATGCGACCCAGATGGCGAAACACCTGAGAACCACAGTCCAAGCCGTTACAGCCATGAATCCTAAAGAGCCAGTTATGCTGCGAAAATCATTAAAGGAAACCAGGTGTTTTTTAGAAGACCAGATGTTAACTTCATCTTGCATATCTGCACTGAAATGAAGCCGCATATAATCAAGGAAAGCAACTCGTAAGGGTACGCACAGTAAGAATTGCCTTCCCGGTGTTATCAAGTTTTAGTCCTGGCCCCCTCATATCAGTCTCTAGAAAGAAGTGTTTGCCTTTGACTGCCTCTGACTGTGCAATATCTCTCACCTCCTGGATATGTTAATGACCTCAGTGATCGATTTCTTAATGAATGTACGAAAGCAGAACGTAGAAGTGCCAAAAAAAACTTCTCGGAATTGAGATCGCTTACGAGAGCCTTTTCCCAAGCATCTTCGACCAACTGCATGGAAAGAAAGTACTCCATTCAATATATAATACGTCAATCATAAGCCCAAATCCGGAGAAAGTTGTAATGAACGGGCTAGCCTTCTTCTTTGGGCAGCCAACAAGTAAAGCTGTAGCCTCTGCATACGTAGCCATTTCATTAATAGCGATGTTCACCTTCTCTAGCGTGAGCCTCCCCCTCATATATCTGGCGACCAAAAGGACAGAATTATGTGGAGATCAAAACTTTATTTTCCTCCCCCGAACTTACTGCTGGGAGGCATTTACGTCATACACATGCACAATTATTAGAACTTTTATTTGCGTAGCCAAACCTGTAATTACATGACAGACAGGATCCTTTCTGCATAGGCAATATAACAGGCGAAATGAAGGTCAATTTATTTAAGATATTATCTGGATAGCGCGCATGGTTTCTGGAACACAAGAAATAATATGACCAAAAAAGCACTCACGATGACAATGAATCAAGCTCATTTGCCGATATATACCAACGAGGTGCTGGGATGCGACCTTTTTTCTCCTGCGTGTATGGATACCATTTCATCAAGATAAAAAACATGAAATCTCTTTTTGAGAACAGATAAAAGAGGTTTGCATTAATTCAAAACGTGGGAAAAGAAATAATCCAAAAAATGGAGGTGCTTGGAACAATGTACATCTTATTCCTTTCTAATATAAAAGATCTCATATCGCATTTTAGGATGTTATACTTGATAGCCTTGAACCAGCCTGAAGGAAAAATGTGCTGTTTGCTCAACATGGTGCCATTCTCTGCAGTGTTCTGATGTTTCCCAATGTATTTGATGCCAATGGTTTGGAATGGGTGGTTTATGATGTTGAATCACTCGCTACATAAGGGTAGAGCATTGTCAAGAGTTCTGTGCATTACAGGGTTTAAATTGAAAAGCAGTTAGGTCGACAGTGGAGGATCAAAAACAGGTGAAATTTCCAGGTTGGCATGATCACCTTTTAAGACGATTTTTCAGAGGGGTGGTATCGTCTTCTTTCATCACTTTATTGGCATCACAAAAATTTGGTAATAGAATTAAGATGACTAGTAGGACAGTTTTTATTCGAATACAATCATCAGGTAAAGTTGTGACATCTTGTAACGAATGATTGGAACTACATCTGGTCTGAGTACTAAACCATAACATAATTGATACACAAAATGTTAATCAGCTCCCAAAAACACGCAAAACTTCAGCAGTTTTATATTCCAAATATTGTACAGGTGCCCAATGAAAACAACTCCAAGATATAATTCCTAAATTTACTTTCAGATGGACTAATGTAGTTGCTTTACCCTCCCAAAAAACTAAAAAATTAAAAAAAAAAAAAAAGGCCACTCAAGTAAAAACTTTAAAATAAGCAAAGTAATCTTCCATTCGTATGGAATTTTCCCATAATTCCAGAAAATGGACTCCTCGAGAAACCAACCATCTGGAAAATGTGCGCCCGAACCAGAACATCAGAGAGTGAAGATGACACATAAGAACCACTGTTTCTCCATGAAGAGACAAGCATAGTTCATCCTTCAGAAAAACCTATGAGGAAAGAATAGGTGGAATTCAAAGCATTGTTCTCAATTTAATTAAATTTATCACAAATTTAAAAATTTGACCAAACCGTTGTATGATAAAGTTATATATTTTTTCATATTCATATCAAACAAGCTCTTAACGTTCTTCACTTCACTAACTGGGTGCATCATGCAGTCCCTTTAGCTCTTATTGTGCATATCTAGTCATCAAATATTTTTAGAAATCTACTGTTCCCTTCCTTAATAATCAGTTTCCCCTAAATCACCTCTGATTTGTTTAGATTACCATCCCTACATGTTTAGTAAGTTTGGAAGGTACAGTCCAGCAACAAAACACATTTGCAGAGGGGCAAATTTTGAAATGCAGGAAGGGAAGGTACCAATCGATCACATAGAAGATCTTCTATAGAAATTAGCCATAGACATAGGAAAACCAAAGAATGGAAGATATTTACGCCAGGCAATATGCACAAATTAAATTATGGGCAATGTAATGCGTGACGCATGGTTACAGGCATGTAAAGAGAACCCAGTATGGGATACCAAATGAACTTGTAGAGCATCTTTGTACAAACTTTCTCCCGACAACGGCATGGAAATATTTTCTTAAAGTTACCCGACACTGTTACATTTTAAATAAAAGCGTATCTTAAAATCACCACCTAATGAACCAAATGAATTCATACACTACTGTTTACACCACCTTCCATAGAAGGCAACAGCATGGAAACATTCCATGAAGCTAAAAGACATCACTGCAAACTCAATAAAGACGAATCTTAAAATTCGCACAAAAGTTAGATGTACAATCTCCTTTCCTAAACATACTGTGTGAATAAACTGCCTGTGAGCTTCACAAGGATGACTAAATATTTCGGAGCTCCAGAACAGAAAATCAGTCCATTTTATTTTTGGTAAAGCCATGGACTTCTTCAAAAACATTCAAACCACTTTCAACTAGGAAACCTTATGATGAGAGATAATATGGGGGAATCATATCGTAAGATAGAACAGACAAAAGGGTAGTTTACTCAACAATGACTCATATTCTACCCAGCCGTCGGTATAATCAAATTAAAGCACTTAAAAATGCAAAATTCGACCTGCATATCGCAATGGATCAAAGGGGCTACCTTTGGTACGACAAATGGCTCCTCTTGTACATTAGAAAAATCACAACCGGAGTTCACCTCCGTCGATCTGAAGGTTCAACCAAATAAAATACTTTACGTATAGCAAGGGAAAAAAAAGAGCAACCGAAATTAAAATTTCGAGGACGTCGTGAATCGACTACCGAGAAGGTGTCTCTGCTGAAATGTTCACGCTCTCGTGCATGCGTAACGGTAAGTGAGTGAGCATGTGCTGGATCTTCCTCTGCTGGCGCTGTGACCGCTCAATAAGCGTCTGCAAACGAAGATGGTAGGTATTGAAAAAACACGGCTACTTGGCATACGCATGCAGAGACACTCTTTAACCTTGGCCTTGGGAATGGCGTCTCTCTCCTCTTGCAGGCGTTCCCTGATAGACTGTATTTGAGACTCAATCGTCTTCAGAGCGGTGTCGACCGCGGATAGATCCGGGATGCTGGTAGCTGGATACACTGCCCCCACCGAAGGCGGATCAAATAAGACCCCAAACAAAACCCGAAAGAGCTAGTGGAGGAGAGCGGGGTTACTGTTCCGGGCGATGACGAGCTCCTGCAGGTCGACGATGCGAGCATTGAAGGAAGAGATGAGCGAATCGAGGGAGGCGCCAGCATCCTTCGGATCCATAATTTCTCTGTTCCCTCACGACTTCACAGCGTTCATCGAAGAAAACGAGAACAGCGGCATCTACCGACCTCTACGATCGTCTCTCGCACCCACCCTCAAGCCCGCATTGTTTAAAAGCTCTGACGGCATTGCGCGGGAAAACGGCGACTGCGGCTGCCCTGGTCTGCGGGGATATCGTTCAGATCCGACGGACCTCACTGAGTAGACCAATGTATAAACCTCAAAAATCCGACGGCCCAGGGAGGCCCAACTGGCCCAGAAGTAAAAATAAAGAAGAAGAAACCGACGGCGGAGCTGGAGACATCTCCAATCTCCACCGTCCACCTCTCTGGGTCAACGGAAAGATCGATTCGTTGGGATCTATGTATCTTTGGTTTAGCTTCGCATCTCCACCGTCAGATGGTTCTGGGATGGGGTCCTGATGTCCGTCCTTTCCAGGACATCCTCCCTCGCCCCGTGGGGGCTATTTTCTACTGTCGCCATCGGGTGACTAAATAGGGGGAGAGCTGACCGTTGGTTAGGAGACATTCTTGAGGGAAAGCTGGGGAGAGGACCAGTTGCTGTCCCGTGGGTTAAAGTGGTCAACGTTCCCCTACCACTAGCATGTGGTCAACAAAGATCGCACTTTTGGAAGGAAAGAACCCGAGGAGCTGGTTTTCATGCCGTCTGTTCGGAAAGGGAAGAAAAGCCTCAGGCGACGACCGATGACTGTGTGAGGGGAGGGAGAGGAGTGCAACGTTTGAGAGTGTTGACGGAAATGTTATTTCCACTGGAGTGAGGTTTTCGACGGCAGCACGCCATCAGGACGCACTGCAGACAACTGACCCATGACTACTTTCCTCATTTATTAGCAACCAACGACCGTGTTCGACTCCTGGATGAAGAGCGACTTCTCCGTGGTGAAGAACACAAGAAGATAGGGAACTCTCATCACTCGGGGATTGAAGAAGCTGCATGTCGGAACGAGTCACGGTTCGGGAGTCACCGTGGACGAGAAGATCTGACGAGAAAGACGGGTCTGGATCGGTGAATTCCACGATGACCACGAAAAATCTACACAAAAACTAGTGAGAACGCCTCTGCGCCGCTCGCCTCACTGCGAAGGTTCACACGCAAGCAACTGTGCTTGCAGTACTCGCGGGCAGAAGCAGGAGGAAGTGGAGGGCATGCGGGCGTAGGATAGGGGGCAGTGCCCGCCTGCATTTCGCATCCCAAGTTGTGGACATATGGCGTAAGAAATGGGTTCTGAGTCTTGTTATTCGCCCACACTCTTCCCTAGGGCATTAACTCTCTAGCTACCACATCTACCAAGACCAATGTCCTCTGCACTAGTATCGAATTGGCGAGAGGTCCCGATATAAAGAGGTTTCCATGTGGTAGTATCTCGTTGTCGTTTTACCTATAATTTAGCTGATAGAAGACAAGCAACAGGAAAAGAGACCCACCACTGCGACTACCACTTCGACTACCACAGCTCACTGTCTAAAGGGCCACATAACAGCAGTCTTAGGCAATAGAAGGCAACGTGCAGCAAAAGAAGCATGGTGAGAGAACTGCATATGATAAGAATCCATATTCTGTCATGCAGAAGCATTGATTTTATGGTATGAGAACCCAAACTGACGTAGAAAATAGCAGTTATCTCGGATTATAGGGGCTATGCTTAGGATCCGTATGTCGTAGAAGCCGCGATTGGTTGCTTAGAGCTTCTATATTTATGCAAGAAGATACTTCTGGAAAGAAGAACGCGAGAGGCAGCTGCAGAATGGAAGTCAAAGAACCAAGATGTGGGGTATATGGTCGGAGGCTCAGTTGTGCGAAGGAGGATGCGTTTTAGGGGCATCATAGTCTACGTTGAAACCTGGATGGCCCCTCTGAGCATCGTGGGGCACTCGCCAAGACACCGCGCCATGCGACTGGGATCGAACAACAGCTGATGCCTTCACTCGAGCCTTCAGGTTCTCTTCTATAACAACCGGGTCACCATCTTCAGTTTGGACCGTCGCACCTCCGTCACCCTGCCTCGATCCCCTGGACAGATTCTCCGTTGTTGGCTGCAGTTGCATCGTTGTGGTGTTCTTCTCAATCGCGTCCTTCGCTCCCGGCAGCATAATTCACATGAGAACCCACTCCTCAAACGATTTCAAACAAAACGTGGAAGAAACACAGGAGACGAAAGAGCAAACCTATGCACCAACCTTGCTGGCATTACGCGGTAAACTGCTCAAATTCATGAGGGTGGAAGACTGGGCGACGTTGAGCAGGCGACCGTCGCATGCGTAGAATGATAGAGAGAAGAAGACGACGATCAGAAGAGAGGCCATGGGGAGGCAGCGTCCCTTCGGTGGCAGCGGCGACAACGGTTGGAATTCCCGGCCGTGTCTCCTGGTGATCTAAAGCTTGGTGTTTGAACGAGAAGCCATTGGTCACAGGCTTGCATGGGACGACGGTGGGTATCTTCTTTCAAAAGACATGGGTATAAATGGGGCGAAGAAGATTGTCTCTGAAGAGAAGGTCCGGAGAAAGGTAGTCCCCTCCACCGGCAAGTCCACTGCTGCACTTCCCTGGGGCACTGGCGAGAGATCTTCCCCGCTGACGGCCACCCCTTCTTAAAGGGTCAAGGAGAGGATCTCACAACTTTGGCGATCCCTGGGCGAGGATATAAACGACTTGATCAAATACAGGATTTCTTATGTACTGATACGAATAAACCATTTGTTTCCATTTTTTTAATCATCCACTGTGCATCGGAATAGGAGACAATGTCGGTCATAAGCAATTCAAGCTCTCTCGGGGAGGGTGATGTTCTTCTAGTTCAAAATACACGCATAAACTTTTGAACTTTCTACCGCTCTTCTCCTTCAGCGTGGCAGGAGACCTCTTCTTCTCCCTTGCTCACCTCTTCGTCCCCTGATGCTTAAACCTGACTTCGGGAAACATCCATCAGCTTGGCCACCCCCCCCCCCCCGGTTCGACTGGCATCTCGACTTTAATGGCGCATGCCGGTCAGTGTTTGGAACAACTCGTCCTGGTGTTTTATTTTCAACCGACTTCCCATGGGGAACACCTCCCTTCCTATGGGGGAGTACTTAATGCGTTCTCTTCACCATTCTTGGCTCATATTCCCCTAGAAAATTGAGGGGAGAATTCCAACCCCCCTTCCTTCCAAACACCAACATTCTTTGAATGATCCATCCAACCGCTTTGATTCGCATTCATGGGTTGTTTAAGATTAGCATGAGGTCAATGTCATAAAGAGCTCCTCGTTATCGTTGCAAGATATTAAGGCTAGGTCAACGTGACGGGGATTTTTTCCCTCATTGCTTGAGATGTACGCGGAAGGGAGCCTGTTTGGCGGAGAGAGGAGCCGGCCCATGTTCGCGGCGTGGGACATCGACAGGACGGCGAGTCCAACGAGCCCAAAGCTGAAGCAGCGCCACCGCGACGCTACCAAGGGGGGGCGGAGGCCTTCGAGCCAGGGACGAACATGCGCTAGGGTCGGTTCTCACAGCCTTCAGTCAGTGTGAAGTCAGAAAGACGGAGAGAATAAAATTCAAACCAATTATTGCAATACATAGGGATAGAGAGGAGCAGATTGTTTAACCATCTGATATGTGGTTCTGGAGACAATCCGGTAGCTCTATGTACAGGATCTACAACTTATGTGTTTTGACTAAATATGCATCCGCAGGGCATGCGATAAAGGTCGAAGCGGTGGCGGCAACACAAAGTTTAATGGAGGTTAGTGATCACACCAGGCCGAAAGTGTTCTCCCCACTGTAGGTAACGTACAGAAAGCCGTCTTCGTCCTTCTTCTCGTCATAAATTGTTGACATTATAGCTCCTGCAGAGAACAAAGAGGAGTCAACCAGCTATACCAAAGGCAGGCGTCAAGAAGAGTAGTCTACGTAGTTGTTTTCAAAGGGTTACCAGTAGGGGGAAGGACATTGTCGACAAATATGAAGATTGCTTTTTCTGCACTAAGCTTGATCCTTTTGCGGATTACGTACACAAATTGCCCAACCGTCAAGTCAGCAGGGACCAGGTACCTGTTGTAAAGTTTTGCTCGTCAAGATGCCCAAATAGTACCTACCCCCCACAGCCATGGGAAGGGGGAATGGAAAGAGAACCAAACGGATGCTGGAAAGTCTCTTGGGTATCAATCTATTTAGATACAATGAAAAACCATTCTTCTTACTTACTTTCTCAATGAAAAACTAAAAAGAACATTTAAGGTTGTAATTGTTACTTACTTCTTCTTGTCAATGTTCGGAATATCACTTCTCTCTGCCTTCTCCACAATCACCTAAAAACCATCCAAGTGTTTATATCAATCAGCGGGACTCAGCTTTTTTTTTAAAAACGTAGTAAATTAGCTTTAGTAGGGAAAAACATCAATCTGACAGGCAGAAGCAAACATTATAAGCAGAGAAAGAAGACAGGCATCAAGCCATTTTGGTCAGTAAAGCAACGAAGCCCACAACAGCACATCCATCAGTTTAGTTAAACAAGAACAAAAAAGGGAAATAGAGGGTACAAATATATTTCTCCAAGAAACTAAATATTAAATCCTTATGGCAACCGTTGAAAGTCTGAGCAATGTTCAAAAGCATGTTTCCAGAAAATCTACAGTTTTTACATTTTTTTAAGATAAAGCCAACCTTGGTGTCTGAACTACGGAACCGATTGGACATCTGTGAGAACTAATCGTCATCAAACTTCACCAAATTGTATAATTTATGACGTATCCAAAATCTAACTCTTAAAAATTCGACATCCAAATAGGATCCTCTTTAAATTTAAGGAAACGCCGTCACATTTGAGCAACGTAACTCAACAGAATAGCCAAGCTCAACAAGGCATTTTTCGGGCATTGGTTACAATCCACCTTGGACGAAAGAACTTATTGTGTCCCTTCTTGAGATCCAACCCGCAAAAATAGTACCTAATTAGCTACTATCTTCACAACAATCATGTGCAGTTTTAAATCAATCACCCAAAGGTAAACATGCCACAAACTTGACACCGTTACCAAATAATATCAAACAACTTACAGGAGCTATGAAATTCTAAAGCTTTCTATATGCATCAGTAACGATAACATACACAAGCATCCTATCCTAGTGAGTCATGAGCCTTAAATATCACAATGTCGTTCAGTGATTCTGCGTGCCCAAGTGAATGTACATCTAAGTAAAAAAATGTCTACAATGATCCACTCAAATAAGTGGCATTTCTGGTTTATTCGTTCAAATGTAGCCAGTTGCTCTTGATCGATTTTATCTTTTTATCTCATGAAAAGAAAAACCCTAATATTAAGCGAGATGAACATAATGATCTACCATCTTCAAGGAATTTATCGAGCTAAAAAATCATTGAACAAATTTCTGGGCGGAAAAAAATGACTATTTAAGCACAACTTGAATATTTTGAAAAACTAGAATTCAACCATACTGTACCACAATGTAACTCAATTCTATGCCTTATTTATCAACAAAATAGCGGGTGTCCACCAGTTCTATCAAGCCACCATACAAAAGCTATCGCAATTCGTCAATAGTCAACTGGTATATTGCACCCATTTTCATAAAATGGACGTACAACAGCCATGCATCCATCTTCTAAAGTCACAAACGTATCATAAGCATAAATGTCGCATCAGGATTGGCCACTAAAGACGGATTATTTTCCTTTTAAAAAGTTTAAAATCCACTATCATTTTCGTTTGAGCAAGCACCTGTGTGTGGATATATATGTTCCTTTGATGATCTGGCCATTGTCGAAACATAAAAGAAAATCGAATGCACGGCGTATGGAATATACATTAGCGGTCAAATGTGTCCATTCCATCAAAAAATCATATACATACCTATATATCTCCGTGTGTAAGCACATCACAGAAAGATGCCCGATAAAAAACAGTGATAAAGTATTTTTCATGTTTCTCTAAAGCAAACTAGAAAATGATAGAAAAAGAGCAACGAATGAACCACAAGTCAAAATAGAAAGCACAAGCGAGTATGTCATCATAAACACAAGGTAACTCTTCATCGCAATCTCTCACCGGGATCCTATCAGGGTACTTCTCCCTAATCCTAGCAGCCTCAGCACGTCTCTTTTCTGAAAATATTTTGGAGCCTCAGTATAAGGTATCATCACACATAATTATTCAAAAAATTAAGCCAAACGGCACCAGAGGAACAAGAATGAGACCACTTATTGAAAATAGAGTTATTACCGAGGTCATGTTCTTGTTTGAAGGAACTCTTTGCCATTTTTCTGCAACTTAATCGAATCAAGAGTAAATAAAATCACATGATCTGACAGAAAACCTCCCTATTACCAGAAGGAATTAAAAAATCATCACAACGCACATGTAATGCGTGCAGAACCCAAGACAAGTATGACGGTCGCAACGACGACCACTATGACGACCACCACGAATAGGAAAACTTAACACATAGGACCAGAGAGAAACATTTCTTGCGGAGCAACAGTACAAGAACAACGAATAGCACAGGGATCCACAAAATTCGGAGCGATCGACAATACAAATGAACACGAAACAGGACAGAAATGGTAACAATAGAGAATGAAGATTCCAGGATCAGAACTTCCAATCCCTATTCAACTAATTACATGAAAGACACGATCGAAACAAGTTCAATAATAAATAGGAAACGAACTGTCAGAAAATAATCAAAAATATCGATATTAGAATCATCAAAACAGAAAGCGAAACAGATGGGAAGTTTGCCGTCGCACAGAAACTAGAGAAGGAACTTAAGCCAATGAAGAAAAACCAGGCGAGGACGAGTACCCCGAAGCCGTGTACACTGCAGTTCACCGTAATCGAAATAATGCGACGAGAAAGACGGACAATGGATAGAACAAGAATAAGGACTTTCACCTTTGCGATCGCAGGGGGGACCTACCAATCGGGAACGCGCGAACAGGAAACCCTGCGGGAGGGTGCGTTGCGCAGAAAATTGGGGGATGGGAGGACGAAGAAGTGGTTGGCGAGTTGCGTGAGACTGGGGGCTCTCCCAGCCTTCGGATTCCCAACTTGGATTTGAGAAAGCCGCCGTGTACTGAGCGTCTCACTGCCGGTAAGTAAACCGTCCAAACGGGAAAAGGATCAGAGAGAAATAGAGAGAGAGAGAGAGAGAGAGAGAGGCGTATACGAATGCCATTTACAATGGATGGCAAGTGGACCTGTCCTTTGCCGTCATACCTCAAGCAACTAGTCCTGTGAACCTACATGCGTATGTACCAAATGCACATCTAATTGCACTGATTCGGTGTTTCCGTGTAGAGGCCTCCCGACGTGGCGGGCTCCTACTACATAATGGCTACCACACCAGCCGTCCGATCCGGAATAGATGGCAAAATAATCGAGGCACGGATATTCTTTAATGGAATAAGAGGATACTTCGTGGTTGATGTATAAGTTATATTTATTTCTAATTTATTTATAGATGAAGTAAATAACGTTTAAGTGTCGAATGTTTACAAGCTGGGGCCCAGTCCGAAAATCAGCATGGAGACCTGACCCGACCCGACACCGAACCCGAACTAGGTTTGGCCCACACCAACCCGTCACAATGAGGCTATAGCAGCCCATTCCACCCATTATGCCCAATGTTGATGTTTACCCCTTTGGCCCAATTACACGAATTGGCCTGTTCAGCAGTTGGACAAGCAAGTGCCGACTGCCAGCGCCGCCGTCCACCCTCAACGTCCCCCAGCCACAATCAGGGTGGAGGCTGTGGACCCATGGAGGCTGCTCGCAGCAGGCGTAGGAGGACATAGGGACCTCCTACTCCGCCGGAGGTGGCGAGAATTTTCCGCTGCTGTGCACGCAGGAGCTCGCAGAGGAGCTGCCATGGAAGTCGACGGTGGATGGAGGAGAACGGGTGGAAGATCCAAGAAGCTTCCTTCCAGACGGTAGCTGTTTGAGAACCGGTGAGCTGCAGGAGAGCCAACCAGGAGCTCAGTCGCCGTTCTCCATATAACTGTGCATCTCTTCCGGGAGCTCGTCCAGGACCATTGCTCTATTTCCTGATCAGCGCGATGCAACAGTTCATTCAGTGTGAAAGAGAACTGCTGATTTCATATTAGCTGTAGATCTCAGTTTCTCGGTTACAATGTCCAAAGTAAGTCTTTGATATAATTAACGGATATGAGATCTGATAATGTTCTACTTTGGTACCTATTAAATTGGAGGAAACGGGAATGGGTTCATGTTACTTATGGTGATTATCAGCACATTTTTTGTTCGTCTTTAGGATTGTAGATAAGCACGTAAATCGCACAGAAATCATGTAGCTTGATGAGTGCAATGGTAAGCATGGATCTAAGATGGTGATTATTAAAGTGGAGGGATATATTAGGTTTTCATCGATAATGTTTGGTCTTATAGTTAAGTAGGGAAATTTGATACATTGACCATTTTCATCCCACTACATAGGATATAACATCACTACATATGCTCTTGTGGAGAACACATTGCTCTCGTGACTCTGAATTGAGAGAAATTAGGAGTGAATTTGGCAGCTTTTTTCTCTGTGATCAATTGATCTGGCCCTAAGTGCAGTGTTCTTTATCAATGTATCAACTATGCCAACCCAATTAATCCATCATATGGTGATAGATGAGATTCTAGGGTACAAGGAAAGAAAGAAATATACTAACCTGATGTGCGACAATTGCTAACGTAATGACGGTGTAGTTCTGATAAGAGCGAGATAAACCCTACTTCACCCTTCTCATTGTATGCCCATTAGATGCACAAAACATCACATCACATATGTAAGCATTCAAATAAACGCTATCTTAATCATGATAAAAACTGGACTCGAAATTTTTGGCTTACATCACATAATCTAGGGGATCAGAATCAGGTGAGCATTATTAATGTCAATCTTGATGAGAACCCCAATCAATTGATTCGTTTGACCTAAGTCAGTCCTAGGGATGCAAATTGTCAGCAAGGTGGAGTCTACAATGACCCTAGAAGAACAAACCAGCCATGAATATAATATCTATAGGAAATTAACTCGACACAATAAAAAATAGTGGTATCTCAACCAACCCAAGGGTGTATTTCTGATTAAAAAGGTATTTTTAGAGAGTAAGAGTAAGCCATTCTAATTCATGTAAAGGCATGAGAGAAGTAGGTAAATTAGACCTTTTTGTGAGGTTCATTGGCCCAAAACAACCAATTATTAAAACTTGCATAACCTAGACCCAGAACATTATACTAGATTCAAGTAGAGGGGAAATAAAAATGTACGCGTTTTTTAAAGTTGTAACATTAATTATTTTTTTAAAAAAATAATATATATATAATATAATGGAAAAGTGTTTCCTTCCTACTTGTGATGAAAATAAGATCCATACAGCCGAACCTTAGACTTCTAGTTGCACGTCTCATGTTTGTTGAAAAGAACATAATTTAATATGGACTGTTTAAATTATTTCTTACCATTAGCAAGTTTTATTTTTGGATTCGGAGGTTCCTTTAGAAGAAAACCGTCGCGGGTCAGCGTTCATGAGACTCACGATTGCTCTCGTCCTTACCAGGTCATCAAAACTGAAGCTTCCGGCCCAACCCAAAATATGGACGGCCATATAATCCCAGGCATGTAGGCCGTCGCGGCACTGGAACACCCTGCCTTAGAGCATCTGGGCCTTTTGGTCCAACACAGAAACCAGAGTCGCGATGAGAAGGGGTGAATGATATCTGATCTATGTATGGGTCGGCCTTAAAGCACGATTTTCAGGAACAAGGCGATGAAACCCCCATGCTATGATTGGTGGCTGCTCTCAGCTTATGATGCTCTGAAACTCGCCACTGCGCGGAGGAATGTCAAAGAAATCGAACTAAAGAGGAACAAGAACCCTCTCAACGCCATTAAATTTATTGGATAACCTGAATAGAACTTCGTTGACAATGAATAGCGCAGGATTATCTATGTACTTCATGATTTATTTATTTATTTATTTATTTATTTATAGTGTGCTGTGATTCTAACATGATGCGTGCATCTGTAAGCTCCAAGCTTATTTTTAGATCTCATCAATTCCGACCACTAAAATGAGGCCTATGCAGGCCAAGGCTCATTCGTCGGTTCTGATAATAGATTAAAGTTTGTTTGGTGATCCCATTATTTTTCCTTCTTCTTTTCCTTTCAACGAGTATTGATATAGGGAATAACTCCCCCATCATCGTATTTGAATCGAGGAAATGAGATAACCTTGGCGGATGTCCGTCAGAAAACACGCAGAGTATTACTTCATAAATACTCATTTATTACGTTTGATCTATGAGAGCAGCGACGTCACGGACAGCTTCCAACGCGTGGGACCCAGAAATCAACGCCTCTCTTGACGAAGTTGCGGGTTTCCCTAGCGTTAAATAGTCGCCAATGCGAGCAATAACCAAATAGAGCTGGGGCACCGGAAGAAACTGCATGTGGGTCGACTTTTGAGGCTTGTAGCCGATCTCATCACACCACCTGAAACAGACTGAGGATCAGCAACGAACAAGTTAATTCAGCTCTCCTCTTCCTTCCAATCTTGGCAATGTTAATTCAACACTCATGTTATCCGGCGTAAGTAGAGATGTATCACTCACAATATACACATTCGATGGTGTACAATGATAGGTTTGGGAAGACATCGATCCCTGCATACAAGATCTGCACTTACACGCTTTATAAAAAATAAAAGGGGGGGGGAGGAGAGAGAGAGAGAGAGAGAGAGAGAGAGAGAGGGAGAGAGGCCGGCGATGGAAATATCGCGCGGGAAGAAACCAACGGACAGGCCGAGATGGGGCCTCGGGCAATAAAACACATTTTAGTGCGGAAACTTCACATCAGGGGGGGAGCCGTGCCCGGTCCCATGTGATTGAGAAACCCCTCTCCGACAACTCGCACCACCGGCGGGGCGGCCCCGCCTGTCGCGGTCCCGAGCGTCCCTCCAATTTATCTCCTCTTTCTTCATAACTCGCAGTCAAAGACACCCTCACCCCTTGAGGCCGCTGTGCTCCTCTTCTCCATTACAAGGGCAATCGTCGTACGTGCATGAAGGAACACAAGAAGCACGCAGGGTGACTCGTGCATTATCGCCATTCATGACAATCGATGCCTTCTCCACCAAACCAGCTGATAGGCATGAGTTTTTCACTCCTGTGTGAAGGAAAGACATACGTGTTTCATGGTTTTCGTCCAGGTTTCTTAGTTTAACGGGTGAAGAAGAAGCGGCAGCCAGGGTTTATTAAAGACAGGATGGATCTTCTTTTTGGGGCGAGAGTTGCTTGAGGCTGTAGAGTCTTGACGGGTGAGGAAAGAACATGCCACAGTTCTCCCTTTTTCCTGCGTCTTGAGGAGACCAGGTGTAAAATATACAACGGCGAAGGACGGGGAGGAAGGAGTTTGGCTGAGCCCCTCCCTGGGACCAGATGGTGGGCTTCTTCTAAGCGCTGGCTTAGCTGGTATAGGGTGGACGTGGGTCTCCCTCTATTTCATACGTGGGAGGAGAGAGAGGGAGGGAGGGGGGGGGAAGCTGAGGGAAGGTGTGTGGATGGATGGCACATGGGGAGACGGATAAACAAATCCCCTCCCTCTCCTTGATAAATTATAGCTGACCTAACCACGTCGCCCCGACCCTTCTCTCCGTCACAGGGGGAACCTCTGAACCCTTCTTTTAGGATGGGCGAGGGGACGCAATCTAATGTTGGGGACACCTTTCCTGCAGTACCCTAACCCACCCCCCCGGCCCATAGCTCTTCAGAATAAACTACTTCTTTCGTGAGGTAGAAGCTGCTCCCTATGACGAAGTTGCTTCTTCGCGTGTACAATTGCGAGACCTGCTGGGTAACTCAGGGAGCCCCTCCAAGTTGGGGTCGTCCATCCCAAGAACTTCCACTTCTGGCGAACAAGACATCGCTCGGAATCGTTTCCGAAGCTAGACTTAAACCGTGAGGACGTGGGTGGGGAGGAGAACAGGGGCTCGTAGGATCCCGAGGAAACTAGAAGACCGAGCTTTTATACGGCCGTGAATCAGCGAGGATCGGGAGATGGCATGAAACACCTGTCGGAGTGAGGCTTTCCGAGCGGCATGAAGCATTCATTCAGTCGAACATTCTTGGCAACTGAGTCGTGGAGAACGCCCTCCGACGTGGGCTCTCCATTGTTTCAGTCCCGCCTCACACACATATGAACAATACCCGTTTTGAGTTGTTCCAATTGAAGAAGGATCATGGGGATGAATGATCGTGTGATCTCGATCCCATCTGCTCCGACATCAGCTCACTAGTCCCAGGAGGATTTGGTTGGCGACCCTAATTTGGACCTTGCTCAGTCAGCAATGGCTTATCTGGAAGGTTGACTTGGCCCCACAAAATAAACTCAATGAGAGAGAGGCATACCTCCTCTCATTTTCACTGCTAATTCATATATTTCTCGAGGAAAATAAATAAACAGAACAATACTCCATCCGTAGCTGTAACGGGGAAAAGTCATAAATACCCCCCTTGAACTGCCCCCAACAGTCACAATGAACGACGAGTGCGCAAGAACAAAAAATATTATCTCTTATTTGCTGAATTCGCATGAGCACGGCATATGTGACAGTTCTTGCTGTTAATTAGGTGGTCCATCATACTTTTGACTTTTCCAATACGAGATTATTGATCTCAGGGGGGACATAATGGTCATTTAATTATGTGGCGGCCGGTGATCGAGTCCCAAGTGCTTCGGGTTTCATCTTCCTGTTCTACCCCTCAGCCTTTGTCGCCACCCGAGGAGGACATGTAGGGGATGACCCTACCGACGACCCCCGTTCCAACACGTGCCGCGTCAGCACCCTATTAGATAGAATATTTGCCCAGCGCACATACTAAATTTTAGGCCCATTTATGAATGTGTGGGCATATGGGAGTCAACCGATTAGATAAAAGTTTTAGTTGTGGCTTATTTAAGCTTCTATAGTAACATTACTCCGCCATTTATAATAAATACGAGGGTGGGTTCATCTGAGTAGGATAGATAGGAGGAACCTTTCTTGACCGCGGTTAAATGCGATCGACTATGACTGTTGGCGGATTGGTTGGGGGGCTGGTTTGACAGAGTCAGAAGGTCTCGAGAGCCTTTCGAGGGAGGGGGACTCTGTATGAATGGTCCCAGACGGAGAGCCACCGCTGGCGGAGCTGGCCATTCTGATGATCTGCTCCGGCGCTGCTGCCCTGCGATGGTGGCAGCGGCGGCAGCGATCAGCGGGGCAGCACGCAGGTAGGACGCCGATTTCTCGGGCAGGCGTAGTTCCGTCGTCGAACAGGACGGCCCGCAGCGGGCGTCGCGGCCATGTTTTTGGGGCGGGAGAGGCCGGGGTCTGTTCATGGGAACAGTTCCCAGTCGTGGACCAGGCGGAAGCCAGCTCGCCGCGGCTCGGATTTTCGGGAGTGCCGCTTCCCGCGGGGGACTGTTTTCAAGTCGCCCGGCGGGCAGCTGCCGCTCCACCGTGGCCCACGCTCCCGGAGCGTCAAATGCTAGGGGGAGATGAGTAGGTGACAGAGGGCGGCCGGGGGAAATTATTGCCGGAAGGGCGATTTAGCTAGCTATCCGGGCTACAAATCTCTGCACGTCCCGCAGAGGCAACTGCTGCTGCTCCGCCAGGTGCAGCGGGGGATCCATCTCCGGATCTCTTGGCAGCGGCGGCCGCTCTCACAGTAGACCCAAGTGGCGACGGGGAAAGTGACGGTGGCGCCCCCTAGAGAACGGGCCTGCACGTGACGGCGGCGGGGGGGCGGGGGGGTGGGGGTGCTGTCAGGCCGAAATAGGCGTAGCGTAGACTCGTGGGGGAGGGAACAAGGGCGTTTCCGTCGTAACCTGGTAAAAAAAGACCGGAGTTTTGGGGCTATTTAATGCTCCTTCATTAAATGGGGGATGGGGAATGAGATGATGCAATGCATACAGACCGGCGAAGGAGACCCCAGGAGTTTTAATATTTGGGTGGAAAGAGGAGAGAGATCGTCAAGGTGGAGGGAGGGAGAGGATGCGACGACGGGGGAGGGAGGAGAGAGAAGCGAACAGCACTTTACTACCTTTTTTCATGTTGCACGCATCCATGGAAGGGGGAAGGAGGGATGAGTGAGAACGCCACCACCGCCGGCCCTTTCCCTCCTCAGCTCTTTCCCCGGGGGGGGTGGGGGGGGGGGGGACAGAAGAGAGAGAGAGGGGAAACATCAAAATAAACGAATAAAGAAATAAAAGAGCGGAGGACGGGATTGAGGGCTGTGGGGGAGGGAGAGGAGAGGAGTTTGGGGGGACGGGGGGAGAGGGAGATGACAGAAGGGGTAGAGCAGTAGACGTGAATGGAGAAGAGACCAGGCGCAGCGAGAGAAGGTTGAGGAGGCCGAAGCGGCGAAGCCAGCGGCTCGAGGAGCAGTCGCCGCGTGTGCCCGCCTGCTACGGCGGAGGTATGCTCGCAGGAGCATGCTGCCGTCAACGCTGCAAAGGTCCACCTCCTCCTTGGTCGATGCCTCTAACTGTAGAGCGAGGAACGCCCTGAGAAAGATAGCCCGGATCTTTTGGTCCATTGCTTGTGGATAGAAGGAGAGACAGAGGGAGATCATCTGCCGTTGTTGCTCAAGCATCTCTTCGGATTCTGGCGAGCTTTTAGATGAGGGGGATGCCCTTCAATCTTCAGGGTAAGGGGGCACTGGAAGTAGCAGCAGCAGCAGAGGCCTTGTGGAGAAGCGCCGCCGGATTTCCTCCCACAGACAACAGGATTCTAGGCGTCAATACTAAGGAAGGGTACGAGCCCAGATCAGTACTGGATCACAGAAGAAGTCCGAGCCCACCGACCTCCACATCCACTCTGTCTTCTTCTCTGGGCGGCGGCGGCGGCGGCGGCGTCTCCTTCGACACAGCCAGCGTGGCGGCAGTCTCCGAAAATCCCCCCCGCAAATGGCCCCCCTCCCAAGGCTCCACCAGCTCGGGCGCGGCGGATGGTGCGGGAAGGAAGGAGGAATGGGTATCGGAGCTGCAGCCCATCCCGTCAGGGTTAGATATGAGTCTGATAGGCGGTGAGAAATGCGGCCCGGGGATGGAGGACTGGGACAGCGTTCTCTCAGAGCCTGCGGTGGCAGCAGCATCCTCCCCCGGTCACGACCAGTCTTTCCTGAGGTGGATCATGGGGGACGTTGATGAAACCTTCGCCGTGGGTTTGAAGCAGCAGAATCACCACCAAATGCTACCGCAGGCACCCCTGGAGTTCGATGGCGGCGATGGTGGCGGAGGGTTTGGGTTGGTCGATACAGTATTTGGTTTCGAAGCTGTAGGTGGAATGGGGGGAGGCACATCGGGTTCGCTGGTCGCCGCTCCTCTGGCTTGTTCCAATCCTACCACTTCCAACGTGGGGCACCCATTCTTGGACAACAATGGAAGCGCAAACGATGGCAGCAGGATTCTGCCGATTCAGCCCAACCAAGGACCCCTCTCAGGGATCAAAGTCCCTTCCTACTCGAACAGTTCTAATCCCAATCTCGTATTTTCCTCACCGCCTCCAAATGGTCTCCCACTCCAAATGATCTTCCAGGAGCCAACCGTTGGGGAGAAGTCTCATCTCTTCGGCCCCAATCTCCTCCTGAACCAGCAGCAGGGGCATCCCCCACAGAACCCGGCCTTCGTCATGCCCTTGGCGCCTTATTCACAGCCGATCCATCAGCAGCAACACCTCCTCTCTCCTCACCCTAAACGCCACCAGTCCATGGCCGACACCAGCTGCCAAATAACTCCGCGCATCCCTGGCTTCAACGCTACGCATGATCTCTTCCTAAGACGGCATCAACAGACGCAGCAACAGCAGCAGCACCAGAGTTTTGAGAGCTTACATGTTCTTCCCTGTCATAGCCCTCAACCGAGGCCGATGAAACCAAAGATACCAGGAGACGAGACGCCGCCAGCAGCGCCGCCGCCGCCGCAGCAGCCGCAGGCACTGGTCGACCAGCTCTTCGAGGCCGCGGAGCTGATCGAATCCGGGAATTTGGTTAACGCGCGTGAGATATTGGCGCGGCTCAATCACCAGCTCTCCCCCGTTGGGAAGCCTCTTCTCAGGTCTGCTTTCTACTGCAAAGAGGCCCTTCGATTTATCATCTCTAAGCATTCCAGCAGCATCCATTCCTCCTCCTTGCCACCTATGCAGCGAAACCCCTTATTTACCGCTTCGTCATCTCCACTCGACGTTGTCCTCAAGCTGAGCGCCTACAAGGCCTTCTCGGAGATATCCCCTCTCCTCCAATTTGCCAATTTCACCTGCACCCAGGCTCTCCTCGAGGAATTAAGCGGGTGTGATCGCATACACATCATTGATTTCGACATTGGTGTTGGCGGGCAGTGGTCTTCCTTCATGCAAGAGCTCGCCCAGAGGCGCTGTGCCGCCACCGCCACGACTCCATCTCTAAGGCTAACTGCCTTTGCTCCTCTCGCTTCCTACCACCCCTTCGAGGTCGGCCTCACGAGGGAGAACCTCTCCCATTTCGCCAGTGAGCTTAACATCCCATTTGAGTTCAACATCCTCAGCGTTGATTCCTTCGACCCAGCATCCCTTCTGAGCATGTCACACGGTGGTGAAACAATCGCAGTGAATCTCCCTGCGTGCTCACTGTACCACTCTGTCCCGGGTCTTTTGCGCCTCGTGAAGCAGCTTTCGCCAAAGATTGTTGTCTGTGTAGATCATGGATGGGATCATAGTGACTTCACGTTTTCCCGCCACTTCCTCCACGTACTACAGTCCGCAACCATGCTGTTAGACTCCATTGACGCTGCATGCGGCAACCCAGAAGTTGTAAACAAGATCGAGCGGTACCTACTGCAGCCAAGGATTCAGAATTCTCTTCTTGGGCGCCTCAGTGCGGCCGAGAAGGCTGTGCCATTGTGGAACATGTTTGCCTCAGCTGGACTGGTGCCCCTCTCTTTCAGCAATTTCACCGAGACCCAGGCCGAGTGCCTCATGAAGAGGATTCAGGTTAGGGGTTTCCACGTGGAGAAGCGGCAGTCCTCGCTTCTCCTCTGCTGGCAACGGGGAGGACTCGCTTCTGTGTCCGCGTGGAGTTGCTGAGTGTCGTCTCACAGGCATGTTATCTTTTAACTCAAATTTTTCCTTTGGTTATCGGAAGGTGACGCATAATTGTCATCTTTCGGGTTGAATAACTCTTAAAACTGTATCTTTTGAACTGTCGCCACCTTCTTCTGTATCTTCTTTTGCTGTTGTCATGCCTGTGGCTCCTCCCTGAGATGAATTATCATGTGTTCGACCCCAATTGGAAGGAAATAGAAGGTATGGTACAGGTCTAGTCTTTTTCTCGAAGGTTGTTCCGAGTATTCGTCAATTCTATTCGCTCTATTCTGAATTATCAATCCATTACTCTAGGATATGATTATCTCTCATTTTGACGCCGCCCAGTTGTTTTTCAGTGCATGCTCTCCTCGTTGTAAGTTGTGTCTCATGTATTTGATCATAATTTGTTCGGAATTTTTTTTCTGAAAGTGAACTCGTTTCACCCCTGTAAGATCAACTCTCTCTCTCTCTCTCTCTCTCTCTCTCTCTCTCTCTCTCTCTCTCTCTCTCTCTCTCTCTCTCTCTCTGTGGCGAGCATTGTGAAAATCCTCGCCACAATTGATCCCCGTAAACATCCAGGGGTATGGAGCCGAGCATCATGACCTCTTTCTAGATGGGTTTCCAGCCTGAGACCAATCTAGCATACAGCCACTTCATGACCTCTTTCTAGATGAGGACTACTCTTGAGAACACCTTCCTGCAGGGGACAGTCTTTCTTCTCGTAACAAGTTGGCTCATTCTTATCTTAGTATCATGACGAGGTATTTCCGAAGATAAGACCTGTTGGTGATGGGCATTCCGCAGATCGTCTGGTGCTCTTATTCCGAAATGGTGAGCATATTCTTGGAATTATTTTTATTCGAAACATCATACGGGGCCGAATCCAGAGAGGGATAGTCCCGTAAACATGCTCCCTATTTTAGAGCATGAAACAGAGGAATAGTTGCTCCCCGTGCTGTTGAACAGTTCTGCTCTCCCTCTCTGCTTGTTTTCTTGTTTTTTGGTGAATCCGACTCACTGCCCGAGTTTCTTGCCGAGTGCGGACGGTTGCCCCGCTGGCGGGTTTCTCCCCGGTGTCTGTAGTTCTCACGGGTCCTGCCAACCACTCTGGTTGTTGGTCCTTCTGTCGAGTGAAAAGCCTGGTATCCTAAGGTTGTCCTCTTCCAGGATTAGATCTTTTGCTTCCCAGCCCGTACCCGCCACGCCGTCGGAAGCGGAAGCGACTCGAATTCCCCTTGTCCGCATCCCCTGGCTTCCCTCATCGCCTCAACAATCCACCTCTCCGATTTCATTCGCCGATCGAGTGCCTCGCCGGTCCCATGCGGTCCATCCTCGGAGGATTAGGATCGCATCCCCTTTCATTGCATGGTCGCCCTCGCTGGGCCGACCCGGCCGCCGGAGAACTGCACGCCGGGCGCCGCTGAGAGCGACGGCCCGCTCCTCTGCCGGCCTTCCAAATTATATATGGTTCGTAGCCGTCGGGACCCATTTTATATCGGGCACCATCCGCTCCGGCACATGGGCCGTGTCGGCCATCACATGTTCCGGCAGCTCTCTCCATTCCCTGCTATCGTCATCCAAGGTCCTCTGATGAGCTCGCCTCAGCATTAATCTATGCGCGCCTGTGGCTAACGAGACGGCTTTACACATTGGACCCCGTAAAGAAGTGAGGGTCCGCCACCGTGTTGCAGGTTGGGCGGCGAGCCACGCGCCCCGACGGAGTTCGCGAACAACCCGTGCATACCAGCGATACGTGAGCTTGGCCTCGGGCGGAGAGGGGTGCTCTGGAGACGATCACTGGTTGCGCCGCCGGGGGCCAGGCCTGTGGCCGGCGGGGAGGAAGAGCGTGTGGAGCCGGGGGCTGGTCTGGCGTACGGTGGATGTTGGCGGCCTTTCCCTTCGCCTGTAAGGAATGTAGAGTGGTGCGCCTTGCCTTTTGCACCGAGCACAAAGCCTGCGAGAGCGCAGAACCTGAAAAAAATACTAACGGAGGGACGGCGGCTGAGTAGTAGGGCCTCGCTCTGTAAACTTTATATTGATTTGGACGTCGGTACTCGAGGTAAAGAAGTTTATGTGAGTGAATGGTTTAGCCTGCGGGGCTATTTCTTAGGCGATGATAGTATGGAGTGGACAAGGGTATGTTTTCCAACCCCATTTTTTCGTCGAAATCTTACGACTTACATCTTACAAGACTGTTTAATAACTTATCACAATTACTGCATAGTCTAGGTCGATCCGATGTGAAGGCATTCATTTTTAGGCCACAAGGTTCCAATCGTTGAATCACAATACTAAAAGGAAGCTGAGGAAGTTGACGGCATTATATGATGCCATGAGCATTGGTGATGTACGAAGAACATACGACTGTAAGCATGAAAGATGGCATCAATTATTGAAATCAGGAAGTTTCTAGGAAGTTGTAGACTGTCCTTCCATTATAACATTGCCAGTCGTAATAATGCAAAGTTTTTTGACAAGTCAAACAGTTAATATTTTAAACTACCCTATAGAAGTGAGCGAGTAATCAAAGTCAATGCGAAATTAGCATGTGGTTACCCTCATCATGCAATATGCCACTCCTACCATTATTGATATAAAGACACAATAACTTGTTCCAGGCTTTTAGGAGGTAATAGATTTGTCGTACAAGGTACTGTCGCCTTAATGACGTCATTAGTGGCAAGAAAAAAGAGGTAATGAGGCACAGCAGCACATGTATGTATGTTCTTAATCTTCATGTTCATGCATGATGTGAAAGACGTAAGAATGAAGCACGTTGTGGAACCAAAAATTCACATCCTCTGAAGTGGATGAAATTCCACTTGCATAATGATGGCAGAAGAGATCTCCTCTTGGTTTCCTGGTGATTTCATAATTCTGGCTTTTAAAGTTCTATCCTACGAAGGTGTGATGCTCATTTCGCCTTACCATCATATCAAGGATTATAAAAAATAAAATAACCTACTAGCAAAGTGTATCGAGTCGAGTAATTTATGCGGTCAATGAAGATGGCATGCACCTTGACCAGAACCCAAGGACATGAACTGTGTTTGCAAAACTTGAATATCTCACATCACATGGTGTTAAAGATGATCAAATTATATATTTTTTGATGTGGAAATTATAAGGATGCTTTGACAATTTGCTTTTCAAAATTTTCAAATTAGTAATTTATTTTATTCTTCATGCTCCAGCAAGCGTAAGCTAAAGTTTTAGATCTTGTTAAGAATTGACCTCGTCGCATAGAGACCTTAGTGGGCCACAATCGTCAAAACGTACACTTTCTATTCTTCTTGAAGTCTGGGTTTGACCGATTAGATCTTTTCACCACCTTCCATCGATTCTTGTGCAGTACCGCCGCCGCAGGTAGTGGAAATGCAAAAGAGAAGTACAAACGTTCCAGACCCAGCAAAATTCCTGTTGAACGGAGAAACTTTGCCCAGCCACTGGGATGAAGCATGAGATTCATGGCTTAGATGACAGATGGACCGATCGCGCTCGCATCGTCTAGGAATGCCCGTTAAGAGATGAGCCGTGTTGAGACAATGCTCCCTGTCAAGTTATTAGCCAGATAGACAGGATAGTGTCTTAGGATGAATACGTTGCCAATGACAAGGATAAGAGTCAGATCAGCCATCACGACAGGGGTCGGCCCTACCCGGAGGTCGTCTTCTAGTTCCTCGGTGCAGTGAGCAGTGGAGGGTTGTACCTAGGGATGGCCCAGCTACGAGCCGAACAAGCTGAAAGAGTGACGCACCACATTGAGAGGTGGCACGTACCCGGTGGCCGTCATGGGCCCGGTGAGAGGGGCGGGACACAGAAAGACAGGCAAGTGGGAAGCTGGATCTGATTGTGTCCGCTGGCGATAACGGTGGCCCAACAACTCCGGTTTGATGGTACCCCCAGCCGTAGCGCTGCCACTCCTACTACCCCCCTCTTTGTTTGGTGTTCGCCGCCCAGGCATTATAGAGATTTTTTTTATGAGTCGCGTAGACCGAACGCTGTTTCACCTTTCTACTCTCTCTCTCTCTCTCTCTCTATGTGCAGATGTACACCACGTGCACATGGATTTAAAGAGGATGAACTAGTTTCTAATAATTATCATTGCATCTTCGCGGCGATAATTATCTTTCTGCCATCCTTTCGTAGGTCCGCCTTACTAAAACAAACTCATCGGTCGGCATCAAGTGTCACACCTCCCAGATCTCTTTCGCTGGCAATTCATCAGCGAGTGTCCCTGGTTATTTTCTGGTATCCCATACACAATCGTTAACCTTCTGCGAGAAGATCTGTGGGTTTGGATTTGTCCGGCCCTCCAACCTCTACAATCCCCCTCACGCTCTCTCTCTCTCTCTCTCTCTCTCTCTCTCTCTCGCCCTCGGCGTCACCTTCAATGTTTTGTCTTCTGTTCAAGTCAATTCTATCAATCAATCATCTACCCGACCACGATGGAAAGCAGGATTCAAAGTCTGCGAACAAGCGTTGAGATGGGTCGATCCTCGTCGTTTGGCGTTCTCCCACGGGTTTCTGTTCATTCTGGTGCTTAACACCGACCCGACTTTCTCCTCTTTTTGAGCGTGGAGGTTGGGGACCTTAAGATAAGGTTCGGCGCAAGACAGGGAGGAGAGCTTCCTCCCAGTGGCCTGCTCCACATAGAGAACGACCATGTTTTTACCCACTTGGTCGATCAGTTCCCATCACTAGATGGATCGCAGAGGCGATCGAAATTGAGGAGCTCTGCTTGCCAGAACCTCCTTCGTAAATGAGCGGCCGAAGATCAGGCTAAGATCTCTGTGGGGAGACGCTGAAGAGCCTGCGAGCATATCTCTTGGAAGCTGGTAGAGGTATACATGTGGCTGCTGATCGTCTGGAGATCGCGGTCGGATAAAGGAGACAGAATAAAGACGCGATCTTCCTTGACTAACAAGGCTCCCGAAGGTGGAGGGAATATATACCTCGGTGGAGTATCTGCGAAGAAATTTCCCAGCTCGTGCGATGATGGCCTTCTCTGACACGTACGTCTTCTCTCTGACTCCCCACGCTTCTCGCTCCCACGTGACATTGTAAACGAGAAGATAATTGGGCCCTCCGCGGGCTTACTTGAACCATGGGCGTGATGAATTTTTCGTCCATTGGGCTCCCAGGCACTGGCAGATTCTGGTGAAGTCCAAGTCATTATTTGATAGCTGCCTGATGAAGTCGGGAATCATATCGGTGGATAACAAAACCAAGATTTTTCAGCAAGAAGAATCTCCTTACATCATCGCTGATTGAATGCTCCTTCAGGAAACCAAGCACATGATAACTGTTGAGCGATGTCTGTGCTGTGTGTGTGTGTTACCTTGCAAGTCTTCGAGGGCGGCCAGTACGCTGATAATCCTCTCATTCCCCGGCTGCCGGGGAGGATATATAGTTTTCTAGATACTTGCCTACTTTCCCAAGGACTGTAGCTTGGAATGTGCCTGCTGAGCCGTCTAGATGTAAGGAAAAGAGAGCTTGGGTGGCTGCGTTCTTCCTCAGGATATCAAAACATAGCGGGGTTATTTCTGAGAAGAAAGCGTACGTCGGCGATTGGAGAGAGGAGATCGGCTTCATCCTGTCAAGATGGACATTTAATCGTCCCACCTGGCTTCATCTTCTCCCAACACCTATAATTGGATCGAAACATGAAGTTTTAGCAATTGGCAGCCAATCAGATAGAACCCGAGCTTGAATGTTCATTCCGATCGTAGCCTTCTTTCTATTTTTTCAACTTATTGAAAGAACATCCTTAGGTTATGCCTAATCCTAGGCCTTCAGGGTCAAAACATAAGATTGTAATTAGATCACTGTGCACCCTTTCTTCCCATTTTATTGGGGGAAATCAGGTAAATTGGTTGAATACAAAACAGTTTTTCCTACTTGAAAATGCAAGGGATGGACGTAGTCAGATGTGTTGTGGAAAAAAGATCGTCTGGAATGATCAATAAAGTCGGTCCTTGTTTCTTCAAGTTAGGCTATTTTTTCCTGCCCATAAAATCTTTCATAGTTTGAGAGTTGGTTTTGAATATCGGCACCATGGTGTCAACACGCTCACAAGACACACTCTCAATTTAATTCTGGAGAAAAGCCCCCGAGACGATCTCCGGAATGACAGAATCCCTTTAATGAGGCCTGATAGTGGCGTACACAGCTATAACCTAGCTTATCCCCTCATCCATGAGAGAGAGAGAGAGAGAGAGAGAGAGAGAGAGAGCCATCACTCAACAGTCGTCATCGTGGTTTCCTGAAGGAGCATCTAATCAGCGATGATGTAAGGAGAATCTTCGTGCTGAAAATTCCTGGTTTTTTTAATCCAGCGATATGGTCCCGACATCATTTAGCAGTTGCCAATGTTTTGGACGTCAACAGATTCCGCCAGTACCTAGGAAGCCCAATGGGCAAAAAATTCATCAAGCCCATGATTCTAGTCAGTCCGCGGATGGTCCAAATATCTTCTTGTTTTCATCGTCACGTGGGAGCAGGAAGGGTAGGGAATCAGAGCGAGAGAGGTCGTCCTCGTCAAGGTGAGGTAGTTTTCTGGTGTGATTCTTCACCAGCAATTGTGAAGGCTTCAGCCTGCCTATTCGTGGGGTTGTCGACCGCGCGATCTTTTTTGTGGGGAGAATCGACCGCATTCATGGTATATTGCGAAGGTCAGCCCAGTCGTCGTTGTCTCTCTGGTGAATGGGAGCTCCGGAGTCGGACGACGCGTCAACTCTTCCGCCGCCAGTCGACGACTCCTTGCACCCTTCTTGTGGTTCTCCCTATCCCTCCTCTTTCTTTCTTCGTGCTCATCCAGACGGTATTGACCATGGTGTAGTATACTAACTAATCCGTCCGACTACTTTTAAGGGCTTCAGGGATAGGGTAAGGGCTTGTCTAGGAAGGTAATGGAGGAATGGAGGAGGTGACGCGGAGAGTCATCAAGAAGCTTCAAGGAGTTCTCAGGGCTACCCAAAGTCGCTTTGCGAGGGTAATCTAAGATGTACAGGAGTCCCGAGGAAGCTTCTCTATGAGGTAGCCCTGTTGAAGACTTGCACCATCGTGTTCATCTCGAAAACCGAAGGGAGAGGTATTTGAAAGGGTAGGAGAGGGAATGAGGTGAAGCACTGTAAAGAAATGAGGGCGCCCGTGCTCTATGTTCCGAATAAGTCAGCCAGGTGAGCTGATTCACCTATCATGCAGCGGCTCGAACATAATTCGACCATACCTCGACTCGCACAAAATGGCCGCTTCGGCTCTCTGCAGATCAACATAAAATATCTTACGACCCACGCGATTTCAAAAATATGAAGAAGTCAATGCCTCTCTCTTGGAGGCTTTGACTGGTTTCGGTGAACTGGGGTTCTTCAATCCTGTCCGACTCCCTTGGCCCTATGATGAGAGACCTTATCGATATAAGGGCTCTGACATGTCGAGGACATTCCCGGATCTGATGAAATAGGATGAATTGAGACGGTATTTTGTAAATACGTAATTATCTTGAATATATCAACCATTTCTTTATTTTCTGATCGCCTGGAAGGGACAAAAGAAACATCTTGTTTTTTCTTAAAAAATTTCTGATCTCTTGTGGACCTCTCAGTAGGATTCGAACCCACATGAAGTTCTGACCATTTGTCAGAGAAAAAAGAACGAATTGATCTTGTAGGATTCCCAAGAAATTCTTCGATTTCTTCCGGAAGCAGATGATTATTCATCGGCTTCTCACGTTCCGTGAATAGCGGGGACATTGAGGAAGATCCAAAAAGGCATTTCGGGAATCGATCTGATTCTATTTCTGTTCGTTCCGTTTGACTAAAGGAAGGATCCCAAAGAATCGATCTTTCTTTTAGTTGCTGAATCTCTGTTTGATCGATCAATTTGTGATATTCTGAATCCTCATTTCTAATGGAATCACGCTAGGATCGAGGGCCAACCTTAATATCAGGTCAAAGCTCTGCTCTGACTCGTTTTAGTCAACGAGTGCAGCTGAATGGTAGTAGTCACCTTGGCAGCTCGAGATGAGTTGACATCTGTGAATATGACTTAAGTCTCCTTGATAAAAGATCTTTTGATCATACTCTTCTTCATGTAAAGTTATAGACATTCCTCGTTCGTTTGTTGGAGATCTTCGTTGCAAAAATAATAAAGAGAGAACCTATGCATTTTGCCCATCTAAATTATTAGAGCAAAATGTTTAATATAAACTTGCACAAGTTGTGAAATATGAAAACATGAGAAATATACAACGACAAGGATGACAGAAAGATTTTACGTGATTCGGAGGTTGGCCTGGTACATCGGGCGACAACAAGTGAAAGAGGTACACGAGTGCCAAGCGATCCCCTCGGGAAACGTGCAGTCGTTTCCGGAGAATCGGTCGCTGCTCGGACCAGTTCTCCCGTTCACCCCCTGTTCCCCCTCCGCATTAAATGCGGTTCGTCTTACCAGACTTGGGGACCTCAGAGTGTCCGCCGCAGCAGATCGCTTAGCAAATGAAGAAAATTGTGGTACAGGTGAAGCGAATTCCTGCAAAGAGGCCCATTTCACAGAGGAGATTGGAAAGGATGATTCAAGCATCAGCCCCAAAGGTACTGTTGACTTGGAGCGGGGTAGTTCCGTGTAAGTTTTTAGTAGAGCCGACGACGAGGGGTCCAAGGGTCTGGTTACCAATTTGTGTGCGGGGGGACCGGGGGTTGTGTTGGAGAGGATGGTTCAACGGAGGAGGTCCCTCTTCCGGCTGGAAAACTTGGCATCAAGCGGCATCAATGAGGTCGAGTTCTTGTCAATATCAAAACCATTTCAAAGTGAAAGGGACCTTCACCAAGATCAAGATCATGAAAATTATAAAAAAGAAGGAAGGATGTGTTAGACCAAGTCAGAAGGCAATCATGAGATAACCCAGAAGGCATCTCCAACTCAACGCTGCCCCTTCTGACAGAAGTCGCCGTTCATCCTCAGTTGATCAGCAGACCGTTTAAAGTCTCAAGGCAAACTCCCCCAATTTTGGTCGCCAGATGTTTCTTTAAGAGTGAGCGTGAGGCGAATTTAATCCGCGCATCGGCCACGGAACTCACAATCGGAGGGAGCGGCAAAGTGGCCTGGGATTCGCAGGAGTTCCCCAGCGGAGATGCACGGCTGCAGGTCCGACGGCACAATAGACGATTCGGACTTCAGCAACCCTCTTCCATGGATCGGCGTCTATGTCGCCCTCTTTTCTCTGGTCTGCGCCGTCCTGATGGGATTCGACTTAGCGGAAGGCTTCCGCCGTCGGAGGCACTGGTTCCCCTGTAGAGCCTTCTCTCTCAACGCTACCACCCTCACCCTATTGGGCATCGCCGCGAAGCTCCCGGCCGACATCAACACTGCCATGCCCGGCCGCTGGGACCAGCTCTCCAAGCTGACTGGTGCCGTCCTCGTCTGCACCGCCATGGGGAACATCATGCCTTCTCTCGGGGTGACAGACAACATCTTCTCCAACACCGTGGCTCTCGCAATTCTCGTGATCACCGTAGTCGGAAACATAACAACGCAACTGACCACCGGGGTGATCTACTCTTTCCATCTCGAGCATTATATCGTCCTCTCCTTCATGCTGATCCTGCTGGCGATCACCATCTCCTCTGCTCTGATCGTGTCAACTACCAAGGAGGACCTGAAGATGGAAAAAGAGCGGAATTCTGATCAGAAGCTGGAGATGACCGTGGATGAATATTGGTTGATGGCTCACACGAGTAGCCCACAGTATGTCCTGGGACGTTCAGCCGCACTGAGTCTTGGGTGTTTTGTCTTCTTGGAGCGGTCCTGTTGATCCAAGCTGTTTGTCGACCCTTTGTCCAAGAGTTTCGGAATTTCTGTGCTAGGGAATCGGACTACGAGTGGTCGTCGGTGGTGGTTTCCATTTCTCAGATGGTCACTATCTCTGTTGGGACTGTTGCTCCGGCTTGGAGATGCCTCAGCGCCATCGGATTCCGCGGAAGGCAGATTGGTTGGTTTCTGTTTTGGAGTCAAACACCATTAAGGTGACTTTTCTAATCAAATTGGATATTAATGCGATTATAAATGATTCGTGATATTAGGGTTTACCTGGGGCAAAACTGTAATACAATTATAGAACGTATTATATAAAAACCTGCCGTTGGGGTTTCAAGGCAACAGAATAACACAACTCGTACGGAGACACTAAATCCATAGGAGAGAGGGTCTGATTGCGGGGATCGAACAGAAGAAAAGAAGAGAAAGATCGGAAGACGTTCGTCATTTTTCATATTGATGGCGAAGACAGGTACGTCAATTTCCAACAAGTGGTATCAGAGCAGGTTTTCTCCTCTCTGTTCTGATTTTTCATAAGGTGACTTTCATCGCATATGAGGCACATGAGAACTACAGTTACCCATTAAGTCGCCGCATGGGGACCACACCATACGTCGGCAGTGAGGCTGAGATGATGGAAGCGGCCGAATAGGCGACCGTGTCGTCCATATGAGGTGTAGACCAAGGCAGCCACTGGCCGCGTTGGCGACCAAGAAAGCTCTGGCCAGGAAGACCACAGCGGCGGCCATGCAGAGGGCCACTGCGGTAAAGTGGCCTTAGGCAATGCAGCGTGAGCATGCAGACGATCGTCGTACGTCATCGAGGCGTGGGTTGCCACAACGGCAGTCCCAATACCCACCGCCGTCGTGCTGGTCTTGGCGGCGGTCCTCATCGCAGTGGGCCCCGTTTTGCCGACGGACTCGACTAGTAGAGGATGGGGGAGGTGACGCTGGGGGGGGGCGGGGGGGTCGATGCTGTCTCCGGTCGGCCTCGGCTCTGTACCGCTGGCTACCGCAGTGGTGGTTGCACTCCATGCCTCCGCGGTGTGCTCCACCACCGCCGACATTGGCAGACAGGGGTGGAGCTCATCTGAGGCGGTAGGGCCTCGACGCGAGTGCCGCTTCCTGGGCCGACGAAGCGGTTCGTGGGAGACGGTGACTCACCGCCCGAGGCGCCGTTAAAGGCGGTGGACGTTTTGCTGCCTATTAGGGCGGTGGATATTTTGCCATGCAAACCACCTCGCACGGATCGCGAAACGACGGTCGCCCGGTGATGACGTCATATGACGTCGATTATTATAAAATACTAATAATAAATACATATTTTATTATTATTATTATTACGTGTTTTATTTATTATTTATGTGTTCATTATTAGCATATTGTAGTTTCAATGTTCTAATGTATTGTCTATTATTGTTATTTTTGAATATTAGATAATAATTAGATGTATGACATGCAATATGTATTAGACTATCAAGATAGAACATTAATTTGTTTAGTCTAATTATAAAAATATACTAAATGACATGTAATTATGTGTTTAACCTAGAAAACTTGTGTTCCTCACCAATGTGACACAAAGTAAGAACAGTTATTTATATTAATTACATCAAATAGATTTTAAATCTAATTCGGATGGCATTCAACTTTACATTTAGATAAATGAGATTAATGTTACTCACCAATATGAGATTGTTATGTTTATATCTAAATGGGTGAAATGATTGCATTTACATATTAAATATAGAGTATTTAAGTACCAAACGATATTATACTTCATAAACTTTTATGTATGTGCAGTTAGTTTCATGTTCATTTAACTAATAATACATTATTTCATCTAGTAGAGTTATAATGGTATTATTGCTAAATATAAAGGTCATTTCATATGAGTTGTTTAACTTTATAATAGATAGAGGGGTTAGGGTACGTATGTTGAATGACGTAAATTTCTTAAAATGGAACGAAGCTTTAATGTTTCAATTAGGCCTAATGGATTTGAATCTTTATTTTCAAGTGTCTATTCCTCCAGCACTTACTGATGAAAGTAATGCGGATGCAAAGATTCTCTATGAAAGATGGAAGAGATCTAATATATTGTTTTTATCATTCATATTACAACATGTGCCTAAAAATATTAGAGGTCATGTGACTTCTAATACTCTAGTAACCATTTACATGAAAATGATTGAATAATTTATTAGGTCTAACAAAGATAAAGCAGGTGTCTTGATTCAAAAGTTTACTTTTATGTGCTATATAGTGAAAGAAAATATACGAGAGTACATCATAGCTATACGTGACATTGCAGAAAAATGAAATGATATGAATATTACTATTCCTAAGATCTTTTCGGTCCATTACATCTTGCAGATACTACCAATAAAATATGACCTTTTTAAGATCTCCTATTACACACATAAGGATGAATGGTCAATGATTGATCTCATGATCTAGTGTGCTCAAGAGGAAGAAAGGTAAGCTGCTAGTCAACTAGAGAAGATAGACACCATGAATATGGTAATTCACATATTAAAGAAGTGTGCATCAAAGGGCAAGATGATGAAGAAATCTTCAAAGAAGAAGCACAAATTAGGTGTGGCTAAAAGCTCCATCTCTAAGGTTAAGTACTTCTTCTATAAGAAACCTGATCATCTGAAAAAAGAATGCCGGCAACGCGAAGAATGGCTAATCAAACAAAATCTAGGTAATGATATTTCTATCATATGTCATAAATCAAATTTAGCTTATGTTCTTAATTCGAATTAGTGAGTTTACTCAAGTGTCACTGTGCACATTTCAACCATCTTGTATGAGTTTCTAATAACACAACCTCCAACTGAGTTTGAACTGTATGTCGTATTTGAAAATCGGATGCATTCACATGTAAAGTCAGTGGGAGACTTTAGAATCACTCTACAGTCTAAAGAAATTTTACTTCTAAAGAACTACTTTTATATTCCATCATTACAATGAAATTTGATATATGTCATCAAATTAGTTGAAGACAATTATCACATCATTCTTGATGCATCAAGCATATCTTTAACTAGAGAAAACATTCTTATTGAGACTTGCGTAATTGATGGATAATTTAAGCTTAATGTTTCTTCTGAAAATATTTCTCTAGTTTGCTCGAATAAAAATAATAGAACTAACGACTCTGTAATTTTGTGGCATAGAAGGTTGCAACACATATCTTAAAAGATTAAAGGGAGATTAGTGAAAGAAAGTCTTTTGGAATCTTTGGATTTCACAAATCTCGATACATGTGTTGATTGTATCAAAGCAAAAATAATCAACACATTTAGAAAAAATGTCATAAAATTTGGGATAATGTTAGATTTGATTCATATAGATATATGTGGACCTTTTCATCTATATTTTATAGGCCAAAAATATGTTGTAACATTTATTGATTATTATTCAAGATTTATGTATCTTTACTTTATACATGATAAATTTGAAGTCTTTGACATGTTCAAATATTTTAAGAAATAATTAGAGAAATAACTAGAAAAATCTATAAAAGTAGTCAAATCAAATAGAGGTGGAGAATATTGTAGTAGACACACTAAGGAAGGACAAATGTTGGGACCATTTGCATTGTTTCTTAAAGAACATGACAATGCTAGCCAAGCCTGACATGAATGAGGTTGCAGAAAGATGAAACATAATGCTTAAAGAAATGGTCAAGGTTATGATGAGTTATTTTACTTTTCTAGTCTCAATGTGCAGTAAAACTTTAAAGATAGTTGTACATATTCTAAATAAGGTTCTAACAAAATCCATATAGAAAATTCTTTATGAGTTACATGTACATATGAGGTTGTCCAGCTGAAATTAAACTTTATAATTCACATGAGAAATCTCTAGATTTAAGGATAGTCAATGGATACTTCATTGGCTATTGATGCTTTCAGATTTTTATAGGTGTCATTAAGTCTAAATCTTCTCAATCAAAATAAGATAAATTGATCTTAAATTTGATTCGCACAAGAATTTGTAAATAGTGGTGTGTTAGGTCGTATCCTTAGGAAATCCGGACTAAATAATTTAATATTCATATGCTTAAGTGAAAGAGGAAGAGAAAAAGGTAAGAGATAGAGGAAGAACGTGGATGGGAGAGATGAGAAGAGTGAGAGATGCGTTCTTGATATGATTTCTCATATTCGGAAGGGATGAAATCAGAAATCGGATAATGTGTAAAATAGTATTCTTGAAACTTAATCTACCTTCAATTTCAAACTGAAATCTAACCCTAGATGAACAAGGATATAATTCACCACGAAACTAACTTGGCTTCACCACTCCTTTATTTTCGCCAAGAAGAGGTGCTCTTGCAGTAGTGGGAGAGGCCTCATTCAGGCGAGAGGAACTCTTATTTCTGTCACAATACATCTACAAACATACACAACAGAGCCCTATAAAACCTTTCCCCTCTAGGTGGGTGCAAGGACCACAATTTTTCACTATTCAAAGAGCTGTTCATAACATTATTTTTCCCCCAATGTATGGAGTAATGACTTCCCATTTCTCTCTCTTTCTTCTCTACGTACGAGAGAGATTGTCTGAAGGTTTTGGTGACTTCATGACTTCGTGCCTTTCACCATTGAATGGCTAGTTCCTCATCAAGTCATCTTCCACCATTAGATTGATGAGCCTTTCTTCATTTGTGTCAATATTCCTTGGCTGTTTGATTGCTTTTGTCATAAGGAGCACTTGCTGCATGTAACGGTTGGATTTTAGTCACATATTGAATGCCCTAAACTTGAGTAATAAATCACTAAAAACTATTCGAAGAGAATTAACAAAATCCTTGAAATATAAGGTCCATCATAGTAATGTTAAATGCGACATGAAATGTATATCAAAAGAGTAATTCAAGAAAATTCAAAAAAATATCAAAAATGTTAATATACTTTCAAACATATTAAAATCACATTATTATGGTGAGTAAATGCTAAATAATATCTCAAATAATATTAAAATATAGAAGATAAATGTGTATTTCTGACTTACTATTTATGTGTTATTAGTTATCTAAAGAGGTGAAGAGGATATAGATTTTATTATCTTATATATATCATAAGAGTCATTGAAATTGATAGAGTTATCTTCTTAGAGGATGTTTATGTTAGGAGTATCCTTAGAGATTTCGTTTTTAAAGAGTTTCACAAAGATATTGTTGTACCTCAACAAATTTCTGGTGAGGTAATGATTTTTATCTTATTCAGGAGACTGAAGTTTATTTGTCATATATTGTTCCAACCTTGGACAATAATGAAGGAGCAAATATACTTATTCAAGAACAACCACATGAATAATCATCTAAGTTTACATAGATCAATCTGTTTAAGATCTACATCAGGATCAAGAGACGAATCTAAGAAGATAATGAAATAGTTGATTTTCTTTATCTCTCAAGTGAAAACATGGGTCAAGAGGTAAATGATCCTATTATATTTTCACAGATCATGAACTATGTAAACTCTGATCAATGATTACAAGCTATGAAGGAAGAGCTTGTGTCTATAGATTGTAATAAAGTATGATACATCATAAATTTGTCTATGGAAAAAAATCTTATTAGTTATAAATAGGTTTATAAAACTAAATTAAATCCGATGTCACAATTGAATGATATAAAGCCAGACTTGAAGCAAAGGTTTCACACAAAAAGAAGTCATTGATTTTTATGAGACGTATACTCATATTTTCTCTAAGGATTCATTGAGGATAGCTATAGCTTTAGTAAAAATGACTACATCAAATAGATGTAAAAATGACTTTCCTAAATGACAAACTAAAGGAAGAAGTGTATATGCAGTAACCTCAAGGATTTGAGGTTAAAGGTAAAGAACATATGATTTACAAGTTAAATAAATCTATCTATGAACTCAAGTAAGTTTTCAAACAATGGTACTTCAAATTCAATAAAATTATCATGCCTTTTAAGTTTAAAGAAAACATTGTTGATCAATGTATATACCTAAAAGAAAGTGAAAGTTGATGGATACTACTTGTGTTGTACATAGATGATATTTTACTTATTAGTTTAAATCTTAGTTTATTAAAAAAGACCAAAGAATTTCTATCAATCAACTTTGTTATGAAAGATAAGAGTGAAGTCAATTATGTAATTGACATAGAGATTCATCGGAATAGGTCTTTGAAAATGCTCAAGCTATTTTAAAGGTCATACATATCAAATGTGCTAAAATGATTTTTGATAGAAAATTATTCTCTTAATAAAACACTTATTATTAAAGGTGATAAACTAACAAAATTATAAGGACCTCTCTCTAATACAGAGAGGTTTGTAATGAAGAAAAAATTATATGCTATTGTAGTTGGGTCTCTTAACTATGCGTAAATATGTATCTGTCCAGATTTATCATTTGTCATTGGATATCTCGAAAGATATCAACGTGACCCTGGTCTAATACACTAGCAAGCTGCGAAGAAGGTTCTACGATATTTTCAAGGAACTAAAAATCTAATGCTTACCTATCAGTGAATGGATCAACAAGAGGTCATTGAATACTTTGACTCAGACTTTGTTAGATGTTTGGACACACGAAGATCAACTTCAAGCTATGTGTTCTTACTTGTTGGAGGAGTTATCTCCTAGTCTAATACCAAGCAAAAGACATTTGCAGCATCTACAATGAAAGTTGAGTATATAGCTTACCTCTAGGCATCTTCGCAAGTTATATGGATGAAGCACTTCATCACATAGTTAAGAGTTATAAACTCTATGCCTAAACCTACAAGGATATACTGTGATAATGAAAATGTTGTCAAATTCTCTAACAACAACAAGAACTCGAGTACTTGTAAGCACATAGAGATTCAGTTCTTGATTGTGAAAGAGAGAATTAGAGATTGATTAGTGTCAATTGATCATATTGAGATTGACTACATGCTAATTGATCCTCTTACGAAGTCACTTCCACGAGATACTCATAGTAGACATGTCTGTAAGATGGAGTTGATTAGTTCTCTAGAAGATATGGCATATATGTAGACACTAATGTAATATGTGATGTAGACACTAATGTATATGTAGACATGTTTGATCTCTGAATATTAGTTTATGATGAACTATCATTTATCATTGAATAAATGGGAATAACATATTATTTATCTTGTCATGACATAATGAGTGCATTCATAAAGGTTCTTTAAATATCACATAAAATATTTAATTTTAATATCGATTATGAGTAACTTAGTACATAGAATAGACATACATCGTAAATGTTATATTATTGCCATGACTAGTATTTTTTAAGGATATCAAAATGAAGATATCATTTATAAACAGTAAGGTTGTGATTGCTTCACATGATTATCTAATAGAAAGAAGATTAAATAAAGTCAAGTGAGAGATTATTAGAGTCAAACTTTATTAAGTTGACTTTTCTAATCAAATTAGATATTAATGTGATTATAAATGATTCGTGATATTAGGGTTTACCTGGGGCGAAACTGTAATATGGTTATTGAACGTATTATATAAAGGCCGGTCCTTGGGGTCTCAACGCAACAGAATAACACAACTCGTACGGAGACACTCAATCCATAGGAGAGAGGTTCTGATTGCGGGGATCGAACAGAAGAAAAGGGGAGAAAGATCGGAAGACGTTTGTCATTCTCCGCATTGATGCCGAATACAAGTACGTCGATTTCCAACATTCTGATGTTGAAGGAGAGAATAGAGTCGCGTCTGAAGCCCTGGATCAATCGGAGGTGGTTCAGGAAGTCCGGGCGCACTTTGAGTAACAGCGGTCTATGGTTGTTGATCGTGACGCAGGCTGTTGTCGTAGTCTTCTGCAAGGTCGTCGCTCTGTTCTCTCTGTTGGTCGGCCTCGGTCTGGGGAATCTCTGCCTGATGATGCGACGCCTCGGGACGCGTCTGTCGTCTGCGAGATCGGTCTGTTTCGTCGATGAGGAGACCCCGATCCCAGATCAGGGGAAAGAGGAAGTTTTGGGGGCTATCCTTAGAGGGTTCGTCCTGCATCTCGAAGGGGAGGATCAATTTGTAGAACTGATCATGAAAAGCGGTCGGCGGGACTCTGAGAAATCGATCCAGGAGGGGCGGGATCGGCCGCCCGTTCAACTGAGGAAACTCATCAGAAAGTATTCTTCAGAGGGTTTCCCAAAGATCGGTCGTTGCGGCATTCGTCAGATGTCTCCCAATTGCTGGGCGCTGCCGCTGGTGACTCTGGCGAGTATCGCGTTGGCTATCCCGGGCATTGATAGGACGAAGTTGAAGGCGCTCCGGCGCGGCGTGGATGAACGGCTAAGATACGTTCGACTGGTCGACAAGCATCTCGACATTTACGGGCTGGTAAATGCGGCGGAAGCGGCGGACATTCTGTGGGATCAAGTCGATCTATTCGGCCGGTTGTTTGATACGAAGCTGTGCCGGCTGTCAGGACGAGGAGATCACGTTGCGACGGAAGAGATTCTGAGAATACTCGATAATGTGGGAATCCTGGAAGAGATAAGAGGCGGGCAGGAAAATGGTACAGAACCCGTAAATTGGCCTCCGAGGGTGCTCGCGGGGATGTCTATGAAGACGATGGCCAGGACAATTCGGGAGGTTGACGGCGGAGATGTCGCCGGTGGCCCTATTTCGGTGGCTGTGCGAAGCGATCGCCGACTTGCTGGGCGCCTGCCTGATAAATATCCCAAAAGTGGTGTGGATGGAGTGCATCTGCAGCAGTACGGAGAAGAGAGAGGAGAGAGTCGAGGAGGCAGCGCTCTTGGTCGGGGAGTCTCAAGAACTACTGGAGTTTCTCAATCAGCATCGCGCCAAGGGCTACCCTCCTCAAGAACTATGGGGTAGAGTTAACGAGTGGGCGTCTCGATGAGACCTTCCTCGATGAGCTGCAGATAACTGACGCAGTGAAACGGAGACGGCAGCCACTTACCCTCGCCTCCAGCTCGAAACATGCGAATGCACCGCGGGGTAGTTCGCTTTACTCTGCTTTTGAATGTGCTCGTCCCATCAGAGAGAGAGAGAGAGAGAAGGGGGGGGGCGGGGGGCGAAGAACTAGTTCTGTTGTTGTTGTTTTAATTTTTAGCCGGGTCAACGTACCAGATTCATGCGTGCATTTGAAAGATCATGCAGAAAACTACTGTCATCAAGTTCTCACGTGCGTACCATACGTTATTGACTCGTCTAATCGAACGAATATGTCTTCGTTTTAGACATCATGATTCTACTCTTTCAAGGATGTGTACATAAAGTTCCATCGCATACCATTTATGGAACTGAGTCCATGATCCAAGGGTAAGGAGGTTGACCAGCCTAGTGCTTATGTCAACCATTCTGCGGCTGTTGAAGGTTTTGAGTTGCGACTCCATGTCTCCAAAAGCATACGGAACCGCAGATACTCTCCCCGCTCTGTCCTTCGGCACCCCTGATCGGTCTCCGCGTTGACTTCACTCCATCTACGGAGACCCGAGAGTGGCTACGGACTTGAACGTCCGGTTTGCTTTGGACAGGGCTGCCAGTAATCCTGAAATAGATAGGAGAACGAGTATCTTTCAGCAGATGATTCAGTCTCTTAGACCGGGTTTTCGCGGGCCAACAGTGAATGGATGAATCCCTGAGATCAGCCTCTTACATTCCACTCGGAAGGAGGGAGGGGGAGCAGAGTTTTGGAGCGGTCCTTTAAGTCAACCCCTTGGCTTGGATAAGGTGAACTTTATGTTATTGGTTGCATCTGTGATGATCTCATGGAGGAGGAGATGGGAGTTTGTAGGATGTCTGTACTGACCAAGCGAAAGGTGGAAACCTGTTAGATTGACTTAGCCAACACGGGAAAGGTCAGCCCAGACTTCTCTCCCTTTTCCTTATTTTACTTAAAGGACTGGTTTGCTGGGTCTAAGGTCTCCCTCGTTTGCTGGGTTTGGCCACGAGTTTATTCTCCTCCATTTATTGTATCATTGATTTCTCATCAATAGAGGACATTTTCGTGCTTTGTGGATATTGTTTATCTCGTGCTTGTTCTTCCGCTACAGTTTCAGGCCATCAGTTTCTGCGCCATTTTCACAGTGAACAGAGGCGCGCGAGCGCGCACACACAGACACGTCTGGGCTGGAATAAGATAAGACCCTTGACAGCCTGTTGTAGGCGGAGGGAAGTAATTTGTGTATCTTATCATACCCATAGGCTGAGAGCAGAGAGCAGAGAATGGCCTGATAATACGGCGGCGAGCAGAGAGCACAAGAACAGAATGCCCACATGAACTAAGTGATACGGAGAAGTATAAATGTGATGTAATAAGGGACCACGAATTTAATGTGGTACAAAAATGCCTCACGACCCGATTCCAGCTACTTTCTCTCTGCCCGAGCTTCCTTTTAACATCCGTATTACAATAAAAGGGACCCACAAAAAAACCAGTCCTGAATAAAGGGGAAAAGCTGCGACGAGGTCCTGATGGACCTCTCTGCCCTGGTTTGTGTTCCGGCCCCCTCCAGATCACACTTACTGGCCGGTCCTGCGGATGACGATCACATCCGGATGAATCGCTTCGTCCAGCGGAGATTCTTCATACCAAGGCCGACCGACAGAGAGAGCAGAGCAAGGAGTTTGCAGAAGACTACGGCACCAGCCTGCATCATGATCGGTAAGCATAAGCCGCTGTTCCTCGACATGCAACAGGCCTTCCTGAACTACCTCCAGTCGATCCAGGGCTTCAGACGCGCCTCTCTTCCCTCGTTCAACATCTGAAACCCATGTTTCTTGAGTAGAGAATCTCTCCATCGACCAGTCTATCTTCCGCGGAATCCGATGGCACTGAGGGTTCTCCATGCCCGAGTGAAAGAGACTCATTTCTGACGCGTAACTGTACATGCGTGAAGAGGGCGGGCAGAAGGGAGACGATGAGTGTGCTTAACAGGAGAGAAGAAGGGAGGGCGAGAGAGAGAGTGAGAGGAGAGGCCTAGGCGTCGGACACAGCAGCAGATGAGCATCCAGCCGCCGTAGTATCCAAGTCAGCGCTTCAGATGTGGTGATTGTCCGGCTCTGGTCGAGACGCCCACGCGTCTATTCTGTGCCGTACATCGCGATGAGGGTACCTGTGACCGTCAACTTCAACCTTTTCCTCGAGAAATCTCAGTAGCTCTCGAGACTCCCCGAGCAAGAGGGCGGCTTCCCGGACTCCCTCCTCCCGCTCCTCCTCTCCGCTGCAGATGCACTCCATCAAGACCACGCGCGGGAGGTTCGTCAGGCAGGCCCCCAGCACGTCGGCGATCGTCTCGCATAGCCACCGAAAAAGGCCCTCCGGCTCCAAATCCTTGCCGTCGCGCTGCCGAATCGCACGACCGATTCTCTGCAAATAATACCCCGCTAACGCCTTCGGCGGCCAATCCCACGGACAAGTTCGCCCTCCTCTCCGGCCTCTACTCAGTTCCCGCTCCATGCAGTCCTTTCCCATTTTCTCTAGCCCCTCTAGTATCTCTTTAACTCCGACCTCACCTTTCACCCCCGTGGATTCGTGCAGTTTCCTGAAGAGCCACCCGCCGAACAGATCGACCTTCTCCCACAGGATGTCTGCCGCCTCCGATGCATTCACCAGCCCGTGCTCGTCGAGGTGTTTGTCGACCAGTCGGACATATTTGAGGCCTTCACCAACGCCGCGCAGTAGCGATCTCACTGATCCACATTCGACCCCCGGGATGAGGAACACGATACTTGCCAAGGCTACCGTCGGCAGGGCCCAGGAGTTGTGTTCCGGCAGGTCTTGGTGCGCCTCGTCGGAGGAGATGATCCCAAACTCCCCGACTCTCCGGAAGCCAACCGAGGAATGCTCCCTTAGAGTATCCACCAGCCCCATCGGCCGCCTCTTCCGGCCCTTTTTGAAAGAATTCTGCGTCTCCCAGCGACCGCTTCTCATGATCGGCGCCGCAAGCTGGTCTTCCCCTTCAAGAAGTAACACGAACCTCGAGAGCTCCTTCGCATCTGAAGCAGCGCCCCTCCCGCCGCCGCTTACTTCAGAGGCCTCCAGGTCTCTTTCACGCCGCTGCCTCCCCAACGAGGAACACATCCGGCAGAGAGTGGTCACACATAAGACGAGCCACACTGAGGGTAGAGAGACGAGGTTGCAGAAGATCACGACGGCAGCCTGAGCGGCAATTAGCGTGTTCATGGTCCATCTGAAACCGTACCAAGCAATCCTGGGCATGAACGACCATTGATGGACACCACGGAACAGAGGAGAGTCCCTCCACGCTTTCAGCCTTCCGACCCAATATTCCTCGACTGTGACCACGCTCCGCCCTACCATCTGTTGATTCCTGGAGCTGACAAGATACCTGGACACCGGAGCGGCTGTGCCAATGAAGATCGACAGGGCCTGACTGAGGAGGACCACCGAGGTGGTCCACTTGTAGTCCGACTCACCGCTGCAAAAGCCACGGGACTCCCCGAGGAGGGATATGGTGACAGCTCTCACGAACACTAGAACAGCCAGAAAACAGAACGCTCCCGAAGCAGCGCAGGTCGCGGAACGGCCCAGAACATGCTGGGAATTCGATGCGTACGCCATCAAGGAATATTTCTCCACACACCTTTCCAGGCATTCGACCGAAATCTCGGGATCATCTCCGATCTCCCCGCGTATGAAATCATACTTCTTCCCCAAGCAGTGTTTCGTCGTAGACACGAACAGAGCGGAGGAGATGGTGATTGCCAGGAGCACCAGCATGATCGACATGACAATGATGTGCTCGGACCAGAAAACGTAGATGACACCGGTGCTCATCTCAGTGACCATGTTGGCGATGACGGTGATCACAAGAATCACGAGGGCGAAGGTATCGGAGAAGGCGCAGTTCTTTACCCCGAGAGAAGGCATGGCGTTCCCCATCGCCGTGCAGACGAGGACAGTGCCGCTGAGCTTCGTGAGCTGGTCCCAGCGGCCCGGCATGGCGGTGTTGATGTCCACCGGCAGCTTCACGGCAACCCCTAACAAAGTGAGAGTGGCAGCGTTGAGGGAGAAGAATCGGCTGGGAAACCAGAACCTGCGGCGGCGGAGGCCTTCCACAAGGTCAAGGCCCATCAGCACGGCGCACACCAGAGAAACGGAGGCGATGTAGAGGCCGATCAGCGGCATCGGCCGAGTGAATCCCGAGTCGTCGAGATCTCCGTCTGCCTTGCAGCCATGCATCTTGCCCTACCGCTCCAAATCTCTGCTCCTCCCCCCCCCCCTTCGCTCCCTTCCAGTTGAATGTAAGAAGCCGATCTTAGGGATTCACCCCTCACTTTTGGTGCGCGAAGACTCGGTCGAGGAGACTGAATCATCTGCTGAAGAAAACGAGATGGAAGGAAAGATCGACGGCGCACATGAAGCCGGCGCTCCAGATCATCGAAAGTTGCCATTTTTTTATTTCCTTTCTGACCCACATAGCCTTGCCGATAAACCCTTCAACGCGAGCTCGGCGACCACAAGTTCGCTGCGGAACAGAAGGGGCCACGACTTCGATCGAAGTGGGGCCACTATATCAGGAGCTGTCGGAAAGATACTCGCTCTCCAGTCCCTTTCGGATTAACTGCCCACCCTGTCCAAAGCAAATCGGACGCTCAATTTAGTAGCCGCTCTCGAGTCTCCGTAGAAGGGAGTAAAGTCAACTCAGTGACCGATCAGGGCTGCCGAAGGGCAGAGCGAATAACAGAGAGGGAGAGTATCTGCGTTTTCGTCTGTCTTTGGCAATAGAGTCGCAGCGCAACAACTTCAAAGGCTGCAGATTGGTTGACAAAAACACGGGGCTGGTCAACTCAACGCTCATCACCCTTGGAAAATGGGCTTTTATTCCATAAATGGGATGGGCTGGCTATTGGAAGTACACATCCTCGGAGAACTAGAATAATTTTGTCTAAAAGGGTAATGCATATCGACAGATTAGACGACTCACTCGCGTTTGATACGGACGTGAAAACTCAACGACAACAGTTTTCAGCATGATTTTTCAAGCGCACACATGAATGTGGTACGTTGACCGGCTAAAACTTAAAAAAACAAGAACAGAACTAGTTCTTGACCCCTCGCTGTCTGTCTGTCTCTCCCTCTCAGCTGTGTCAACATGCGACGATACCATTTCAAACGCAGAGCAAAGGAAACTACCCCGTGGTGCATTAGCATGATACGAGCTGGAGACGGGGGGAAAGTGGCTGCCGTCTCCGTTTTACTGCGTCAGAGATCTGCAGCTCATTGGGGAAAGTCTAGACGATCGAGGATGCCCACGCATCAACGCTATGCCGTTCTCCTTGAGGGTAGCTGTTGGCGCGATGCTGATTGAGAAACTCCAGTAGTTCCTGAGACTCCCCGACCAGGAGCGCTGCCTCCTCGACTCTCTCCTCTCTCTCCTCCGTACTGCTGCAGATGCACTCCATCCACACCACTTTAGGGATATTTGTCAGGCAGGCGCCCAGCAAGTCGGCGATCGCTTCGCACAGCCACCCAAAGAGGGCCACCGGCGACAAATCTGCGCCGGCACCCTCCCTAATTGTCCTGGCCATCGTCTTCATAGACATCCCCGCGAGCACCCTCGGAGGCCAATTTGCGGGTTCTGTACCATTTTCCTGCCCGCCTCTTCTCTCTTCCAGGATTCCCACATTCTCGAGTATTCTCAGAATCTCTTCCGTAGCAACGTGATCTCCACGTCCTGACAGCCGGCACAGCTTCGTATCAAACCATCGGCCGAACAGATCGACTTGATCCCACAGAATGTCCGCCGCCTCCGCCGCATTTACCAGCCCGTGCGTGTCCAGATGCCTGTCGACCAGTCGAACGTATCTTAGCCCTTCATCCACGCCGCGCCGGAGCGCCTTCAACGCCGCCCTATCAATACCCGGGATAGCCAATGCGATGCTCGCCAGAGTCACCAGCGGCAGCGCCCAGCAATTGGGATACATCTGACGAACGCCGCAACGACCGATCTTTAGGAAGCCATTTGAAGAATACTGTCTGATGAGTTCCGTCAGGTGAACGGGCGGCCGATCCCGCCCCTCCTGGATCGATTTCTCAGAGTCCCGCCGACCGCTTTTCATGATCAGTTCCACCAGCTGATTCTCCCCTTCGAGATGCAGGACGAACTCTCCGAGGTCAACCCCAAAATCTTCATCTCTGCCCTTATCGACGAAACAGACCGAGCTCGCCGACGACAGACGCGTCCTCGGGTGTCGTATCATCCGGCAAATATGCCACACACCGATGCCGACCAACAGAGAGAGAAGAGCGACGACCTTGCAGAAGACTACGACAACAGCCTGCATCACGATCAGCAACCATAGACTGCTGTTCCTCAAAGTGCGCCCGGCCTTCCTGAACCACCTCCGATCGATCAAGGGCTTCAGACGCGACTCTCTTCTTTCGTTCAACATCAGAAACCAATATTTCTCCAGTGAAAGCGCATTCCACCCACCAATCTTCTTCCCGCGGAATCGGACGGCGCTGAGGCATCTCCAAGCCGGAGCCACAGTCCCAACAGAGATAGTGACCATCTGAGAAATGGAAACCACCACCGACGACCACTCGTAGTCCGATTCCCCGGCACAGAAACTCCGAAACTCTGGGACGAAGGATCGACAAACAGCTTGGATCAACACGACCGCTCCAAGAAGACAAAACACCCCAGACGCAGTGCAGTTGGCGGAACGTCCCAGGACATACTGTGGGCTACTCGTGTGAGCCATCAACCAATATTCATCCACGGTCATCTCCAGCTTCTGATCAGAATTCCGCTCTTTTTCCATCTTCAATTTCGTATTGTACTTCTTCTCCAGGTCCTCCTTGGTAGTTGACACGATCAGAGCAGAGGAGATGGTGATCGCCAGCAGGATCAGCATGAAGGAGAGGACGATATAATGCTCGAGATGGAAAGAGTAGATCACCCCGGTGGTCAGTTGCGTTGTTATGTTTCCGACTACGGTGATCACGAGAATTGCGAGAGCCACGGTGTTGGAGAAGATGTTGTCTGTCACCCCGAGAGAAGGCATGATGTTCCCCATGGCGGTGCAGACGAGGACGGCACCAGTCAGCTTGGAGAGCTGGTCCCAGCGGCCGGGCATGGCAGTGTTGATGTCGGCCGGGAGCTTCGCGGCGATGCCCAATAGGGTGAGGGTGGTAGCGTTGAGAGAGAAGGCTCTACAGGGGAACCAGTGCCTCCGACGGCGGAAGCCTTCCGCTAAGTCGAATCCCATCAGGACGGCGCAGACCAGAGAAAAGAGGGCGACATAGACGCCGATCCATGGAAGAGGGTTGCTGAAGTCCGAATCGTCTATTGTGCCGTCGGACCTGCAGCCGTGCATCTCCGCTGGGGAACTCCTGCGAATCCCAGGCCACTTTGCCGCTCCCTCCGATTGTGAGTTCCGTGGCCGATGCGCGGATTAAATTCGCCTCACGCTCACTCTTAAAGAAACATCTGGCGACCAAAATTGGGGGAGTTTGCCTTGAGACTTTAAACGGTCTGCTGATCAACTGAGGATGAACGGCGACTTCTGTCAGAAGGGGCAGCGTGTACTTGGAGATGCCTTCTGGGTTATCTCATGATTGCCTTCTGACTTGGTCTAGAACTTCCTCCCTCCTTTTTTATAATTTTCATGATCTTGACTTTGTCAAGGTCTCTAGCACTTTGAAATGGTCTATGACATTGATGAGAGACCTAAACGTCAATGATGCTGCTTTATGCCTGGATTCCTGCCGCCGTGTGACCGTCGTGGTGGTTCACACCGTGGTGCCAGGTCGAAGAGGGACCTCCTCAGTCGAACCACCCTCTCCCACACCCACCTCCCTCCCCTGCAGATGTCAATCAGACCCTTGGATCCCTCGTTTTAGGCTCTACTAAAACTTGCAGAAAACTATCCCCCCCCCCCCTTCCCACCTCCAAGTCAGCCATACCCTTGTGGCAAATGCTTGAATCATTGCTCCCAATTCCTCTTCGACATGGGCCTTACCAAAAACAGAGGGATTATGCTCAACACGAGTTTGCTTTTCTCAAAGGGACAATTAAGTCACACACACAATTTTTCTCTACTCTGATGCTCTTTTGTCATTATCTTTAATAAGATCTCAGAATTCCATCATTGGAAATCTTCCTAAAGATTTTAACAATCTCTTTGAGTAAGAATTTCATAGAAAAGAGCTTCAGTAGACTTGTGCCACCTCTTAGATACCCAATCTTCACATACCGTACATATAAAGAATTGCGTTTGTACTCTTGTATTACCATTAAATCATACATCGTTAATGTTATCAAGTGTTTATGATTGCATAAATGTTACACATAATCACTTCGTAATCGAGTGTTTATGATTGAGGAGATTTAGTTTACTAACTCTTTGCAAATGAAGTTGTGGGAAGCCTCAATTAAGTGTGAAGTCCTTCAATTTCATCACGTCTGATTTTCTATTAGTCTAACTATCAAATTGAGAGATATCTTTGTCCTTCCTATAAGGTTCTTCTTTCCATCATTGATTAAGTCATTCTTAATTGTGGCAACTAAATCCCACCAACTTTATAACTTGTCTATAGTGTCATTATCTTCTTTGTGTATTGATATGATATGAAGTTATCTCTTAGAACGGTTATTCAAGATATATTTATCATCACAATGAAAGTACAACCCTTTCTCTCAATGTGCTTGTAGTTCAACTTCATTGAGGTTTAACCTTCATTTTCCTCCTTGACATTAACTTATAATGGAACTATTGTGTTCTTGCTATGCTTTGACAATTTTAAAAAAAGAAAAAGTATGAAATCCTCACTCCATTTCTATCCTTAGTACTCAAAGATCCTTAAGCCAGGACTTTACAATTCCTTAAGAAATTTTTATTCCCAGTAGTCCACAAGTTGTTAACATTTTCTTTTGCTACTTGAGCAAAGTTCATAACCTCCCGCAAAGGTAGAAGCAGAGGTACACGACATTGGCGGTACATTGTGGAATGACACAAGAATATGTATATATATATAGAAGTGTACAACTTGGTGCGACAGAAAATGGCACCAACAGACAAAGATGCCCAACAGGGCATAATATGATGTGAACATAAACAAGCGGCATTCAACCAACACCCACCAATACCAACGGCACCATGGGGGATGTTGAACTTTCCAGCAGCCGTGAAGAGCCTTGTCTAGGGAGGACATCAAAGGTTTAGGGTATTTCTGAGGAGGAAATTGAGAAAAAATGATGGATATTCCCTACAGAAGGAAGATATGCAGTTGTCTTAGGATGACATAAGAGTTGTACTTTCCTCTATGAGTATATTATCTCAAATTAAATATCTGTTTTCTTTGAGAAAAGGTTTTTGCAATCTCCTAGAGAAGTAAGAATGATGCCTGGTGTTGTATGGATGACCAAAGTTGTATGGGATGGAGAAGTAAGGTAAGTCTTCTGCACAATGTCATACAATAGGGCCAATGAAATTGAAGAGTATTGAGTACCTAAGTTCACTGTAATCAGTCAAAGCCTCCGAGAGAATGACACTAACTCTTCATATTTTTAGAAATTTGCATGCATCTCAAGATGTTTGTGTTAGTCCTCAAAGAGCTGAAGCGAGCTTTTAGAGGTATGGTCTAATTATGTTCTATCCCCCACTTGTGAGATGAGTCAACTCACAAGGTTGCCATATTTGGAAGGCAGAACACGAGCACCCTAATTTCTTTATAGTGCTTCAGCTCATACCCTCTCTACTCCTACTCTTTTTAAGTAACCTCTTTCTTGGGTTATATAATTCTTTGGAGATGAACACCAAGGTGCAAGTCTTTAAACAAGGCTACCTCACACATGAGCTTCTTGAGCAGCTTCAGTACGTCTTAGAACTTCTGGAAGCGTCTTGATGACTCTCCGTGTCATGTACTCCATTCATCCAATACCTTCCTAGATACGCCCTTACCCTATTTTCTGAAGCCGTTAATAGTCCTAGGTCCGATTGATTGGTCAGTATATTACGCCACGGTAAACGTGTTTTCGGATTTGTCACTGTGGTCCGGATGAGTACGATGACGTCTTGAAGAAAGAAATAAGAGGTTTAGGGAGAACCACAGGATGGGTGCAATGCGCCGTTGACCGGTGGCAGTAGCTTTGATTCGTCTGCCGACCCCGTAGCATCGATTCCCTTAAGAGACCGCGACGACTGGGTTGACCGTCAATGAATGCGTCGATTCGCCCCACAAATAACCCGGCGCGGTCGACAACCACACGAATAGGCAGGCTCTCAAGCCTTCACAGCCGCTGGTGGAGAATCACACCAGAAAACTACCTCACCTTGGCGAGAAGGACGACCGCCCTCCTCCGTCTCCATATTTACACTTCCGCCACCGATGGGGACGGATATTGACTGGCGACACCCCGTTGGCTGGCGCCTGCGATCTTAGCGGTCACCTCGGCCACCACCAACCTGGTCAATAGCAGTCCGGCGACGAATGCGGCGGCCATCAACATCGTGAACACGTGGCTCCATCCCTTGGTCGACACATAGCCCGTCAGCAGCGGGCCCACCGCCGCCCCCACAGAGCCGGTTCCGTCTATAATCGCCGTCACCGTCGCCAGCGCCCGGGAGTTCCCCTTCGTGCCCAGGTCGGCCGACACGGCGGTGGTGATGAGGGCGTAGGGGCCGTTCACGAACATGCCCGCGACGAACAGGAGGCCTACGTTCCAGCTGAGGGAGATGCTTCCATACGAGCGGTAGAGGAAGAGGGCCGGGATGGCGCAGTAGGTGAAGCCCGCAGCGACGATGGCCCTCGCGTCGAGCCTATCCGACATGTAGCCGGCGAGGATGCCGCCGAGGACTCCCCCGACGTCGAACAAGGTGGACAGGGTCCCCGCCATGGAGTCCGACAAGTACTTGCCGTCGATGGCTGCGGGGCGGAGAACAGCGGCCAGTCAGCTGAGCCGTATAGTGATGTTCTGAAGGAGACGGAATGCAAAGTCTGAGGAGGGGGACTCACCGGTGTGGCTGATGTAGAAGGGTAGCCAGTATAGGAACGTATAGGCCACCAATTTGGAGAAGAAGAGACAAAAGGCAAAAGGGGCCACCCCGGGGATACGCCACGCTTCCATGAAGCCCACGGGTTTCTCCATCTCCTCTGATCTCTCCCTCAAGAGAGGTTCGGTGGCTTCGGCCATCCCGGAGAACTTTACCGTGTCGTCCTCCGTCTCCTCGACTCCAATAGCCAGGGGGCTGACGGGCAGGAACATGAACACAATCGCTCCGACGACGGCGATAACCGCGCCGGGAACCACGAAGGACCAGCCCCATCCGTACTTGAGCATTGCCGCGGCGATGAGAGACCCGGCGATGTTGCCAATAGATGTGTGTGCGTTCCAGATTCCCATGATCAGCCCTCTCTTGCTCTTCCCGAACCAGTTTCCAAGCACGGCCACCACCGACGGCCATCCCGTCGATTGGAACAGACCAGCAAGCATCTGAATCAGCAGGTAGTAATAGAAACTGTGGATGTTGAGCCAGTAGCCGGCGCCGAACAAAGAGGTGAACAGGCCTGTCCCGATCATCCCCACCGTCAAGAAGACTCTCAGGTCCAGGCGATCGCCCAAATGTCCGGCGAAGTACATACCCAGAGAGTATACGGAGAGAAATGCCACGTCGATTTGTCCGAGCAAAGCAGTGCCATCGGAGCTGTCAAATGGAGCCCAGCCGCTGGCCAGCCCCAAACGCTCCTGGTTGCCGTGATATGATCTCAGAAATTTGGAGCTCGGAAAGGGGGCGAAGCCCAACATGGATGAATTCGGATCGAGCACGCTCTTCACAATGCTGGTGGTTTTTCTCGTGGCGTGATAGCTTGCATAGGATAAGAATGTAAGCACCAGCACAAGGGCCTGGTGCGTCCTGTATGAGAGCACGGACTTCTTGATGTATTCGACAGCACGAATACCAGCGGGTTTTCCTGTTGATGCGTTGGCGTATGCCATTGATGGACCTAACGAACCCACGGACAAACCGACCGAACTATCCACCTCTGAAAATGACGGGGGATGTTTCAGATCAGAAACAGGGGGCAATCTGTCGGTTCTTGGAAAGAGCAGAGGCACCGTCTGCAGGAAATCAAAAGAACATCAACAGAAAATAGGATAAATGTTTAGACTGTAATCTGAGCAGATGATGCTGTAATTTGGTACGATGATTGCAACCGTGAAAACAAAACAAGCATAAAAGACCACAAAAGCACCTGCCAGAATTATAAGGCAGTCCGCTTCTGTTATTCAAGGTGTATTATTATATCAATGATCATAATTCCAGACAGAATGTGATTTAAATAAATAAAAAATCCTAAATCAGACTAGAGAATTACCGGAACAGCGGAAGACTTTGTGATTCTAACCGTCAGCAAAACTCGAAGGTTTTACAGAGATATCAGTTGAATATTCTCTTCTACTAGACCTGATTGGTGATTCTTCCACGGAGATCAGACGAGGTCCGAAAAAATCCAAGGTCTAAACGGTTTGATAACAGAAATCGAGGAAGAGCAACGTGACGGTAGCACAAGCCTCAGCTTGTTGTTCTCTTAGATTGCATATCCTCAACAAGTTATATTGCCTGATAAGTTCCCGATTCCGTTACGCAAATATGGAAAAGAGAAGAAATAAGATCAGCGAACAAAAAAAAAAAAAAAAAAAAAGAAGATCAGTGAACAACCGAAACCGATATCTACAACAGAAAAAAGGGAGGATTGATCGACCGGTGGCAACCAAAAATTGGCAACGCCTATCCCGAAAATCAGTTGTGCTCTATGCTGATGGCGATAGGGACGAAACTAACAGGTCTAAGGACGAAAAAGAAGAAGTCGAAGTAGCTTCACGATTACAGTTTCCAAAAGCTCGGCTTCAGATGAACTCCCCGGATTCAGAGCACAGACTCGTGTCGCTCGTGCTCAAGAAAACTTTGAAGAGAAGACAACTCAAGCCGACAGGCGACGCTTACCTCAATTGGGGTGTTCCTCTGGATGCATTCCGAGACACCTCCTCCCTCTTTCCTCTTCCTCTGCCGCACGCAAGTCCAGAGAGCTCGTCACTGGGCGGGGACCTTTTAAAACAACCCGTCCCAATTCTCGCCCCCCTTTCCGTAATTTACGGTCTTGCCATCCGACACCCGTGGCAGCGCCGTGACAATGACTAGGGTATTTAAGTCATTTCAGACTAACGCCATTGGGGACACGTAATCCGTCGGCTGCCGTCCTCGGAAATGTGTCATGGAACTAATATTCGCAGGAATATTCGTTGGAATCAAGACTGCTACCAAGAGCATATTCCCTTCGGCAGAGGAAGCGTGCGGACCAACGGAGACCCCGGATGACGTAGCACCCACTACGGGATAGGACTAGCTAGGGCGGGACCCACACAAAGGGACCGATCTGGTCCCAGCGGATCCGGACGGTGGCGCACGTTGAAGGGCCCGTCTCCATCGAGATTAGCGGCCGGTCCCATCCACGTAGGCTTTAACGTTTTTAGATTGGTGGTTGTGGCTGTCCCATTCGAGCCCCGAATTTCTTTAATTCTCACGTTCTTTATTTCGGGTGGCCGACGAAGTAAGAGATTAATAGCTACTGTGATTATATTTCCGCCTATTTTTCCCCAAATGGTATATCGGAACGACGGGCGGTGGACCCGGCTAACCCATTGCGCCATCCGAGAAATATCCATAAGAATCTAAGCGGGACTGAATATTCCAGCTACGTGGCGTTTATTTGCGCTGGAGCAGACCTCCATCAGGTGGGACCCGACTCATGCTCACACCTCTCCTCCTCATCCAAATCAGATTTGGGATTGGGCCAACGCGGACGGATCGGCGCCGACCCTGCTGGCGCCTCGGTTTTAGGATATGACCTGTGGGGCCCACATCATCATTCCCTAACGCCCAAGGTTTCTCGTTCTGTGGATTACGGCTTCCCGTCAACGAATCGCCTTCCTTCTACGTGGGCAGCGCCACCAATGAAGGTTGGCCACGTTTTAGTTCAAGGGCTGCTCTGTCAATTGGAACGTGCATTAATGGGATAAATCGTAGCTCGCATATTGAATACTATTGGGCCTACGTTTACGGAGTTGGGCTTGAATAAGCGTATTTGTGTGGGTCAGTCCAATGGGCCTGACTGGAAAATGGGCTGCTTGAGGAACGGGCTATTAGTGGGCCTTATTGGATGTTCTCATTTTTACAGGGCGTGGGTCTTCACAGAGTCATCACTCTCTCCTCGACTCGCAGGGAAAAGGAGGATGCTTTGCGAGCGAGCCTCAAAACCCGTCGCCTGTGAAGAAAATGGCGGGTGCCAAGCCTTCGCATGCGAAGAAATCTGCCAGGAGGAGGGTCGGTAGGGGTACAAGTGGAAGGGTTGAAGACGGGTTGTCAGAGTACGAGAGGCAGAGGGTGTCGAGGATCAGAGAGAACCAAGCTAGGGTGGAGGCTCTCGGCCTACGTAATCTTGCTTCCGCCCTGAGGGGCCCTTCCGGTCCTGTGGAGCAAGGACAAGCTACAGGAGAAAATAAGACTGATGGTAGGATTCTGGATCGTGAGAAACGTGGGAAAAACGATGACGACGTGGATGACGATTACCAGCCGTCGGAGGAAGACGAAGGCGGTGAGGGATTTTTATCCAGTGAGGAGGAAGCAGAAGAAGAGGGCCAGACGACCAAGAGGAAGGTGAGAAAGAATTTTTCTTGTCATCCTTTCTCAATTCATCATGTCTTAATCTCTGCCGTTCGGATACTGGCGATTTTGACTGGGCACGAGGGATGCTATTGCTCGTGGTAAGAGTCAAATATCACAAAAAGATACATCTTAGTGATGAAAACCATGGACCAAATAATTTACCAGAAAAAAGAATTTCTTGGTTCAAAACCCTGATTCAGAGTGCACCCGGCAAATAGTTTTTCAGTGGTCAGTGTACAGATGAAAGCCTCATATTTGCAAAAGGAAAAAAGATGGGGGCCTATGGTCCAATAGTAAAAGGGAATGGAAGCCAACAACGTTGTCATTTGATTTTCTCCGGTATATATGGAGTCTACTATTATTCTTTGTTATTTCTATGATTTTTATTCAGTGATGGATATGAAAGAACCAGTACTGATGTCTACTTCCGTTCCTACTAGCGCTCCCTGTGCTAGAGCATCCAAGAAATTTATAGTACAGTAACCTTTCCTTCCCCATTGTTCCTCTTGATGCTGCAGTTACTTTTGGAAATTTGATTGCCTCATATGTCATCTTCACTGATGAAATTTTTTTCATCCCTTTTGTTTGTTGTCATTATTTTCAACGAAGTCAACGCAGTTTTTCGTTTATTTCTTGGGGAGTAAAGGGGGGGGCAAATTTGAAATGGATTTTTTTCTGTTATGTGGTAAGATTTTAATACCAATTTTTTTTATTTCCCTTATCGGCCTCAGATTCAGATGGTGAGGTGCCCTTCTCTTCTGATAAAAGACAGATCCCCATTATTCTCCATTCCAAAGACCTGGAAGATGATGATCACTTTCAATTTCAACGCTGAGAAATCTACTTCTTCCTCTAATAACCATTTTATCATTATGACTTTTGTCAGTTTGGAGCCTTTTTTCCGTCAAGAAAACATGAACTATCCCGTTGTGTTTTCCTGTTTACATTCAGAAAACAATCTCATTTATCCTAAGAAATTACTCCTTTATCTCTACATATCTTCTCGCATGTTTTTTTTTTAATGAATCTCAATTGGTCTATTTGACATCAAACTGTTTGTAAATGGTCTATGACTGTTGAATCTCTGGGGAAGAAGAAAATCTTCACGAATGTGAAAGACCGAAATGAATTAGATATTCCACTGAAGAGGAATCAGAATGACTTAGATGGCGTGGATGATGATGCAGATCTCCTACAGGTATTACTAAGATCTTTGGATACTTTCTGGGCTTTGCTATCATCTTCTTATCTTTCATGTATACTGGCTGCCGTTGCCTTGTTTGTTTTTATGTGGTTAAATTTTTTTAATGCAGGCAATAGCTTTGTCTCTCGAAGAACCAAGGCAACCAGAAGAAAATAAGCCTTCTAGAGCTTCTTCTGGGGCCTCCACCAGCCGTGGCCTTCATGGAGAAAAAGAGAACTTTGTCCCTCATGCAACACCTGGTGGGAAGAGGAGAAAAGGGGTTTGTGTGCGAGTGAGTCATTTCTTTCATACAGATTCTTGCATTCTTTCAACCCTGTTCATTGGCTAATGGTGTTTTCTTATGAACAGAATACGAAGAGGCCCCAAATGACTAAAGATGAGCTAGTTGCTTACTTCTTCTCATTCGATGGTATTTCCTTGAAATATCCAGATGCTTTTTACAAAAAAAAAAATAGATATATTCAAATATTTGGAAGCGATGACGTGATTTTATTTAATCTTTCATCTTTCAACTATAACCTTTCATCACGCCTCTCTATATCACTGTTTAATATGTAGACTATTTTCAGAGTCTTTCGTCTCCATAACCCCATCAACCTTGGTTTTTCAAATATTTGTTGAATTCATGTCCGCTGTGATGTATGGGTCAATGTTGTTCTTATTTGGAGCTTTATGCATACCGCAAACCTAAACCTATGAAACGAAGTATTTCGACATCAAGAACATGATTAAGCATTCCATGTTGGTTTTGTGATCTCATTACTATCAAATGATATATTTATATATCATGAATTCAACAATCTCCAACGAAAATGGCCCTGTAAAACATGCCGTGTGGAGCTGTATGACAGTACATACCCGAAAATGAATACGTTGCTAAAAATTTTGTTGAGCTTGTCATAGTTCCCACTTCATGGGAAAGATCCTTCACAAAATTTTGGATTTGTGATATTGATCAGCTTGTACTATTGGCACGTTTTATAGAGAGACATTTTCGGAAAATATAAACAAATCTCTCGGTTTGTGGTGCTCCAAAGCTTGTCTCCATGTGTAGAGACTATTCTTCGTTAATCTCCCCTTTCATACAGAATTTCTACATGCAGAGGGAGGGTCTGGAAACATAAGACTGCGAGATTTGATGAGAGTGGCATCTGCCCATGACTTTAGATGGACAGACGAGGAAATGGCTGACATGATCCATCTATTTGACAGCAATGGAGACGACAAGGCCAGTCATTTATCACTATTTCTAGCAAATTTTCCCCCATCATAAATGAATGATGAACCATATCTTCTATAAATATCTAATCGCTCTTGCCCCCTCTCAATCCTTCCAGCTGAGTTTGGACGACTTCAGCAAAATTGTCTCCAGGTGCAACATGCTCAAAGACTGTTGAACCTCCCAAGCCATCTTGAATGCGCAGAGACCCCTCTCTCTACTGTACGTATCGCCTATCGCACTCATCACTGGCGGAGCCTGTTGGCGACGACGAGGACGACAGGCGAGATTTCGGTGATGGTAGCTAAGAGCGGAGAGGCTGAAGAGAGAGAGAGAGAGAGAGAGAGAACAAGAAACAAGCATGCGCGGGAGCACCGTGAGGCTCATCGGACTGTCACATGATCACGACCACGGTGTGATTAAATTCATCGGACTGGTGGATGTGTATATATTTTGCTGCCATTTGCTCGCTTCGAGTTATGCCACTGACCATAAGTTACCAAATCTCTCATCTACGAAGACGATCACACAACAAACCCTCTCAGGTGAGTCTTCAATGTCACAAACTTCAGCTAACATAAATAGTAAAGAAAGCCATGTCTGTCAATTGCTTGATCTTACGCTTCTCTGGGGACGATCAAAAGAGTGGAAGCTCTCGAGATTTTCATGTCGTAAGGTAGTACGCAAAGAGGAATCCCAGTATAGCAACGATCACCACTGCCGTCAGTGAGAACCAGTGCGCACTATGTTTCCTCCGTTCTCGCCTCAAGAGCTCCTGCATGTCATCGAGTTCATCGTGTTACTACCACCAATATGGCAAAACCCTAAGCCATCCGATGTTATGATCCGAAAAAAGCATCTTAAAAAAAAAAAAAAACCTGAAAATTGTAGAAAAATATTCCAGAGAAAAACAGCAGTCTAAATGAAGATATCGACTGGTTAGTAGTCTTGATGGCACATAGAACATGGATCTTCACTAGGGAACGGTTAGCTATCTTGATGGCACATATAACATGGATCATCATCACGTATAACATGCTGGAGGCCCTAACCCAACAAAGAAGCGGTTCATTGGGAGATGGCTGATAAATGTAGTACATCAATCCTCACCAGTTCTTGCTGAAGCTTGATATTCTGTTGGATGACAGAATTCTTCTCACCAGTCAACTTTGAAACAAGTGCTGAGGCCTGGAAATATATGCAAATAAAAATTTACTTCCACAATAAAATAAACGAAATGTTTGAGAGCATTCTATGCTGGCAGTCATCTAAAAATGAGTAAAAAACAATAGAATAACGACACATTAAATTCCAAGAAAACAATGGCTAAAGACTTCAAAAAATTATTTAGTTGCCAACTACAGCAGGTATACAGCAGCCACAACAAAAACGTAAGGAAATCATACCGATCCCTCAAGGCAGCATACTAACCGGGAAAAAAGTAAGGAAATCGGGGGTAATTCCAAAAAGAGAGATCATAACAAAAACGATGGCAACTTTCAAAGTGAGCTTCTAGTCTTTATAACAATCTCCAAGAGATTTAAATTCCTAATTTTAAAAAATATAAAACAAAAAATTGAGAATCTAAAGGGTATAGTCACAATATTGAAAAACAAATGATCACATCTAACCACCATTCTCCCCACGAGAAGAGCATGCCATAATTTGATCTCAAATCCAGCTGATGGGATTTTGGCGTTCAACACACGCCAAAAACTAGTAGCGAAGTGGCCTTGATGAAACAGAAATGAAGACGAATATTGTCTTCTTTTCTTCGTAGGTATGCTTATCTGGTAAGAACTTAACTGAATTTTGTGGAAAAGTTGACATCAATAGAATGAAAAGCTAGAAGAATGCCAATAAAAGACAAAACAAAAATTCCCTGAGAGAATAAGTGATTATCCCATTTGATCAGGATGATTATTTTAAGGTTTTTTTCTAGAATCTACAGACCCCCTTCTAATATCCCAGCATACTCCTTCGCTAGAGATACCTGAGAATAACATTTGTGTTTGCAAGAAAACTACATCAATCGCCTGAATGGGAAATTCCCATACTGAGAACAAAAGCATTCAGAGCTATTTAGGTCAGATCGCTAACACAGTGGCCAAAGTATAATGAAAACTCACAACACGACTTATTAGCTTTTCCAAGATAAAATCAGTCATGTTTGCATATTAGCACCAACCTTACAGCATTCAGAGAGATTACTATCATCTAATTTCCGCAAGGGAAAAAATGAAACTTGATAAAAACTCTCAGATATATGTAAATCTATGATATCCAGCACGAAAAGAGCATAAATGAAACCAATAGTAGAAAATGTAGAATAAAGCGTAGATGTTTTATATGTCAGATCATTCTGTTTTCTAAGGTCCCATCAATCGGCCACAAAGTTTTTGAGAATAAAAATAAAAATAAATAGATGATTAATGACCATTAAGATCCAGACTCAGTCTTTGAGGCTCCATAAATAGAGAGCATAAAATAGTATAAAGTGGATGAGAATCAATTATTTGTATACACAAGTAGAGGGACCAATAATTGATAGTGCATGAAAATCAAACACAAAATGTTTATTAAAAAGATAGCATGGTATGGTTAGAGGTGGTGACTTCAATAAAGATAAGGGAAAATTATCTATACTGGGAATCAGACAGATGCTTCCAGACAATCATAAATCTTAAATGTTCAAACTAGAATGCATCTACTTGGTTATTGAAGTGCATATATGAGGCAACAGGAAAGCCAGGGAAAAATTCATAGGTTCTATTGAGAGAAAAGAAGGATCGAACCTCGACAGTATCTTATGTGTTCACCAGGGAATTTGATAAAAATAAAATAAAAATAAAAAATAAATGAAATAAATTGTCAATGAGAAAGCGAATTTCTTCAATTGTTTACATACAAAGCACCTCAAGGAACCAACAAAAGAATGTTTTCAGGACGTATCTAATACCAAAGGATAAAAGAGCAACCCAAGTTCGTTACTTGGAACTACAGAAGCAATGAAACAAAAACAAAAAAAATCTCACATCTGTTGATACTTCTCGAGGCTCAGACAATGAACTCCTAGCCTGTGTCAAATAAATTGAAAATAAATTATACGATCATGTGAGACCTCACTTGTTTTCTCCCGAAAGAATTGAAAATAAGCTACTCACAGCATGTAACTCTGAGACATTTAAAGTTCCATTATCAGAAACTGAGGGCCTAGGAGAAGATCCCTCCTCTGAGCCCTCAGGAACCGGTGAAGGGGGCTGAGGCGGTGCCACATAAGTCACCTTCAGCTTGCATTCCTCCACATTTTTTCCCGAATCCCTTGTGAACTGCAGAAAAAGGCATTCAAGTATTCCCACGATTGCCGTGCTATACTGCAAGAGAGGCATCGTGAAGACTAGAAGTCGGCAAGGAGAGCCTACCATTTCCGCAGTGATGTCCTTGAGGGTAGAACCTGGACTCACAGTAACACTCTGAACAAGAAACTTGTCCTTGCATTGCAGATCAGCAGGAGCTTCTTTTTGGGCTTGCATTGTCACTAATCGATTTCCACAAGACCAGGCGACGATTCAACACGAAAAGTGGAAAAAAACAAATCAATGCAATGTTCAACACATGACCAACTTGCAAATTATAAATGTGCATTGATTGGGTATACCGATTATGTCGCTCGTGGAACGAGGAAGTACAACGCCAGTGTTTGGCCGAACGCAGTATTTCTTCGGATTCGTTGTCTTGACCTAACGCCATCAACAGAGATTATCCGTATCATGATTAATACAAAAGGTAAAATTTTCCAGAGATCTCTGATCTCTTAGAACCGGATAAAATGTAACGACGTAAGGGAAACCCGTGTCACCTTAAAAGCGACATAATCCTCCGTCTTGTTGGACAACTGGAGGGAACACGAGATCTGCTTCTTCAGCTCAACTTTTCGCAACACCACCGGTCAAAAGCGCGAGCCATCATCAGGACCTCCAAACCCTAAACAAATTCATGGATCACAAAGACAGAGAGGGAGAGACATAAAACTTACAAGGAAACGTGAGCTCTAGCGGTTCGATTCCGAGGAGCTCTCCGGAACTCATCTGATCCCTCCTCAGCTGAGAGGCAAGCGAGCTGAGAGACAACAAATAGAAAAATGGTGGTCACCGCTGTGAGACCAGAACGCCCTCCCGACGCCGGCACGAAGACGACAGCGCACAGGATCTGAGGGACAGGCGAGCGAGCGAGCGAGGATCGCAGTGATCTACCCCGGCCCTGGTTTAAATTCCTCCCCAGCTCTCCCCCTTGGATTCTCCGGACAGCTCCTAACCGTCTCAAATTTGCGGGGGAAGAAGGAGACTGCTGTCCCATTTCCTTTAAATTCTCCGTAATAAATAAGTAAATAATTTATTGCTCGAATGTAAAAAATGAAAAGTATGCGGCTCATGACGTAACAGCGAGGCAGGAAAGGAGAGGGCTTCGGGTTGGTGGAAGACGCGGTCGCTGTCTCTCGCTTTTCGACTTTACCAACATTGGGCCCATGTTGGGCTTCCTCTGTCCAAGCGATGGATCTCATATTGGGCCTATCCGAAAGGCCCATTAATTTCGATCGAAGGACCTGAAGCTTTAACAGTGGGCCTCGAGTCTTTATGGTGGGCTTCAGATCTCCAGTCCAGCCGCCGCCTGCTGAAGTTGCCGACGGGACCCATCGTCGGCGGACTGAGCCAGTCGGCGGCCGTGGCAGCTCGTCGGAGGTGGGAGCAGCAGCAGGAGGATCGCAATGGTGGTGATCGATTTGGGGGAGTTTGCGGAGGACGGCTTCGATCCAAAGCGATGGATCAACGCGGCGCTGGAGGCCCGCCACCCCCAGGATCCCCTCGAGAGGTACATCTCCGATCTGGAGGAGAGTCTTCGCTCTTCTTCGGAGAACATAGCGGACACGCTCGAGAAGGAGAGCGCCGACGCCCTCCGCCGCGTCCCTCTTGCGGTCCGCGATGTTCTCCGTCTTCGGGACGAGGCGATGGCCCTGCGCTCCGTTGTGTCTTCCATCCTTCTCAAGCTCAAAAAGGTACTCTCTCCCGCGTTTTGGATATCAACTGTTAGATCTCCTTGTTTAAACTTGCCGATCCATGCCGGCTTCCGGGAGACTTAGTTTGTAAACGATCATTTTGGTAGACTCCGTGTCACTAGGCGAATGAATTGTGGTATCTTACAATTGCGTCTTAATTTCCAATACAGGTCTTACATTGAACTATAGATAAGCTAAGAATCGTTTGGATTCTTTCAATCCTTTCTTGAAATACATGTACTTGAGTTAGAGAGTCTTAACCTATTGGCGTTCGCTGGAAAAGTGTTAAACGTATCCTAATTGTACGCGGCTGGCAGGCAGGGGACGCATCATCAGAATCTGTTGCAGCCTTGGCAACAATTGATGCAGTCAAGCGAAGAATGGAGGCAGCATATGAGACTCTGCAGGTATAATCTACCTCGTTTCATTTTGTTCGTCTTTATGGAGCTTAGTTAACGTAAGCAAATGGAAGGGCTTTTCTCCTTTATTTTAAAGGCACTTTGCTAATGTGGATTGCAATGATATTAAAAGGATGCGGCTGGCCTGACACAATTGAGTGCAACTGTTGAGGACGTATTTGCTAGTGGAGATCTTCCTCGGGTGGCTGAAACTCTGGCAAACATGAGGCACTGCCTATCAGCAGTTGGCGAGGCACGCTCAATACCTTTCATCAATTTCCTAGTCAATTTATTTAGCGGAATTTTTTTTATAAGATTAGTTCCACTTTTTTTTCAGGTAGCTGAGTTTGCTAATGTGAGGAAGCAACTTGAAGTATTAGAAGACAGGTTGGAAGAGATGGTCCAGCCTCATCTCTTAGATGCATTATCTAATAGAAAGGTAAAATATATGCACATATTTCTTATTCAAATCCATTATTACATGAGAAGATTACTGGAAAGATGGTTTTCTGTCATCTTAATTTTTTCAACTTCAATTGAGTGACTTTTTTTTGTTCTGAAACTTAAACTTTTAGGTGGATTCTGTTCAAGATCTGCAAAGAATTCTTCTTCGGATTGGGAGATGCAGATCTCTCGAGCTGAGTTACACTCGAATGAACATGAAGCCAATAAAGAAAATATGGGAAGAATTTGACTCTAGGCAGAAAGCTAATAGTCTTGGGAATGAAAGGCATGATGGGGAGCGTTTAATGAGTGATGTTTCATCTGTCTCAAGCCTATCCAACTTTTCTATCTGGTTGCCAAAGTTTTACGACGAAGTTCTTTTTTATCTGGAGCAAGAATGGAAATGGTACAGTATCATACATGCGTCACAGCACTCTGTTCTGCAGGTTTAATGTGTTTCGTTAAAAAAAATTATATGATTATGCTCTAGCTCCTCAGATTACAAATGTATCCTTAACCTTAAGTTGCATCAGTAAGTTGATGTCTTAACTACAAAAAATGTTTTTTTATTTAACATGCATTCAATCCTCATTAATGTTTTCGTTTCATCGACTAATTACCTTCAGTAAGTTGATTTCAAGGAATGGAATTTCTTGTAACATTTCAATACTAGAAACTGTAATTTAATGCACACAGCTTCTACTTTCCTCTAAAGAACATTGTTCGAATATGGAAAACAGGCAGAAAACCAGTAGTTTGTTGTTGATGGTGTTCTTGAAAAAAAATTGGGAAGCCATATTAAAAACTTTATCTTATCTTGAAAATGAATTTGTTGCATCCAAACTGCGAATGAAATCCTGAAATAATATTATTAATTTTTTCAATGTTTACCAACTTTTGTGCAATTCATTACTACGTTTCATAATGTCATACCTTGTGTCTCCATAACAATGCCTGATTCACTGTACATAAAAGTTTGGAAAAATTGTTGCTTCAGAGGCTGCACCGTGAATGTTTTGGATGGCTGCGTCTAATCGACAAAAGCAGTGTTTCTTAGTTTCATTCTCTTGCATACAAGATGTAGGTCGAGTGCAAAATTATTGGGTACGAATGTTCAATTCTTGTGAAGACTTTGGGGCAGATGAAGCTAGACAGCACCCTGACGTCGGATAAAGTCACTGAAATTACAAGGAGTTCGATCTATATACTTTTTTCGACTAGTCCCAGTCTTAAGACGTCAAAAAAGTGATGGAAAGTTTGCAGATTTGTACCATCCATATGGTTTTGATACTCAAAACAGGATCTGTTTTCAAGGGTCTTAGCTCATTTGTCCAATTGGTGAGTTAGCAGTTACCCAAAACGCCATCTTGGTGGGAAAATAAAGATTGTTTACAAAGATGTGTGCACATTGGAAGGCGTGTGATTCGTTCTAGTTATCGAAATGGAACATTTAGAACAAGTGGCACTGGGGGGGATCAAATGCTTATAAACTATAGGCCAATTTCTAATGCATTTACGTGGTGGAATTGAGTATTAAACTGTGCTTTATGTAGATAAGACCGTTTCTCTAAGTGCTTCAAATCCGTATTCTGCGTTTCCTATGGCTTACTCTACTAAATTTTGTGTCTCTGTAGTGTTGGAAGTTTTTTTAAATATCTTCTTGGTTTGTTAGAGCTGTCCTGAGTAGGGCATCTAAGTCATTCTAGGGTTTCTGCGTACACATTGTAGATTTATTATTTCTTAGTTCCTTTTTATCCTCACTCTAATATTAAGTATCGTGAGCAGGTGCACGGTTGCTTTTCCTGATGACTATAAGACCCTGGTTCCAAAGCTGCTGATCGAGTCAGTATCTTCATTAAGTGCAAGTTTTGTTTCCCGGATTAACATTGCAACTGGAGATGTTGTTCCTGAGACAAGAGCACTGCATAAAGGTTCCAGCACCTTAAATCCTAGTGGAAGTTGTGGAGTGACATCTCCACATCTTTACACATTTTAACAGTCTGTCTCTTTATAGCATTTAAATTCCCAAGTGGGTAACTATCTTCTTAAAGATGGCTTTACTGACGCGGTAATTTTATTTAAATTCAGGTATATTGGATATCTTATCTGGAGATGTGCCGAAGGGTACAAAGATTCAGACCAAGCATCTTGAGGCATTGATTGAACTGCACAGTATGACTAGTGCTTTTGCAAAAAATGTTCAACGTTTATTTTCTGAAACTAACCTTCAACTATTGTTGAGTACTTTAAAGGCTGTTTACTCTCCATACGAATCATTTAAGCAGAGGTGAATTCTCTTAATCCATTTTTTCCGATTTTTTACATGGCGTTCGTTGAAGGAGTGCTGAATGATGGGTAGTTGAACATTGATATAAGACATGTTTTGTTGTAGATATGGACAAGTGGAGCGTACTATCTTGTCATCTGAGATTTCCAGAATAGATCTCCGCGGCGCTGTTCCACGTGGCATTGGGGCTCAAGGAATTGAACTCAGTGAAACAGTTAGGAGAATGGAGGAATCAGTCCCGCAAGTTATCATTCTTCTTGAAGCAGCTGTTGAGAGATGCATGAATTTCACAGGTGGTTCTGAGGCAGACGAGCTTATCACTGCCCTTGACGAGATCATGTTGCAGTATATTTCCATGCTTCAGGAGACACTTAAGTCCCTGAGATCTGTTTGTGGAATAGATAGCAGTGGACAGGGTGATTCTGGGCCAAGAAAAGATGGGTCAGATAAAAGGGACGCAGTAAGGATAGTGGATATGGTATCTGAAGAGGAGGAATGGTCCATTGTGCAAGCAGCATTGCAGATTCTCACAGTTTCTGACTGCTTATCTACCAGATCCTCGGTCTTTGAAGCTTCTTTGCGAGCTACTCTTGCAAGACTCAGCACAAGTTTTTCCCTTTCAGTATTCGGCTCAAATCTAGACAAACTTCACCCAACTAGTAACGATGAGAGTGTGGATAGATCGGTGGCAGCTAGAGCAGCCCTGGATGCATCCATACTGCGCCTTGTAGATCTTCCTGAGAAAGTGAAGAAGCTTTTAAATCTCTTAGAACAGGTACTGCGCCGTCCATTGAATTTCTTCCTGAGTTTAATTTATTCCTGTTATGGTATCCCACGATGCCCAATTTTTTTCCTGTTGGAGAACATCTTACCATCCGCAGCTGACCTGTTTTGCTATTTCTTGTCTACTTGTTTTCTTGCAGTCGAAAGATCCACGCTTCCATGCACTTCCTCTGGCGTCACAGAGAGTAGCTGCATTTGCGGATACAGTAAACGAGCTTGTGTATGACGTCCTCATGTCGAAAGTAAGGCAGCGTCTCAGTGAGGTCTCTCGGCTGCCCACCTGGTCTTCAGTAGAGGAGCAGAGCGCTCATCCTCTTCCAACTTTCAGCGCCTACCCACAGGCCTATGTAACAAGCGTCGGTGAGTACCTTCTCACTTTGCCCCAGCAACTGGAACCGCTGACAGAGGGCATCTCTACTAGTGAGGCAAACGCTGAAGAGGCTCAGTTCTTCGCCACTGAATGGATGTTCAAGGTAATAGTTAATTTAGTATATAAAATTTTACTTTTACTTTCCATATCGTGTATGAATTTCCTTAAATTGAAGGCAACCCCCTTTGACCAATATAGATTACAATGCTTTAGATTGCAGAATACCGTTCTACGGTTAATTATATTTCCATCTTATCTCAGGTGGCAGAGGGGGCAACCGCCCTTTTCATGGAGCAGCTGCGTGGAATCCAATACATGACTGACCGGGGCGCGCACCAACTAGCAGCGGACATAGAGTACCTGAGCAACGTTCTGTCTGCTCTTTCGATGCCCATCCCTCCGTTCCTGGCCACCTTCCACACCTGCGTTTCTACTCCAAGGGACCAGCTTCCCGAGCTCATCAAATCCGACGGCGGAAATCAGCTCGATCTCCCCACTGCCCACCTGGTGTGCCGGATCCGGCGTCTCTCACTAGATCAGTAACCCATCTGCTATCTCGTTCTTTTCTCATTAAATCTTTGTTTTATATCTTCACCATCTGAGCAGCTCCTTTCACATACAATTCGCATGGCACACCCTCCGATGTTGCTTGCACATTTTCTTTCTGCTCCTTGTTTCATTGTATAGTCTTCTAATTTTACACCCTCTAATTCCCTTTAGAGAGAGAGAGAGAGAAATATAAATGGCGGGTTGCATCAGGCTTCAGCTCGGTAGCCCTTCTACATCTTGATGTGAGTTCCCTGCGAACCACGCGACCCGCATCAGCTGAATCCCAAGAACCAGCACCCACCAAGAGACGAGCCCCCGAATGGCGTCGACCGCCCACGCAGGCGCCCCAACCTCAGCCGCCAGCCTCAGCCCCCTCATCAGCTGCAGCACTCGATACGCCTCGTACACGACGGGCGTCAACAGCCACACCGGCGACTTCCAGTGCCAGGTTAGCGTCTCCGTCAGCATCTGCGTTGACAGAAGCAGAAGGTACGGCCCCAGCAGGACGGCGAACGAGACCAGAGGCAGCTGCGGCTGGAGTGACCCGCCGTGCGAGGCCAGCAGCATCGCCACAGGGGCGATGAATCCGACCACGCTTGCAGCCATGTTCCAGAGCTTGTAGCCGAGCGGGACCCGGCAGCTGAACGTGAGAGAGGAGCCCTCCGGCCGAGCACAGGCATCGGCCATGAGTAGGAACAAGGTCGCGCCCATGTTGAAGATGCAGTCGAGCCCCACCAGTGCGAGAACGCCGGCGATGTTGGCGCCGAGGAAGACGGACGACAGCGGCAGCCACAGCGTCGGCGCCATGCCTGTGAGCAGCAGAACCAGGGGGCCCAAGAGCCAAAATGGCCATTTGAGGGGCTGATGCTTCTTGGGCAGCTGGCTTCCTTCCTCGAGGAAGGGGGCTTCGCCTGCATCCTTCGTGGCCATGGATCCTACGAGCTCGCTGCTTCCCAGAACGAGGCTGGCGCCGTCGCCGGAAGCTTCATCTGCCGGAGAGATCTCCCAAGGGTGCAACGTGGTGCAGCGTCGGTATGGAGCTCTGAGCCTTGGCTGCCGCGGGAGCCGCCATGAGTGTTTTCCGAAAGGTTGAGAACGGGAGACGCCGGCTCCCGTCACAAATGGTGAAGGCAGAGGTAGAGAAGCCAGTGATGCCATTTGAGGTCGATCAAAAGAGGGAAATAGTCCTGGAATCAGACAACACGTCGCAAATGTTCAGAACTAACAGATTTATATCGTCGACGGCGTATCTGCCAACGAGATCGATGAAGATGTTCCCCGAGAAGCGTAGATAGTTGGATGCACCGAGGCCCTTCAGATCCTACAACGGGAGATCTTTCAGATGCTATTATAATCTGAATTCCGCCACAGTTCGAAGGGAAAGCAGTGAATAGAAGAAAACAGGGGATGAAAGCAGAAGGAAAACTATCTACCGATTCATCAGAGACCCAGAGGAACCGACGCATCTGCGAACAGAGAGGGTATAGATTAACGGGGAAGAGCATCTGGGCCGGCAGATTTTCCTCCGCTATTACCTCGACGGCGATCCGCTGTGATTCCGGTTGGGGAACCCGGAGGAGGAGCGAAGAATCGCCAGCATCGTCACCTCGACAGGTCCCGTTCGATCAGGAACGAGCGGCGAGAGGAGGTTGCACTCACCCACCTCGAAGGCCACGTACGGCAGTCTCAACGTACCAGACTCACCGACCTCACACGTGCCAGCAGCGGACCCAGCGGCATTTATGTGGATCAGTAAAACTTGAGTAAAGGGAAATTTATATGAATTTATTTATTTATAACGAGAAAATATCTTCATTCGATTAGCCGTTTTTATTGATTACGATAAAAACTAAAGACGCTGGAAATTACAATATTTTGAAAAAAAGAAAAAACCGTGGGCGGCAGGATTCGAACCTGCGCGAGCAAAGCTCACATGATTTCTAGTCATGCCCGATAACCACTCCGGCACGCCCACGTGCCGAAGGTCTTGTCAATTATCTAAATAATAGTTCTATAATTAAATTTGTACCCGAAACTCATGAAAATTGTGGACAAAAAGCATCTAAAAACAAATATATCTACAATTTTTCATCCCGAACACAAAAATATTTCACGTTTTGTAGGTTTAAATTTGGATGATTAAGTTTAGCAAAGTTTGGCGACGAAAATAATGCTCCACAAGTCGTCACAATCAGTCAGCGGATGAGTCCAAAGGGTTCAGCCGTATGTTCATGCGTTGACTCGTGCGGCAGGCGGTGGCGGGCGGGGCCTCCGTGTAAGGGGAGAAGCCGCACGCTTATCGCGGAGGCGAGTCACAGTCACCCGTTTCCTACCGCCGGGCGGACCCGTGGAGACGATTCTTATCGCAAGCATGGCCCAGAGCGGCGCCACGTGGCATATCGGCAGCGAGCACAGCTTCCCGCTGGGGGAGAAAAAATCCTGCCCCCCCCCCCCGGTCTCGCTCCGTCTCGCTTCTACCTCTCTACTCCGCGGCGACCTTTCACCCCTTAAAAACCTTCCGGCGGCTCTCTCCGAAGAGGAGATTGCTAGCATTGAGTTCGTTTCCTCATCGAGGAGGTACGTGTACTCCAATCACATGTTTTTGTCCATTTTGCTGCTGGTTTGTTGATGTTGGAGTTGAATTATTTTTACGAGTGGCTTTGCTTCGCTACGTCTTGTCTCCTCTCGGATTCTTGGAGAGCACGTAGTCCTAGGTTTTTGTCCTGCTAAGAATTTTGTTGTTCTATGTGGAATATCCGACTGCCGACGTTGTTATGAGGGATTGGGGATCTATTTAGGAATACTCTTAGTGAGCTAGGATGTTTTCGTTATCGAGTTCTAGACTCAGAGATTTTTTTTAGTCGTCGCTTGATTGGGTACTTCTTCGTCAAAGGTTTGGCTGTGTAAGAAAAGTGATGTCATGTTCTCGCAAAGTGCCTGCTTCCGCAAGAAATGCGAATTTCGCTTGATCAGACATTAGGCACCTGTTGTCTCAAGTTGCTCTGTACAAGTTGTAACAATTGCAGTGGGGTTAGGGTTTTTTTTCCTCCTGCTAGATGTAGACAATATATTCATTAAAAAACCGGCATAAACATCACGGTTTCACCGCCTGTTAATAGTGGTGATTGTCCAACATCCGGCGTTCCCTACTTTTATCTTTCCATGATATTTCAAAGCATAACATTCACCGATGGCTTCTGATTAGAAAAAATGGAAAAGGATTAATCGCCACGTCTTGTGTGGAATTCGATGTGCTTGAGACACCTTGTTGTGATGGGTACTGATACCGATAATAGATTGTTTTCTGACTGATATGGCCAGGAAATGAATTCAACACCTGATCCTTGAAATATCCAGGGAGAGGGATCCGCTTCCTTTATGACTTAATGTTGGCCTCACTTATCAGAGATACATACCATGCAATTCCTTGCAGTGATATTCATCGAGTATTATACTAAGGCGGCACCATGGAATGTGTCATTAAGGTTCATGCTATATATATTTTATTTTATTTTTTCTCTCCTCTTTCCTTCTTTCAATTATCTTGCAAATCGATACTAACACTTTTTAAAAGAAATTCAATCACATATTCTTTATTGTGCAAGGTAAGGTTCTTCAACATTATTTAATATTAATGAACTCACATCTGCCTGAGATATAGTATGAAACTGATGGAATTCCCTTGAATAAGAGTTCCATGGGACATTTTTCTGGAGTAACGTCTATGGACTTCATTTTCATTACACTAGGCATCATGGATTCCGAAAGGCTAATGTTCCTTTTAATGGGCATACTTTTCAACATGCGTTGGTGTATGATTGTGAGTAGTTGTAGTAATGGAATCAATTTTACTGTTATGTCATTGGATTTGCTTTTTCTTTGTAGTTGAACTGTGGTGTTTTTTATTGATTCATGTTTTTAGCAAAACTTATCCTTAGACTACTGGGGATGAAATCGTCAATTATTGTCTAATCCGTTTTCTCTTTGTGATGCACTGCAGAGATGGCTACGTCATCTATGTGCCTTGCTGCAAATTCCATGAGCAACGGTAAAGTGCGTCTGAACAAGGAGATTTATGGTAAATTCGTGAATTTGTCATCTGGTATTTCCTCTACTGGCGGTCGATCAAGGCGTATCACTGTAGCTGCATCTTTGGGACAGAAGCAGAATGAAGGAAGAAGAGGGTTTCTAAAACTACTTCTCGGAAATGTTGGGCTAAGTTTGCCCACTCTAATCGGTGCACAGAGTGCTTCTGCTGATGATCAAGGTGTATCCTCATCAAGAATGTCATACTCGAGATTCCTAGAGTATCTAGATAAGGATAGGGTACAAAAGGTTGATCTATTTGAAAATGGAACAATAGCAATTGTAGAAGCTATTTCCCCTGAATTGGGTAATCGAGTGCAGAAAGTCAGGGTGCAACTTCCAGGTCTCAGTCAGGAGCTTCTTCAAAAGTTCAGAGAGAAGAATATTGATTTTGCTGCGCATAATGCCCAAGAGGAACCCGGCTCTCTATTGTTCAACTTGATTGGAAACTTAGCCTTCCCCTTAATCCTAATTGGTGGCCTATTTCTCTTGTCACGGCGATCATCAGGAGGACTTGGTGGACCTGGGGGCTCCGGCTTCCCCTTTGGTATTGGTCAGTCCAAGGCAAAGTTCCAAATGGAACCCAATACTGGAGTGACATTCGATGATGTTGCCGGTGTAGATGAAGCGAAGCAAGATTTCATGGAAGTAGTGGAGTTCCTGAAGAAACCTGAAAGGTTTACTGCTGTTGGTGCTCGCATTCCTAAGGGCGTTCTTCTTATTGGTCCTCCTGGAACCGGAAAGACATTACTTGCCAAGGCCATTGCCGGTGAGGCAGGTGTCCCCTTCTTCTCAATTTCAGGGTCTGAATTCGTAGAGATGTTTGTTGGAGTAGGAGCTTCAAGGGTTCGTGACCTCTTCAAGAAAGCTAAAGAGAATGCTCCTTGTATCGTATTTGTTGATGAAATTGATGCCGTCGGCAGGCAGAGGGGAACTGGCATTGGAGGGGGAAATGATGAAAGAGAGCAGACTCTCAATCAACTTCTGACAGAGATGGATGGTTTTGAAGGCAACACTGGCATCATCGTAATTGCTGCTACAAACAGGGCAGACATTCTAGATTCGGCCTTACTGAGGCCTGGGAGATTCGATAGACAGGTCATTTTCCATCTATTATCTCATTGGCCCAGAGACATTATTATGTCTTTTCCCCAAGGTTATAATGTCTGCGAATGCCGTGCAGGTAACCGTTGATGTCCCTGATGTCCGTGGACGAACAGAAATATTGAAAGTGCACGCCACCAACAAAAAGTTTGATGGCGATATTTCTCTTGAGGTCATAGCCATGAGAACCCCTGGGTTCAGTGGTGCAGACCTCGCGAATCTCTTAAATGAGGCAGCTATATTGGCAGGTCGGCGTGGGAAGACTGCGATTTCATCGAAGGAAGTTGATGATTCCATTGACAGGATTGTAGCTGGAATGGAAGGAACAGTTATGACCGATGGGAGAAGCAAGAGCCTCGTGGCATACCATGAAGTTGGCCATGCAATCTGTGGGTATGGTATCTTCCATCCAACTCCATTATCCTTCATATTAAACGAAGTTTTGCTTCCAGCAACCTCGTCAAAGGAAATTGCATCCTTCCCACCGGATTATTTATTTTCGGATGATACCCATGTGCGAAATAGTATTCCATTCATGGTATGGTACTTCTTTGCTCAAAATACTGTGTTACATGATCATATAAATGATCTCATCCTCCTGATAATTAAGGCATACAATGCTCATCATCCTGGTTTTTAAATGGTGGTTCACATTTGAGTAGTGTCTCATTCCCTCAACGCATAAACATGGCCAATATTTTGTCATATTATCATCGACTGGTATCTTCTTTTTCACATACTGTAAACACGGGTATTACTTAATACGAGTTGTTTGCAGACTGCTTGTGTCCAGACTTAGATTATGAGGACAGATTTGTGTTGTTTGGCTCATTTCAGCCTGAGCAACTTACCGATCACAGCAGAATATGAAAATGAAGATAGTTATTTCCTGTTTGTGGCAGCACCTTGACCCCAGGACATGATGCTGTCCAGAAGGTCACCCTTGTCCCACGTGGCCAGGCGCGAGGGCTGACTTGGTTCATCCCTGCCGATGATCCGACCCTAATCTCGAAGCAACAACTATTTGCGAGAATCGTCGGCGGCCTTGGCGGTAGGGCTGCTGAGGAGATCATCTTTGGGGAAGCCGAAGTGACCACTGGTGCAGCTGGTGACTTACAACAGATAACTGGCTTAGCGAAGCAGGTAATTTCATTCAAGTTCATAATTGAGTCCCTTTCTTCTTGCAACATCTCTGTCCCATGATCATCGGCATGGTGCTTCTCTCTCTCTCTCTCTCTCTATCTCGCTCTCTTTCTCCAGTAGGAAGATACAAAGGGCCTGGCCGGCCCTGGGTTTCATCTGGGTCTGGACAGGAACTTCTCTTCTCAGCTGTTTTCCGGGTCTTCAATCGAACTGTTTCTTCTTATTATGATTCAGAAGATTAGCTCGAATATAAATTCAAATAAATAGCTGCTAGAAGATTAGTTTTTCTTCAAATGCCTCTGAAATTCTCCGTGAGATTCTCTCTCTTCTTTTCTTGACCTGTTGATGAAGCCTCTTTCTCCTGCCGGCTCCAGATGGTGACCACATTCGGAATGTCGGAGATCGGCCCATGGTCCCTGATGGATGCTTCAGCTCAGAGTGCCGACGTCATCATGAGGATGATGGCCCGGAATTCCATGTCGGAGAAATTGGCCGAGGACATCGACACCGCCGTGAAGCGGATCTCAGACAGCGCGTACGAGATCGCGCTGAGCCACATCAGAAACAACCGCGAAGCCATCGATAAGATCGTGGAGGTCCTCATCGAGAAGGAGACCCTGACCGGCGACGAGTTCCGAGCGATCCTCTCGGAGTTTGTGGAGATCCCCGCCGAGAACCGGGTCCCTCCGGCGAAATCAGCCGTTCCTGCGTAAAAGCTGTATACTGATACCGAGCTTACTCCTGGTCACTGTGACTTACTGGCGGCGTCGCTGTTGCATAGCTGGTACGATCTTTTGGCCTGCTCTGTAGTTGTTAATCCTCGTCCTTGTTTTCTGTAAGAACTGCAGCTGTTCATATCCACTTCGTTCAGAATCATTGCTCAATTAATTACGAGCTCGGTCATCTTCATGCTAGGCTTTGACTGAGACCTCCTGTGCTGCCTGAGCCAAGACAGACAGACCCTCTTCATAATTTTATTATATTGAAGGGAGAGAAAGAGAGAGAGGGAAAGAGATGTGCACCAAAATTGTCGAATAACGTCTCTCTCTCTCTCTCTTCGTTCTTATCCAATGACTCCTCGACAACTGTGCTATGTGGTTGTTAATGAGCCAGGCTGGCGTCGGCTGTCTCCTGAGGGAGGGGACGTGTCCGGAAGCCGCATTGACGTAAGCCTTCCTCGCAGGAACGAAAGAGATACTGACCCACTGTGGGGTTTCTTTCAGGATCGTACGCTTTCTCTCTCCTCACTCCCTACACCATGAAAGACCTTTGTATAAAAGCTGCAGTGCCGGACAGCTCACGGGCTACAAAACCCAGCGCGGCACAAGCCTGACCACTTCAATCAACGTTCACCAATCTCCGCCACGAGGCGGTGGCCTTGCGGTTCTCTCTCTCTCTCTCTCTGGCTCTTCATAGACCCTATAAAAGACAAGAAGCTCTGTGCGTTAATCTTTCCTTCGTTCGTGAGGGAGATGATGAGTGCTACTGAGTTATTGAAAGTGATCCCGCCTACATTTCGATCCTCACAGTCAGTTAATCGATTCAATGCGGCCAGTTTTTATGGAAACAGGGTGACGGGAGATGGTTTAGGCTGTACATGTGACGGCTGTGCACCACCATCCCCCCCACCCCGCCCCAACCTCTTGTACAGGAAGGAAGTGTCATGCTTGCCTGCACGTGTGCCCAAGCTACGCGCATGCGAGACGAGTCTGTGTCGGAAGTCAACGCCTCGGAGGAGTAAGGATGGTCGTTGTCGCGATGTCAACCTGTCAGAGGTCGCCACCCGCGCGAGAGAGAGAGTCCCAGAGGATGGTACAGCGCCGCCGGGCGAAGCCAACCCTCTGGCCCCCGAGGTCGTAGATAACCTCGAACCCCTGTTGCTGAAAGTTGCCGAGGGTCCCCGCAGGCCCGTCTGATTCCGCCGCCTCGCCGCCGTAGCCGCTGCTCATCAGCATCAAGCAACCCACTTTCGTTCCCCTGAAGTCGAACCTCAGGTAGTAGTTCCTCCGCGGCAGCGCCACGGTGGCATTGCCGGAGAAATGGAGGACGACGGAGGGAACCCCCCGCCGGCCACCGTGCTCGTAGAAGCAGGGGCCCAGGCCGGTCTCCGTCTCGGCTCCCGCTGCCCGCTTGCGGCCGCCGCCACTGACCATCCGGCGGTTGAACTCTTCTTCTATCTGGGAGTGCAAGCCCGCCGGTAACATCGTGAAGGTCGTTCCCGAGTCCACCACCACGCCGCCGTTCCCCCCCCGGTCAACTCTTCTCAAGTCAGGCGGCGCCGCCATCCTCCTCCGGCCGACGGACACGGCCTCGAGACCCACCGTGTAGAAGTAGGGGTGCTTCGGGTTGTAGAGCATCGGAGTGTAGACGAACGGCTTCTCCGTTCCGGGGGAGCTCCCGCTCCGCCCGAGGATTAGCGTGCTGGGGCGATGGAGCTTCTGCTTCTCGAAGGAATGGGAGGCGAGGCAGTAGGAGAACTGCCTCCCCAGGTGCGGCGATAGTCGCGACAGCTGCGCCGGGAGGGAGAGGACCCCTCTTCCGAAGCCCGCCACGCCCACCGGCTCGGCGAGCGCCGTGGTGGCGCAGCCGAAGGTGAAGTTTCCAAGATGGAGAGGGCTCGTCGCACCGGCGGGGATGGCGAGGTGGTCCTGGCGGAGGTGGGCGATCAGGCTGCCGTCTCCGTAGGCGTAGTAGAAAGCGGGGCAGGGGAAAGCGGAGCAGGTGGACGTTTCGATCGTCTCCAGGGGGCAACCGGCGATGGCGCAGAGGTCGGAGGAAGGGAGGGAGGAATGGGCGGCGGAGCAAGAGAGGGAGTGACACGGGACGCGGGAGGCGGTAGGGAGCTTCATGGAGCCGGGCAGAGGAGGGTATCCCGGCTTGCCCTCGCAGAGGATGCACTCGAACGGGGCGCAGGGAAACCAGACGAGGTCGCTCCCGGTGTCCATGTAGAGCTCGACGGTGCGGGCGCTGCGGAGGCCAATGGAGAAGGAGAGCGTGTAGTCACTTCCGGGGAAGAGGGGGAGAGACACCTCCCGGTGGCGCCGCCCGTGGCCATGGCTCCGGTGGTGGCGGTGGCGGGCGGCGGACCGGAGGGAGGCCGCCCTGAGAAGGTGGAGGCGGTGATTGGGATGGGTGGTATTCTTGGAGCTACGCAGGACGTGGGAGAGCGGCAGGAGGAGCGGCGGCGGCTCCGCCGAGGAGAGGAGGCAGGTGAGGAGCAGCAGGGGGATCACACACAGACGGCGCAGTGGCGCCATGGAGACCATTAGAGTTGCGAAAACAGGAGCTTCGAGAGAGGTGTCCGAGCCAGTGAGAGTGGTGGCAGCAGCGAGTGCTGCTTCAAAGTTTCAAATAGAAAGAAGAGAGAGGGAGATGCCGCTGCGGCCCAATACCATGAGCTCTGGGCAGGCCCTCCTACCGACCAGCTAGCTGCTTTGAGGGCGACGTTAAAGTCGCAGAACCCAGAAAATAACTCGAAACGCGTAATTTCGAACAATATCCGCATAAAGAAGCCGCCTTTCCAGCAGCGGCATGGGTGACTCGCCTCGCATCAATCATCCGATCTCTGTCACGTTGGGTGGACCATCGAAGCACATCGACGTCCGTCATGGCTGGCGACCCCCGGCGGGCGGCGCCGCTACGCCCCCGGCACACATCGCCGGCCGCTACACCCCGCAACCGGTGGCGCGGTGTGGCGTGTTCACAGCCAGCCAGCTGGTGCCGATCGTCTTATTCACTGCCAAGTTTAATCGCATCAGACTCTCCACCAATCGTATCCTTTAGGTTTGTGTGGGAAAAGGGTCCAGACAGCTGTCGTTCGATGCGCGGACCAATCACAGGGATTCTCTCGCACACAAGCTGCCGTCCAGCTCACTTAATATCTCCGTGTAAACGGGACTGCACCCTTCTATCTAGAGACTTGGGGAACTGTGCACCCAACCGATGGGGACGATCATCGCACCTCGGGAGGTGATCTTTAATCTGACCCATATAAAATACCCTTCAATGGTTGATTTTTTTGACTCCCCAGTAGATACCTGACGATGAGAACTTGCTGAAATAGCTTCCCAAGAGGAGTATCCTCGGCTAATACGACTGGCTTGTGACGTCCACAGATGCCCGGAGTCGCTCATAGCTGTAAGCATGCAGAGGAACAGAGAGCATAATCTCTCTTTTATAGAATTGCTTGGGGCTAGCTGCCTACGGGCCAGTAAGAAGAGAGCAGGCTGCCGTCCACACTAGCTCGTCCACGGCGGCTCGGCTGGCTACTGCCCCTTCAGGCGGAAAACAAAGGGGAGACGGCTCCGTGCCACACGGCTACTAGGATGCGTTGATCTCGGGGAGTATCTGGGCTGATAGATAAGCCAACATCAATCAGAGAAGACCTACCGGGGAGAAGATAATTACATGAGGTTGACATCCAGGTGGCACCTTCCCATTGTAGAGAGATAGATTCAGCAGCTGTCCGGTGGATTCTTCATTTTAATGTCGCCACATTTCCTCATAATTTACCACGATGAAAACACAAAAGTGGCAGTTTAATTCAAAGACGCATGCTTATTCACGGGACTAAAAGAAAGACATCCATATAGATATGAATCCCATTAGTAAACTCTTCCCCATAAAAACAGCATTAACTCTTAGCAATGGTTGTTCCATGCATCTCTGTTGACATCAACACGTTGAGGCTAAGAACAGGATACCTGAACCACAAAATATCTAATGCTGGTGAACCCAATGGGTAACTCACAAATGGAGCTAAAATGTGTATGTGTCACCGATGTGTGTAAGCCAATGCAAATGGTACATATCAGACAGAGCTCCTCATCTGACTAAAGCATAAGGGCAGACACCAGTATGAGGAGAGGGTAAATCTGCCAGCCAAGCAAAGCGATGCAACCTGGAGGTCAGATTACTGTTTTAACGTGAGAACCAGCAGGACTACCTCTGTTGATGGAGTGTGGGACCAAAATCAGCGAAAACATATTAAATGCGGCAGACACTTTGATGGCCCTACCTCAGTACTATGGCCGCATTGCTAAGGCTTTATCCTCTCCAAAAACTCTTCTACCTCAATGAATCCAGGAAGAGGTCCCAAGGACGTATACTTAATCCACCTCCAACTGTTAAAGTCCTTTTCTGAGTACCATGATGGACGATTCGTAAAGCAAGTGTAACATATTTGAACTTTTTCAATTACCCACCGGTTGTTGTAATATTTTCAGATAATAATCAAGAAGATTTGTTGGAAAAAAAAGGTCAGGAACAGGAGTACTTTAAGTACCCTAAAAGTGTGAAGCAGTTAGAAATTTTCAAGTGAGCCATACCTGGGAATGAATGGTAGCGCCAGACAATGGAGATGGAGATGGTCAACACTATTGAATGGGGGGGTATGGAAACCAAATCTGCAGGATTAAAATATCTTACTTCTGAATTTCGCTCGTACAGCAGGCACTCTTTTGCATGCTAATGTGGAGAGTGTATTAACATCTCGACCAATGATTAAAACAGCGTATCAGCTCTTTGATCAAAATGCTATCTGCACTGCCTAAGGTTCCAGCACGTTCAACATTAAGATATCTAACAGAGCATTGAAAGAATAAGATGAACGTAAAATGTTCAAACACTTTAGCAAATGAGATTTCTCGAGTAAAATATTTCTGACAATCTGGTGTCCACAAACAAACAAAAGCTTATAAATTTTCATGGAGAACAACTAGATATGAAGATTTCTTCGGATGCTTACTTAATTTTTATTTTTTATTTTTTTTGGAAGAATGAATCTCCCATTGTCTCCGGAGAAAGAGAGATAGCAGACAGGGCATATAGTTAAATAGTTGTGAGACCTACCGTGGGAAGATTCATAATATCAAAGAAAGCAATGCAGTCAGTGATGTGACGTCCTAGAATCCCATAGAATAAGTTAAAATGATTAACCCACCAAGATTAGATTCAATTTCAAATTGACGTACCTATGGAGCGTGGACTGAGGTGCATCTTGGGAGAGAAGGTTTTGTCCCACTTTCAGCATGTGTTTTACTGTGAACAGGAAAAATGTAACCAATATCATGGATGGATTATAGAGAAAGTGGCTAAAATTTCAAAAATATTAGACGCCTATGTTGCATATAATCCATGATACATACCGGACCGAAACAAACCAGAGAAATAGTTCAAACTGAATCTGATTAGGGATCAATTTTATGGTATCACTCCAAAATTGAAGGCTAAAAAAGAGCCAACAAATGACGATCGATTAAGATTGCGATGTGAAAATCAGGTAAGATTCATAATTCATCACCTAGATCAATTGATCTGGTACATGAGCCAGCGTAAACTGATATGATATACCATCTGGATAGAAAGAAAGCATGTGGAAACTAAAAAATAGCCTCTGCTTGTGAGATATATACCTAACTCATAATCTTCAGTTGTTCTTCGGAGATCATTGACAGTCGCAATGTGATTTATAGGAACAGACAGATAATGCCTATCAATTTTTCAAATACCAAATAAAAGTGTTACAAAGATCGTCACTGCTGAAAACGAGCCAAATAGATGTAACTGCTGATTTTCATTGGTCAATCAAACACAATTTTAAATTGCGTGACAGGAGACGGAAAAAGTTGACTTACTTTGAATAGATGGAAAGAATATTAGTATCAGAAAGGTAGTAACAAAATTAAGCAGATTGTAAAGTGAAAAGAAAGAAAAAAGAAGTTCAGGAATGCTCTGTTTCAGATCGTTCTAGGCTTTTCTACATTTTCACAATTGAGCATAACTAAAACCAAATAATTTAAGAAAAAAATTAAATAAAGGATCTCGAGGAGTCTTAATTATAACATTGCATGAATCTTGGCAAATAAGTTCTCGTTGATAATAGTTGTTAGATCTTCAAAGAAGGAAATGAGAAAGTAATGCAAAAGATGCATCTTTATCTGACAGTTGGCAGATCCCTTCAATTTTAACCTTTTTCCGTGAGGAACGCAACTGTGAAGTTTATCAAAATGAACACAGATGATGGTATCTGATTGTGTGCAAGTTTTCTCCAAGATCCAGACAGTAAAAAGAGACAATACACAAGATGAAACATCAAACCCGACAATAAAATATGCATTTATTGGATCCTGTCTGAAAATAACTCACATGTCTCACTACCTCAAATGTATCAAACGATGTGTTCAAGTTTGCATAAAAACCGTTGGCATTGACATATGACTCCTTGCATGATTTGCACTGCCACAGAGAGGCAGCCATTGGACCTCACTAGAAGGAGAGTCTAAGATAGTCAAAGTAATAGGGAAAGCATTCCCATTATCCCGAATTTGGCCATCCCTTGGGGCCTATCAAAATGAACATCGTAATCTCTCTAAAGATACAGGATATTTCCTATAATATTAGCTGTTCGCATCAGTAGTTTGGCGGCAGTTCGTTTATGCATTTAAACCATCGTTTATGTACACCATCTGTGTAGCGAATTTGTTTTTGGTAGTTGTTCAAATGATTTTGGGGTCATGAAATCGTCCTGCGGCTGTTTGACGCGTTCACCTTCGCTTTTTCTGTCACGTAGAAAAGACAATCCCTCGAGATAACCAACTTTCCCATCACAAATACGACCCTAGAGGATCGTTTGCTCCCTCTACCCATCAGAGATCTTCTTCCGTTGTCTCAATTACTTCTTCCTTGGCTTCTGACAGAATAGACGTATTCTCGCCTTTGACCTTAACTACTGATGAGGAAATTTCCCTCATCGTTTCTCAACTTTATTTTTCCAAAAACATCACACTGTCATCAAATTCATTAGATCGGACAATCTTTCGTCGATCATCAATTCCAGGTGACGATCACGGAGGCATGCCAAATGAAATCGCGAGAGAAGACTCGAAAGAGCAAGAGCATAGCTCAAAAAAATAGAGGATGCAACTACGAAGAGAGCTTCACCTGAAGGCCGAGGGGTTGATATCTTGAAACACGACGATCCTGTCATCCTGGAACTTCCAAAAACAGTGGAATTATTTGTAAAAATGATTCGACTCCGAAGCATCACAGTTGATAAGAAAAAGAATTATTGACGGGAAGATCTGCTCTGACTCTATAGAGAAGGGTAGTCGAAGTGGACGACTGAGCGATCTGACAGAACACGCACGGTCTCACGTCCGCTCCCGCCATCCTCTCCCCCAACGATTTACCCTCCCTCTCTCTCTCTCTCTCTCTCTCTCTCTCTCTCTCTCTCCCTCCCTCTCTCTCTAAATCTCAAAAAAACCGGGCGTTTGCTAATGGTTGGCTTCATCTTTTCAAGCGGCGTCCCATCGGATTTAGACCGATTCACTTCTCTGCTGTTCGTTAGATCTTGATCGGACGGTGAACTCTTAGGGGGCAGAGACTCATCTTCCTGGTTTTCTGCAGGATTTTGCTGCCGGTAGGGTTCTCTCCGCCACTGTATGACAATTTCGCTGCTGCTCGGGGCCTTGACTAGATCCACTTCCGTCGCCAGCGTCCTTCCAAATTTCCCGCCACAACGGGCCCCATTCGCCTCTTTTATCAGTACCATCCCTTCCCTGCTAGGAGCTTCGAGGAAAATGTCAGCGGCGGCGCCGCAGGTGGCGTTTCAGTTGAGGACGAATCCACTTACCGGCGACTCGGAGTGGATTGTCATCGAAGCAGCAGACGAGCACGACGAGAATGGGATATTCGGTCCAGGGAAGTCTCTCTTGGCGACCACATCCTACTTGGACATGCTGAACGATTCCCGCAGGAACACAGCTTTTCACCGGGCTATCCAGAAGACGATCACGCGGCCATGCCACGTCCTTGACATAGGGTGCGCTTATTCTCCGCACCCCAGTCTCATCCATGACGAACTAGCTTTCGTCTTCTTCTTCTTCGATGCCACTGGAAGCTGCATTATGAGTCGTTCTTCTTCATTCCTTCGTTTTCTGATGTCTAGCGCGGGAACAGGGTTGCTGTCAATGATGGCAGCTAAGGCAATGGAAGAGTGCAATGGTGGCCAAGGTAGCAATGAGGGGATGGTCTCGGCTTGCGAGTCCTACCTCCCCATGGGCAAATTGATGCGGAGGGTGTTGCAGGCGAATCTCATGAAGACAAAGATAACTGTTCACCACAAGCGCTCTGACGAACTTCGAATCGGCATGGACCTTCCTTGCCGTGCAGATGTCATGGTAATTTAGCTTGCTACCTCATAAAGAAATCCTCTATAAGATTCTTTGAAGTATCTCATCGATAGCTGATTCTCTCTATTTTTCCGTTATTATCTGAAGTTCATTCAGAGATAACTTTTCCTCCGTCAGTTGCACCTGATTCATTGCCAAACGACCGTTATGCTTTAATTCAGAGTCTTTTAAGAATAGAGTTCCTCTCCCTCTCCAAATCACCCAGTCCCATCGTCGAATTTCGTCTATAAACCATTATTCCTCTCTCTCTCTCTCTCTCTCCCTTCCTCCCGTAGAACTGTTTTTTATCACTTCCCCTTGGATCCGTTCAAGCTCGAGTACCATTTCAGGTGAGTGAGGTGCTTGATTCAGAATTACTGGGTGAAGGATTAATACCTACATTACAACATGCACATGACATGCTGTTGGTAGAACATCCGAAGACAGTGCCATATCGAGCCACAACCTATGGACAGGTATTCTTTAGTATTTTGTTTTGTATGGGCAACAGCAAGCCTGAAACGTTCTTTTTTTGAAGTTTACGGTACCATCTATTAACGAGCTCTCATTTCATAATGAATGCAAAGACAAGCTTTTTATATCCTATTTAAGGACGGTTTTCTCCGTCATTATGAATGAAGACTTCAGTGCCAGAGAAATTTTCTTAAAGGGATGAGAAATTTGGTTGATGCATAATATTTTGTTGTTGATAATATGCTTTCAATATTTCAAACTACAAACTACAGTGAAGACGAACTCTGATATCTGTAAGATCTGCTTGCTCATAATTTGCATCCCATGTCCCAGCTCGTTGATAGCACATTCTTGCAGAAGCTTCATGATTTACACAGCAGTGAAACCAGTGCATCAGATGGTGTGCACCTTGCACCTCGTGGGCTGGAAAATATTGTTAGTGTGAGACCTAAGCAGTATGCCATGCACTGTGATGCAATATCCAAAGAGATAATACTGGTATGATAGCAGAGCTTTTAAAGTGCTTGAAGAAAACCGATTATTTGCCTGTCTAAAATGTTTTCTTCAGTTGTCAGAACCCTTCAAAATTTTTGCATTCGACTTTTGGCGAAGACCAGAGAGCCATAGAGAAATTAATCTTTGTGTAAAGGCTACTGATGCTGGCATCGTTCATGCCGTGATTTCGTGGTAAGATGTGTTGGTGCCATTCTAAAGACTACTGAAGCCACGTGACAATTTGAACACTGTTTTCGTAGCTATTCCTTAATTTTTTGGCATGTTTTTTTTCAGGTGGGTGCTTCAACTTGATGACGAGGGAACTATTTTTTACTCAACAGCACCAAATTGGGTGAACTCCTCCAACATTTCAAAAGAAGAGAAACCGATCACTGGTGAAATTAAGACGCTCATTCTTAATATAAAGTAGACAGTGTGTTTTTCCATGATATGCTTGGAAATCTGGGTTGGGTAATCAGCATGTCACTGAGAGATTTTTAATGTTTAAACTCTTTTGTACAAGTCATCAATTCTTTTCGTAGCTTCAGAAAGGAATATTCGACCAGCATGAATGGAATTATCTGGCCAGTGCCATGGTCTTATATATTTAATTTTCTTTTGTTGCTCTTTTTTCAGGAACTATTTGTTACAGTATTTATTTGTCCCAGTTCACACTGGTTTGAGAATTCATTTAGCATAAGAGTGATGTCCTCATGTTTCAATAGAATAGAAGAGAACCATACAGTTGACGATGCCAATCCGAATAGCTGTTACATCTTCTTGTGCGTCTATCCATTGTTAGCTGTGCAAATTAGTTTGAATGGTACAGTGTACATTAGATGAAAAATTTGTTTTATTCTTTTTGCAGGTAATAAAGTTTGGTGTGATCACTGGAAGCAGTGCATTTGGTTCGCTCATGGAACAGGAATTCCCGTATCCAATAATGAGCTGATAACTTTTCAAGCGGCACACGATGAAACTAGCATTTCATACAGCTTTGGAAAGGAAAACCAAGCCGCAGAGTTCAGCAAGTGTGATTTTAGAACAGTTGATAGACAGCTTATATTGTGCCCTGAAAGGATTGGAATTTATGGAGACAAAGATTGGCGATCGTCCTTTTTAACAGCTTTACGAAATGTGGTAAGATGCTTTAATGTACTATTCTTAAATGCATAAAATTCATTGTTTCAACGTGTTATTTTGTTTGCTTCAATTACTATGAGCTTAAGATTGTCCTAGCACTTTTTTTAAGGAAATTTCTCTCCGCAGTATTGCATGGCAATAATCACAAAGCATCAGTAACAATTAAAGATCTTGCACACCACTCAAGCTAGTTATGTTTTTAGCTTTATAATTAACATTAGTTGCATAATGAACATATGCATGCAGTGGAGTGTACAAATTATATTTTTTCGACAGTAACTTGTATTCGTGCTTGATAAATGTAACATGGTAAGAACGAATCAATTGTTCTTTGGCGATCAATGCAAATAGGATAGTTTCGAGTAGACTTACAAATCGCTGTAGCTTTGTTACTTATGAGAAAGTAATCAAAACAGGATAACTGTTGCTTCAGCATGTACAGGAATGATCACCTGAGATAACATAATAGTGTGTCAGATGCCCTGTCCCAATCTGTTTGGATCAATGGGCGACGAACCGATCTCTCCTAAGTTTATGACTGTGAACTGCAAATCTGTGTAGAAAGCAAATGATGTCCGTTGGAATCCATTTTTCATTGCATGACATAAATGGATCCTGTCTTTGACAAATCGGGTGCTAACCTATATGTCCTTTCTGAGGTAAGTGGTATGGCTGAAAAATGAGGGTTTGAGTTGGACAAATATTTGAGATTTTTCAACCCTATGGTTGCATATGGTGTATGAGTTGCATGGGCCATAGGCACTTTGATATGAGTCAAATTGTGTCAGCTTAAACTTCTACTCAAATCAAACCAACTGCATATGACGTGTACCTTGTCATTCAAAACTTCTATAACTTGTAACCGAGCCTATCCAAAGTAATGCAAGTTTTTACTAGTTAGATCAAGTTTCATTAAGCCGTTCTTAGGACCACCTGGGAATGCGTATTAATCTGCTTTAAATGCATCCAATGGATTCAACTCAATTACGATTCCAAGCCAATCACCATCCGAACATTCCAGCCTTCATCGACCAAATTCTGGTCCACCTTTTAACGTTCTTGTTGGAATGAGTCCTGGGTATGACCTCCGTGTTAAATTCTAACAATCCAATAGCTGTCAGCTGCTTCGCAGATGGGGTTAGTTGGTGATTTGGATCACGCAATATGTTCTCACATTATCATAATTTATTAACATCAATGTAGAGGTGCAGATGCCACATGGAATTTTCTTAAACATGGGATTGTACCTGATATTAATTCTTGTACGGGCATATCCGATTGGTTGCTTAGAATATCTCAAGGTTTTGCTGCAGAACGTTAGACTTGCTACCCTGCTGTTGGGATATGTACAGTTTGTGTGCATCTTGAGAACAGCTCGATAAAAGAAAGCGATCAATTTGTACAGCTTCCTTGTTGTGTATTTGCTCTGTAATTCATAACATAGTCTTGTTTGATGACTTGCAGCTTCAAAACAAATCTTGCCCTGTGTGTGTGATTGCCGATGACAGTATTTTCTTGACCATCTCAGCCGCCTGTCTTTCAGAAGAGTCGCACATTGTCTCAATGCTACCAGGGCTGAGAGATCTGGGCTCTTCGTATTTGAAAGCTATTTCTGATTTTCATGGTATCCCAGAGGATCAAATAAGAGTGATTGGGAAGAAGGCAGCATGCTTGACTCTGGATAATCTTAGCGGTAAAAAGGTAAAGATCTCTACCTATTATATCTATTCCTTCCCAATCCATGGCAGTACATCACATTTTTTTTCTCTGTGGCAGCTTCCTTAAATGAGTTTAGGGTCAACTATCATGCTATGATTGACTGGTCAAACCAATATTCCTGTTCCCTGTTCTTAGGGAACGACCAAAGAGAGAAGGGGGGGAGGGAGTTCGAATGGACTCTCTCTCTCTCTCTCTCTCTCTCTCTATTAAAAGAGGAGGGACGTGAAGGAAGACAAGACAAGGGAGTTGTGAGAGGTGGTGGGGGGGAAAAAAGAGAGTAGAGTTCCCACTACCATTTCTGGTCTCTCTCTCTCTCTCTCTCCCTTTCTTTCTTAAGAGAAAAGAGAGCAGAGTGATGTTGTAAGTCTTGAAGGGATCCCTCTATTTGTTTGGTGGGTGAGTCTCGTTATTTATCTTGAGCACACCACCTGGAAAACAAAGAATTGTTCGGCCTGGTGTCGAAGAAAGAGATCGAGTCATCTTGCAAGGATCTCTATCCATTTGCTCTTCCATTTAAAGAAATACCCCCATCAGCAAACGAATAGCGAAATGTGTTACCCACTAAGTGTGGATGTGCCCAAAGAATCAAGACAAAAGTACGGAGATGACAACATTGAATATAAGTGAAAAAGGAAAACGCGAAGAAGTGACGCACCAGGATTTTTTTGGTTTGGAGAAATCCTCCTATATCTATGAAGAGAGCTAGAGAGACCCTTTTGTTTTCACAGCATTGTCATGCATTATTTTTCTAGTTATATCATTTACAAGAATAATTACTGAGAGTTTAGATTAAGTAGTCAGCTTTCTAGACTTACCTTTGTGACCCAGTCATCTCGTGATCCTGCATGCTCCATATGTTCTGGGATGTCTCGATCTTGTCAAACACCAGATAAGCTATTATTGTTGATATGATAATTACAACATCACAAGTAAGCCAGGTCGAGGAGTTGAGATGAGACAATCGTGTTTCAAGTTAATAGATTACCATTCTCATGTACAAGGACTTCTACAGATCTTTGTTCCAAAGGAAGATTTAGTTTCCAGGATTTTTTGAGTTTGTTCATAGCACCTGCTGTGATGAGGAGCATCTGTTCTCGCGGCTCTCTTTGAGATGCCATAGATGGCATGCCTCTCTGACCAAAAGAGTCTGCCATTCTGTCAACACCTTATTGGTAAGTTAGAATGAGTAAGGGTGCAACTTTCATCTATCAAGCTACTGGTTACCCCCCTTCCCCGTTCCAGTAAAGGAGGGATATTATTAGGTGAAAGATATCAAATGGATCAAATCGGTGGAGACGATGACACCGTTGGAATTTAGATAAGGGTTTCCCTTTTAACATCTGAGCCTACGGTTTATGCAACCGAGAAAACTAATGGTCAGAGCTGCTAAATTACAGTATGAAAGACATTTCATAACCAAGTTTTGAGTCCATTACTTTCATTTCTTGACCTGATCTGATCTGTCACCGATTCATACTTTATCCTTCTGTTTTTCGCCAGCTGAGAAGAATGTCATCTGATCTTATCTCCTTTGTCACATCTCCCTATTTAACTTGAAAGGCTATTTTTTTAAGGAAATAGATCCCTAATTACCCGAAAGGTGAGGAACATCTGAGTATTGAGTTTAGGTGTTCTTAAAAACTTTGTAGGCCCTGAGCGACTGAGCCTTTCTTTACTCTTTTAGGTTGATCTCCTGGTGGCAGAGCCGTTTTATTGCGGAAGTGAAGGGATGCTTCCTTGGCAAAACATGAGATTCTGGTGAGTAAAACATTTGATATCTTTTCAACATTCTCAATGACAATTTCACCATGTGAAATTGCAAAGTAAATTGTCAATAACTTATGGACTCTTGCTTTTGAGGCTTACAATAGATGTCTTTGTGGTGTGTCATTATACATACGAAAATTTAAGATCGTCTTCTCTGATTTAATTTTTTATCTGAAATGAGGCCCCGTGTTTACTTTCTTATCTGCCTTCACTGCAAAAATATCTACATCTTTCAACTTCACTCGCTATATGATGTGACCTCGCTTTCTGATAACCCACTTTTGGTGGTTAGATAGACTGGGAGCTGTAATACATTTTTTTGAGCTTTGTGTCTGATGTGTATGATTTCCTGCCGGGGATGTGAGCCAGCCACGTTTCTTCATCTCTTATAATAGCTTATCTGAAAATGAAATTTCCTAATGCCTTCAGTTATTCAACTCTTAATAAATTGCGACGTATTATGTAGCTTAATTTTCCGTATCTGTCTCAATATTTTGGCGATCCCTTCACTTGAATGTAATGCAGGAAGGAGAGGAGTTTGCTCGATTCTCTTTTATCAGACAATGCGCTCATAATGCCTTCCAAAGGAATCTTGAAGGCTTGTGCTATGTCTCTTCCGGTCAGTCTCTCTATTGCATACGTTGAATACATCCCTGTTGGTGGTAAATTTTTTTGTGTAGAATCAGTTTAAGGTACATCTTTCGTCCTAAAACACAACATTCGCCTATACAAACATCTAGACCGTCCGTTTTTATACTTTTTTAATCATGCATATGCTCGTTGCCTCTTTTTAAATTTCAAGATGTTCCTTACAGAACCTAGGAAACAGGGATGAGTTTTTGAGACAATCGTTGGTATGCTCAAGAGATTACACGAGATTTGTTACCTGAGACGCATTTGCTAGATTTTCATATTATACTGATTATGTTAAGGCTGATGTGCAGGATTTGTGGAATAGTCGTCGTTCCCTCAAAAAGGTAGAAGGCTTTGACCACCTAGTTGCTAATGATGCTTTAGGAGCATGTGGTGACCTGGGTCCTGGTGATGAAAGTCCTTGCCTCCCTTACTTTATTTGGCAGTGCGGTGAAACCAAGGTAAAATAAACACTTTTTAGGGTTTTCTGGTGAAGTATACCGCGTTGAGTGATTTTATTTCAACTCAAATATTAACCTTTTTTCATTTGATCTGTTTAGGAGCTCAGTGTGCCATCTCCGGTTATGGAGTTCAATTTCTTCGATAGCATTCATCCCAGTTCAGGGAAAATTGAGGTGGATATATCCTTCATTTTGAAGAGTTCAATGAATTCAGACCTTGCCTTTTCTCTGCCACGCATAGCATGTTATATTTTCATTTCCCTCTGTTTAATTGCTCAGATGGTTAATATTATCTCGAATCTGCCCAAAATGTCATAACGTCTAGATTTACCTTCAGAATTCCTTACCCTGGAATTAGTATGATTTTAAAAAGCCTTCAACGTTCTGTTTGCTGAATCAATATTCCAAATGTATGTGACTCTTCAACGGTTACTGGAAAAATGGATGAGTTTTGTATGCTGCTTTTCAGTAGCTTATACCAAACGTTCCGTTTGTGTACAGAAATGCATTTGGGAGAAGGGTTCTACCTGAGGACGTCGTTTTGTACTCTCTGAAAAGGTGTTTTGTGGTCCATCAACTGCAATTTTTCTGGGCACGAGATATAAAATTTTATGCACCCATTGTCCTATGCTGAACAAAAATCATAGAGACCTTGGCGTCTAGAAGACCCAACAGAACTAATGAAAGTAAATAAATAAATGAAATAATATTGTAAGCAAGAGAACTATTTAAATGAGGAAATGTTGAGACTAATGAATTTTCAGGTCCATGTACAGTAATATAGGCTGTAGGTAAGCCATGAGAATATTACTTTTTATGTAAAATTTCATCGATGCCATTGCAGATTAATTTGTAGTTTCTGATGGTCGCCGTTTTATGATGTATCTTGGTTCCTTTTGCGCTCTCTCATCAAAGTTCCAGGCTCTTCACAACTATCGTCACTGTATTCACACGGGCAAGAGCTGAATTTTCGTTAGATTCTGGTGATCCATTTATAATGCATTTTAATGCTCTTGCTGATCTGCGATCTGCGTTCCATATTCCTTTTCTGATTTGTCTTTGAGATGCAAATCTCGCCGATCGTGGCTTGTTTTCGATTTCATGGTGCAAATCTTCTTTCTTTCAGATAAAATTCACCAGACAGGGAGTATGCCACGGCTTTGCTCTTTGGATTGACTGGGTGTTGGACGAGGGAAACTCCATTGTCATATCCACTGGCCCAGGTTGATTCCCATTTATACCTGTAGCCCGAGGATTTCCAAGAACCTGTTCTCCGAATTTCACAACCCTAATGCCCTTTCTTACACACGGCCTTCAGGCGGCAGGCATTGGAAGCAAGGCGTGAAGCTCCTGAGCAAGCCATTTCCAGTCACACCACCTGGACCATGCGCCAACACCGATGAGTGCCATTCGGCCGCTATAGAGGCATCCTTTGACCCATCTAATGGAGAGCTCAACGTGAGATGTTCTCTCTCCGACGCGTGAGCGAGATCGAAACCAGCCCTCCTCAGTTCTGTAGCGAATCTTGTTGGAGTGGGCAGTCATGGTTTCAAAGTGGCAAGGCGACGCAGATGGCCCAACTGAGATTCGCAAGGCAAAGGGCCATCGTCTTCGTCACCTTCGTTGCCTCAATAGGACAGTCTTTCAATGAAATTGCCCTGTTGTGGAGATTGGTTGACGCGCTTTCCTTCCGTTGCCTTTGGCGAACTGCTGAACCTCAAGCCTGGCCATGGAACACACGTGCTTTCCCCTACAGACAACCCAAGGTTAGCACTGTTTTGTCATGCAACCCCATACACGGCGTCGACGGCGACATCCCCGTGCACGGCGGTGGGCGAGCCCTCTCAGCCACCCCACCCCCACCGTTTGTTTCTTTCACGAAACATACCAGAGGAAGTCTCTTGGAGCAGCTTCCTTCGGACCTTTCCCTCCCCTCACCTTTTCCCATTTTAGCCCAGGGAAGAAAGGAAGCGGCACCGGCGGAGAAGGCTGACTTGCTTCGTGGAGAAGCACCGGAGGCCGGCACGGCGGCAACAAAAGGCCGGCCACCGGCAATCCACCGTCGCTGGAGCTGGAGCTGCGGCGGCAAAGACGATGATGCTCCATCTGGTGGTCGCCGCTAAGATGAAGCTGCTGGCTGGCGTTGGCCACGGGCCGTGCGCCGGGCAGCTCCTTGTGGTGTTGCTAGGGCCCTTCGTGCTGAAGCTGTCCATGAGCAGGTATGCGCCTGGCGGCATGAGGGACCTCGTCCTCTCTTCCAGGCTCTTCCTCTTCCGGCTTGGCCGGATACTCTCCCGGGAGCAGCCCGGCGCGGGGAGGTGGGAGAGAGCGCTACGACTGGTCTCTGATAGATTGGACGAGGCCCGGCGGCTCGAGGAGTCGTCGCCTGACGAGCCTAGCCTCCATTTAGTAGCAATGCTGGCGCTCTAAGCTTCTCCATTGTCTCCGCTTCCGACGCCCACGTAGGACTTTTTTGTATATACTTCATTGAATGATCATTTATCCAGATGTTTAGTTAAAATAAACAATAATCGATCAAAAGTCAACCGTGTATCTTATCCCGCACGCCATCGCCCTCCAAATATCTGATCTGATATTTCAGCTAGATACCAGATATTTTGCTCCCTTTGTTCTTAGGTCCCTTCTGATATTTTGTATATATGTTGACTTCTTTGGGACATCATAATTTCCCATTCTTGTCCCCAATTTGCCACCGTATTTCCCACATTTACCCATCGTTGACTTCTTGTATTCAAAGTACCCAGCTAAACGCCTCATTTTCTGATAGCACTCCCTCATAAGATGGGCTGCCCATTCCTCGCAAACTGTGGGCTTCCCCCTTGATATGACCCATTTCTTCTGCCAAGTGGACTTCCCTGCTCTCCGTCAACTTCATCTCCTGGTTCGGACCCCCCTCGGTAGCGATCTCCCTCACCCTCGCGGTCCTCTGCGACGGCGCTGGGCCCGTTGACCGCGAATTGGCGGCCGCCCTCGTGGATTCTTCCATCCCTCTCTTATCCGCATTGGCAGAGCATATGCAATAGTGGAGCCACAGAAAGATGCCGCCTTTCTCCTTGGGTTCATTCATTCTTCCCCCCTTCGGGAGGCGTGGACAATGAGATGGCCGGCGTTCGTCGAAAGCCGAATCTCGATCTCATCGGATGACTCAACTCCGACTTATCTACTCCGAACCACCTTTCTCTTTGAAAAAATAAATAGCATCTTTTTTTTTCCTCTGTTTGTCGACAAAATTACACCGAAAATATCTGGTCCGATTGCCAAAGATATTAGTCAACACCCGGACCCACGCTTTTCAGTGGGACCCGTCCGTTCACTATAACCGGTTCTATGTAGTTATAATACGATTTTTTATATTTCTAATTAAGCTGTCACTTACAAAGTTCCCATCTTTTTTTTATATCCTAGTCTCCATATCAATATGACGCATGCCCATCACGCGTACACGTGACTGCGAATTGTAGCAGGTCAGCAACCTGGAGAAACCGGCCCAATGAAGCGTGGTGATGACTCCGGTCAACGTCAAGCTGGGTGCTTGCCAGGTTGGCTCTCTCTCCTCTCTCTCTCTCTCTCTCACACACATACACACATACAGTTTCCATCTGTCAGCGGTCGTCCAATAAACGGACGCGAGGTCGAAGGGGGAGCAATCACCGGCGCTAACATCCCGGGAAATGGGATAAATTTTAGCATTATATATGTCGAAATATATCATTTTCTTTTAATCAATCCACCTAAAAATTCAGTAAATAATCTCGATAAGTACGTCACCTGTGCGCGCGGCGACACCATCATGACGTCATCCGATTTTAACCCTGCCGTGGATTCGCGGTATATTCGGTCAGTTGACGTCTCCTCACGTGAATCGTGATGCCCCTTCGGCCCCCGACTTTATTTGATTGGATTATATTACTCCAAATAACGAAGAAAAATATTACTAAAAACATATAAAAAAAATAAATTAAGGGAGATAATTGCTTATTATCACATGGGTGGAGCCTCTATCAACATCGTCCTAGATCATTCATCATTTTTTTAGCACGTTTAATTCCCTGAGTTCCTCCTACATATGCAACAGCCGCCAAATATATTCGAACGCACTGGGCATCTCGATGTGAGAACTAGAATTTTGTCCTACCGACATTATTATCCGTAATAAATACGATTTTTTATTTTTTGTTGGGATCATCGTTGACTCAATTTTTTTTTATCAGCTCATCCATTTTCCCCAAACTTTGTAATAACCGGGCATTAAGCATGAAATGATAAGCTAATGTTTAGAATATCTCGATATTTTAGCAACCCATCCCATTCCGAGTGATTTTTTGCGAGCAATAAATATGAAGGTATATAGGAGGTGGGGGATCTGACTAGTCGTGGCGACCGAGCGGTGTATCTGACCGAGTATGACAACATGTTTGTCGCATTAGCACTGATTTCTGCGTATTTAACGCTCAATAAATGGGGAGAAAACTTGTCCTCGAGGAATCCCTCTCGTTGGAAGAAGTCGACATCAATATTCTCGTATTCACGCTAATTATGTATAAATTCGGAATTATCAACAATTTTATATTCCCAACATTATTCTTATTATGAAATAACGGGCATGCGCTAAGTCGACGTCGAAATTGTGGGACTACCAGATTAATTATATATCGATTCAGAATTATTATTATTATTTCAACATTTCCAAAATATAGGGTGCGGGAGTAGTTTTCAGTGCTTATTGGCACTCGACATTAGAATTTCATACGTCCATGCAGGCTGCCCTCGTCGGTGGGTAGGTTAGGGTGCTTCGCCGAGCCATCTTTCGGGCTCTTGGCCGGTGGTGGTCGTTGACCTGCAGATCGAGAAGAAGAACGCGCTGCTAACGACGCGCAAGCGAGCATTTTTATCCTCTTTCTCCCGGCCCTTCGGCGGGCACCCCCCGCCGGCTGGCTGTATATATGCGGGTGGCCGTATAATATCTTGAGCGCTGCTAGCGACCGGTACATTTCGCGGTGGGAAGACCGGACGGCGGCGACAGGTGTCTCCGCAGGATCGACCGGCGGCAGCGACGGAGCTTCTGGTGAAGGGGGGGAAGCTCCAGGGAGAGTGGGACAGAAGCTCGGCTCTGGAATCCAGCAGCTGTCTTCCGATCTTGGATTTTGTTAGGGGAGGGAGGGTTATTTCTATTGAGTCTCTCTCCCTCCGCTCGTGCCCCCCCGTTCGAGAATAGCAGAGGTGGGGAGGGGGGCGGGGGGTTGCTGGGGGTAGGTTTTGTTCGCGCGATCCCGGCGGAATGGCGGAGGGGATGGGGCTCCGGTTGCCGGCGGTGGCGGTGTTGGTGGCGGTGTTGGTGGTGCTGTTGGAGGTGACGGCCTCGGCGGCGGCGGCGGCGGGGGCGACGATGATGTTGGCTGGGGACAGGATGGCGATGGAGATGGGGAATGGGGAGGGGAGAAGAGGGATGAAGAGCAGGGACGCTTATGCGGCGATGATGTACATGGGCACCCCGAGGGACTACGAGTTCTACGTGGCGACGCGGGTGATGTTGAGGTCCATAGCCAGGCTGAAGGCCGATGCCGATCTCGTCGTCATTGCGTCTGTGGACGTCCCGATGCGTTGGCAGCGGGCGATGTAAGCTCCTTCTCTCTCTAACTTTCCCCTTTCCCCCAACCTCTCCCCCTTTGTTCGCCTCTGGGTGGTCTTCCCGATCCGCCCCCCCCCCCCCCCACCTGATCCTTCGCCTTCGGTAGGGTATCAATAAAACGGAACCACCTCGGCTGTCAATTTGTTTTCCTCCAGTTCATTTCTCAGATCAGTCGCGCGGTTGCTCTCTCGTATTTGCAGTGTTCCATCCGCATCCTGTCGGTATTTCGCTTTCAAAATCTCCTTGCCCGGCTCGTTATCCGTCGAAATCGTCAGATCAAAGGTGTTCTTGTCCGATTTCCTCCCTCTCCCGATTGCCTCGTCTGGTCTATGCGACTACCTGAAGAAATTGCCCTTCTAGTATAATTAATCAAAGGTGGATCTTCCCGTTCGTGTCCGAGGTCAAGGCTGATGGAAGATGGTCAAAGGACATCCGTCCGTTTTCAGAAATTTTCAAAATAACCTGGAGGAACGTTAGTTCTTCCCTCAGAGCTGTTCCCTTGCCTTCCACGTCTTTTCTTCTCCTCTCCGCCCTCACGAGCCCTTCCCTCTCCCAAGTGCGGACGAAAACCCCAAGATCCGCTTGTCTCGTTCCGTCCCTGCCGTCCCCCCGGACTCGAATTCCGGAAAGTTTGATCGAGGAGAAGAATCGCGTTGGATGGACATGGTGGTCTTCGTCAAACTCTGTAACTCTCCTCTGCACGTTGTTCATGTGCCTGAGCAGGAAAGAGGAGGATGGCATCAAGGTGGTTACAGTGAAGGACGTACAGAATCCATACGAGAGCCAGGCCAACTTCAACCGCAGATTCAAGTTGACGCTGAATAAGCTGTACGCCTGGAGCCTGGTGGAGTACGACCGAGTTGTGATGATCGACTCCGACAACATCTTCCTCCAGAGAACCGACGAGCTCTTCCAGTGCGGCCAGTTCTGCGCAGTCTTCATCAACCCCTGTATTTTCCACACCGGCCTCTTTGTCCTGCAGGTAAACTCCATTTTCTTCATCTGATGCCCGGTTTTTTGCGTCAAACCCGGGGTTAGACTTATGATCTTCCATGGTCTTTTAAAGCTTTTCTGGTTTTGAATTGCGTTCCCACATCTGGGACGTGCTGATGATTGCCGACTGTCTTTAGACATACTATGTTCTACCCCAAGAACTCTGTACTCTGCCATTCATCCGTCGTGTTGCTAGAGCCCCGGACGACTCTGCTTCCTGTTCTCGCACCTCGACGTTTCAGGCTTCTGAGAGATCGATAAAATTTTAGATCTGCTTTGATTTTTTATGAGCCTGGTGGGAATCACCTATGATTCTTCAGTTGAGACGACCTTGCTGTCGGCTCGACCGTACGTTGCCTTAGCTTATTGCCTTGCCAAGGACTAAACCGCAAGCTCAAAGGGAGCTGACTGGGATGATGCATCGACTGAGAACCACTTCCTCTGGTCTAGTTTAAGTTAGCTGTTGTGATCTAATTGCGTCGTCTCTTCTGCTGCAGCCCTCCATGGAAGTCTTCAACAACATGCTCCACGAACTGAAAATCGGCAGGAGGAACCCTGATGGCGCAGACCAAGGTTTCCTGGTGAGCTACTTTCCCGACCTGCTCGACCGGCCATTGTTCCATCCACCTGCAAATGGGTCCAAGCTGGAGGGTACCTACCGTCTCCCCTTGGGCTACCAGATGGACGCCTCCTACTACTGTAAGTCGAACGAAACCCCGCCGCAGCACTCATTTTAGCTCCCACTTCGGGCATCCCTGAAGCATCCTGGTATACTTCATCCTGACGCAGATTTGAAGCTTCGATGGAGTATTCCCTGCGGGCCCAACAGCGTCATCACCTTCCCCAGTGCGCCCTGGTTGAAGCCCTGGTACTGGTGGGCTTGGCCGGTCTTGCCGCTGGGGCTCTCCTGGCATCACCAGCGTCTGAACACCCTGGGGTAAGCGTCTCTGTCTACCGAGAAATCTCCCCACTCTGCGCTAGCGCGCCATCTCTGCAAGCTCTTGAACGCCGTACAATGCCTGCAGGTACGGCGCGGAGGTGCCGGTGCTGTTGATCCAGGCCCTGATGTACATAGCGATCATGACGGTGACTAGGCTGGCGCGGCCGAGCTCGTCGAAGCTTTGCTACAACCTGCGGACGGAGAAGAACTTCGCTTTCCTGCACTGGGTGCTGAGGATCGTCACCATCTGGTCCATCTTGGCCGCCTACGCCGCCCCGTTCTTCCTGGTCCCCCGCACGGTGCATCCGCTGCTGGGCTGGTCCCTCTACTTGCTCGGCTCCGCCGCGCTGGCCTCCGTCGTGTTCAACGCCTTGCTCCTCCCGCCGCTGGCTGTCCTCACGCCGTGGCTGGGCATTTCGGGGGCCCTGGCGGTGATGGCGTTCCCGTGGTACCCCGACGGCCTGGTGAGGGCGCTGGCCGTGTTCGGCTATGCCTTCTGCTGCGCCCCCTTCCTCTGGGCGTCGATGACGAAGATGATGGGCTCGCTGCACGCCCTGGTGGAGCGGGAGGCCTACTTCCCCAGACTAGGGGAGTCGCCACAGGCGCCACAGTTCAGCAAGCTCTATTGATCACTGTGGATGAGACGGATGGGTTGTGCGTTTTCGCGAGTGTCTCCATCCCTCCCAATCCTTTTTGCCCATTTTTGGATTCCCCCCCTTGGATCATCATCAGTTGTTGATATTCCATTGTGTATGTTCATGTGGATAGCCTATGGCTAGCTATATTCATCAGGAGACGGGTCGGCCTCTTTTACTAGCGACTCCTAGAAGGCAGTGGTGCTGGTGTAGAGAGACAGAGACAGAGAGAGGTGACAGTAACCGGCTAAAGATGCAATCTTGTCAGCGAAATCTTTCCGACTTTTAATCGTCAAGTTCATCAAAATCGGCGCTTAAGCATATCTAGAAGCTGATAAAAAGAATATTTTTCCAATGAAATTGGGTTATCAAATGTAGAGGAATTGGGCACCTAGGAAAATGCTCGTCTTCTGTCTTCCAATCCACTCCATGAATCACCTTATCGATGGTAGGATGGCCAAGGAACCATCTGCAAAATAATTCTATAAGAAAACCCTGGGAATCAATTCCTGCAATCCGTAGAACATAATAATCCAGATTTAATTAATGTTTCCGGATTGCTTATTTCCCTACTCGAAGCTTAAATACTACAATTCAGATGGGGGAACAAGAACGAAGCTTAAATACTACAACTGAAGGCTTATTGGATAATCATTTATCTCCGGATGTTCCTCAAAATCTTTGAATGTTTGACAGTCGTCAATGAAAACTCCTTGGACAGTTATTTCCGATGGGACAATAATCTGAACGCCCATTTCAGGTTTTCTTCGTTGCCTTGATGAGTCATCTGAAGACAAATAATGATAAATAAAAAAAGTTCCAAACCATATGCCTTATGGAGCATACTTGATGTACCGCCTTGATAACATATAAATAATAGGACAAGTAGACAAGAGGGCATACCTGCATATTTCTATACACTGAGTCCTTGGAGCAGACACTGAGGACCACTGCTCAAAAACAATGACTCGGAAGGAAAACCCGAAGCCTCTCAAAGTGAAAATGAGAAAGAAGATCACTAGAGAACGGAAGAAATACAGTCCTGACTACGAGCTGAAAGCTGTGGGACATGCCGCATCCTAAAAATGGCATAGTGTGATGCCCAAGCTTTACAAAATTTCAGTATTTCATGGAAGTTGATAAAGTTTGAAGGAACAAAACGTGAAATAGCAAGCTCAGCGAATAGGAATCAATTAGCATGGAGAGCAGAAGGGAAAACTGGGTTAAGTTTACATTGAGGGAAGACAGTGCCACCCAAGGTGTGTGAACTGGCACGGACATCTGAAATACACACCCCTTTGATTTGAGAAGCACGCACACGTTTATATGAGTTCCCATGATTCCCACATGCTGATCACGTTGAACATTGTGCTCCATATACAACCTTCATGAAAACATTAATTACAATCATCAAGAAACCAAAGAACTGCATGCCTAACTTGTAACTAGGCTGGCAGATTGTGACCAATTTTTAACAACTGGATAATAAAACTGAAAAAATACGGGAAAATCCAGTGTAATTAACCCAATTGAGGCTCTGAATTCAATGGGAGTTAAATTCACTTGAATGTTAAACATAAACTTAAGGAACCGATTGTGCTAACTGTGAATGATATAGACGAAAAATCAAGCTCGTATGAGCATGAGGTACTTCACAAGCTGAGGTACTTGCCCGAAAGGAATGTTTACACAAATAGTCAGGATTTGCATATTAACTTGCTGAGCACGACAAATGATGCGCGAATACATGATTGTAGCATAGAATAATACGATAGAGAAATATCATCCCCCTGTTAGACACAACTAAAGGTTTTCGTAAAAAAAAAATATTACCCATCGCACAGCCTTAAATTTAGAAGAATGTAAGTTCATATATGCTTTGTCTGCGTTAAAAAGAGGAAAGACAACAGAAAAGGTTATCTTATCCATATTCATGTGAAAAATGAATAACATATAGCATGAATTCCTGACACTGAGGATAAAGATAACATGATTTTTTTCCCCCATAGATTGGACTGAAAATACACCAACCCATGAATTTATACAGGAATACATAAGAAAAAATGATCATAAAATGAAACCGACATCGTAGGTGGGTCATTCACATAAGAAATATCAAGTTAGGCGAATGTCCACCCGTTCTCAGACATCTATAAGGGAAGGGAAGGGAAAGGAAGGGAAATTGACGTGGGCCTGGCTGTATCCAGGCATAAATCGTGTCTGAGAATGGGAATATAAACGATTAAACCTCCGGAATATGACATAAATCGCTTCGTTAGAAACGTGAAAAATACAATACAGCAACTCAGCTAAGAAAATAAAAATAAAGCAAATTGCAGAGAAAGCTTAAGGCTCAGGGCTCCTAAAATCAAGCTCAATGCGGGGATACCGATCGATTTGGAAAAGTAAAAATTTATTCAGATTAGTACCGAAGGAGCAATACATTCTATATCAGATTTTGATTGGACATGGGGAGGTGGCAGCACCAACTGACGGATTGTTTCCGTGCACCAACGCCGTGCCGCAACGCTGCAACCTGCGACGACGCTGCCACTTCCGCCCCGGCGGTTGGGTTCAACTCCGGTTAGCTCAAAGTACGGCCAATGGCTCTTCAGTTGCGTGGTGAACAACCGTGGGGTAAAGCGCCGCCGTCGCCAAGGATTCCTCGGCCCCGCGGCTGGATGTTCCCGCCGATGGTTGGCAGCGGGGGTCATAATGAGGGAAATGCTTTAGCCGGTGATAAGTGGAAACGTGGTCGTACCTAGCGGCGGTATTGATGATAGCGCCGGGTGCGCATGATATTGGACGGGGTTGCAGAACTGCCGCTGCTGCCTTCTGCTGCTACTGCATTTCCTCTGAGAGTGGAATCCATGGTGACGCCGGAGAACCAGGGAAGCGTAGGAATGGCGGAGTGACGTCGAGAATGGACATAGCTCGGAAATAAATCGGTATTTCACCCTTTAATTCAAGGTCCCCAAACTATTGCATTAATACCATTTTATTAATATTATTTTAGATGAACCTTTTTGGTGAAGATTAATATAAACAAAATTTCAGAGGGTTTCCCAATAAAGTTACCGTATGCGTCAGCCAAAGTCTGAGGGGTTCTCGGAGGATGGTTGGAGATTTAGCGGCGGCTTCTGTCCTCAGGAGTCGCCAACGGCTGCCGGAGAAGCACCTTATCTGGTGGATTCGTCCGTCGCTGTTGGGTATTGCGCGTAGAGTACTGAGCAGTGCACCGTACCACTGAGGATTCCCTGCTCTGAGGAGGACGATGGCGGCAGCAGCGGCGGCGGCGGCTGCTTCCCTCGCCCTCTCTTCCCCCCTTCGCTCCAACTCTCGGTCCGCTGCTCGCTTCTTTGTGCTCTGCACGTTGGCCAGAACATCCAGGCAATCCCACCGGAGGGCCCATATCTTATCCACCAACCTGTCGGATCCTTCGGAACTCTTCTCCCGCAGAATCTCCCAGCTGGGTCTTTCCGAGCCCCGGGTTGTGAACTGCCGGCGATTGTGCAGCAGCACTCTTTCGGCTGAGAGCCAGGCGAGGGAGACGACGGAGGAAGGTGTATCTTCCGGTGAGAAAATCCGGGAATTCCGGAAACGTCAGAGTATCCGGGACATAAAGGGTGGACCGGAAGAAGGTTTGGAGCTTGTTGGACAGAAGCTCGTTGTGAGAGGCTGGGTGCGAACTTGCAGGGTACAGAGAAGCGTTACTTTCATCGAGGTAGGTTCTTACTCGCCGACTTATCATGGTTCTGGCGGGAAAAATGTTCAAAGCCCGCATTGAGAAATTAATTTAATGGAACGTATCTAGTATTGTGAATTTCAAAGTTGGTTAAGTCGTACATTTCTATTCGGCAACATGAGTGCTAAATGAAGAAAGCACCAAGCTGCCAGAAAATTCGCGTTTTCTTGTCTCTGTAACTCTCATTTTGAACTTTTTGATTTAATTCAATGTTGCTATGTGCATAATCTTGAAAGGATTGCATTGGATCGAATTTTTTTTTGCATTGTTGATTTTTTTTTCGCTCTCTTCTTTTGCTGCTGACCTAGTAGTTGATGAGTATGAGTTAAAGCAACAACAATAGAAAGAATCCAAGACAGCTCGTTTAGATTCAAATGAGTTACCTAAAACCATGTTTTTCTTTGCACTCTTAACTTTTGAAAGTGGTTAATCCCTTTTATAATTCTTTTTAGATCAATGCCGTAGTCTAGAGAGCATTCGGCTTGCCCAATATCCGCGAGAATGTATCCTGGGACGGTGTTTGTTTTGACGAATAGTCTCTGGCTTAGTATTGTTCTGAGGGATGAAAAGTAGAAAACCCATAATTTTTGCATCTCATTTTGCCACCGATACCTGGCTCAGTGCATTGGAGTCTTGACTAGCATAAGACATGCATTTGTTTGTATCTTAAGTGTGTATAGGTAATACCATTTCGGTTGCATTATTACATATCTGAATGCTTGCTTATTTCTTTCTAATTTTGCATTACGAAAATCATGACCATATTTTGCAATTATCAGGTGAATGATGGTTCATGTCTCTCAAACATGCAATGCGTGGTAAACTCAGATGCTGAAGGCTATGATCAGGTATTCTTAAGAAAAAAACTGGCATATTCTTTCAAATACAGTTTTCATATCCTCTTTTATTCATCTTTCAGTCACTTTCCATTGTCTCTTTTACCTCTGCAGTCACTATTTTTCATTTGCGCGTTTTATAAGTATGTTCTACTAGTGTTGTTTTACTTCAAGAAGGATCAGTGGAGCACACAGACTCAGCTCTAGTAAAAAAATTGTTTTGATTCCGAGTCAGTCCAAATTCTTTCAACCAAGCTGTGATCTTTCTTTTTGTTCATCTTTCTTTTCTTTTAATCCTCGTAATACGATGGTGCTTTTTCTCATTTTTGTGTACGTTGTAGAGCCCACTGATTGCTTGAAAACATTGAATTTTGATGTCGATCTTACTAAAAAAAGTCGCTTCAACTCCTGACCTTAACTAGGTAATTGATCTATAGTATCACTCTAATATGAGTAAACATCAGGACATATTCTAAATATTTTTTTTTCAATTTATTCAATGAGTAGTAATACCATCGTAATGCCTCTCCAGTTTTTCAAGGTGAAAAAAATGCCTGCCAGTTGACTCAGTGTAAAGTTGCCTTCATAACTATCCATATGTAGGTACTCTTGGCCTTTCGTGTTTTACTCCAAAAATTTGACCCATCTATCTACTTCTATTTTTCAATAATTTTTTATTTCCTCATCTGGGTTGTGAAACTACATGAGAGGACTACCATTAGAAAGCACTTCATATATTCCGATTTTTTTCTTTGTTAGGCGTTCAATCGGTCTTCCTCTGATACTTTCTGCTATCAGAATTGCCTCTGTCAATGATGTGATGTAACACTGGGAGTTGCTTTTTGTTTGGATTGGGATGATTGTGCATCAATGGATGCTTTATACCCATTATGGCCCCATGGAAGTCTGATAGGCATTGTCTTACGTAAATATATATCTTATTGATGTATTTGGATGTAAGGGATCATTTTGAACTTTGGGTGATTGTCACAATATTTTGCCAAATCCTTGGCTTCATTTCTGGATTCAGTTGATCCCAGATAGTTAAAAGCCAATAATGACATTGCAGTCATTCTCATTTAATATGTTAACAATAGATTGAAAAATCAAATTTTGATCATTTCTATCAAGTTCTCTTGTGAAAATTGACGATTGAGTTTCTTTCTATGTTAGACTTGGAATAGAATTTTGTATAGGACGTAGGTTTTCTTGCAGAACATTTTGACGTGTCTTCTCTTTATTTCCTCGTATATTATGCTTAATTTATGGTTTATTGAAGCTTGTGAAAGCAGTGAACGACAAAACTCGCTTTTCAGGCGAGGATATCCTATTATCACTTTTCAATAACTCTCAATACTTGATCCTTCCCAGGTGGAATCTGGCTCTGTCACAACCGGTGCATCACTTATGGTTGAGGGAGTTCTAGTTAGCAGCCAAGGATCGAAGCAGAAGGTGGAACTAAGAGTGGAAAAACTTACTGTGGTAACTATCTCTATCTTACTTCGATTTAAATTATTCTAGCCAAGAGCTGGTTGATGCTCTGACTCAAAGGGGCATAGGGACAAGAAAGGCCAGTTTTAGTCTCATTCAGTGCAAGAGGATGCCAATTTACTAGCTTTTTACTTGAAGAGGAGGCAAGTGAAGCGTTGAGGAGAGATGCTGCCTCATATTTATATGGATTTTATCAAAATTCAAGCATGTGAAGAAGATAATGATGAGTTTCATTTTTATTATTATATCTATACATGCTTTTGCATATATATAACGATGTCGAGTGACAGTCGGCAATATGCCTGTCTCACATATGTTTATATATTTGGTATTTATCTTACGAAATAAAATTAGTCAAAGTTCTCCATAAATGTGAATTCGGCCACTATTTTCTTCTCAATTTAATTTTTTGTCCCATATATCTAGGTAGAGTTACTGCCTTGATAAATAGTAATGCGTCACAACCAGCTTATCTCGTTTTTCTTTTTTTCTGTAGATTGGTAATTGTGATCCTTCAACATTTCCAATTCAAAAGAAAAGAGCTAGCAGAGAATTCTTAAGAACTGTAGCTCATCTTCGTCCTCGAACGAATACATTTGGAGCAGTGAGTTTCCAGCTGCAGTTGTCAACTTTTTGTCTATTATTAGTTTCTATCCTGCTATTTAATCTGTTGCTATTTTTATGAGATCATTTTTTTGTACGTTTTGCCATAATAGTTTTACAGAACTCTCAATACCTTTCTTTCTGTCAGTGAAGTTGTCACTAATTATGAGACGATTTTCTTTTATTCTTTTTGGATTTGTCCTGATCTTCGAATGCGAATACCTTCGTCCATTTTATTGGAGAGGCTTAAGATTTCTAATTTTGTGATTACTGTAGATTCTTAAGTGCGTGAATTGCAGACATGGAGAGAATTTTCTTGTCCTTAGTGAAAATTTGCTACAAGAAGCGGAAACTGAGAAGATCTAACGACTCTAAGGGACGGAAGCTCTTACTATGAGGGCCTGAAGGATTGAGATGTTTCCATTTTATGGTTTATTCATCAATATCGAATTGATATCATGGATTTTCTCTCATCTTTGGTAGCCAACGGGAATGGTATTCTAAACAACTCCGCTACATTAAGCCTGGAGGATTGGTACTATAGCATGGTTTTCACCATTGTAATGTAAACCTCGGATATTTGGACATGCTCCTAGTTTTTGAGAGCTTTTTGGAGACAGACTCCCTTTTATCTTGCTGGATTGGCAACATGGGGCAAGGACACTGATTTTTAGCTGATATTTTTGTGAAATTCATAATTTACATGTATCTATGCCAAATATTTATCAATTCTATCTAATTTTATCAAATGTAATGACGTTTGTGAACAATTGCATGGATAAGCTGAAAAATAGAAAAAACTATTTATGAAATTAGCCTTAGTTCTTATTATGTGGTATTTTTTACTAAAGAGAAATGCTTCTCTGTTTTCTTACTTTTATCTACTGATCCTGACTGTTGTTTCACATAAGTTTTATTACCTTTCTACAATGACTTATATATGAGGGGTAGATTCCCCCTGATATTTTTCCTCAAGTTTCTTGTAGGTTGCTAGGGTGAGGAATGCTTTGGCACATGCGACTCACAAATTTTTCCAGGAAAATGGATTTACTTGGATCTCGAGTCCAATTATTACCGCATCAGACTGTGAAGGAGCTGGGGAACAGTTCTGTGTCACTACTTTGGTATGGATTTCAATGTTCCGCAGCTTGAACAAGTTTTTTTAATATTTTCTATACGAGCTTCTCAGTGTAAAATGGAATTTGATGCCCATGGCAGATGCCCTCACCCTACTGTGGAATTTAAAACCATATTTTCTGAAATATCGTCCTTACTTTTTGTTGCTTGAAAGATCCCAGCTGCTAAAGAAGGTACTGAGACCCTAGTGGATGCCATTCCCAGGACTAAGGATGGGATGGTTGACTGGTCACAGGTATATTTAATCATTGTTTGCTTTAGCCTTTTGATTTGGCATCATGCTGATGACCTACTGCATATGCTCACTTTTTTTTTCCCTCACGTGATACCTTGTTTTATCACCGTTAATGATTGATCCTCTTGTTGAGAAAAAAAAAGAGATCTTACAGAGGTATTCTAAACCTGCAAAAGGGTCAATATGATGGACTCTGTAGAATTTGTAACCCAGACCAGAGTCTAATTTTGTTAAGCTTCTGTACAAGTTTAACATATGACCAACGTATTTTCTAAGCAGAAACATTATCGAGTTTCTTATTCCGTTCTAGTCAGTATAGGGGAGCAGGTATCGGTTGGCTACAATGTCGCCTATGTTGAATGTAAATTTTCTAAAGGACTAAAAATCTTGTTAAAAATCTAATTGTTTTATTATAACCTTCTCGCCCTTTTAATAGAGATTTAGGCTTTTTCTACAGACAAGGACGTTCAATATCTGAGCATAATTAAATTTTTATCATGTTGATTTTAATGCTCCTTTTCCTTGTAACCAGGATTTCTTCGGAAAACCAGCATTCCTTACGGTCTCAGGCCAACTCAATGCGGAAACCTATGCAACGGCACTTTCCGATGTACGCTTCTATCTTAATTTTATAATAAAAAAGAAAGCAGATGATCAGATTTTGTTTGTTTAAAGCATTAGAATGTTGATGAGTGTGTGGTCATTGCTGTGACAGGTGTACACATTTGGTCCTACTTTTAGAGCTGAGAATTCTAATACTTCCAGACATCTAGCTGAATTCTGGGTATCATGTTTTTCTTGCAATTATCCTTCTGGATGAATACTTGTCTATTTAGATTTCCTACTACGTAAATATTAGTATTTGTCTGTGTTTTAACTGATGTTTTTACCTTCTCATTTCTAAGATGATTGAACCAGAACTTGCTTTTGCTGATTTGCATGATGACATGGCCTGTGCAACTGCTTATCTCCAGTATGTAGTAGGTTACTTTTCACTACTGTTTTCCATTCTTTTGTCAAGGTTCTCTCTTTTTCTTTGTTTTACCATTTTTTTAATTGTTTTTAACACTAACAGTGACTTTTTTCTAATAGGTGAGATATGTCCTTGAGAACTGTAAGGAGGACATGGATTTTTTCAACACATGGATTGAAAAGGGCATTTTGGATAGATTGAATGTACGTGTTCTACTCATTATTTTCCAACTACTGAATCAGATTCAATAAAGAAGCTGATGGGGTATTTAGATCCGTCAAATCTCATACCTAATGTGATAATGTAAAACATCTTGTATCAAACCTTTTCTCCTTTTACCTTTAAGTACATAACATTGCTATTCAAATTGGATAGGATGTTGCCGAGAAGGACTTCGTCCAGCTAACATATACTGATGCCGTTGAACTTCTGATCAAAGCAAAAAGGAAATTTGAGTTCCCGGTAATGCATACATCCATACAAGGAACCTTGTTAGCTTGCTTCAAAGTTGTTATACTCTGAAACCTGTTGTGGTACTGCTTATTTATTTATGCACTCTACATATATTGAACCATTTAAACTGTTGACTCGACTATATTGAACCTGAGGTACAGCTTTCTGTGGGGGTGAAAATATATTCCTCCCCCAAGGACTGTAACCTGAACTTGAAGCTGAACTGCATTCGACCTATTCTACTCCTCCTTTCATTTTTTTAACCGAAATCGTTAAAGTTTTGACATTTCGAGGTACTTGCTAGTTCTTAATCCATAAGAAACTTTTAGGTTATATCACATCGGCTAGATCATTGGACATACGTCTGTGGCTTCAAGCTTTTGACCACTTATCACGTCTTGCCAAGTGAATTTGACATAACTTTTTTTTATTCATCTGTTTAGCTTTGTTGTTTTTCTTTTCCCAGGTAAAGTGGGGATGTGACTTGCAAAGTGAACATGAGAGGTACATTACTGAAGAGGCTTTTGGTGGACGTCCTGTCATAATCAGAGATTATCCCAAGGTATGCGTTAAGCTCATGCTGAAACATTTAGAATATTATAAATTTTGCTTCTGATATTATATTTATGAGTTTAAAACATTTAGGATATTAAAGCTTTTTATATGAGGGCCAATGACGATGGCAAAACAGTTGCCGCGATGGATTTGCTGGTTCCAAGGGTAGGCCATTTTATTCTTTTGTATGTTTTTTCTTCATTAGTTATATCTGCAAGGTTAGTTGTACGGATTTAAATAGTATAAGTACTGTCCTCGCAAATGTCTAAATGCTCACGAATTTGTGGTCACATGTGTAAGGCATCTTTGGCATGTGTTCGTTCTTGCATGAATGGCCGATAGATAATTCACTTTCACACAGCTTATATTGTGTCTGGTTAATTCGTGTTACATATTTTTAGCAATAGATTATTCGTCGGTTATTTTTTTTGTAGAAATGTAATTGTTTTTTTTTTTAATTTGATATCAAGATTCATTTGACTCTTTATGATCTTAACACCAGGTATCAATGGGTATATAATAGCTTATTTATTAAATAATTTATATTTCTATTACGAATTATTATTTTTAGAAACTATTATGTCGGTTCCTTGCCTTCAGGCAGTAGGTGGTTTCCCTTTCCCTAGGTGTCCAGACCTTCCTGAAAAACTTTGGCTTAACTTTATGATTTAATATCATTAATTGGAAATCTTCTAAATCATGTAATCCTTGACTTTTCCTTCCATTATCTCCACAAGTAAGTACGGAGAGCATGGTTACCCTATGTGAATTCGCTCAAAGGTAACAGTATTAACCCTCACACACGCCTCCACTGTTCGTTTTGTGGCAACTACCCACCGACTAGACCAAGTGAATTTTTGTCTAATGATCTGTTAGGATATCCGAGCACTCCATATCACATCCCAAACATTGGCAGATGCTTTAGTTATCTTGTCAATCCTTAATGATGTCTTCTGTTTGAGACATTCTGTGCCCTGTTATTTATTTGATGTTTCCTGGTTCAGTGAGGGTAGCGCGAGTTTTTTGGTCTGTTTCACGTGGAGTCCTCATAATCCATCTACCCATGATATCATTTGTGCACCAGACATTATAGATATATTACTATTGTCTGAATATGCTTATCATTACCAGGTTGTGGATTGATCTTAGATCTTGTGTAAGCACAATGTGGTTACAGCTCATTGTCCAAATGACGTTATTTTCAATTTGCTTCATTATGTCTGAGTTCTGGATATTTGTGATTTTAGACAATTCTATATTTATATCAGGTTGGTGAGCTTATCGGTGGAAGCCAAAGAGAAGAACGCCTCGAATATCTTGAAAACCGTTTGGACGAACTGAAGCTTGACAAGGAGAGCTTCTGGTGGTACCTCGATCTTCGTCGGTTTGGTTCAGGTCGGTGCTCCTAATTCTTTCAATTCTTACATTTATTTACTACCCTTTTGTGACCATCGGGTTCTTCACACTGAATCTGCGTCGAAGTCAATTAGTGTTAGTATGAGGCTGTCAGAAATCAGGCACATGATTAGTCATCTCATAAGTTATAATTCTATGAGAGCACGTATTGTCCAATTCTCCCATTATATTGTTAGATTATGAAACCGATCCATTGCATAAACAGTGCGATGGATCTTCTGAGTATCATTCGGTTCCCTTTCCTCCCCTGTAGATTAGTCTTTCCCCTTGTTTACCTCTTCTTTCATAGCTATCCTCTCCCATTATATTGTAAGCACACTGTCAAACTCTCTTGACTTCAATTTCTCCCTTCAATCAATCAGAATTCAATGCCATCTCGAAAGAAGCAGTCTAAGCACACTGTCAAACCCTCTTCTGGCGATTTGACCAACAAAAAGGATTCTCTTTTACCATATTTTCGATCATATCCATGATCAATCTTAACGTATACGTCCACTTGCAGCTGCCCTTGTGTCTTCAGTTTCTGATCATTCATAAAGAGGGTATTTTGCTCTTCCATATTGCGTATGGGTCAGATGTAGATTCGGTCTCCAGACGGTTAATGTGAACTCTTCTCATTTTTCTCCCTGTCTTCAGTCCCACACGCTGGCTTTGGACTGGGTTTTGAGAGGTTAGTACAGTTTGCGACTGGAATAGACAACATCAGAGATGCCATTCCTTTCCCCAGGACCCCTGCTTCTGCCGAATTTTGATGGCCAAGTGTAAGTTACCTGCTGTAACTTGGTTCCTGATTCTTTCCAAAACCATTGAGAATTCGATGGCCCACGGCACATCATGGCCCTTGTCCTCTCTGTAAGTTTGTCAGAGTTCTTACTGGACGTACATTTGAAGACAGATAATAATAATAAAAAAGTAAATACGATGTGTCGTGCATTTACCAACTTTCGGCTGGCCGGCCATGGTTGACCTCCCACCCACCCCTCCAACTAGCGGCGGCTGGGTCGAAATGCACCATCTCATATATATGGTTGGACTGCCTTTCTGGCGTCTCCTAAGTCAACCCGATATGATGATGGACTATAGAAAGATCTGCCCTCTGGATGTACACAAAGGCGGATGATCCGGATGGCGATCTGCAGTAGTTGGTCCGCTTATGGAGAGGAATTCAGATCCTCGTTCCCAACGGTGGCCAAAATCTGGAGACTTTATTGGCAAGAAGATGATGGAGGAGGCGAGGAGGAAAACTGGGGGCAGCTGCCATCCACTTCTGGCTTCGAGTTCCACGAAAGATGTGATCTTTAAGAATTAGAGTTCCTTTGATTGATAAATTTATGTTCGTCGTTTTTAGTTTTAAAGATTATCCGGCCCAACCATCAGGTTATGCATTCCGTCCCCATGATGGGCCACCCTGCATGTGAACTTTAATGGCAACAGACTCGTGATTAACGAGCTGCAGTCGACCTCACGCTCTTCCTCTTCTTCTTCTTCTTCTTCCTCTTCCTTCTGTCAATGCTCTGGGACTCTTTTTTCTACTCCATGGCAACCGCGCGCCTGAAGAAGTGTAGGCCGAGGTCACGAGGGAGAGCCGTCGTCATCATCGGTAGGGAGCTCCGAGAGTTCTTGATGGGAGGGAACCTCGCTGCCGGCGGGCAGAGCACTGATGATGAGGACGATATAAACGTGAGGAACGACCCAATTATTTATTACTCCCACCTGCTTCTGAGACCCGCCGGCCGATGCTGAACGTGCGAGGGTCCGCAGAGATCATGTGAAGGTGCGCCGCGGAACATCTCCCCCGCGCAGGGCGCCGCCCGTCTGGCTCAGTCGGCCTACTCGGAATCCTTGCCGGAGAGCATTCGCTCCCCAGAGACGCTCACAGGCGCGTGCTCCGGCCTCGCTTTCCTCTTCCGAATCATTCAGACACCTTCTTTCCACCGTGGCCTGTCTTCGGCTCTGTGAATGGCTTGCGGAGGTTGATGATGGAAGCCAGAGAGTGTGGGCCGAAAGCCGAAGCCCCCATTGGCGTCATTCCACAGTGCTGCTTACTCTCTCTCTCCAAAGAATTGTGGGTTGAATACCCGCCACCCATTAATGAATGATCTTCATCATTTCTCCGGTGGAAGCAATCAGGCCGCCCAAATAAAAATCAGCCACACATTAATGGAAGGAATCTCATCGTTCAACGATCAAATCTGGGAAGTGGATGCTGTAGTCGCGGAAATGTGAAACCCCGAAGGGACGCCGGAGTGATGAGGACGTGATTCGTGGAAATGAGGGGTTCTTGGTTCCCTCTGCTCCGTGGAGGTTCGGAGGTTACCTTCACGACAACGTGGTCGAGGACATATGCCAACGAGTGGAGTAGCGATCTTGAGGCCGACTGGGCGAGGCGAGGGCGGAACCCGTGCGCGGAGGTCGTCCAAAGGGGCGGACTTTCTCACCGCTGTGGCATTTGTCAGTTTGCTGCTTGACTTATTTTAACGTGGAAACAACGCACCATCAACGCCGACCTTTCATCTGGTCCGAGAGAATGGAACCCCAGGGCGATGGATCCCCACGAAGCGGGTGGGTAGTTGTTGGGTTTGAGTTGGTGGGTTTGGCATCCATGGCTTCCACTGCTCAGAACGCAGCGAGAGAGAGAGAGAGAGATTCCATGGTCTTCTCCCGGCACGGAGCCTGGTCAATGGGGGCTTGGGAAAGTGGGAAGACAGAGAGAGAGAGAGAGGGGACAGAAATTTTGATGCGAGGTGTTGGAAAATGGGCGAGGAAAGGCGGAGGAATGACTCGTCCGCTCCGAAGTACAATGCCGGGGGTTACTTTCCCAATATAGAAAGCCAGGCCTCCTCAGCAGTGCAGGTCCCTTCTCAGAGCCACCCAGTATTGTAGCCAGTTTGCGGAGGTAACAGAGGTAGATAGATACAAGAAGGCCAGCCCCACTCCCCAACCAGGCCCCCTCGTGAAGAAAAAGAAAGAGACCGGTTGCTCGCCGGAGTTGGGAAAGAATCCACTTTACATATTTTTCCCCGCCGACCCTCCCTCTCCACATCCTAGGTCACCCGGATTTCCTCTCCTGGTGTGTTGGGAGATCCCCCTAGAGCTTGAGCAGATCCATCGAGGCGCCGTATTACGAAAAAAAACCCTACCCTCTTCCGGGCATCTGATCGGTGCAACTCTGGCGGACGGCGGTGATGGCGGTGATGTCGCCGACGGCGACAACTCTCCGCCACGTCCCCATCGCGGATGTTGCGCTACCGAGCACGTCCCTGTGGGGCCAAGCTCCGTCGGGGATGGGGACCCCGACCATGCCGGCGGCAGGATATTCTTCGCAGAACTCGCTCGCTGTAAGTCTACGGCGGCTTGGAGGGATGGATGGTTCTTCTCAGCATCAGGTCGAGAGGAAAAGGGCTTACCAGGAGCCGGAGGATGGAGTCCGCTGACCTGGTTGGTTCCAGGTCCACGCGTTGACCATTCCAAGTTTACCCCTCAGTGACAAATCCTTGAAGAATACTGCCCCCAAAGGACCGTATTCGTGGGGTGGGGGGAAGGGCTAGTCGGAAATAGAAGATCACAGTGGAGCTTGCAGTGGCAAGAGACGAGCTGGAAGTGACGAAAAATCAGTAAACATTAAGTTACTGTTGCCTGAAGGTCAACCCTGAAGGAATTCGAGTAGACAATGGTAGGCGTAAAATGCATGGGTAATGCGGCCATAATATATGGAGAAGGTAAGAGAACTGTTAGGAAGAACAGCTGGAAGCAGAAGCTTCCCAACACCCCACCCACCCGTCAGCCTATCACCGCCTCCCCCGCCGCCGCATCTCTCGTGGGACACAGAGCGGGCAGGACGGGCAGATTCCTGATGCCCAGTGGGGAGAATAACCAGCAGATGCGCTGGATCAAGTAAATGAGCAGAGATGGGAATGCCTTTGAATCCGCTAGTAATTGATGCCACTGATGAGCTCGTTTAGTAGCCACTGTACGTTCATGGTAGCCATAGAAAAAATAATTTCTCGAAACTGTAACAGTCTTAGGCAAATCAAGCAGGAGATGGCGAAAAAATTACTGTCAGTAAGGAGCACCGGCGGCGGTGGCGGAAGCGGCAGCAGCAGCGGATGAAGAACAGGGAAAAGAGGGAGATGGATAAAAAGGAGCATGAGCCCTTGCTCCCCGTTCCGATCGAAAATGAGGCGAGAAAGGACAATTCTCGGTGACATCTGTCACACTCTTGTCGATCGAAGAGAAGTTCTCGATCGGTTTCTTCTGTTCGCGCATCCAATTTGGGGCCTCCGAAGCTCGAACCTGATGTCGAACTCGATCGGGGGCTACTTGTACTGCTGCCCGTCGGAGACTGCGGAGAGCTCCGCTTCCTCATCCATCGGCGGCGGTTGATTAAGGTCGATCAAGCTCTCACCAACAGACTTGGTAGCACGAACTGGACTAGCATCCGCAGTAGCAGAAACATGAACAGCAGCAGCAGCAGCAGCAAGAACGGAATTTGATACTAGCACTGGAGTGGTGGAATTAGTAGTACTGGAAGAGTTAATGAGATGGGATCTCTTGTGACCACCCAAAGCTTGACCGGAACTGAAGACTCTGAAGCAAACTGGGCACTCGTGAATCCTACGGTCGGCGGAGGAGACCGTGCACGGCGCCGCATTCACCTCAGAATCTGCGTCGTGGATCTGATGGCCCCGACGGCGGCGATCGTCGTTCTCCTCCTCTTCCACATCGACGAGGGTCGATCCGAGGCAAGGTCTGATCTTCTTGTGGCTCGCCCGGTGGCCGCCCAGCGCCTGGTACGAGCGGAAGATCTTCCCGCAGGTGCCGCACTGGTACTTGCCCCGTCCCCCCCTCCGCAACCGAGCGGCGGCGACCCGCTTCTCCGAGTCGTCATCGGAGGGCTGTTCCTCTTCGTCCTCTTCTTCCCCGTAGGAGCTGTTCCTCTTAGCGGCGGCCGGCGTGTCGGTCGTCCAAACATCGCGGGAGAGCATCATCAGGCAGCGGGCCACGTCCTCGTCCGGGGTGGTGTCGGAGACGGAGCTGACGGGCTCTGGGTCTAGAGAAGGCTCCGACTTAGGGGGCGACAGCGGAGGGGCGCGCCGCCGTCGCTTGGATCGACGGCGAAGGGACGGCGGCACCGACGACTCGGTCTCGCTTTCCCAGTCCTGGACAACGACGGATGAGCAGCCTCCGGAGGCGTAGTCCGCCGCCACGAAGGTGGACGAGAACTCCGGATCCACGAGGCGGAAGCTCTTCTTCGGGTTCTCGCGCAGACCATAGGAGAGCAGCTGCTTAGCATCTTCTTCCGTCCCTGCCACTACCTCGTCTGATACTTCAGCAACTCGCTCTGTTACTTCCAGCTCCCCCCGGGAGGCGGAGGAAGAGGCGGAGGGCGAGGCGGAGTACTCAATAAGCTGGGACCTGACGGCAGCGGCGGCTGCGGACGGCGCATGGGAGCGCATGTGGCCTCCAAGAGCTCTGCCGTTTGAGAACCGCCGGAAACAGAGCCTGCAGGCGTGCCTGTCCATCGCCTGAGGCGCCTCCCCGGCTCCTTCCTCCGCTCCGGCCAGCCACTCTTTCTCCTTCCCCTTGACAGCTTTAGAAAGAGGAGAGAACAAGAAGAGGAATAGTCGGCGAAGAAAGCATGGAGGAGGAGACGAGAGTGGAAACTAAAAGTAGGTGACAAGCAAACAACCCATACCAGAGAGAGAGAGAGAGAGAGAGAGAGAGAGAGAGAGAGAGAGAGAGGGGTAAGAAAAACTGAAATTAAATAATTATAATGTTGGACTTGTTTAAAAGAAGGGAAAGGGCGATGGAATAATTAGCCCACAGAAGGGGAGGGGCGGGTCGTCGCCTCTTATCTTGAGGCAGATTAGAGTCATGCACATCAGTTCGCCGCTCTCTCTCTATCTCTTTCTATCTCTCTCTATCTCTCTCTATCTCCGTCTCTGTGGACTGGCCTCACCACGTATCACCTCTTCCATGAAGACGGAAGAAGGGTGGGTATCCGCATCTGTACACACAAAACGAGCCCATATGCGGGCTGGCCGGGCGTCAGGGCCATCTGCGGCTGTCGCAAACACCGGGCAGAACGTGAAAGTGGCCATCTTCCGTCCGGCCATCTTCGTTTTCCTCGTTCCCGATCTCGGGGTATTCGCGTCACTTCCGTCGCCGGCCGGCCGGAGCAACGGAGTGCCCGAGAGCCCCTCTCCGGAGCGGCAGAGCCATGACATAACACACGTGGCCCCCCGCCGGTTCTCCTTTCTTATCCTCCCCCCGCTTGCCGCCTTTTCTCGTCCTCCGCCACCTGGGCCGCCGCAGCCACTGCTTCCGCCCCCGCCACCGCCGCCCGGCACGTTGGCTGCGCGTGCCACTGGCTGGCAGCTAGTGTTCACTTCCGGGACCCACCCCGGCGCCGCCGCTCTTCTCCCCCAGAATGAACCTGTTCCGTTAACTCCTGCCTTCGCCGTTGCCACGCGCACGACCGAGACATTCTGGACCTGGGGCTAGAGAGAGAGATGAAGAAGGGAGGATTCACGGATGCTCGAAAGAGATATCTGAAGGTGCGTATGAACAAGGACAGACGATACCGCGCTGCGGTCACTGTCCGCTTTGCTTTTTTAATGGGGGGATATGACCGCTGCTAGTTAATTACGGAAGACGTTCGTGAATTTCCTGCGCGGCGCGCATTGAATCGCGTTTTTATTGATTCTAGTTACATATTTTCCATTTTCTCAGCCCAGATGAGCATTTCTGCCTGGAACGGGGGGGACTGCGAGTATCTCGGTCTCATTCCTGCGTCGTTCATCTCCGTTACGTTGACCGATCCTGCAAAAGGATGGCGGCCTCTTATCGGGTCGGCAGCTGAAGCCCAGTGAAGGTGGCGTATAATCTAGCCCACTTGTGTTCATTAAGATTGCTTTGCATCTTCACCAGCCAGCCGTTTTTAATATAAGCAGGAGTCCCTCCCTTCCGTTCTTCAATGGAGGGGAAGAATGTACGGTGGACTTGGCTCGGTCGTTGAAGCCCATTATTCCACGCGCCGGCCCGAGCCGAAGGGAATTGAATACCCGCCTTAGTGGCTCCCGGATGGACGTCTGACAGCTAGACGTTGCCGTCACGCTCGACGCGCTATACCGCGGGGATGAGCTTCGCCTCCGTGTGTTCTGGTCCGAGTCAATGCCTCATCTTTCTCGGTACCACGGGAGGAATGACGAAGACGGGCCCAGCGGGCAACGGCGTCGTCGTTCCGCCGGAGACCGAGTCTTCCGAGACTTTCACTGGAGAGAAAACTTCCGGGCCGTCCAATTCCCGATCTACCGGTTTTGGTCAACGTCTAAGGGTCAGATCCACTGAGCGGCTACCGTTCCCTCTCTCTCTTATCGGGCAAACCATCGGCGTGGCCTTTTCCCCGGCGCGTGTCCGCGAGGGTTCGCACTGAGCGTTGACTCTGTCGTCTAAGCACACTTACGCAACCATGCACCGTCTGAGAACGGGGTCCCACATTCGCCTTGTAAATTCTCAAATTATCACGTCACGCAGTGGGATAGTTTTCGGCCTAAAACTCTTCAAAAATAGAATGCAAATCAGGGTCAAGTTTTTATTAAATAATTCCAAAAAAATAAAATTCACCCTCTTTTTTATCAATTTAGTTACGGGTAGAAATATTTTATAAAAATTAACATTTTAGGCGTCAAAATGGAAAAGGTGTTGTTCACGGTGGGCGATGGGTCACGCGACTAGGGTGCCTGGTCGGAGAGGACTTATAGGGCCTTTTTTGGGCCCCGAGCAGTGGGCTGGTCGGGAATGGGTGAGCTCCGAGTCGGCCCATCACCCCAGTAACGAGTTGACTCGGAGCTCGATGGCGGGGAAAGGCACTGAATTAAAGAAGCGTCGTCCGCAGCAGTGAAATGGGTTTTGGCGGGCTTCGGAGTACGCGCTCGCTCCCCGGTACTGACGCTAGTGCTGGTCGCTCCTCGTCCCTCCCCGCCGGGGGAAAATGGGCTCGCTCCTCTAGTCGGAGAATGTCACAGATCTCCATATATAGGCGTTGTGTGCTGCCAATTTCCAGTTCCGAATCTCAAGGGCTTCCTTCCCATGGAGTTGTCGGGGGGTCCCGTGGGAAGGAAGGCCGGGGTGATATCGAGGATCCGCCTGGAGAACTTCATGTGCCACAGTAGCCTCCAGAGTGAGTTCGGTGACTGCGTCAATTTCATCACTGGGCAGAACGGAAGTAAGAGCTATCCTCCGGCAACTCTGCCCTTCTCTATATTTCTCATAATTATTTCTTGCATTATTTTGCTTTCTCGCCATATTTTTCTGTTCTCAATATACTAGGTGGAAAGAGCGCTATCTTGACGGCGCTATGCGTGGCGTTTGGATGCCGTGCCAAGGGCACTCAGAGGGCGTCCAGTGTAAAGGATTTTATAAAGACTGGCTGCAGGTAGCATGATGTGTATAGTCGTTAATACATGAAAATTTTATCAGTCGACGTATTGCTGGTAATTTATGTCCGATTGTCACGCTTATAGTTCTCTTTGATCACCTATTATCTCGTGAACTTTGGCTACTGTGGTTTCAGTGGCTGCCGCCACTCCTGCTGCTGTTTAACTCCTTGGAGAATTATGCTGCCTAGCGGGCCTCAGATTCTCAGTTCAAAACATTGAATTTGAATTTTTAAATTTTGTATTCATACTTCCGTGAGGCATATAGATGTTGTATCCGCATTTAATGGTAATATGCCTATCACGAAGTCCCCAAATTTTTTACCATCGCAAATTCAAGGTAGAGACTATAAAATTGGAACATGGGCATGGACCCAAACCAAAAGCCCCATGCCAACCAAGCTTGAATTGTTGAGTCGTCGGGAGAAATGCTTCATCACTGGGGCCCAAATGCCTTAAATGCCCCCGCTCTCTGTATGTCACTTCTCATACCATTAAGATCACCTCCAAGTTCAATCTTAAAGTGGAATGGAAGAAAAGCTGGTCTTTTTTCTAGTGTGTGTAAAATGCCTTTCTCTGGTCCATCTTGCTGCACATGAATGGGGGCAAAACAGAAGCACATCTCCTGACTAAGAATAATATCCTAAATGCCAGAAAATACTGAAAGACATGTTAAAATGGAAATCGGAAATCCTTATGACTCAGAGTGAACAAATGTATATCTCGTGGGTAGAAGTCCCCCTCAGTAGATTAGGAAAGATATTATTGGAGGTTTAAGAAGGGCTCATGCTACTTACACCGCCTGCATCTGGTCCTTGGAAGCTAACTGAGCCATAAGACATTGAGTGTGATACAAAATTTCACAGGGGCTGATGAAATTAGAAGTGTGTTTTTTCAACCACGTAAATGTGTTTGGTGTAAACGAATGTCCTGTCCTTTATATCTTCTCCACAGCTATGCTTCAGTTATTGTGGAAATCAAGAATCACGGATGTGATGCCTTCAAGCCAGAAACATATGGCGATTTAATAATCGTGGAACGGAGGATCACCGAGTCAACTAGCTCTACAATTTTGAAGGACTATAAAGGTTCTCCAAGTACTCTTTTAAATTTATGTGCATTTCAGTTGCAGCCCATTTATGTTCTTTTTTTTTTTTTCATTGGTTTGACATTCTTTTCATTCATATAACTTATCTTGTCTTCGATAAATAAAATCACATGGCATTAGCCTGATCAATATGATAAATTATCTTCCGAGTAAGTCAAGTACTGCCGTCTATTAGTTTTATGGTACTCCTATCCCGTATTGAAAGTTTTTTATACAAAATATTTGTTACCTTGCGCATGGTGATAATTACAGTAGTTTATGTACTTGTTGAAACCATACACTACTTTATAAACTTTTTGCTGATATGGATAGTTATTTTAACTTTTCATTTGTGTCTGCCACGTCATACTGCGAGTTTATATTCTTGTGCTGTTTCTTTTCGTTATTGCTGCATGGTTATTGCGATCATTTACTTCCACAAGCTTTAGTTTTGAATGTCATTTGGATCGTTCATTCGGGCTTTAGTGCTACATTATCTTGTTTTGATGTCCCTGGGATCTCTGTTGTAATTCGCATTATCATGAGAATTTATCTTTTATAACTCAATTGGTAATTGGCAGATTTGGCGGTTATTAGGAATTGAAGTACTTCCAGTAAGGTGATCTGTACTCAGCAGAATTACTGGTCGCAGATTCTTGCTACGAGATACTAAAATAGCATGTAGTTGCTAATTACGGTAGATCATTTAAGAAGACCTGCGGCAGCTCCAATAGGGTTTTATTTTTTAGATTTCGGAGGCCATGGTCTAAAGGATATGTGGTGTGGATCAGAATCAGTACCAGCTTGGGAAAATTCTATTTTCTGGTGAATTTTCAGTATACCAGGTTATCCCTTCATGGTAGTTATCTTTGGAAAGTAGACCGTATTTCTCTGCTTGGTTTCGTAATCTTTTTAATTTAGATGGCGAGTAGAATGCGAGATGGAGTAGCTACTTTGTGACTCATTATTGATTTCAGAAATCAGATTCACAATATGCAGATTGCTCATCTTTGGTAAGCCGATGATATTATGTTAATGAGGGACAGTAACAATTTATGCTCTGAAATGAGTTCTGTTTTAGTCATGGAGATGGATCAGATGTGCTCAATGGAGCTTCTCTGTTATTGTGGTGTGGTACTGGGACAACATTGTCTGGAGTTCCAGTGGAGTACAGATGAACGGAAAAATTAGATTTTCATACAGGGTGCGCCAATTTTTCTTTTGTAGTTAGCACTTGTCTGTTTCTTGATTGCACTTAACTTCCTTAGATACGGATAACATATACATATATATTAAATTAGAACATACAATTCAAAATCAGAAATCGTTTAGTTTGAAACCAGTCATTGCTACCTTGTAAAGGGGTTGGACAAGTTTCTTTTTAATCCATGGTAACTTCTTTCCATCTTTCTGGTCTGCTGGTTGGTTAATGTGATTTTTTCAAAAAAATGTTTCTTATATGACGAATGTGTATTTTTGGTATTTAGTTGCTTGCTTTAGGTACTATGATACACTTGTAGCTGGTTTTAGTTATTTAGCTTAGCTTGTTTAAGTCATTATCTTGGTGTATCTTCTGAATGTTGCTACCAGGGAAAAAAGTTGCTCAACGGAAAAACGAGCTGCGTGAACTTGTCGGAACATTTTAACGTGAGTGTTTTATATGTTGTTCATTCAGTCTAGTCACAATTGCTTAATATATTTATATTTGGGTCTTCATGTTGTTTCTGCCAACAATCTACATTGGCATAACAGTTTTGTGAATATAGTCTACGATGTATCCCTTGTTCCACTGACTATTTAGAGACAGAAGGTGATTTGGAAGTGGGAAACTTAGCATGTACTAAATGAATCACAAATTGTGTGCGAGGCAGTCTCAAAAAAATAATGCTTCGAATGAGGTTAAAACCCCCAAATATAACATTTCCTTTGGTCCAGTTGCATGGCAATGATACCCAACAATGTTTCTCAACAGTTCTTCTATAGTACTCCTCGAAGTTAATTTTAGACTGCATATTGAATGATCGTTTCATTGAGAGAAACATTTTTTTTTTGCATTTGTAAAAATGTCATAGTATTTACTGAGCAATTCCAGACCACAGTCCATTTTTTGTTTCTTGGTTGGAGCTGATTACCTTATCTTCTTGAGCTCACAATACGAGTTAAATTTCACTTTGCAATACATTGTAAGGGTTCTCATAATATTATGACAAGCACCTCTAAGGTGGCTTGGCTCACCTAGGCTACCGAACCCCTTGCCTCAGGTTGGCAAGTCTGATTGAAGTTTCATTTTCAAGAAGGCGGCCCTAGTAAATGAGTATACCATGTTACTAAAGCAGCAGTTCTTGCTTGCTGTAATACGAATGCATTTTACCATCATCTTTACTTTAGTACTGAATATGCTTAGTTTTATGTGCCATTAATGCAAGGAGGCGGCTCCTGTCAACGTTGTTTGTGTAAGAAGAAGGGAAATGTGTGTCACACATTTGCAATATGTTGATGGCACTCATTTCTTTGTCTGAAGGCAGATCAAGAAACTCGTTTTGCTACCAGAAAGGCCTTGGTATTCATAATCAACGCTTCAATGTTTGAGGGAGTGAGAATACCAAGAGATGATATAGACGAGATCAAAATGTTCAAGGCCTTCATGTAGTTCAAATTTTCCATTAAATGTCTAGAATGTCAATATTGCTGAACTTGAAGTTTTTTCCTGATATTCGTAGTTTGCAAGAAATTTACTTTGTCCGGCGGAGGGTGAGATCTTTTTTTTTTTTTTGTCTTTCCTATTTGCACCCTGGCGTTCATTGGATCCCTTTGTTGCAGAAAATATTTATTTTATTTGAAATTTGAAGATCAATTTTCTGCCAGATATATAAATTATCTAGAGTGTATCTCAAGGTGGTCTTTGATTCCACTGTGCAGTTTATTTCTATCCACTTCCAGAAAACAAAATTGCACTTTTTGTCCTTCTGATTTTATTTCTTTCCTATTTTCAGATTGCACATTTGATATATCAATTGTTTCATTGTATACTCACATGTGACCATCTTATAGATTGATGTGGAAAATCCATGTGTAATTATGAGCCAAGACAAGAGTAGAGAATTTCTTCATTCTGGGAGTGAAAAGGAGAAATTTAAGGTGAGTTGTCGTCATTTTACTCCCTGATAACATTTTGATGTTTGAAAACATGTGGTTGTGATTATTTTTTCAACTCCTAGGGAGATTTCTCCGATCAGTATTTATGAAGATAGTCGTAGATTAATTTAATTGGTAAGGAGAATGCTTGTGCAATAGCATTATTTATGGATCTTGGGAGTCTGCCATTTCTTTCGGTTGGCTGACAGTTGACTGTTCTTTTCTTTTGGAATATGCGATTCATATGCGTTGATATATATCATTCACTTGTGTGATTTCATATGCGTTGATATGCGATTCATATGCGTTGATTCATATGCCATTTCTCCATTCACTTGTGTGATTGGCATCCATTAATGGCAGATTGAATGGTAGTAGTCGGGAGATGTGGCTCATTAACAGATTATTGTATGCTAGGAGCCATGTTTTTACTCTATAATAGAATAATTTTATGAACTTATTTAGTATCTGTTTATTTTTAACAAATGGCATTTTGTCTCCACAGTTTTTTTTCAAGGCTACACTTCTTCAGCAAGTTAGTGAACTGTTACAGCACATTAAGAGTCAACTGGATGCTGCAACTTCTGTGGTTGATGAACTTGAATCGTCAATAAGGCCTGTACAAAAAGAGCTTAATGAATTGCTAGATAAGATTAAGAACATGGAGCATATTGAAGAAATAGATAAACAGAGGCAAATTTTAATAAAGAAACTGGCGTGGTCTTTGGTGTATGATGTGGATAGGCAGATTCAGGAACAAAATGGCAGGTTGGAAAGGCTGAAGGATCGTGTTCCTGCATGCCAAGCAAAAATTGATCGACAGCTGGTGAGGAACGTTTCCAATCTAAAATCATTGTTTTCCTCCCCTTCAATCATACTGCTAATTTACCTTATATTGTTCATGTACTAACTGGTTTTTACCTTCACGTCTTTACTTTTTTCTTTTTTACATGCATACGTTTATCTGTTATTTAGTTTCAAATTTCTCGTTTTATATTTTCAAGAGTAGGCCCTCTTGTCTTTGTCTTTCATTAATTGTTTCTCATGTAGCCGTCATGAGACTTTCTGGATTTCTTTTACTAGGCTTGATGTGCCATTTGATTTGTAACGTAAGAAATAACTGATTGCTACTATGAAAACGACTGACTAAACCCGGTTGTAGCTATAAATATGTAAGTCTAATTGATTGACATTTGGATAAGCGCCTGCAACTTTAAGAATAATTGATTGGAATGGGATTGCTTTGGCAATGTTCAGCAAATCAGTCAAATTATTTTGTCTGTCGTTGTTGTTGTATTTCTCAACTATTTCTCATCCAGTAATCATCTGCTGCTACAGTTCATGAATTTTATTTTCATACAGGTTGCCATGTCTAGCACATCAGCGAAAGAAGTCGCTATATTTCTGATGTTAATCTCCATTCACACAATCCAATAGGTCCAGAAAGAAAAGTTCACAAGTATTATTCTTATGTTATTGTTGGCCTCAAAGTCCGGATATTTTGCTTATCAGAATGATCTTGAAAACAGGAAATTATCATTCCTATCATGCCATTGTTCAAAATGTAGGGGAACAAGCAAATAATTACTCCCGTTCCTCTGCTCCCAGTTTAAACAAGAGATACTTTTATTGGGTTGGGCATTCCACTTTCAATATTGCATTGGATGGTAAATGTTGATTTTATTCTAGTTCCTTCGTTTCTTGAAGAACAACAGACCTTCTTGCGGAAGGAAAAATGAAACTTCTATTCAACTCACAAGGGAAAAAATGTCCATCAATCTTATTTACATCAAGACGGGGGTCTGTTATTTATAACAGATATATGGGGGAAGGTTCTAGACAGCCTTATATCCCGTAACAAACATGTGATGTTCACGTGCTTCTTTAAGTGAAGCACGTGATACACTCTGCCTCAACAGCTGACAGTATTTACACAGTATTTCAACAGTGAGAGGGTTGCTATTTAGAGGGACTTTATTTTAGTTGCGCAATTTGGTAAGGATTGAGGTGTCTCTGTCGGACAATGTAGGAGATCTCTTGGTGATAGTGTGGCCACTGTGTGACAGAGAGTGTATGGCTAGATAAGAGGGGCAAGACTGGTGAGAATGCTCCACTTAAGATGAGTGTAAACCCTGAAATTTACTTGTTGATGATGTAAATGAGACGCAAACTTTGAAGTAATGAAAAGGTAGTGCAATTTTGCTTTGAAACAGGGGGGGAGAAATGCCTTTTTTTCTTATTGTTCAAAATAGCACACTTGAAGTTCCAAGGAGGCTTTCAGAACTTTGAGGATGCTTTTATATTTCGAGGATTTGAATGATGGTTTTCATCTCAGTTGCATTTCCAACCATTAAAGTCAGGTTAGACCAACTTGAGTGTGGTTGTTAATGACTGACACCATCTCATGACCGAAGTGATATCGAAGTTTGCGCCCAAAATCTCTTAAAAAATTTTAACCATAAACTAGCTATCTTCAGAGGATTCAAACGATTTCAAACTGATCTGAATCATTTGATGAATCTTGGTTAGGACAACCACAGCTAGATTTTAAAATCATTGTGGACTTCCTATTGAGAAGTTCTCAGGAACCACACCTGAGTAAATGTTCTACTGGGGAACTTTTTAGTGAAACCGTAAACTTATCTGATGAGCCTAGTCTGTTATTCTAATGAAGAAGATGCTGATATGATTTTCCATGAAACCATAATGGCTTCACTTAAGTACAACGAGGTCACCCCCAAAGCGTTTTCAATTAAGTGCTGCTGTGATGTAAGTTTCCACGTGAATGTTGTGGAGGAACTTGAACCAGAATACTTTCCCAAAATTGTATGCCACTTTGTTTTCCTACAGCTACTGAGAATGCAATCCTTCAAGAAACTCAAGGTCATCACTGGCTTCAAACATTTTTCACGAAGAAGGCCTTTCTTATTTGCTTTTAATGTTGTTAGGTGTCCTGGAATAGTCTTACTGTCTTTCTTGACCTCGAAAATATTATACCCCCATATTCCTTTTGATAGTACCCCATATTCTTTTTCTGTGTAATTTGTGAATCCCTGGTACTGTCCACTTGAAAGATATTAGTATAGTGACGTGATGTCTGTTTTGACCCTCCATCTTGCTATATTGATATAGCTAGTCTGGTTATTTTTGATAATATTTGCGTATTTTTGGCTTCCATATATTGGTAACTTTTTCCTTTTTTTGTCCTTAATCGATGTGATATTTATTGTACAGGTTAAACTAGAGGAAATGAAGGATCTTCTTCACAAGAAAAAATCTGAGATTTCTTCTTTGATGCAAAAGACCTCCGAAGTTCGTAGAATGCAGGATGAACTGCAAGAAAATTTGTCGGTTGTATGTGTCATAGCTTTCATTAATGAACATCTAGTTCTATTCGGATTTAATTTTATCTTCTGTTGTTTCAATATTCATATGTACTACAAAAAATAATTGATATCTCTTTGATGGAAGATTGGTGAAAGAACAAAGAGGGGAACGTGAACGATGGTGAGTGTCAAAGAAGTAGTTAGTGAAGATCGGGCTGTACTAATAGAGTGGGAGGAATGCTAGTTACCTTAATCGAACTGAAAGTTAGATGACGAGATGCGTTAGTGTGGGAGATGAAGATCAAATAGAAATGGAGATGCCGTGGATCGTGTGGTTTTACATCACTTATTCCTATGACATGGAAGAGGAGAGATTATTGTTATTTTCTTTTATCAATTATTGTTTTGTTTTGTTCTCTAAAAAGATGTGGGGAGTCATGGACATTGATAGTTCCGATGGTGCTTCACGAACTACATTAGATGTCCGATGCATAAGTGTCACAGTTGTGTGGCATCAAAAGTGTCGGACTCTTACAATGGAGTTAAACTACTTCAGAACAAAAGGGCCGAGGTTTTTGCAGATTTTCTTGGGGAAAATGGAGCCGATGAAAACTGTTCAGTAAACTGCATGATTGTACATGAATCTCTCTTGGTGATAAATATGTTAGTAGATGGAAACAATTGCAAATAAACATTGGCAAACCTGAGATCTTATCGAGGAATGCATGTAAGGTAAGTTGAAGAAGTGTGCACAGTAGAACCTTACATATAGTAGGGCATTCACTTCTGAATTGCAAGGGCTTGAAGTTTGTAATCATCAATTAGTACCTACATCTGGTTATCTTGCATAACTACCATTAGAAACTCTCGTCTACATCTTTACTCTTTATTTGGGCACAGATTCACCACAAGGCAATTATGTGAAAATCACATTGGGACAATCTCAAGAGTCTAGTACATCTTATAGTCTAGAAAATAGATGGTGTAGCATCTTGATTTACTTCGTCAGCATTTTCTTATTTTATGCCTGGTTACTTTATTTGCCTTAAATATTATGTAAAGGGACCTTTTTTTTCTACATTTTCCTTTTTTTCCCCATATGGTTACTTGCAATTTTCTGGAAAGAACCCTACTCTCTTTATTTGTTGATATCTGTCACTTCTTTCTTGATTTCCTTGCGGATTTGAATTTATTTTCTCACTATACTGTCTTTTCTTCGTGAATGTCTCTTATACTATGATCTTTGATGATTATTAGGCAGCAAGAGAGATGTTTGAACTTCAAGAGGAAGAGACTCGCGAAATAAACCGCATTGGGAAAATGATTAAACACATCAAGTGGCTGGAGCAGCAAGTTCGTGAAATTCACGAACAACATATTAAAGACTCACAGGTCTGGTTTCTCTTCATTCCATACGTACCTGCAGCATATTTTTTCTTGTGTCTTTTTAGTTTAATGTGTTATCCCTTCGTCTTCAATTTGATTTCGTTTGAAACGCCTGCAACATATTTACTAGATTTTATTCTCTTCTCTGAAGGAAACCAGTGGGTAGTATACTAATTCTACGTCTCAATATCCTATAATATTTTTGACATCATATGATACGAATTCATTTCTTCATTGAGCAACGACCTGTTCTATGCATGGGCGCAAGAAATAATAAATTTTAGTTCTTCACGAGAAAAGGCCAGCACACCATGTTGGTAGAATGAAGTTCTTTTTTTTACCATCCATTTTCTGTCATAAAATTGAATGTGCTATTTTGGTAATTTGATATTGAACGCAGTTTATTTTTTCTCTTCTGTATATGCCCTTGGATTCCAGTTAATAAAAAAAATTGTAAAATGAAATGGTTTCCAATTTATTCCAATCAGCCATATATTGTAAATTTAAGATGACATAGATGATGTAAGAATCTTCTCCGTACATCCAAGTATTGTTTGATGCGAGATTGCCGAGAAGAACGAGTATGAAAGGGAGAGAACAGAATGTAGTATCAATGGTTTGATCAATTGGGACGTTTAAGAGTATCGTGGGTTTTATGTAGGTTCTTGTTGGTTGGGCAATTGTGGAGGGCTGCTGATCCTGGGTCATTTTCGGCTTGAACCTTACAATCAGACTTGAAAATAAGATGGTCCTAGTCCGATTCTCGTCGATGTCTGTCCTGGATGGTCTATGCTTTACGTATGGTTTGGCTTGGAATCCCAAAATCAACTTTCTTGTGATGTGTTTGCTCTACTGTCAACCATGTGACCATCTGATACACTATCTCTCTTCTACCCCTCACTGACTCCTTTTTTCAGAGACCACGCACTTTCTTCTTATCCCAGTTGTAATACCCTTCTCAACCCAAGTAGGTCCAGATATCATGTTTGGCTGCACGCTCTCTATCTGGCTCTCTCTTCATCTGGTGCAAATCGTCACCAACCCGACTGTTCTTTGTACACAAGTTCCGTTTCTCCTCATGCAAATTGCAAGTCCCTCCTCTTGATCCAGTATGTTCTTCCTCTCGTGTATCCTCCACCCTCTCCTCCAATGGCAGTCTTTTCACTAATCCTGACAGTTACAGACATGGCAAGAAAGGTTGGGTTGAGACTTCATAGGGACTCACTTAGAGAATGATTTGTGGCCTTTTATCAGGGCCTGGATGGGGTTCAGGCATGTGGGAGACGCCTCAGTCTTGGTCGGGTTTGGCAAGGCCTATGGATGGTCTGACCAATTGATAACCTTGATTTTCGTAGTATTTTTCCATTTTTCATTGTTTTATTAACTGATGACCTACTCACTATTCTCCGAGGGTCATTTCAGAATGCCCACGATTGTTTTTCTTGATTTTCTTTTTTTTTTCAAGTGAAGGCAAATGACTATGAAATTGAAGATCAGATAAAAAATCTCCAGGATGAGGTGGATAGAGCTACTTCATCTATGTCAAGGTTACTTAATTTTGCTCCTATTAAATATGCAGACTCGTTTTAATTATTTAGTTACCTGGTAATATTCTTTTATTTACAGACTGCAGGAAAAGGAAAATGAATTATCAGAGAAGTTATTGATGATGAAAAATACTGCAAGGGATACAATTAAGGAGGTATGACTGCTAGTGTGTTTAATGGTAGGAGGTTGATGTCCCCCTCAGTAACTCGTTTAATGAATTATAATATCAAATCTGCATTTTTTTCCTTTTTCATAGTAGCTTGTCTTGTCGCTAGTGAGCATTGGAAGTTGTGGTGTGCTTTTCAATGATTTCCTTACAGTAGATTCTTTTAAGTAAAATTTTTTGTTGCGTACAATATGCTTGTCGCTTGTTTAGCTAGCTGATTTGCGATGTTAAAGCTGTAGATAGAAGAAAATGAGAGGAAGCACCGTAACATGCTGAAAGAAATTTCTGAGCTTAAACAATGCCAGACAAACAAGGTACACTATGATTTATCTACCGTGTCCATTTTTACTCATATATATGGTGATGATTTGGTTCTTGATTTTGATTTTCCTGTACTAGGTGCTATGACTATTTGGTCTTTGTTCATGCTCTTAGATTTTTTGGGACACCACTTGCGCCTTTTATTTCAGGTTACAGCTTTTGGAGGAGAAAGGGTTCTTAGGCTTCTTCAGATGATTGAGACAAATGAAAGAAAATTCAAGAGTGTTCCTATTGGTCCCATTGGAGCACATGTGGTGAGTACATGCACTGTTACCACATTCTTCAGTTCACGTATGCATATTTGTCAAATATTTCCTGATTTTTTGTCGGGGAATTTTTCAGTTCACGTATGCAGCTTATCGGTATTTTTTCTCTTTTCAGTTATTTTAACCAGTGTACTCTTTAATTTTTTTGGTGGAAATACGTACCCTTGGGTAACATACTCGCGTTGTTGGGTAATTTGTTTTTTGTTATGGGATAATGAAGAGTTGATTTCTCAGGACTGGTGCTTGAAAGGTTCAGGGGCAATTATTCTTGTTTTTCTCAACTTCTGTTTTTCTTTAATAATAATTTATACTGGGGTTATGAAATTCTGATTCTTCGAATATATCTTTTCAAAGAAAATAAATTTTACGGTTGGTCATTAGCTTTGTGAAATCTTTGTTGGTAAATGCAACGCTGATAATTGCTTCAGACGCATGGTGTGGTGTGTATGATGTCGTGCTCAAGTCTTCCACAATTTTTCATGGTTTGTGTTGGTGCAGAATCCTAAAACACTGGCATATTCTTGATGTCATGTGTCAGGTGGACTTGGTAGATAATGGCCTTGATTGTCTTTTTGTAGTATCTTAAGGAGGAATTATATTTTATTGATTGTCTGAAAAGCTGGTCTGGCAGCGGGACAACCAGGGTAGGTTTTTTATTCATTTTGCTGATAGTGGGGGAAGACCAGTATACTGTCTCCGTGTGTAGTTGCGTAATGATCAAGCCTAGGAGCTTGAAATATTGTAATTTTTTTATTAATAGAATGAGTGTTGAAGCATAGTTGCGTGAAAGGAAATCCGAGTATCCAGCAGAAAAAGGATGCAATGACGGGGCTGAACACAGAAAGTATCGTCCCCTGGAAATTGAAGCTGCAGATCAAGGATGGACGCATCATGTTATCAAGGATGGGGAAAATATCTGCATGACTCGGAGGTGGCAGTGCCACACCATCTCATGTTAAGAAAACCCAACAGTTGGTTGTCTGCTGAAAACACCTTTTGAAGGTCCGTTGTGCTCTTGTTTGAAAATCAACCTGCTTAAATCATGGGAATCAACACTCAGATTTTATTTCATCGGCAAAGACCATGCTTCCGTTTTCTCTACGGCTTATAGCTTCCCCAGAGAATACCATGCATCTCTGCAGGAAACTTGGGTGCTTGACTTATGCACTCTTGGACATCTATGGAATATTTAAGGATGCTTCTTTGTTGCCTGGTTTTAAACTGGACTCCAAAGGAGGTAATTTGGTCTGCTTCCTAGCTGGCCTGATGAGACAGTGATACAACTCTCAATAACTGTGGTCGTATCAGATAGACTCTCTGTCAAATGTCAATGGTTGGGGTTGATATGCCAGCTTGTTACAAAACGTTACCAAATACCTGGATACATTGCTGTCTCAAACCAACGTCGAGTCGATCTATATGTTGCCAGCTGATTTCTCAAAGAGTTATTTCAATTTCATTGGACGATGTTTCCTCTATATTTCTTCCCCTTTAGTTTGACTTATTTCTCTCCCTTAACAATATACAAATCCTGAAAACCTTTGAATCACCGCAGACATTATCAAATGGTGGGGTCTGGTCATTGGCCGTTGAAACAGCCATTGGCAGATTGCTAGATGCTTTTATAGTGACAAATCACAAGGACTCGCTTCTTTTACGAAGGTGTGCTAAAGAAGCAAATTACGCCAACATTCAGATCATCATATATGATTTTGCCAGACCAAGGTTGGGTTTTTACCTTCCAAAGTACGCGTTTTCTTCAATAATTGAGTTAATTGATTTTGCTACCTTGACATTTTTTATTGGTTTCCTTCCAGGTTGAGTATCCCCAATCACATGCTTCCTAAGACAGGCCATCCAACAGTTCTTTCTGTTCTACATTGCGACAATGACACTGTTATCAACGCTTTGGTGGATATGGTCTGTTTAGGACTTTGCTTTACAGATACTTCATTCCATATTTTTCTCAATTACGTGATTTATATTATCTTGAAGTGGTTTAATCAGTTCCATGTGATTCTGCATTCTTCTTATGTATGATGTTTTTAATGTGGTTGTTATGATTTTTAAGGCGAGCATATTGTTTATTATGGATGTTGTCGTAGCTAATGAATGAATGTTAATCTTGATGTTGAGCCTTTGCTATGAGTTGGAACCATTTGCTGGTTGTACGTATGATATCATTCGATCATGTTACATTCTTTAACTGCAGCTAAATGAGCAAAGCTTTACTCTGAAAACGTTTGATGTGGTACATATCTTCATTTCTTTCCTTCTAGCTGAATATAATGCTGTGAATCTCATTTGGAAAGTAATGTGAGATGAAAGAGAAGTAAGATTATACATTTGGAGGCTGGAAAATGCACTGAGGGGGAGGGAGGAAGAGAGAATGTTTCTTTATGTGTCTTCGTTGTCCTCCTTTTCCTTTTTTCATTTTTTTTACCTTTATATTTTTGAAACGTTTTAATGCGCCATTATTGAGTTAACTTGGTTTTCCCTAAATTTACTTATTTGGTCATGGACAAGGATGGGCTTTGTCAAATTTTTAATTGATGACATCTAATTGGCATGCCTATCCTCAAATCGATTTACGTGGTCATTCTTCATCCAATTTTTTTTTGAGAGATGGCCTTGGCTTAAATTAGTGATGATCATTTTTGACTTTGTCATTGCCAATGTCTTTGGTGAATCTATCTACCCAATTGGCGTTATAATTAATAACATTTAGATATATTATTCTTAAAAACAGTCTCTTGAATTAACTTTTATTTGATCCATGATTACCTCCTGTATTTTCGTCATACTTGGAGCTCGTATGAATATGCATAGTAGAGGGAATCTCAAATGAAAACTTCTCAACGATGTCTCCAATAATGCAGTTCTAGTATCTTGGGCACATGACTTGGCTTTGTTTGAACTCACACACACACACACACACACACACACACACAGGGTCGTGTCAGCAATATAGCTAGCGGCACTATTATGCTTGGGTATTGTTTGGGATTTCTAGTGTTGTGGATAGAAATATAATTTATTTCATGTAATTGAAATGTCTTTCTAATTCTGGTCAATGTATTTAATCCGAAAAACTTGTTTGTATGCTTAACTTAATGTTGGGTGATAAGAATAATTTTCTTGGTCGTCTAAACTATCCATGATTTGGGAATATCTTAATTAAGAAATTAGACTATTGGTCTTACTTTTATGAAGAGACTTGGATGGATCATATAGTCATATTTTTCTAACACTATATAGTGTATTGAGATATAATATGCCTGTCAATTGTCTTAGCCAACTCTCGTTAATAGAGAAATTATCTGTAAACTCATGGGCAATGCATAAAATTCGTTCTTCCAAACATTTCACATAAAAGGGGCATAGTTCTTTCAATCATTACAAGACTATAACCATGCACTTGATGTTCCAATAGGTCGCAATTTACACGATTCAATGCAAATTTCAACTCTATTGAAAATGTTTACCCTATTGCGAACCTTGGAACTAGTTCGCACAATATAATTTCAATTTTCAATATTTTCCATTGATAGTTAATGCCACATTGGCCAGGCTTGCTTTTTGAGAAGTGAAACAAAAGAAGGGTTCTGATACGATCCTCTTTGGAGGGATCGGATTGGACAAGTCATAGAAAGGAAATCAGTGATGTAGATTCAACAACTTGGACGGTACAGTGTTGATAGAGCGTCAGAATGACGGTTCTATCGAAATAGACGAAAAGGAGAGAAGTGGAATGGGGATGGGATTTAAGAGGATCCCCAGCTTCTCCAGGTTTAGACTCTTCCTCCCTTATTCTGTTTCGCTGAGCGCTATTTATAGTTCTCGGTTGAACTCGTCTGAGACTTCCGATTTATGGAAATCTCGTGAAGTTTCTCCCACGTGATGCACGCGTGTCTTCCCCTTCTGCTTTATATATGTTATTAGTGGGGACGTGCCAGGTTCTTACAATCTATCTGATAGAAGCTGGCGGCGGTCTGTCAATGTTCTGTCAACCCAAATCTGTTGTTTCCATGTATGCAAAGTAATTCATTTCCAGAACGGCATGCAAGGTTGGCAGTGCACTGAACATTACCTATTACTGCGGCCATTCATAGTTTTAAAAATCATCCAGTCTAAATTGAGATTGAATTCTAATTGAAGACTGTTTGCGAATTCATTTTATTTTCACTAATTAAGGCCCAATTATCAATTACAGTGCACCCCCCAAGTGAATCATATTCTGCATGGAACAAAGAAAATGTTCCCTGGAAGACGAATGGGAATCCTGTGAATAGTTCTTGCAGAAAGAAATTTGATGCAAGATTAATATCCTGTGAAGCAGTTGCCGAATCATTTTCAGCTATTTTGTTAAAAACGTCACTTAAAATGCTCTATGGCCTCTCACTCCTGGTCTTCTCCTAACTTGAAAAGTTTGGATGGTTATGTTTGCATTAAAATTTTCTCTTCCTTTTCATCATAAAATGTTTGACTATAATTTGCTTTGTTTTTTGTCTTAAGGCAAGCGTTGAAAGACTAGTTCTTGTCGAAGATTATGACACTGGGAAATCTGTAGCATTTGAACAGAGACCTCAAAATCTTAAGGATATATATACTTCTGATGGATTTAGAATGTAAGTTAATCCAAAACTATCATTATACTATCTATAGCGATTTGCATCGTAAAGTTAACCTTTGATTAAAATACTTGACATCTGGCGTTTCTTGCTCTAATCTTCTGCAAATTTTACAATGTAGGCAAAAGCATCTTTTTATGGTTCCCTTGTCATGATTATATTAAACATAATTGACAGTCTTAGAGCCGCCTATATGTTCTATTTAAGTTCTGCTTATCTTGGATTGTCATTCTTGTGTAGGATTTACTAATATTATGGTTTCTCTATCGACACTTAATATATTCAGTGAGAGAGTCTTGTCTGACACTTTACCCAGTACAATATGAAAGTTAAGGATGGACTGATACAGATGCTAATGTTAGTAGTTATGCAAATACTCCGAGTGTGCTTCTTATTTTTGAATTTTAATACAATTTCGAGACTAGATAGAATGGCTGGAGTTGAAAGATAGAATGGCTTATCCATTATTCAGATATTTTTCAGAGACCTGAAAGCAAAAATTCCTAAGTTAATTGTTAAGTTCCAACAAATCTTCCCATTTGAAGTAAAAGTTCTGCCTTCCCTTTTCTTTTTTTTGATGTCATCGTTATGAATAGCATTTCTTCCTTCTACTACATAACTTTATTGTATACACTATTCTGCATATGCACCACCACCCAGATGTAGTCCTGCACCTGACAGCAACTGCATCTTGAAAAACGGTTAGACTGCATCTCGTTGACTTTATATCCATATTATATCGTTCCTTTTGGCTTAAGGAACAGAATTAACTAATTAACGACGGCTCTGGTAATAGTATACTTCATCTGTCACTCAGTACCAGAAGTCTGGAACTAATTAAGCATGTAATAGTATACTTCATCGGTATCCACAGGTTCTTAAGGGGCCCTGTCCAAACTATTCTTCCTCCAAACAAGCGGGCCAGAGCTGGGAGGCTATGCAGTTCAGTTGGCGACCAAATTTCAAGATATGAGAAAGAGGCCATGAATGTAGAAGAGGTTATTCATCATGGAAAAGTTAGAAAAAGGGACTTTGACGCACAGGTTCAGAAATCCGAACGTGAACTTCAGAATATTAAGGTAAACGGTAAACAACGAAGGGGCCTACTGTATTCTTTCTAAATGGCATCTTTTATTTCATTTCAGAGACATTAATGGAAATGCTGAATGATGCCGTTTTAATTCTTTGTTTCATTCTAGAGGCAACGTGTTGACATTGAACGCTCGGTCATGTCTAAGCGTCTTACTTTGCTAGATTTGAAGAATAGTTTTGCCGCAGAACATAATACCGATCCAATGTCAAGTGCCAATGAACTTCAGCTGGAAATTTCAGTATGTTATAATTGCCTTGTCTTATTGATCTCTTTTTTAAATTGTGTCTAACTTTTCGTTTCCAACATTTACAGAAAGTAAAACAAGAAGTTCAAGAAAAGGAGGCTTCATTACAGGATGTCAAAACGAAAAGGATGAATGCAGAAGAGAAGGCCAAAGGTCTAAAGTTATCTCACGAGAAGTTACGTGGTAAGAATTTTTCGTTTTGCCTGTTGGCTTACATTGTTCTTCAATTTGTACTATCCAATTTTTTCTATCACATGGTATCATTTTTTTAGAATGATTAATTTAGTGCAGACCTATTATCCTTGAAAAAATCTTTCATAAGTCAAGTTTCTTTAGATCTATGACTGGGAATAACTGGGAATCTAAATTGAGGAAAGATCTTTGTTTCTGTCACTCATTAAAGTGTTCGAGAGTTATGGTGAGGAAATCAGGTTTGGATGGGATCCCCCTTTCTCGTTTTTGGTGTTTCTGAGTCTTGTGGATCCAATAGTCCGAAAATCTGAATTTATCGTCGTCTGATTATATTGAATTATCACCAAAATGGATAACCAGATACACCTGAGTTTGGCTGCAAAACCTTGTGGAGAAACCTGAGGTAAAACCCAAGTTAACAATGATAACTAGCCTATAAATTGACATAATAGTCATGAAATGTTCCAAAGTGGAATTGCATTTGCATCTTAATACAGGACAGTTCATCGCTCAGCATCTGATTCAGAATGTCATTGTTCACCAGAGCAAGCTTCTTTTGCGCCTTAATATCTCCTTCGTTACACTCTTTACTTCATTTAAGTGATGCAGATAGAATGTCTTTGTGGCAGAATTCGAGGTACTGGATTGGCTTCATGCTACAACAATTTCATAGGCATAATAGTGCTGGAGTTCTTTGAGGGATTGGACGAAACTAATTGACTAGAATAGGCTGTATTAAGGGAAGCAGTATGATGAAACTCTTGGTTAAGACGATCCAATATTAGCGATTTACATTTCCAGCCATTTATCAGCTGGATCCTAATGAATACATTGTCTATCACAGGCATGAGATAAATGTAAAATAAAGGTAATTGTAACATTATGAAAGCATTGCAAAATTGTATTGCCTTTGTCTGTCTAAAAATGCAAAGTCATCATGATAGTTTAGTAATATGTTGAATACTTGAGGTCATATTCCTTTTTATAAACTCGACTCTTTGAGTATTGGAAGACAGTCGCCATGTTTGTCTGGTTCGTTGTGGTTTTGTGTAAAATATTTAGTCCAATATTGCTTAGCTTACGCCAATGAAACCGAGCAAAGATAAGATGAGCTCTTCACTTTGGAAATGAGAAAGGAAAAGTGCCTGCATCTCATTAAATCGTTGAAAGTTGGAGGGATTTTTCAGTCTCTTTGAAGGCTCATATCAATTTATTTTTGGCTGAGTCATTGGGATAACCTGTCAATGTAAAAGATGCATGATGGACTTTGGGGATGGAGGGAAAGACTGCGACTATAGTAGATAGAGCTTGACCTTTGTTTACTATAACATAGATGGAGAGGAGTTGCTGCCTTTATGATATCACACTGATATTGACCAAATGTTCCGAGTTGGTGTTGGATCCGATTAGAAAGATTCCGGGAGGAGGCATATCTGCCTGATACTATCATTGGTTACCAAAGTCCATAGGATTTCTGACTATACCAAGGGCAAAGGGGCAGTTTTGTCGATCACCCATGGCGGGCACATGATGGGATTTCCAATTGAGAATAAAAATCGAAGAATGAAGAACTGGATGTAGGATTTCCTCTTGAAGTAATACTCTTTTAAAACATGAAATCTCACAACTCGATAAATCCTGACATGCTTATTGATTGGCACCCTGGAAAATTTTGAGTGATACAAGTTGATTAAGTTATAAGAAATGGTTAGAGTCACAACCTTCTTTTTAAATAAAAATTTACTGCCCAAACTATTGTAATTTATTTGGTAATGCCTTTAATGCATCTTTATATATAATTAAAATTTCTAAGATGCGGTTTTTTATGACATGAATCATACTTTTCTTTCTGGAACCCACCCACGTTTTGGCCAATCTGATACAGACCCTGATCAGATTGGTTCCTAGCCCCTTAGGAAACCAGTATGATTTGGAAGTCCATGTTATTCATTTGCTCTTTTTTTTTGACATATTTATGAAGTGGCAATTTTTGTAGATTTTCTGTTGGAGGCTCTTGACCATTCCCTTTAAGGCATCATTTTTCTTCTTTATAGAAGCTGGACAGTAAATTAGTCAAAAAAATGTGATTACATAAGAGAGCTATAATTTATATACCGCCAAAATGTATTTGTCCATGATTTCGTCCGTACGTGGCCCAAAAGAGAGTAAGGAATGAAAAAAGAGCTTGAAATAACATTCAACAATGTGATCTATACAAATCACCTGTGAATAACTCACAGCCATGGGGAAACAATCGTTATGATCGCTCTTTTCTCTGCCATGTTATGAGAATAGGAATTATTTTATTGATTAAATTTGGTGTGTGAAATTTTTGGCTGCAATCTTTCCTAATGTTCTGTATGATGAAACTTCAGAGTCAACAAAGGAGGAAATTCAAGCTATTGAGGAAGCAGAAAAAGATTTGTTGGTAATTGAGGAAAGATTGCATTCGGCTGAAAGAGTATGGCACATTCATCTTCGTTGTCATGTTTCACTTTCCTGTCTTAACAACTGATGTTTTTGAATTCTTTTCGCAGGAGAAATCTCATTACGAACGGATCATGGATGAAAAAGTTCTTTCTGATATAAAAGAAGCGGAGTCACTTTCTCAGAAGCTTCATCTTGAACGCCAAGTATGTTTTTCATTTGTAGCCTTTGTACTATCCCTCCATTGGTAATGGTTTACTGAGCTTCGTGGTGTTGTTGCTTGTTTCACGTCTAATGCCTGAGCCATCATCTTTGAGTCATGGATCAGTTTATTTCTACAGTTTCCCTCAAGCCAGTACCTGTCTTCTTCAAGTCTCTCTCCCTTTGTCTTCCACCCGCATGTTATTCTTCTCACATACAATACCAGATGCTGTTCCTACGTTACCCTCTTTTCTTCGATTCTTCCTCCTCTTTGTTGCTGCAAACCTCGTTACGAGGACGGACACTCAATGATGCAACTTTACCCTATTCTTGTTGATAGAAAAGATATCCGAAGGAGACAGCGAGGAGACAACAGCCAGCCAAAAAGATGGCGACGTTGGCTCCCCCTTCAGTCTATTTATAGATAGGGCAAACCCGAGAAAGATTACACGAAAAAAAACTCCTGTTACAGGGGCGATAGGGATAAAATCACAAATCCCCTCCTATATCAGCAGAGCCATCGCTTGTTTCAGGAGCTGCCGCAACATCTTGTCTTCATTGATGACCATAAAAATATTAGCTTGATTTTGAAAAGAAAAAATGCCTTCATTAAATACCACTTTCTACTCTTGATTTGTTTTCGCCCTTTTTAACCCAATAAGTCGCTTTACCTTTTCTATAAGACCTCATATTCTGCTCTCAAATCTGCTGATATGAATTTATCACCGCACTGATATGGAAGGTTAGCGTACATATGCTGGCTGACATTTACGTCAGAATGAAAACTGTTGCAACCGGATCTATCTTCCCTACTTGAAAACACATCCCCGAACGTCCTGGTGGTTCGTTGGTTGCAATTTCTTGATCAGCGTGGTAGTGATAGTTGTAGCTTGTTTTTAATGTGTCCGTGAGTTTGATACTGAAATTGATGTAAATCATGCATTATGGTCCCAACCTTTTAAAACTTTGGAATGTACCTATTACATTCATTTTTGTATTCTCAGGAGAACTTTGAGAAGGCATCCAAGATTTGCTCAGAGGCAGAAATGGAATCTGTGGGAGGTTGCTCTGGAATCAGTTCAGAACAACTTAGCGTACAGCTAAAGAGAATAGATCAGAGACTAAGACATGAGAGGCAGAGGTTGCTATCCATGGGAGCAAACTGAACTATTTATTTTCGTTATTGAACTATTTATCCTAGCCGATTTCATTTCTGAATTTATCTTGTAGGTTTTCTGAATCTATCGATGATCTCAGAGCAACATATCAGAGAAAGGAACAGAAAATCTTAAAAAAGAAACAAACCTACGAAGCTTTTCGTGAAAAGTTGCATGTACGTATCTATTTTTAAGAAATTTTCGTACAAAGTCGAAGTATAGCATATTTTTTCTTTCTCAAAGCTCCTCAATCTAACATTTCTGGTCAGGAATATTGTTGCTAACATCCCTGATTGCAACCAAAAGTTTGAATGGCGGAAATCTGAGCTTGCAACAAATGAAGCTGATACTCGTTATGAACTTAAATGAACTTAGCTTCAACACGCATCCATGCATGCATGCATGCACGCACAGTTCCAGTTTTATTTATAGATACATAGACTCAAGCTTTAATTAGCATACTACCTTTTGGGAGTTTTACTTTCGTGGTTCATCGATTCAAACTCTAAACATTATCCTGCAGATAATTTTTAACTGGTCGCGTTTCTGTGTGAGGCAACTATTCTTTGAGATTTGATAGGTTTCCTTTTAGCCAAGTTCGGTGGAGAGAGGATCCCTGCTTTATTTTATAGTGGTTCCTGTCCAACTGCATATGGTGCACGAAGTATCTGTCATGTGAGTCAATGCCGAGACAGATTTGTGTTGCTGACCACAGATTGACGAGGCTTGTCAATAACTTGTCACTGATATGATTTTATGTAGATATGTTAAGATAACAAAGGAAGCAATCATATTCTTCTTATGGCAAAGTTTGTCACACTCAATGGAAACCCATCAAGTTGGATAGGAAGTGTTTTTTTATTTTTTTGCCTTTTACTGACGATCATATTCTCTGGCAGTTTAATCTCTTCTTGACTCGATTTCCATGAAAATTGTGCAGGCATGCCAGAAAGCACTCGATTTACGTTGGAACAAGTTCCAGAGAAACGCCACTCTTCTGAAGCGTCAGTTGACTTGGCAGTATGCTCAGCTCCTCCTACACCGATTATCATGTTTGGTGAATTTCTTAGTTGACCTCTTTCTTCCCCTTCACAGGTTTAACAGCCATTTGAGGAAGAAAGGAATCAGTGGGCATGTCAAAGTTGACTACGAGACCAGAACCCTGTCCGTGGAGGTGAAGATGCCTCAAGATGCATCAGGCAACGTTGTCCGTGACACAAGGGGTCTCTCAGGTTGACTTGGCAGTATGCCGCTTTCTTCCCGGCAATTATATCCGCATATATGTTGCCGATGGATTTTCTCGCGTCTTATCAGGTGGTGAGCGTTCTTTCTCCACGTTGTGCTTCGCGCTGGCCCTCCACGAGATGACGGAGGCGCCGTTCCGCGCCATGGACGAGTTCGACGTGTTCATGGTGAGCCCATCAAACCCCTCTTCGTGCTTCGGAATGCACGGTAGCGCTGACCTCGATCTCTCCGCGTCAGGACGCCGTGAGCCGGAAGATCAGCTTGGACACCCTCGTGGAGTTCGCCGTGGCGCAGGGCTCGCAGTGGATCTTCATCACTCCCCATGACATCAGGTCGGCAGCGGTCACCCTTCTCCTGCGATTCTTGTGCCTGGTTTTTCGCTTGCCGTCCCTCAGGCTTCTTCTTCCCGTTCTCGTGGGGTTGCAGCATGGTGAAGAACGGGGACAGGATCAGGAAGCAGCAGATGGCAGCTCCTCGAGGTTAACCTGAGGAGGATCCTCTCCCTCACGGCGCCGCCATTGATGGAGCTCTGCTGGAAGACTGACGCTCACTCCGGTAGATATCAGCCACTTACGTAGCTAAGGAAGAAGAAGATCGACAGGGGCATGAACATAATTTTTCAATTATGGGATCTTAGCGAGAAATTTTTCATAATTCTTCAATTATGTGATACGGAAAATTGCGTACAAACCCCGGTGATTGTTGGTTCATGCGGTTTAGATGTGGGGTTCTTCCCTGGAGGGGGGTAGTTACGTAATTTTAAGAAACTCGGGCCTAGTTCGTCGACGGGTTCGAATCGAGGGGGACAGGACCAACGTCGTTGGAGAAACCGGTGGGGTGAGGAGAACTAACACCAGACAAATCTGCAGACTGATAAAGCGGGAAGATATGAAGAAACCAAGAAGGAAAAACAGCACCGCCACCCCGCCGCCGCCGCCGTCGGTGACCGCCCGCGAGCGTGAATGTGGCGGGGAAGGGCTGCGGGTGGGAAGGGGGAGAGGTAACTGCGGAAGCGGCGGTGGGATATGGGGGCGGTGGACCGTGCCTGAGCCTACAGCTCGGGCAAATGCTCGGCCGCGGCCGTGAGCCAGAGCCGGCGGTGGAGGAATCGCCGCCCGATTTCCATGGCCTCCGTCCCCCAGAGAAGCCTCGCAAGGTTGTGGCCTTCGATATTCAGCTTGACCCACTGCAGAACCCCCGGCGGCGGGAGGACGAAGAAGTGGCTCCCGACCTCACGGCGCCCCTTTCCGACGAGATCCTTCTCCGTATCTTCTCCCATCTCCCATCTCCGCTCCAGGTCTCCGCCGGCCTCGTCTGCAAGAAGTGGCTCCGCCTCCTCGGCCGGCTCCGCCGCTCACTCACGCTCCTCGACTGGTCCTTCCTCGACAGCCCTTCCCGTCGCCTCGTTGCTCGCTTCCCCGACCTTACCGACGTCGATCTCGTGCCGGCGTCCATCACCCCGCCGGTTGTGACCTCCGGGATCCTTCTCTCCCGCGGTCACATCTCCGTCCAGTTGGATTCGGACTTCGAGTCCTCCGAAGATTCCTCTCCAGATCTCGTCTCGGATGGCCGGTTCCTGCCGCCGGAGACCATGGACCGAGGTCTCGACATCCTCTCCGGGAGCTGCCCCAGCCTGCGGAAGCTCTCGATGGTCGCCGTCGCGTCAGATCGCGGCCTGATGAATGTTGCAGACAATTGCCCGACGCTGCTGGAGCTGGACCTCCACTGGTGCACTGACTCGTCTCTTAGCCCCATATCTGCTTTCAGCAACCTCCAGATCCTCAAGGTCATCGGATGCGTGGAGGGGCTTTTCAGGGGATCAGGGATCACCGACATCGGGTTGACAATCTTGGCCCACAGCTGCAAGCGACTGGTAAAGCTCGACCTGATAGGATGCGAGGGGAGCTACGACGGCATCAGCGCCATCGGGCGGTGCTGCTTGATGCTGGAGGAGCTGACGCTATGCGACCACCGAATGGATGCAGGCTGGATCGCAGGGTTGTCTTTCTGTGGGAATCTCAAGACCCTGCGATTAATTCATTGCCGGATCATCGACAAGGATCCCGGCCCCGTGGAGCACTTGGGATCGTGCGCCGCCATTGAGCACCTGCACCTGCAGCGGTGCCAGCTCCGCGATAAGAGAAGCTTGAATGCTCTGTTCTTCGTGTGTGAGGCTGTGAAGGATATCGTCTTCCACGACTGTTGGGGATTGGACGACGACATCTTTGGGACGGCGAGCCTCTGCAGGTAACCTGAATTGATCCTCGTCGTTTATCATCCGGGTTCAGCTCATTGTCTCAGACTTTCTATGAATCTATCCCAAACGAGAGTTCTGATCCTTGCCCAGTTCCAGGGCATGGATATCTCTTGCATCGGCGTTGTTTGATGGTCTCTGTTTCAACTCATTTGTTAGATCTCGGTCGGCTTAGGAAGCGGCAAACGAGATGCGATGCTGGTTTTTCTGATCATCGTTGTGAACATTCCTCCGAAGAAATCTATCAATCGCATCTGGCTCGTGATTCCTCCCTCTGAAAACTATTAGCTCGCGTTGAAATCGTGTTAGAACTTGATCAGAGTATGGATTTCTTGAGGCTTGCGACCGATGGGATCAAATGCTCAAAACTCGTGTGGGCTTTTTCCCCCACTTTGTGGGCGTCCGTCAGTCCATCTCATCAGAGAGAAAAAAAAAGCTCATTCCTTTTTTTTGTGGGTTTTCCTTCTCAGGATGGTGAGGTTCTTGTCTTTGGAAGGCTGCTCCCTGCTGACCACAGAAGGTCTGGAGGCGGTGATCTTGTCCTGGATGGATCTCCAGAGCCTCAGAGTCGTCTCCTGCAACAGAGTAAGAGACAGTGAGATCACTCCCGCCTTGGCCAATCTGTTCTCTTGGCTCAAGGAGCTCAAATGGCGGCCGGACTCGAGGTCTGTCCTCATGGAGAGCCTTGCGGGGACGGGGATGGGGAAGAAGGGTGGCCGACTGTTCAATTGGGTTTGAGCTTCTCTGAGACGAGAACCCCCTGATCGCTCTAAATTGCCTAAAATATATTATTTCCTTCTCCTCTTTTATGATGTAAATTCCCTATTTGTTAACATGAGAATTACTTATCGGAGAAGGCACTTTGGTCATTCGACTTTTGGGACGCTTTCCACTCTCTCTCTCTCTCTCCCTCTCCCTCCCCCTCTTTCAAGATCCTCCTCTCCCTCGATCTGAAATGGCAATCGCAGGCATTGAGGACTGTTAGTAGGCGATTACGGCTTATTGTTTAGGCCTGCTAGAGACGCAACTTACTTGCTCTGGGTCCAGCTCCATTTGTTGAGGGAGTGAGAAAGATTTCCCTCTTCACCGTACCCATCTACCCTCGGGTTCTCTGGGCACTGATTTCCCCTCATCATCTTCTTCTTCCGTAAAACCAGAATGCCTCCTTTATTGGCGGGTGAGATACCCACAGTAGAGAGAGAGAGAGAGAGAGAGAGAGAGAGAGAGAGAGAGGGGTTCGAAAGTCTCGTGATTTATGGAAAAGTTTGTAAAAAAGACTAAAACTTGAAATGTGCTATATTGTGGGAGACGAACCGTATGAAGCCGCAGCCGAATCCCGGCCAGACTGAGGTTACTACGTCAGCTTGCTCGCCACCTCGCTGTCCCAGAAGTCAGCAGCCGTGTGGTAACAGAGCTTGAGGAAGGGGGGGGGGGGGAATACCGGCGATGGCTGCAGACTCTGCCGAGGATTCGGGGCTCTCTCCGTTGCCGAACCCTGAGGAGGAGGTGCCAAAAGGGGTTCTGGAAGAGCTGCCTTGGCTCGACTACGCCATCGAGCGGGTACAGTTCCTTCGGGGTACCGTCGACGAGACCTACGGGATTGCCCGGACTCGGGTCTCCGACATAGGTTACACATCATCGGCTCACCTCCAGCAATCCGTTGCGGATTTGGGGGAATTTCTTGGAGATGCAAGAGCGTGGTACGCTCATTACGAGGCTGTAGCATTTGGCAAACTTAAAGGTGGAAACAATACTTCCACTCGTCGTCCCTGGACTGCCAGTCACGCTTGTTGGCTTCATTCTAACCTTCATCGGTCTTAACCATTTGCGTATTACGCTCTTGCAGAGGGGATCTTGGTAGCAGCTTCTCAACCGACTCTTTCTTGCGGTGTTGCAATGGGCTTGGGGATTTTTGCTTTAAAAAGTACGAATTCGATCCCGCGTTTTCTAACCAGTACTCTTGCCTTTGTGAAACAACGAGATTCATCAATGTTTCGATCCCGCGTTTTTCTGACTACTAAAAACATTACTGATGCTGTCATCCGTTTTCCTATCCTTTCTTGATACATCTATACTGATTCCACAACCTAGACATCTAAAATGGCACAATCTAGCCTTTAATTTTGAATTAAATTAACCTAAAACTATTACTACATCACAGGCTGATCAGACCAAAGCAGGGTTTCAATAGCAGATCTTTTCAGCTTCGCTTCAAAATTACCCAACGATTTAAGTCCCTTGGCAGAGATTTCTTAAGATATAAGACTGCTTTCATTGTCATCCATTAGGCACTGTGTAAGAAATGCAAATTTAGATTTAAATTCCCATGTCGTTTACCGGACTTTCTTTTTGTAACATAAATGACCTTACTTGTCATCACCACATTGGACTTGAATTTGATAATAGGACTGGTTCCTCCACATTTCATCTGTATCATCTCGCTTGAAGATAAGCAGCGATTCTTACGCCTTGACCTACATTTAATATGAAACTTGTGATAGAGGAAGTTATCTATTTTGCTTCAACACATTTTCTTCGCGTTCCTTTATCATATCCATTGGATGATACCAGTTCTACATACTTATTACTCTGCTATTTATTATGCACAGGGCCAAGGCGTTATCTTTTTCGCAGCACAATGCGTCTATTTATGAGTAGAGAGGTATTGAATGCTCTCCTTTTTTCTACTATTTATTTGCTTTTGCACAGCATCTATGCTACTTTTGAGGCATAGGAAGCAAATTATGATGTAAATTATTGGGCAACTGTCATTGTCCATCCCACAAAATATACTTATATCATGTTGGCCCCTGCACTGTTGTATCATAACTACTTTGATCAAGGTAAAAGGAAAAATCTTCGCCTCTTTCTCTACATCTTTCTGCTGGCCAAAAACTGAAATGATGCACGGTTAAACTACAAATATTTGCAATAGCAGAAACCTTATTCGCACAAATTGGTCAAAGAAGCTGTATTTGGTGCTCAAGTTCACTACTATTCATCTTCTAAAAAGGCTACAAGAACTTAAGTGTCCCTTAAAACGCACACAGTCACAATTTGAATATGCGATGATAAACATACTGTAAAAGGGTTCTGAAAATACAGGCAAATTAGAAAAAAGGTCATAAAGGCATTATGATATCGTAGGTTGCTTCTTCAAGCGAATGCCCTATTTCTGATAAATCCGCAACCGGAGTGTGCTTAAATTTGGATTACCATGAGTATTCAACATATCTCTGTTTGAAGTCCGTTGGTTTTTGTAATGCATATATGACTGGAAGAGTTAGTCTATTGCTCAACTTAATTGAGTGGTAAAGTGCGAGCTGATACCAATTCCAACAATTCAGACACTTGTCCTCATATTTTGTGTGTAAATATTCGTTGAGGTCTCTCCTTTTTCCCTTTGCTGGTACCTTCTATTCCAGATCTGAAGAATTTAAAAACGATTGCTTGATCAGATCTTTGTTTCTGTAAGCATACTGTTCCTTTTATGCTATTTGTAATGCCAAACCTTAACTAATTTTTTATCTCTTTCTCGTTTCCTTTCCCGTCTGATATTTTGATAGTATGATGAGAATCTCGATGGAAATGAAAGATTGGTCCATGCGGTACTCATATTCTTGTTAGATATTTAAGTTTATGTTTCATTTATAAAGGTAAAAGAATGAATGAGATATCCGCTAACATCTACTCTTACCCCGTGGCTGCAGTCTTCACTTTCTAGTGCGGAGATTAAAGTGAATATGATGAGGAAGTCTATTGACGTTATGAAGCTTGAAAGGCAAAAATTGGAGGTAATTTCATTTTCACGAGAGAACCTCATCATTCTGCTGCGCTCTTTACCAATGATGTGTGTTCCTATTCCATGTAAATGATGTCTGATATAATGCCATAATTCTTCCTTTATGTCTTTTTGTTACACTGTCGTTTTCCTATTATTCATCATCCCCGCTCTCATTATATTGAATTAACCTTTCCATCTGGGTTTGATGATATTCCTTTCACATTGTGTATCTCTGTTTTTTTAATTGCCTTCTTTATTTTAGTTTTTTATTGGTCTTAGTAAATTTCAAATTTATGTTATGATCTTAATGTTCTTAAAATTCTTCAGAAAATGTCATTGCCTTATAAATATCACACTATATTCAAGTGTAATTTATCTCTAATATTTAAATCCTAGCTTCTGTTGAACCATGTTTTAACGGCCAGCCTATACGTGGATATGTTTTACAAGTTTCATATTCTATCTGCTGGCTTTTCTAACCGATGAAGAAATACGGGTTCAGTAGGGGAAATATGAAACTGGGCTGAAAATTATTTCTGATTTGTGATTTATTTGTTTTTATGTAAGATATGCGGAATTAGCCTGTGTTTTTTGTATCTTTTGCCCTGGGTTATTTTTTTTTCTGGAATGTGGTACGATGCCACAGTTCATTACAGAGCAGAAAACACTTAATTCCTAAAGGGACGTCTCCCAGAACTGGAGACAAGATTGAGCCAGAGATCACTTAGGAAAAAGTTGCAAAGAAATTATCGTTGGGCTTTATTTGTATATTCCACCCACCCTCTCATTACGATGGTAATTACACGTTGCTCCTAAAATTCAGTTTGAGGAAGTTAATATAGTTTTATAAAAAGAATGAATATTCTTTTGAGTCCTAGAAACATTAAGTTTTCATCATACATAGGGCAAGTGACCACAGTGACCAAGATGCCTTTTCCTTAAGGAGCTACTCGATGCCTGGTTTCATGGGATCCACTGATTCCGAGGTTTGATTAGTGAGCAACTATCCTCTGGCCGGCCCAAGGCTTCATCCATAGCCTGTAAACTGCCTGCAACACCAGATTTAACGAAAAGGTAAGTAATAGTTTCCTCACTCGTATCACAAAGATGTATTCATCCCAACTGTCTGGTTGTTTTTTCTAAGCTAAACTCACCAGTCATTTAGAAACTGGCTAGCATAAATGTAAAAGGCTTGGTAGGCGCTCACCTTCTCTACATAGAAAGGATATTATTTTCTCCAATCCCACCAAATTCCAATTTCCGGATTGAGAATGTTTGATCCTTCTATCCAGTTGGCCAATAGGCGAAAGGTAGATGTCCAAATGGAAAGAAATATTTTGCATTTAAAAAAGACCCTTCACATCACGCAGTAAAAAAAATTATGTGACCTTTCATAAGTTGATTATCTATATTTTTATCGAATGAAAATATAATTGTGTATTTTCATATTTTTGTGTCCAATCTTAGCTAGTGATATATGTGGGGTGGTATAACTCATAAAGCAGCAGTTCTGACAAAATATCATGTTGGTAACTATTGCACTGCCGGAATGAAGTTGCTCTGATGTCTTAGTTTCCGCATTCAATCAAGTTTTATATATTTTTGACGATTCCTGGACGCGCGCCTATATACTCTTTGATGAGATAGTAGACCGCAGATTTTCTTCACTGGATTCATTTTACACATAAATGGAAACTTTTTTTCTCGGTTATAATAAGTTATTTGGGCTTAATTTTGTTTCTTCATTGAAGTCATTAACTTATACTGCAGTTAACCGAAGGTTGCATTTGAATACCTTTTTATTCAGAATAAACAACCTCTTATGCAGTGTATCATGTTCGAAAATTTCAGGAAAGAGCTTTAATGGCAAAAAATCAAATGGAATGGGGCAAGACGGAGCTAAGGTGAGATCTAAATCGCCATCTTATTTCGGCCTCTGTGTTCAGTAACTACCCATTCTAATATGCCTGTTTTCTTTGATTGATGTCGACATTCAGAAAGACTAGCAACCAGATTCAGGGTATTGTTCATTCAATTTACAACATTGAAAGACAAGCACGAGGTATGTGGTACTTACTAGGTGCTAAATTATGCAAGAGCTTGCTACTTTTGTACGATGTGGTTGGTCTTCTCTGTAGTCTGATGTTTATAAGCATGCAATTCATGGCGGTAGGTTTGAAGTCTATCCTCCAACAATTTCCCCGGAGACAAAGATCTCAGATTTTATCAAAGGTTAGTTTCCAGCTAGACGGCGTGGGATGTTGTACCGTATACTTTACTACCATTGCGCTGAGACTGGCCGATCGTATGCTTGATCATTATGGTGTTTTCTTATGTATGTTGATTGATGAGTCTTACCTAGCATGCATCATTTGACAAGTCCCTCAGTTATTCAGCCCACTTTCTATTAGGTACAGTTGCATGGCGTTTCATACCTCAGAAAAGAATGCTGGCCTCTCATCAGGAGATTATATTCACTCTTAATCCCTACAGTGAGTTCTATGTTTCTGTGTGATTTGCAGTGCGGTCTGGATCAAGCTCAAAATATATTTGAAGCTTTGTTTAGGGAAAACATATTTGAATGGCATTAGCTGTCGTGTCAAACATAAATTAATGCATTATCAAGATTCTTTTTCAGCTTCAAGTTCTCATTACGGCAAGCTAGGCAAAATGTCGGGGTTTTGTAATTGTAAGTTCCGAAAGCTTTCTGAAGATGCGGAAATTTTTCTCTACCAATCTTGGGCATGATTTTATTTCGGGGTTCTTAGTGAATGAATCAATGCGTATTTATTGGCAAAATATTGGGTCGGAGAAATCTATATGAATTCAAAGAAACTCTTTGTAGTTTGCGACATGGAGACTCTTGGATTGATGCATTTCTTACCGCTTTCCCTGATTCCCCCCATATATCAAGAAAGAGGAAACAATACGGCTACAGAATATGGTACAAGCGTTACTATATCTCGTTGTGTGGTGGTCTGTACACAAACTTATTTCTGTTCTATTTTTTCCTCGGAAAGTAACTTCCTATGTGGTGGTCTGTGAGAATTTACTGTCACAACTTATTTTCCAACTACGAGAGTACTTAGCTGGCCTTTCATGTCATTGCATCCACAGGTTTCTTCTCTTCCATACGAAGTTCAGAAGGAGAAAAAGTCACTCGATAAAATGCTCTCCAGAATCTGTGACCACAGGATTTCAACCTGAGGATACGATGCGCTCTCAGAGGTTTCTTTGGTTTTATGATGCACCTATTTGATCCTCCCATTAATATGGAATCCCTTCTCAGTCCCAATGGGGCGTGCGATGTCTATCCCGTGAAGGAAGTTCTCATTAGACCAGAGAAAAGCGTTCCTCTTCCACAGTTCCGCCTGTGACAGCGTTCCTCCTGTTCCCCCGACGGATTTTGGACTCGATTGTTTGTTTGCTGTGGGGAAACATTCAGATTCCTGCGAGCATGGACATGGGCTGTTCTGATTCTTCGATTGGAAGGTTTTTTTTTTTTTTTTTCAATCATTCTAGGACAACTCTCGATTCTTGTTGACATGGTGTATCGCCATCTGGAGACAGACTATTTTCGGGTTTTTTTATAAAAAAACTCGCGACTCTTACTGGGTGGGGTGTTTTAAGCAGGCTTAGAACACAGCATTTCATTTGGAATCAGATTTCTATTAGTCAAATGCTGCGCTTCTGTGCTGGACTGTTTATCTTGAGAGTAGGTACAGAGGAGCTCGCAACCCCTTTGGATCCCGCAGCTTTCACTTTCGATTATTCAATTGGGAGAGAATAAGTTGAGCAGAGGGCGCCGTGAAGGAAGCGATGCCTATCCTCTTCCCACGCCTCGGCGGCCCACTTCTCACTAGGGGGGCTCGCGAGAGCTAATCAGCGGCGGCGCCGCCCGCTTCTTCGCGGAAGGCCCCCGAGCTGATCAAAGACTGTACCATCGCGGCGGCATCTGAGGGCAGGGACAGCTGGTACTGGCGACACCGACGGTAGGCCGGCCGCCTCCTCCGCGGGCAGGGTAGTCCACGTTGTCGTCCTGACAGTTTGGTCGCCGTTCCCTTCCCCCGTGGTGGTCTCAATTAATTCCTCCACCTGCGCACGGCGAACCGCCGTGGCCGGTAGCGCCACCGGTGAGAAGGCGTACGCGCCGCCGCGGTAGTTCCGGCCCGCCGTGACGAGCTTGGGGTAGGTGGTCGAGGGCGCCGGCGGCCGACCCATGGAATTTCGCGACCTTGGAAGTGACTCCAAGACGGGCATTTTCAGCCAAGTCCCGTCCCAGATGATACTCCAGGGATCACCACCACCTCGACTTCAACGACACGTCTCTCTCTCTCTCTCTCTCTCTCCACACCAACGCGAGAACTCGAGCTTCTGCAGCTGCCCGACTGAGAGTGTGGCATGGCAGCGGGGGGGGGGGGGACAGGAGATCACGTGGGAGGGCCACGCCGTTCTGGCGGGCATAGAAGAGTCACCATCGGGCTCCCCTCGCCGTCCGTCCCCACTCACAGTCCCTCTACTCCGCTCCCCTCGAAGGTCCCAACTTGCCGGGTGAAAACGTCGGGGTTGGCTGCCCATCAGAGCAAAGATAGAAGGAAGAGGAGGAAAGTGAGCGAGGTTAAATTCGATTATCCCGCTGTCATTTCTGCCAACGGATCATCTGGCTGTTGAGGCCGCAAAGAATAAGGGTGGCCACCTCTTCGCCAGCATCTGTTGCAGGTCGTCAGTGGTTGAGATCAGGGGGGGGGGGGGGTTTCCTAATTGAGAGATGACAGAATCCGGCCGCCCCTCCGATTGTGGAATCTGAGTTAGAGCGGATGGGAGGAGGAAAGGGGAGAGAAAAAGCCAGTCAGCCGTGGAGTTTCTTTGGGGGAAGATGAATTGATGATGATGATGATGATGGTAAACGAGGGGAAAAGAAAGGGAAGGAGGGGGAGGGTACAGGAGGCATCTTCCCGTGGATGCCGGGGCCCACGTGCTCAGGATACCTTGTAGTCATGGAAGAGCAGCTCCGGCCGCGAGGAGGGCGACGTTGCAGCGGACCCACCGCCGTGGTGGCGGAGGATGAGCTCCTTCTGTCGGCGGAGCTCCATGACTTTGCGGTGGGAGTTGGAGTGTTTGGTGAACACAAAGGTAGGGCTGGCTGCAGGGCGGTACTCCGGGCGGCCGGATTTGTAGGCACACCGGCCACAGCGTTTTCGGGCCCAGGGGGCCCGATCGCCATTGGGGTGTCTTCTCCGAGGAGCAGTGGGTGCACCTCCGCACCCCGCTCTCCATTCCCGGTCCGGCGGCCATTTCCTTCTTCCTGCCGCCGCAGGCGGCGGCGGCCGCCTTGAGCTTGCTGGTAGCGCTGCAGGGTGGGAATTCTAACAGGGAGGAGGAAGACGAGGTGGGTGACATGGAGAATGCTGAAGGTTGCGGCGGCTCTGGGGTGGACCAGGTAGATGTGGGATGTTGGAGGGCGGCGGCAGGCGCCCTCGATCGCTTGCTCCTGGCGCGACCTGGTATGGCGGAAGGGTCGCCGCGAAGGCCGCCAGAAATAGAGGAAGGAATGGTTTCGAGGCCATTGCCACAGCCCCCTGGGGAAGAAGGAAAGGGAACGTCTGCGAAGGAGTCGTCGACGAACTTGGATAGCCACTCGAGCTCCGCAGCTTCCTCGCTCTGTTAGAAATTTCCACAGAAGTAATAAAAACCAGGATCAGAACAGCTTCAGGGAAGTGGGAATCTAAAAACAAAGAAACGATGGAAACAAGAAGGTAGAACCAGAATATAGAGGGAAATGAAGCGGGGGGGTCATCGTGGTGCTTACAGGTACGTAAAGATCGTCGGAGAAGGTGCTTAAGTTGGAACCAGAAGTGTCGAAGCTCCCGACGGCGGGCGCAGCGGACCCGTGCGACGGAAGGGGGTGGTGACTCTGGTGGCTCTCCGCTGCATACCCAGGCACGGTAGAATCGAAAAGATCGTCCTGGTTGGAGAAGTCGAGGAGATCGTCAATGGGCAAGCCATCGGTAGTCGGCAGACCGCACAAGTAAGCAGTGGAGAAGGAGGAAGACGCTCCCCCATCCATTCCCATGAGGCCCATGGGCATCATCCCCACACCTATCCCCATTCCCATGCTCATCCCCACGTCCAACTCCGGCGCCATTCTGCCCCCAACCCCTCCCCTCCCCCCTTTCCTGTCTCTAATCCCTCTCTCTCTCTCTCTCTCTCTCTCTCTCTCTCTCTCTCTCTCTCTCTCTCTCTCTCTCTCTCTCTCTCTCTCTCTCTCTCTCTCTCTCTCTCTCGGTTGTTCTTCCCTCGGAAGGCGGAGGTGGGAGCTTATGCAGTTGCAGCAACAGCACTGGGATTAGAAGTTGCAGGAAGACTAGTGAGGGAAGAGGGGGAAGGAGGTGACTAGGGGAAGGGGAGGTGGGCCATTTATACTGGGGCTCGCTGGATATCCGGCAGAAACGCAGAAGAAGGGCATCAGGCAGCAACGTGGTGTCCCCATGCAGTGCGGCCCTCCCATCATCTTCCCCAACCCCCCCCCCCCCACATGCAGCTTTTGTTTGTTCTATTGCAGCCCCTTCCCCCTCACCAGGCAGGTCCTTAAACAACTCATTCACTTGTTCCTCTTCACGCAGAGGTCAATTAGGGATGCCCACATGAGCATGGAGCTTCGCCCTTCATGTATATTATTCTCGCGGTAAATTTAATGCCTCAGTTAAAAGCGTCCGCTCCAGTGAGCCATGACATTCCCAGTGCAACATGGCCAGCGAGGCCTCTCTCTCACGACGCAGTCACCGGTGCAATCTTCAATGGGATGGGCGACTGTGGGCGAGCCAGGGTGAACAGGAGGAGAAGCGGATGGTTCCATTATTGGGGTTCTGCGAGGATTGACCTCGGGGAGCGACTTTGAGCACCTCGGCGGCCGTCATTGCAGCAGCGGAATGGGAAATTTGGTTCGGAAGAGAAATGCGGCCAACCAGGAGGGTCGTTCAGAGAGGAAGGGGCCAACCACTGGCGTTCAGACTTGGCGCTATCAAGGTGTCCTTCGGAGACGGTGGAGGCCGGCGGTGGAGGCCGACGGTGGCGTGGCGGTTAAGAATGAGGGGGGAGACCGCGCCGGTACTGTACTGGACGAAGGAGAGGGAGGCCGCACGGCCACGACGCCGGCAAGGCTCGCAACTGGGAGTGTCGAGGAGTCATCTTCGTCCCCCTCTCGGCGACAAAAGAGACGTCACCGCTGGCCGCCGCCCGGCGGCGCAGCCAGCCCCAGCGCACTGCTCAACAACTCAAGTCCGGTTGCAGCTACTGGCCCACGCCGACAGCCATGGCGTCTTGTACCGCGGCCGCTGTTGCCACTGTTTTATTGCCTATTTACGGTGCCCAACCTCCTCCCCCCCCCCCCGTCTCCCAATTACTGCTACTCTGCAAAGAGGCTGCGCCAGGCCAGGGAGGTCCTCCATTGGCCGCAATGGCGGAAGCCACGTGCCGTGTCAAGTCGACCTCCATGAGGGACCATGCACCTCATCATCTCCTCAACCCTCCCTCTCTCTCTTCCCTTCCTCTCAGGATGGGTGTGTCCTGCTTCGGGCCGTTTATGAACATCAGTGATATGACGGGAAATTTTCTGACAAAACTCGGAAGCCTCTGCAAGCGCGGAGATGGAGGACGACGGGGCGGTAATTGTTGGAGATGATCTGCAGTGAATATAATAATCGCGGGGGCGATGATAATGAGGAGATGGGGAACCGCACGGACGACGATCTCTGATCCGCCGAGGAACAGCGGGCTCTGGCTGCTGCTGCTGCTTCCTCGTGGCCGGGCCGCGAGGGCGGGGCGCCGGCGGAGGGGCGCCCGAACGATGAACACGACGAAGGTGACGCGATCCCATCAGTCGAATGTGCCTCGTCCGGCCCATCCCGCTGCCGTACGGCGAATCCGTCATGGGAACTGGTCGGTGACCGGCGGGGCCGGTCAGTCTCTCCTCGACATCCATTTTTTTCTTATTACTTGCCCAAGATTGGCTGACCCAGATGGCAATTATTACGCCCTTTCGAGGGAAAATATTAAAAAACCCGTGTGGGGCTTGGAGAGAGGACAGGGGAAGCAGCAGGGTGGGTCTTTACATTAAAATAAATACTTTAATTCTCATACAATCACATGGGACACCCCATATATATGTATAAGGGCGAATAATCGATAGATATGAACGCTTGAATTTCTGATTCGTAGAGACGAGTTGTAGAGGTGGAGAGAGAGAGAGAGAGGGGGGATGGCGAGGCATCGAATCACGTGAGGATAGAAGAAGATCCCGAGGAGCCCACGGTGGGCGGAACAGGACCGCGCACGTGCGTGCCCCACCCAGGGGTGATCGCGCATAATACGCCTCGGAACCTCGTGTTAATTATACTTCTAATGGGGGATTTAATTATGCGGTTCGTTAGCATAATCCCTGTCGCCGGAGGGAGCGAAGCTCTTAACCGTTGCATGTGAGCCCCCTCGTTCGGTCAACCCCCATCTAATTTATTTATTAAAAAAACGTGAATTAAATAATTCACAAAGTGGAGTGACCAAAACAGGCACGCACCCGCCTACCCCCTTTCCTCCGGCGTACCACCAGATAAGGAGAGAAGGATGATTGAGAGGAGGCTGGTGTAGCGCCGTCGCCGCCGCCGGCGAAGGGGACGGCGCCGATCGGTGCTAAGAAGACGAGGTAAAAGCTCGGGTGTGGGGGGGGGGGGTGTGCTGGTGTGGGTGGCGTCAGGGCAGGGCAATAAAAAGGCCATCAGCCAGCGCGGCCCCGCCACTGCAGCGGCCCAGGTGGGGCTGTGGGGGTGGTGGGGAGGGGGAAGGGGGGGCGGAAATGGGGCCGCTGGCGGCGCCACCAGTCTAATTAAATTCTCTGAGACGAGAGAACGTGACAAACCGGAGCGCCCACGACACCACCACTGGCCGGCGTCTGCCCGGCGGCGGTGGGGCGCCGGGCGGGGATACCCACGCCGAGAGAGCTCGTAATTGGAGCTCGCCAAACAACGCCCGACGGGATAATAAAAAAAAATACTCCGCTAGCACCAGTGATTAGGGTAGTCCACTCCCCGATCGTGGCCTCCCGCTCTCCCTCGGGACTCCCCCCGGTTCTCCTCTTCTCCAACTTTTTCGTCAGTCTGCTTTAAAAAAAGGTTATTCGAGGTCCAGCTCCAGCTCATGCTTTCCTCAGTCAAAATTTCGTGGGTAATTTATGTAAAAACCATGGGACTGATTGAGAAGAAATGGGGGTTATGAATAATGCTGCACATGTTTGCCGTAGCATATATAATGATGGGTCGGCCCAACTTGGAGTACACTCACGTCACATGCAGACGTACATGCGAGGAAGAGCGGAACACAGCGTGCAGTACATATTAGTTGCCAGCTTGACGCAGGCAGGTGAAGGAGAAGTACCATGACTGACAGCAGGGGCTAAGTACAGAGAGCTTCGCCGTCTTCCTTCCGTACACGACTGCCGGGGAGAGGGGGGGCACCTACTCCTAACTACGTCTCTCCCGTAGGAACTCCTAATCCCCGGAGAACTGGGCTACAGCGAACCAGAAGGGAAGCAAGCTGGAGATGAAGACGAGACCCACGGCGGCGGATTACAAGAGCCCCGCCGGCATGGGGCCTCCCTCTGCTGGAAACACAGATTTAACTGACCCAGTAACGATCGATCTTCAGGGTATCTACCTGAACAGAGATCTGGGCGACGGGTTCTAAGCAGAGTCAGCCAAAATATATCGCCGCCGATGGTGAACAACAACTGTTCGGGCTAGTGAAGAAACCAAAGAAAAAGGGTGGGGGAAAAAGCCGAAGAGCCTTTCAGTCAGATGACCTCCGGGTTGACGAATTACGAATCTTCTCCAGATGTGAAAAGCTGAAAGTAGGAGGAAAATATTTCCCTGTGGATCATCTGAATCACCTCGGAACTGACAGGCCAACCTCTGATAAAATAAGCACAAAATTTGTCTCAGAGTAGGAGAAGCAGACTGGTGACAAGAATAAAGTACATCAGATCAAAGAAACAGAAAATATACGACGGTAACGCACGCTAATACTTGTCCAGTGCGCATTAAATGATCTGTAATGTTTCAACGAGAAAAACCTCCCGAACGAAACACGTTAACTCTAAAAAGTGATACAAGACGAAACACAATACAGTCAACTGTAGGCATCTGTAGGTCAAGAGGGAAAAGTGCCCAGTAGGTGTGGGAAGAGTGTCTCCGCTAGTAATCTCATCAAGCAGGTATGAAAAAGAATACTTGATGCATACAAGGTAGATTCACATCAAGCCGGTATCTGCTTGAAGTAGGAAGCTTCTCCCCGAGTCAGTAGTGAAAAGTAGATGGTTCTCTTATCTGCATCTGCCAGTTCGAACGAAAACGAGGGATTTTGACGCAGAATTTTAGATGAAATCCAACCATATTTTCTCGCTTCATAAATAATCTCAATACCTTCTCTAATATATCTATATTGGAAGAGAAGTCAAATCGACGGTTCCTTGGGTCTTCATGTCATTTGACTATTTAACATATGAAACCATTGCAAATAGGTATACAATCGCATATCCCTAATGAAATGGAGTTGTGGGCACGTAGGCATCATCAGTAGTCTAGTACTATCCCTTAGATTGTGTGCGACTGCTGGACTAGTTAAAATGAGAGGAACAATTCACTTTCACAAGATAACAATTCCTTCAGCACTGCGTGACATACCGAGATAAAGAGCTTAGGGTTTTTTAGAAGGGAAATTACTCTTATCTCTGATGGGTAAGATTTAGAACTGTCTTTAAGATGTTGGCATGAATCCTGGGAATGTTGCATCAAAAAAACTTGGACCTTATCGAACATGTAAGTTTATTATTATTTTCAAGTATTTTTTGAATATTTGGTGGTATCCACTATATAAAACAGCATTTCCAATAAGGAAATTCAAAAAGTTTTGAAGAAAACGAAATCCACTGAGAACAACTTCACAGAAATGAAAAAAGCTACTCCCGTGTCTATTGAAGAGCCGCAACACTTAAGTAGCCACCCAAAAAAAAAACATAAAATAAGTATATACCTTAATTGATAAATTCTGTACACCATTTTATAATACATTCATAGATTTATATCGCTGTTTTCTACCTCAAGCTCTATAGATTAATATTCACTCACAAAACATTTACATGCATGAGGAGCTCAAAAGCACCAATAATTGATCACATTCTTTTAGAAAAACGTGACGAACGCATCTTTAAATCATCATGGAAACATATCACAAACAGAGATGTTAACAAGAAGGTATGAGGACATGGGAGATGCTTATAAACACGAGCATCAACTCGTGTATAGACGATAATCCAACCAAGTAATCGTGTCAAAGACTGATAGAGAAGGCTGAGAGACTATCCCATTGAAATATCAAAAATGGTCGGCGAAATTATAGTAGAAGCCCCGTAGTAAAAGTACTACATTTGAAAACTAAAAGCTTGAAAACACGAGTATATATATAAGAATTTATCGATATATGATTGAGAGCAATGAAAGAGGCAGACTAGTCACCAATACAAATCCACACCACCACTCTCCTGCTCTAAGCCTCCTGTACCATCCCGTGAAAAGAATATATACAAACAATGCATATGCTCCTGCTTTGATTCAAACTTGTATTTCCCTGTGATACAAGACATTAAGTGGTGTAATTGAATCAACATTTCTTTCTCAACAGCTTGTCCACTTCAGATAGAAGAATACTAGTTCAACACGGTCAAAAATGACAATTTACGTGGACAATCCACATCTATCTCAAGCTTTGATATGTATATCAAACCCATCTGCTAACATCCTTCACGGTAAGAACTTAGGAAGTGTTCACTCTACTATCAATCACACAACGGAAAAATTACAGGTTCAAAATTAAGCCAGTAACAAAGCCACAATGGTGGATGATTATCGTCAAGAAATTTCCAGTTGACGAAGCATCACGTTAGTTCACCTTAGGTACTCTCTAGAAGCAATAGCAAAGCAACCTACCAACAGCACGAAATTTGAATGGATGCCGAGGAGGGAAATGTAGAACAAACAGTTTAAACAAAACGAGGGAAAGGAAGCAGAGGCTACTCACAGGAGGAACAGAAGGAAAACACTGATATGAGAGGTGAACAACAGCACTAGAGTCCGGGATAGGTACGGCAGAGCGTACCCTGTGAGAACGCCTTGGATCCCTGGGACGTCGAGCTCAGGCAGGACGTTAACCTAGCCGCGGCCACCGCGCTATGTAACGGGAATAGGGAAGCTAAGACGCATCCCAGTTCCGAGGGGCACCTGGCGAAGAAGAATCAAAACCCCCACGAAGACAACGACACGGACATCAAGCTATGATCGACAGGGTAAACAAACCTGGACAGAAACGAGGTGCGCCGATCGGAGGTGGAACACCGGGAGGAGCTGGGGCTAGAGAACTGCGGCGCAGCCGGGGAAGATCCGGACGGAAGGGACTCTCGCCGAGGCATCACCACCGCACGGGCCTTGATGCTCGACCGGAGCGACCTCAGAGACGTGCGATTGATGGATCTGATACACGCCGACGCCATGACCGACGGAGGGACCGCGAGGAAGAGAAAGGGACTGGACTCGCCCGGTTTTCCTCCGCCGCTCCCCACCGAGGTTTAGGTCATCTGGCAGGGTCCCAAATTTGGGTAACCCCAGGCAAACTCCAAAAATTCGGCCCACTTGATCCATCCTAGCCCAGCCTAATAGCAACGACATGAATCGGCCCATATTTAAAAACGCCAACACATTAATGGGCTCCAGAGAGCAAGCGATCAGACGGCAATGGATGTCTGCCCGATGGCGATCGGACGGGCAGCTGATGTGATCGTGGCAGCATCATTCCTAGATCGGTCCCTCCTCCCTTCCCAGCGAAAGCTCCGTGGACTTCCATTCGCAGGAACAACACGAGGAAATGATGGCACATGCAGACAGGTGCTCGGTCTCCGTCGTCCCCAGACCACATCCTCTCTTCCTTCTCCTCCTCTCACTTCCTTCTTCTTCCTCCCCTCCTCCCTCTCTCTCTCTCTCTCTCTCTCGCTCCACCCCGTCATAATGATGGACCTCAACAAGGTATGCTGCATGTGTGGCGACATCGGCTTCCCCGATAAACTTTTCCAATGTGCCCGGTGCTTCTCCCGGTTCCAGCATTCGTGAGTTCCTTCAACCACGCCTTCTCTCTCTCTCTCTCTCTCCCGTGATCGAAGGGATAAGCCTCGACTTCATTCCCGTAATCGTCCTCTGGCTTCGTTGACCGTCCTGGTTCCTCAGGTACTGCGCCAACTACTACGAAGACGGCTCGCCGGTGGCCGCCGGGCTTTGTGACTGGTGCCGAAGCGACGAGAGCAAAGCCAGAAGGCGGCAGGTGAGAGCCCACCAGGCGGAGTCGCCCGGCGGCGCGTTGGGCAAGCACACCGGAGGCGGTGACCGGCAGGGCGCCGGCTGCGGCGGTGGGAACAGCACCAGCGGCGGAGAAGCTCCAGCCCGGCCGTCGGCCCGGCGGTACAAACTACTAAAGGACGTATTGCGTTGAGCTGTGGGAAAATAAATCTGCGTATATTGTCACGGATATCCAGTTCTTGGGGCTCGCATGCGAGGAACATGAAACTTCAGAATTTGCGTTTGGAATTTGTGCCGATCTCCTACAGTGGGCGTCATGCTTCGCCTGGTTCTTCCCGCTGGAAGAAGAGACGATCCATGTTTCCGCCTCTCCGTGGGCATATGTTAGGGTTCTTCTTAGATCGTAGATGTAAATGGGATATACGGAGAGCTAGGCATGCAAGCCGTCATTTGGAGAAGAAAATAGGGCGAAATCATGGCGGCGGCGACTCCCTTCTTCTTGGCGAAACCCTATACAGTCTTCTAAAGTAATGCGCGAAACTCGCAGTTGGAGGATCTTTGCACCTGATTGAGGACAGATCAACCATTCCGTCGATGCAAGTGGTGGTACGAAGAAAAGGGCCGAGCCTTTGATCCCGTTTAAACAATTCCAAGGAAAAGTTTCTTCTCCTGAGTGTGCATCAATCCATTCGTTTCATCTGCATGCTAACGCACGACGTTAAATTTGTGCTCTTCCTGAACACACTGGAGATTCTATTGGTTTCATCCTTTGAGTGATCATGAAGATCGGCGTCCAACGAGAGAGAGAGAGAGCCTGCAAGGATTTTTCTTTCTCCGGACCGCAGAAATTTATAATCAGATAAGGGGAGGGACTTGGTAGTTTTAACCAGAGGACCGGGGGAGTACCTCTCAGGGAGTCATCACCTCCATCTCATCTCCAGTCTTTCGGCGGAGCTACCCCTCGAGTCCTTCCTCAATCCATGTGGATCTTTGAAATACCTCGGCCCTGGGGCTTGGCTTAGTTTTGACTGCCTCCCCAGCTGCCCACCTCTTCTCATGTGCCCTCCCCGCATTGATCGGCCTCAAGTTGCACCACCATTGGCCCTTCCCCACCTGTTCTCGAGCTCCTCGATGTTACGCAGTCAGGACTCTTTAATGCTCGGCCTCCTGTTTCTCCGTCCTCGCACGCTAGTGCGATAATAACGCGCGATCTTTCTTCAGATCCATGTCCACTGGGCCGTCAACATGGCCCAGGCAGCACAGATCGTCAGACGGAGGGACGACCTCCACCCGTGGCACTGTACATCTCTTTCCTGTGGGGCGAACTTCCAGGCGGACAAGGGCAATGAACCGAACGCAGTAGAACTCGTAGTTTGCACCTTCACATTGGGTAATGATTTGAAAAAAAATATCTAGATGTCTGTCGCCAAATATGTGGATGAGAGAACAAGTTGTGAGCAAACGGCGGCGGCAGACTGCCACCTTCCTCCGTCCGAGCCATCCCTCGGCTCGACGCGGCAGCCGTAGGCTGCCGGAGGAGAGCCCAACATGTCTCCCCGTGAAGCGAACCGCCGTACTTCATCGGCCTCGCAGGCTCGCATCCTACCGCTCTGCCCGCAGGAGCTACCAATAAAGATGCTCGCTGTCCCCACCGATTCCACCCGCAAACGGCACGGCGCTGGCGTTTAGTACTACACCGGCAGTGCCGCCGTACGCTCAGTGACCATCTTCCCGGCGGGACTCGCCTTCCGCGGCGGCGCAGAGCGCGCTCGGTAGCCACCCGGCGCCTGGCGCCTGCGCCCGTGGGGGCAGTACGCAGCGGCTGCGCATGGCCGACGGCACCTCCCGCCGGTCCCCCCACAGAATGCCGTGATCAATGCACCCCACATTGAAGGAAACCTGGAGGACCCTCTCCATCTTCTCCACCGCGTCCACCTCTTCCTCTACTGCCATGGTCTCCGCCATCAGCACAGACGGCAGAGCAGGGAGGGCAGCTTTCAGCAGTACGGGAGGGATCCAAGAGCAGTGAACCTCATGATAGACGGTTCCAGATGTTGAGCCGGGGGCGGGAATGGAGTGGGGGCCGGCGCCGAGCCCGGAGGTGGAGGAGGACCCCCCCTGCTGTCTGTCATCCCACGTGCAGGATTGTCCCCGCCGAGGGGGGTGACTCCGAACGACCACTCCATTGCAGCTTAATCAGGGACAAAAGATTGTCTGCTTCCTGGAGGCTTGGCCACTGCGGACAAAGGAGTTAGCAGGAGGGGACGGGTTGGTAAAATATTAAACAATCTCTAAACTTGCAGTGAGACTCGTGAATTTGAATGCCGAAGCAGGAGCCCTCAGATACGTCCTGAACAGCGTCCCACATGCCTACGACGGTAGCCTCTGTAGGGTAGACCATATTCTTGCAACAATTAGTGCACCATTTTTTATGAAGAGCAGGTAGAGAGTTCATAAAGAGATCCGTACTGGAAATAAAGTCGTGTGTTCGTGATCGCGGCGCCTTTTACGAATCGCAAAACCCATCGGTTGAGACAGATTGGTGGCAAAACTGGTTCACTGACTGATGAAGCCAGCCAGATTATCTAGGATTCAAGTATAGAAGAGAGGTAGAGGCATTTAATCTCTCTGCTCTTCTGATCACTTTGCTGGACCTTATAAGCTTTGGAAATTTTCTTCCGCGATTCAATAGAAATAAGTAAGGGCACATCAATGCTAATTGAATATATATAGCACCCGAGTCATTCGTCATTGCTGCCTTAGCCCGGTCGTCAATCGAAGTCAAGGTGTGTCAAGGTGTGTTTGAGCACGCACGGGAGTGTCTGCTGGGAAATTACTAGCGGAGAAATTGGCAAGAACATGCCGAAAAAGTCAATCAGTGTGGATAATGTCCAGGAGCCGGAGGTAGTCTCCGGGCACCCGAATTTTCGTCTCCCCATTTACGATTCTGGTGTGTACTAGCACCAATTTGACTGGCCTTATCATCTTAATCTTATGTTCTTTGTCCTCTTACTCATCTACTGATCTCACGAGTTCCGTAGCGACTGGGACGGCGGTCTCACAGATTTCTCATCCACTAGAATGCGTGTTGGGTTCTAAGCCAATATATCTGCGAGCTCATACGATTGTTCGCCGCAGAGAAGAGGGAGAGGGCTCGTTGTCTAAGCCAATATATCGATCCACAGCGCGACGGCGCTCGCCCCCCCACCTCCCGAGAACCGCATCAGTGTTAATTATTGCCAAGGCGGGGAGGAACAGTGAGCGGCGAATGAATCCGCTCGACTTTTTTTCGTTTCCCCACTTAAATTATACCAGTCGTCCTGTCGAGCTAATATCCTGCGTACAAAACAAAGGGTGGGGCGGCGGGCCTCGGTCTACCTGGACATGGCAGCTTGTCGATCTTCGATCTCCGGACGGAAGGAGGACGGCGGCACCACCTTCCACCGCCTTCCCGTGGAGATCCACCCCCTTGCGTACGGATCATTCCCTCGCGGTCGCCGTCGACGTCCCGCCTCCCCACAAACAACCAGATCTACGTCGAGGTGATGTCCGTCGCCGGACACCGGTAGCCCTGCAGCCGCTGCCTGATGGGCAGAGATCCGGTCGCCAATCTCTCTCCTCTCTCTCTCTCTCTCTCTCCCCCTAGCTCAGAGTTGTCACCTCAGGGGGCCACCGGCGAGGCGAAGACGGATGGGATCAACTATTCGTCGTCGGAGTCCCCCCGTTGCGACCTCTCAGCCCAACATACCATGCACGTGCGGTGATGTGCCTTTGCACGTGACATAGCCCCCAAGCGGTTGCCACTTCCACTATTTGTTAAGGCTGCTGCTGCATCGTGGCTTGCAGCTGTTGTAGTTCGCAGTCAGCGCCAGTAGTGTAGCAGTCGCAGCGGCGGCGACAGCGGCGAGTGCTTCCTCAGTCCTCCCCGACACCAACCCCCCGGCAGCGCCGCCCACTTCCTTCCTCTTTTCTCTCACACTGAACGGGGAGAGGAGCTCGCTGCGCGGCAGCTTCTTCCCATCGTTTTGGTATGCGAGCTCGCAGAAATTGAAGGCAGAGCGGTGCCCGTCTGCGCACATGGAGTAGAGAGAGAAAGAGAGAGACAGGTATAGGGTTGGGAGAAGCCTTGGGGCGGGAGGAAGAGCAGGAAAAAGAGGAACAGAGAGGATCAGTCGCGGGTTAGGCTGGGGAAGAGCCACCGCTGTGAAGATAAAATGGAAAGCGGAGGAGTGAACCACCACAGCAGCGGTAAAAGCGGTGGCGGGAATGGCGGACTTTTCTGTGACACCTGCGAGCTTGGAGCCCCCTGGGGAGCTACCCACCACCCTCCTCCTCACCAGTTGCCGTCTCCTTTCTTCCACCTGAACAACCCTGCCGCCCACAGTATCCCCTTCTCCTCCAACTCCGCCATTTTATCGCCCTTCTCTCCCCATCATCACAACCTGCACGCCAGCGCCCAGCCCGGCGATGCCCACCATCTCACGTGCCTCAAACTGGGGAAGAGGCAGTACTACGAGGAGGGTTGTGCCTCAGATCCACCCGCCGCGTCGGGGGGCATGAAAAGGGACAGGGTGGCTACGGCGGAGCCCAGGGGCTCGTCCTCATCGTCGGCGGCCGCGACTGCGTCACCTCCGTCGTCCTCGTCGGCGATGGTGGTGCCGAGGTGCCAGGTGGAGGGGTGCAACGTTGCGCTCGTGGACGCCAAGGACTATCACCGCCGGCACAAGGTATGCGAGATCCACTCGAAGGCGCCCAAAGTGGTCGTCCTCGGCATCGAGCAGCGCTTTTGCCAGCAATGCAGCAGGTACTTCTCTCCAAACTGGCATTCGCACTGTATTTCGCAAGTGTCGATCATTAATTACTTCATCCTGTTAATCTTTCCACTCATGAGTTAAATTCGTCTTGCGAGAATAGCAAGGCATCTGTTCTTTAAAGTTGCCGCAGTTGCAGAGTGAAAAGATTGATGTGATCGTGATTTGACGGCGCGGTGTTTCTTTCCTCAGATTTCACGTGATATCGGAGTTCGATGATTCCAAGCGGAGCTGCAGGAGAAGACTGGCTGGCCACAACGAGAGGCGGCGGAAGAGCTCGGCAGAGTCCGTCATCCGGAACCCTTCCCCACTTGGTACCAGCCCTCACTATCCTTATCGCACCTAGTACGCATCTTTTCCATGCATATATATCCTCGATCATAGCCTGCCTCCTGCTGCTGCTCATCCTCTCAAGGCACCGCACCGCCTGTGCTCCGATCGTAGCCGATGTTCGTTCTTTCTTCAACTCTGCTACTCCTTTGACCCCTTGTTTTCGGTGTTCGTGTCCCTTTTTGCCGCGTCCGTGAACGACTCCGGGAAGCTTTTGGCGCGGATAGCCAACCTGCAAGGAGGTTATTTTATGATTCTGTAAAAATATCGTGACGGGGATCGGAGTGTGTACCTTCGAGGGGGCACGACGCAAGAAGTGCACCCAGGAGGGCACAATGGAGTCGCCGGTTCTCTTTTTTGTACTTTTCTCTCAGGTCGCTGTCGTTCCGCGGTTCTTCTTTGACGATGACAAACCTCGCCCCCCTGTCCCGCTCCAGTCTCTCTTCGTTTCACTTTTCCTTGAGTTATGAAAGACGAAGCTAGATGATGTAAAATAAGTAGTTGCTACCCCGAGTGACCTCTAGGCGCCGCCTACAGTCTGTATCTCCAATAGGCTCGGCGAATGGCCATGGGGGGACCCACTTACGTTATCCTCTGCCATCGGCCCAAAGTTTCCTCTTTAGGGTTTCTCCGACCCCCCATCTCTCTCGTCACCATCTGTGTTGAACATTTGCAGATCAGTGGGACAGTAGACAGATTAGATTCCCTCTGGATGTTTCGTCGGTCGACATCCAGAGGATCAACCCCACATGCTAATTCATGGTGGGGGTCCCCTCTCTTCTGAAATCTCTGTCAAACCTCACAGGGTTAATCCATGTTTGAGGAATGACTGCTTGGAGCATTGGGTCAGTTTGGTGGTCAATAATGCTCTCAGTAATCCCTAGTTCAATAGGTTTTTCGACCCATTTAATTATATAGTCTCGGTCGTATGGGGATGGAATCTACGTGGTGCAGGCAGACGTGGAGTAGTGTGCGCCTTGCATCATTTCACGTCCATTTTAATCACTTCCAGACGATGAGTGTAGTTGAGTCAATGTGAGATAAAAACTCCTGCACAATGTGAAATGTGAGGATAACAGCTTGAGGTGATGCGCATGCTCTGCACGCCGATAGAAACGTGGATCATTGCCATTGATGCGCGGGGGGATCTAGTTGGGTTTAAAACTATGCTTGTTCTGGACATGATGGGCATGATTTGTGGATACTTGTATTATTTTGATGCTGTGGGCTTCCTTGTATTCCATTGTAAATAAAAAACCCTATTTTTCTCTCATTTGATGCTGAAATTATCACCTTTTCCAAGGAATTGCTGTTAATCTCGGGAAAAATTGTTGAATGCGAAACATGGATTTAGTTTTATTATTTAGAATAATCAAATGAGGAGCTTTATTGACACATTCAGCTTGTTGGACGGTTCGGATTCTACACTCCAGAAGTAGTCCATGCCACCATTCAAACCCTAATTTAAGAAGCATAGGGTTTTTAATGTGGGTGTCAGGGTGATGAAGCCCACGCCGCATTGAGAGTGGTCCAGGGTGCTGACCGAGGTAAACGCATGACTGCACTGTCGTGATGAATCCACTGCACTAATCCTGGTTTAGTTGAAGCTTGTTTTGGTTGCATCCGAACATCCTGTCATAGGTGGACAATCTGCACCGAGGTGCATCTTTTACCATCTTCTTATAGAAAGTGCGTGCCTGCTACAACAGCCTGGTCATGACTCGTTGCCACACCTGGGGTGGACTTTGATGAACAGAAACCTTCGAAAAGTAAGTGCCCGTTTTTTTCGTGCATGTGCAGGCTTGGATTGGTCAAGACTTAACGCTTACTGGTTGCCGCGTGCAACTTTCCTTTTCTGGAGATTTTGTGTCATGTTCTTGTCAACGGAGCGATACTTTGAGTGGAGCTTGCTGTGTGTGGGATTTAGCCGGAAAATTATACGATTCCATCTAATTCGTGACTGAGATATGGCATATATAAATGTTCATCGTTGTCTGGTGTGACGTGCTTCAGGGAGCTTGGTATGGTGTATATTTAAGCATCTATCTCGCTGTTGGTTCAAATTTTGAACCGTCGCTTTGCCTGTTTTCTTCATCGGATGAATGCTTCAATCGTGCCTTGCTTCGTTTAGATGGTTTTCAAGGGTCACTGGAAGTACTCGATTGCGTCGGACTGCGTAGAAATTGCATTGTTTAATGTTTTTGCCCGTGGCTTGTCGCCCGGATGGAGCTTCGTCGAAATTCCCTGAAAGTTTCTCTAACCTCAGTCTGTCTCGCAGACGGTACAGCAGTGGGCACCGGAATCCCCTACCTCTCACCATCCAACGCAGCCAGCCATGCTCTCTCTCTTCTGTCACCCAAAGCGTCATCCTCGTGGGCTTCATCGGATCTCTCCTCCCAGTCTAGCGCCGCTCTCCGAGAGCTGATCGCGGAGAACCGCGCCGCTATACTCGCCGGGCAGCTCCTCTCGGACCGCGGGGCTTGGCACGGCACAAGCCCCGGGGCACAGGTGGTCTTCTCGATCGCGCCGCAGCAGCAGCAGCCGCTGCCTCTGTCGGCACCGCCCCAGCTTGCGGACGGCTGGGATCACCTCCGCGCGCCCGGCGCTCACGTCACCCTCGACCTCATGCAGACGCCCAGCTCCTCCATCGAGATCCTCTCAGGAAGGAGCACGTCCAAAGAAGGCGACGAGGAATGCTGCGACATCTGGAAGTCCCTGGAGGGAACCCACGTCGTCTAAGCTCCTCAATGGGGATGAGGCCAGCCCTCTCGCTGTAGATCCGATCCTGCTCGCGTTAAGTACATAATATGTGCATGCTCAGATGCCAATTTTGAGGAGATTTTTTTTTCCGAATGACTCTGCTGTCGCCTGCGCTGTAGACTCCGCCCGGGTCTTTCATCTGACCATATGGTGGCTGATTTGCCATTTTTCTCTCCTCTCTCCCTCGCTCCGCCAGTAATACCTAGGGTTTCATCGAGGGAAGCGCCCGTGGGTGGGGAGGTCCCAAGGAGCACCGTCTCAGCTGGGTCAGTACACGGTAGTGGGGGGCTGAGAGACGGTGCTCCTGAGCTGCTTCTACCTGCGGACTGGTTCACACGGCGCTGTTTCGACGACATACGGCTTCAAATGAACGAGGTCAGATGCTCCACCACCAGGGCGACTCGACCAGCCGGCCTCTGCGGGTTTGAATGAGGAAGACGACGGGGCTAACCCTAAAAAATGTACAGTGAGTAGACCGACACGAATTCCGCATTTCGTTTTCTCTCTGGAACGGACAAAGATGCCGTGGTCTAGAGCGCCGCATTCGCCGGGATTAGACCGGCTATGCGAAACTGAGATGAGACGGCGGATTATATGAAATTTGCTCCAACGTTTGACTAAAATGGAAGGCCCATCTACGTCTGCCCGGGGTTTTAGCTACTGTTCGTCTTCGTTGGTGTCCCAGATAGACATTGGGACCGGCAGTTCATACAGTCCGATGCCAGGCACGCGCGGGAGCACCGAGTTGATGGACGACATGGAGGACGAGCAGGGGGATGGCGAGGACGAGTAGGAGCACGTGGGTCTCTTCGGTGAAAATGGCGACGCCGCCACCGTATCTGCGGAAGCATCGACCGACGGTTCTGAGGACGGGCACTAGCGTTATTCGTCGTTTATGATAGGTCAGTATCATCCTTGGAAGAGAAAAGGTCGACACTAACTCGGCACGGCGACGACTGCTGTGCCACGGTGTGGTTGAGGCCGCGGTGATGGCGGCGACTTTATCTTCCTCCTACGGCGATTATGTTCGGCCAGCCGCTTTCGGCAGCTGCGCTTCCCCTGGTCGAACTCCGACAGGACATGGAATCTGCGTGGAGAGAAAAGCTACAATCAATGAAGGTGGATTACAGTAAAGTACGAACAGGAGGCCCCTTAACGTGAGTCCCTTACCTGCTACATTGTTGACAGAACCGCCGTGAAAGGCCATGAACGACGACGGCAGCGGCCCTGGAGTGGAACTCACACACCTTATGCTTCCGATGATAGTGCTTCGCGCGGTTCAGGTCCTCGCTGCAGCCCTCCGCCTGGCACCTGGCCGTGGTGCCGGTAGCGACTACGCCACCAGAGTCACCGCCGGCACCCGTCCCGCCGCTCCTGCCAGACCTCCTGCAGACGTTTGCCCCCAGCTGGACGAATTCTCCGAAAGGGAAGGACGTCCAGGAGGCGTCACCCTGTCGGAAAGCAAACTCCTCGTTGGGCGTTGGACTTATGGCCGCCAGCGGCGGCGGCGACGGCGGCGGCGGCAGCAGCGGAGTCAAAGTGGAGAGCCCTGAGAAAAGGTCCACACCGGTACGGTCGTAGAAGGGGAAGATCTGACGGCGGTGATGTGGCTGCTCCATGACAGGCACCTCGCCAGAGTGGGTGACCGACGACATGACCAAGGGGTGCACCCATTCGTACCCCAACATACTCCTTTCGCTTTCACAGACTTTAGAGAGCGAGAGGAAGACTAAAGGAACTGAAGAAAACCAGAGCATGTGCGTATCATCTAGCACTGCGAGATTCACCCGTCTCGTCGGGTATATATTGAGACGGCCGGCGAGGAGAACCCAAGAAAACCAGAGCATGTGCGTATCATCCACCACCAGCCTCTTCCTTGATAATCGACGAAGAGGCAAGCTTCCCAGCATGCTAAACGCTAATCACCCATTACGGCTCGTCGGGATGGCCTCACAGTATCTCGTCGTTTGCCTCCGCTCCCCAGCTCTCGATCGTCGTCAGTGAACCCGTATGTTTTTGGCTTCTTCCACGCGAGCCGTCACATGCTTCACATCGCCCCCACGATGAAAACGTACGACAACCGCCTCACCGGCGCAGCGACCGGGGAGAAGGCATGTACCCGGGCAGCTACGGCGAAGCGGGGGTGGGGCTGTAAAGATTCAGCTGCACCATTATGACAAGAGATGCTCCCCGTCTCTCCATACCGCGCATCGTTTCGTCTTTGTCTCGTCGGAACGAGACGAGGAAGCGTAGAAACGTGCAGGGCAAACGGCGGCGAAGGGGACCGCTGCCAGCAGGACCTATCCCGGTCTTCTTCTTCTTCCTTGCCGACGGGGAAGCGCTCCCATTGGTGGCTCCCCGGGGGGGTAGTAAATGCACTGGCGGCGAGAAGCAACTGTCGTCGCAATAAACGTGTATCATAATCTAAAAAAAAAAGAAAAAAGAAAAGAAATTAGGTATCTTCGACTCTGTCTTTATATTACTGCCAAGTAGTTTGACCGATGCAGACACCTCGAATGTGACCCGGAGTCAAATTCGACCGGTAGATAAGTTGACCTGAATTGACCAGGTATAATTGTGTTTTTATGATCACGTGTCGCAATTCTCGTAAGCGTCGCTGTTGTCACCGTCGGTGACCTCACCACACCAAGGATCGTAGCCAGCCGCAGGTTGAGCTTCCGACGGATGCTGCGCCGTCTGCGGGTGTTAGTTATGATTTCTGTATTTAAGCACAGTCGTGTGAAGGCGATAGACGGAATGGAGGTCATCATCTTTCTGTGCGACGGTGCTTGACGATGTCCGCCGGCCTTTCTAAATCATTCGCCCATCAGTGTCCTGCAGACGGCAACTGCGGGTGAAAGCGACATGTGGGGGACTGTAGAGGAACCCCTAGGATCTGGATCGTTGTAGCCTCTTTTGCTCCTACTGTTGAGGCCTCTGTGATGTGTTCGGCGCCTGTCCTCTGTGATCCATTGGTGTGAACATGAGGAGTTGCGGTGTGGAGGACCTGAAGAAGATCTTCTCAGCGGATTTTCTTCTTATCACGTCCGCTAAGCAGCTCCATAGGACGGTGATCTCGCCGCTGTTCTTGTTCGGATCGACGCTCTTTGTGCTGGGCCTCGTGTCGCTCCTCACCGGTCACATTGTGTCGCATCGCGAGTGGTACGCGCAACTAAGGAGGCCGTGGGGCTTCAAACAGGTGTGCTCTAGTCCAGGAAATTGGAGCACCTTCTTATTCCCGTATTCGGCATTCTAGGTCGCATAGATTGGAATCTGACTCGATGTTGTTCTTGGTTTGTGCTTGAGTTGGTGGGGGGATTATTCTTCGTCCCCGCTTCGGGATTATTTCAAACCCATGCGGTGATGAATTTTCTTAGTTTCCCGGCGTGTTACTTTAGTACACTGGAACGAATGTGCCTTCATTCTTACTTCCACGGTCGTATCAATATGTAATGTTGGATGCTCTTACAACTATTCTTCCTTTATAGATGCTCTTACAACGGGTCCAAGATGTAAAAACGACTGAAGTTGAATCGTATTTCACCAGTACCTCTTTACATTGCATGTGATGACATGAAGAATTTAAGGACCAAATCTCATAGGATTTCTCTGCAATGACTACGCTTCAGGAGTCTGCATTTATGGCCTAGCATACACATTGTAATGAGTAGTCGGATCTCATACACATTGTTCTTTGACTATTCATTGTTGGAAGGTGCCAGCAGGGGATTGCTTGATGAACTGAATCAATTTATTGGCAATCTATACCAAATGCAGGGTCATATTCGCCTTGAATCAATTGACATATGGAAATCAAAGTTCTCAGACGCCTACTATGGCTGTAGTGAGAGAAGTCCTGATTTTAAAGGTACGGCTCTAATTTTCTTTCATCACGACAGAATTTAATCAGAAAGTTTGGTGCTTACTTGTTTTGATAACCAAACTACCCTATGAAACATCATCACCTTCTTTACAGTATTCTAGTATGACCCGTTGCACTATGGTGACTTGTTGACAGGAAAAGGACATTTAAAATTTTAATGGTTCTTTCAGTACTCACTGAAAATGTGATCCCGATCATCATTCATGTCTGAAAATGTGATACTTTGAAATTCTGAATCGATCATTTTTATATTTTTCGCATTGATTTATGCTGGACTAACTCACGATGGTGTATTCTTTTACTTCGAAAATAGTAAAGCTGTTGCTTATTAAGCCTGGCTTTGAAATTTCAGGCGCAGTAAGTGAAAGGAAGTCCAATGGTTACCTGCTGATTGCGGCAAGCGGGGGATTAAATCAGCAAAGGATAGGGGTGAGTACCAATCTCTGCTGATGTACCATGTAAGAAATTTGAATTGTAGAAGTGTAAAGTCGTTAGCCCTGTGGTTGTTTGACAACTGTGTTGGCAACATCTGTTGAGCCCTGCACTCTACCTTTCCTGTGAAGACTTTTTCATACGGTGGGAACTCCTGCAGGCTTATTTATTGCCTTGCCCCAAGCAGCTGCATGGGTAAATTTCGACTTGTGGAAGCCATGTAGTTCGAAGAATGTTTATGGAAATTTTGTGTCCTATTATGAACATTGGAGGAATTTGGAAATGATTTTGATTACTTATCCTCAATTGACCATCAACTGGAAAACTTTATACATAAGTTTTTTGTCACAGAACAATATGACAGATTGATGTCTTCTGATTTTATGATTCCAAGCATCACAAACCATAATTTTTTTCGTGAAGACTTTAGTAGCAGATACACAATCTCTAGTAGTTTTTGGACGGTAAAGAAAAAGGGTTATTCTTTCTTTGTACCGTCAAGGGTACAGTATGTTCGTATGATATCCTGCCAAAGTTGGTTTTTTTTCTTTTTATTTTCTTCTTGTGGTGGAGGGGTGGGCAAGGAGGCTAAAATATTATGTCATAGTCTCGTGGATACATAATTGATCATTTGAAGGTTCAGTTGTTTCTATATTTTTCAATTTCGTCAAATCCTGCTGAAGTGCGAAGTTAACCCTTGGTCTTTCTCTCTTTTGTCTCACGCACTTTTACTTTTATTGAGAGTGTGTGTGACTGAAAGAAGCAGGTATTCTAGAATGGAACTTGGCAAGCCATTTTATTCCCTTGTCTTTGATCAATATTGTCCTAATTTCCATGGAAAAAGAAGAAAAGGGTTTTTACTCTGAGTGTACTGGAGTTTTTTTTTTAAAAAAAAAATTAGACTGCCGTGCTTTCAACAATCGTGGCGTCTCTCTCGTGGGTCAAAATTTAGGTAGTTTTTGATATTTTTTCTAACTAAGAGGTGATTCTTGTGTTAATAAGGACGTACGGAATATAGTCGCCAGTTCCTAGGCATTTTTGGAAACCACTTAAATTTACAAGGAATGGGTTGTTTCCATCATATTTTATACGGGTTGTATTAGTAATGAATATTCTGGTTGTGAAATTATTTTGAGTTGTATCGATGATAGTTGCCTGTTTGTATCTCTTAATTAGAGCAGGTTATTCTATATATGAATCCTTGAAGTTTGTCATGTTGTGCATTGATGTTCAGCATTATTTGAATGTATATGGATACATACATATATTTACATATATATATATGTATATGTAAATACCTGTATCACGTGAAAATAAGCAATTCGTGACTCGATAACTTCTAATGTGTTAGAAACCCTCTGTTTTCCTCAAAGGTCAACTGTAGTGCAACACGCTGTTGCTCTGGGACAAGTAAAATTAATTATCGTCTGATGAGCTTAATCAGCACATTATGATATACTTGGATTGTACATCATAAACCAAATCTATCCTCTAGGCTTGTGCTTATCACTTTCATAAATGTGGATGCCTTGGGAATCAGTGATACAACTTCAAAGGTAGCTTAAGTCATTTTTTATATCATTTTTAACTAGTCCATCGTACATAGAGGAATCTGGATTCATTTACATTTTAACCAAATCTGATTCTCTTCTTATTTTCTGAGGTGCAGGTAACGGATGCTGTTGTTGTTGCACGTATCTTGAATGCTACACTTGTTTTACCTGATCTTGATCACCATTCGTTTTGGAAAGATGAAAGGTAATAACAGCCCTAAATTAAATGTTGGACTGATCATTGTGAATGTAATGATTTCTAATATGTCTCCTTTGAATACAGCGATTTCGTTGACATTTTTGATGCCGACTGGTTTATTTCCTCTCTTTCAAACGATGTCAAAATTGTAAAAAGAATACCCGATAAGGTCATGAGAAGAATGGAAAGGCCTCCGTACACCATGCGTATCCCAAGGAAATCAGCTCCAGAATACTATCTTGAATTTGTTCTGCCAATATTGCTAAGGAGGCGAGTAAGGATTCTTCTGCGCCTTACCTAGTCTGATTTCATATTTTTTCATTACACTCCATTCACATTCATTTTTGGATGTTACGCTTATCTTGGATCGGTTTCTCATGCCACTTTCTCTGTAAATTGCTCATTTCTATATAAAGATCTATCACGGTCTACTTTGTTTCCGTAGGAAAGGAGAAATAAACTTCCAAACTGTTTTTGGGAAATCGTAAACTCTGATAATTGCCTTCTTCTCCTATTATTTTGTCATATTTATGTCTCTTTGAATGCTGACTGTAAGTCCTTCAATGAATAAAAATGATCTCAAAGTCATTCATCTCTTTTTGAATGGTACAAAATCAAGGAATAGTAAACTAGCACCAGAAATCTTGCATTTGCATTTTCTGAATAAACCCCTAATGGGAGAAACGTTGAGTGCTCTATATGTTAGTCATTTTTTAACCCAGAATCCAAATGGGGCCGGGGATGGCCGTAGGGTTTTATTAACTGTATTTTCTTGGTAAACAACTGCATAAAGTAAGACGATTATTCATAGGTTTCAAAGTGTGGCATACCTCACTTCCTGCATTTAGAAACTTTGCCTGCCAATGTTATGAACGATTCGTCCAAATTAGCGGCGTGCTGGAAAACTTTATCCACTGTGCTATTGTCTTCTCTGAATTAGTGGAATGACAAAAGGTTTTGATGGCCTTCGTTTAGGATACAGAAATATTCCCCCAGCGTAATAACATCCGAGAAATTTTTCATCTTTCCTTATTTTTCATAACAGGAAATGTGTATTACACTGTACTTTTTCGATCTTAACTGCTGCAAACAAACAATATGACAATTTAATGCATATTTTTCTTCAACAAATGATGTTCTGTTCATGCTATTGGTGTTAAACATTTTCAGGCTGTGCAGTTGACGAAATTTGATTACCGGCTCGCTTACGATATTGACGATGAACTACAGAAACTTCGTTGTCGTGTCAATTATCATGCATTAAGATTTACAAAACCTATACAAGATCTTGGCGAAAAGGTTGTTAAGAGAATGCAGGAGATGGCTTCGCGCTTTGTTGCTGTTCATTTGAGGTAATTGGATACATGATGTTTAAATTGCCTGGTAGAAGGATTGGATACATACAGATTGCCTGGCTTCCATGCCCGAAGGTTTACTAATCAGAGTCGGGGACCAGGCTGTGCTCACTGCTTCTCTTATCTTGGTTTTGTTCAGTTCAGGAACAGTCTCATCCTGGAAATTGCAGTGGGTTTGTACCACATCTGTGTCCTTCTATAAATTAATGTAGTTGGACTGAAACCAGTGATGGGATTGGTTGTTTGAGAGGTTGATTTGATTGGGAGACGCAATAATAGAAGTTCACTTTATCAAGTTCTCTGTTCTTGGGGTCACCTTTTTCAGTCTACTTGTTCAATTGATGGTGACCGCTTTTGCAGATTTGAGCCTGATATGCTAGCGTTTTCTGGATGTTATTACGGCGGTGGTGACAAGGAGAGGAAGGAACTTGGTGAAATTAGGAAGCGCTGGGAGAATTTACCTGTAAGAAAACAATCCCTAATTTTCTAGGGTTCCAGTATCTGTTGTTCCATTGCTGATTATGCAGGTCGTAGGTGAGAATTAGTGTATGGTCATCCATCGAAATGCTATTCTTTCGAGATGGATTGAAACTTAAACATGAAGTTAATGCAAGAATATCTCAAGTCCCAATCTTCTCTCAGGATTTGGATGCCGAGGGAGAGCGCCGACGAGGAAAATGCCCTCTCACACCTCATGAAGTTGGATTGATGCTTAGAGCTCTTGGTTTTGGGAACGATACCTACCTTTATGTCGCATCTGGAGAAATATACGGGGGCGTAAATACCCTGAAGCCTCTTAGAGACCTTTTTCGGAACTTTTACACAAAGGAGATGCTCGCAGAGAAGGAACTGAAGCCTTTTCTTCCCCACTCGTCTCGTCTAGCAGCAATTGACTACATCGTCTGCCACGAGAGTGATGTTTTTGTGACCAACAACAATGGAAACATGGCCAAGATTCTCGCAGGGCACAGGTAAACCCGTCACTCAAAAAGGGAAAAAAGTTTTTTTTTTTTTTTTTTTTTTTTAATTTTCATTTCTTTGGAACGGTTTCTCGAGCTGATGTGCTCTAACGAAGTATAGTTCTGCTTGCATACGAATATTTGACTTATTAGAGCTTTTTCTACTGATCCGTATTCCTGTAAATCTGTTATTCGTAGTAGCCCATTGCCCATTCAGCGTACGAATGCGTCATATTTTGTTTCTTAATACAGGACCATTCTTAGTTTTGATAATGAACTGTTTCCCTGAAGATCAATATGACTGCGTCCTATGATGTAATCATGGCGGTTTATTTTCTGATCAGTTTCATCCGAGAGTACAATTTTATTAGACCAAGGACAATAACGCTCTCAAATTACCGGTCGTGGGAATCAGGCTGAGGTTCTTGTGTCCTTTCGAGCATCACACAGCGATTCTCCTTTTCCTCTCTTTCTGCAGGCGCTATGCGGGGCACAAGAGGACCATCAGGCCGAACGCAAAGAAGCTGAGCTCCCTGTTCAAGGCCCGTAGCCAGATGCACTGGGAGACCTTCGTGAGCAGAGTCATGTCTGCCCAGCGAGGTTTCATGGGGGAACCCGACGAGATGAGGCCAGGCAGAGGCGACTTCCACGAGTTCCCATACGCCTGCGTCTGCCCCAGACCAGTCGCCGACTTGGCCCCCTCCCATCTCTTCCCCGGCGCATAAAGCCCACACCACCAGTGGCGCTGCCGAAGGCGGCGGCGTTCTTCTCTCCGTCGCCGCCGGAGGCGAAGAAGATGGCCCGGCCGTCGGCTGATAGATGAGCTCATTTTCTATATACAGTGAAACAGTGGCTCATCTCCTCCGTGGGGATCTCGTCTCCTACGGAGGGGACACTCTACGCTGATCATGGTAACGGGCTCCGCCCGGAAACACTAAGGAAATTCTCCTTCTCCTTTCCAAAGGAGGAACATTCACACGCCGCAGGGAGGGGGCGGTGGGGGGACGAGGAATGGGCACGGACCGTCATCTATAACATTACACCGGTGCAGTAAGATGTGTTCTGCCTAGCAATGAATCTTTTATGTACAAAAACCCTAAGAGCCCCTATTGAACCTTCTTCGTACGAAAAGCTTGAAGCGGCGGTGCTGCCTGCCTGCCTGCCCGGGGGGGAGACCAGACGGAGACGCGAGCCTTTCAGCCGTTGATAGCCCCTGTCGGAGAAGGTTCAGGTCAACCGCTTGGGGAAACAAATGGACGTGGAAGAGAGAGGGTGGCTATACCTTTGGAAGGCGGTGGAGCGTTCCTGGACGAAGCCCTCGCACCCTTCTCGGTCACGCTAGGGATCTTTGTGGCGATCATCGAACTTTGGAGCCCCTCGAGTAACTGTATGCGCGGAAGTAATCCGTCAGATCAGATTATTCGTCTTCGCGTACGTAGAAAAAAGAAAAAAAGGATGGGCATAGTCGATAAGAAAATATCAAGAAATCAAAGCAACAAGAAAGCTTCGGACCGCTGCCATAGTGAAGAAAGATACGGAAGCGTTTCAGATCACACAAAAATAGCATGCGTAAATCATCATATACAAAGAAAAAAAAGGGAAATAGAGTCCAAAGGCATTAGCAGTTATAGAAAAAAAATATATGTGAATGATCAGGCGGGACTTACCCTTGAGGTCGGTTGGATCCTGCGATTCGACCTCCTCAGTTCGCCAGCATCAGCGCTCAGTTTCCCAGTGCGATCTGAAACACTTCCGTATCTTTCTTCACTTTTAGTTCTCTCCAAGGCCGATGCAACTTTTCCTTTCGTACCATCTGATTCACTGGAAGTCGCAGCTTTCTTTTTGGATGTAGGCATGGCAGCAACATGTCGCATTGAAGACTCGAGGACTCCACTGTCTTCAGTTCCCAGAATGTTTGTGAATGTTTCAGGCCCAGAAATGCTCTTTTCTGCTTGTTCTTCGAGATTGCCAGAAGCCTTGGCTGTGGGTATGGCCGTGCCTTGATTTGAAGCTAATGCAGAAGAGAGGGCTGGACCCTCCCTCTCAGTTGCACCTCTGGTCTGCGAGCTTTGAGGTCTCACAGGTCTAATCACCTTGGGCTTAGGTTCACCTCCTTTTCTGCCCTTTGACTCGACTTTTGAAGCGTTCTTCCAGACACCAGATGTCTGCGTGGGCAAATATTTCACATTCTTTAGGGCATCGCTCCCTTCACTTACATTTTCTATTTTTCCTGTGACATAATGTTTGCTTACTTCCATGAATTTTCTCTTCTTTCCAGGCTTAGGAACACCAAACACCACCCTTGATCCTTCTTTCTGTCCAGTTCTTCTCATTTTCAGCGCATTAAGGTTGCTACCCTCGGTATTCTTCCCAACGGAAAATATTTTGTCCTTCTCAGATAGTAATAATGGCCTCGACTCTTCAAGCTTCCCTGAAATTCCAATCTGGAAATTTGCAGATTGTTTGCCAAGGTCAATGCTCTTGAGTTTAGGATGATTTTCTGCCTCAAGTTTACCCAACTTCTGCCGTTTGTCCTTAGGAGTGTCACCCTGATCATAATTTAAGAAGAAATCAGGAGCATAATAGCAAGGAACCCCAACAGTGTAGATGCTCAACGGGTTGGTGAAGAGATCCAGACCTCATACGGATATGAAGTATTCTCCCGAAGGCGAGACCATTCCACCCACTGGCCATCCTTCCAGACAAGAGATGGTCGGAGGTGCCACGCTCTGATGATGGACACAGCTCCTCCAGCTGCATTTCATGTTGAAATAAATGCAGAAGAGTATAAAACCCAATAATTGTCACGACAAAAGTACCCAACAATCTTGTTGCACACTTTATTTACTAACATTAGGCATTAATCTATTTTTATTAAAACTAAATTCATACAGCATGCCTTCAGCCATAATATGCATTAAAAAAAAATATATACCATGATGATGCTATAATCTCATCTTTGAGTCAAAACAAGATATTGTGATCAACTGTGATTATGAAACGAGGTGAATTCAAAATATGATCTGGACGTTCTTGACCAATGATATTGCAACATTCTCTGGAAAAAACAGTCCCTTCATAAAATGATAATATACAAGTCTAAAGTTACTTTTGAGGATCGTCATATAGGAGCAAGTGATTTATATACAATAATGTATCTGTTTCCAATCTGCAACTGTACGTAAAGTTCGTTTAATTTACACCTGTTCTGACGTCAAACTGACGGGATAAACAAAAATAAGGATGCTAATAAAAATATTCATTGGAATCTTCCTCAATCCTAGACTTCGCTCAAATACCACACCCTGTCGCCACGACAGCAGGCATCCATCCGCCAAGCTAATGCCAAAGTCGCCTTGACACTTATGGTGCTACAAAGAATGAAATCCTTATATTCTCCTTCGACCTCTTCTGGCCTAAAGTTTTTCATGGTTGGAATTTCCATCATAAGGGTTATATCCGTAAAGCCATGGTCCAAATGAAAGCAAAAAATACACTAAATTTTCCAACAAAACCCAGGTTCTGAAGGGAAACCTCGCCCAAATGGACAACAGCCAAAAGTTTTGGCGAATGAAAAAGATACATGTGGAGCAAAAGAAAAGAAAGGATATGATAGAGATATTACATCAATCAGGGATAAATCAGGTCCATTGAAGGATCTAAATATTCACAAGCCCTCCAAATATCATCATTTCTACACGCCATAAGGTAAACTTCTTTCAGAGGTTTTGACCTTCTTTTGCTATACTTGGGGTGAGCAGGGGTAAATTTCTTAGTATGACTGCTGGGAACAGCTCGGCACGTTTTTAGAAAATAAAAAATATGTACACCGTAGCATTTGAAGCAATAAATAAAATTTAGAATGCATATTCATGCTTCACATTCTATATTTTTGAACTTAATAGACACTCGCACCTGAAAAGTGGACAGTTAACTTTGTTTCATCTTCTTTGCTTTTCTCTGTCACAACCCCTTCGCACCACCTGACAAGGAAATTATATAGCTCCTCAAGTTCCCAGAATAACATCATTCACCAAAATCTGAAAACCGAATTAATACGGAAAAGATAACATCCGAAGCGCCATCTAAACTTAACACTTTTTCCAAAGTATATTTCATTCTATTATCTCAATAGTTCTATCAGGTTGCATGCTTCCATCATACTCCTTTTCCTATCAATCAGTGGATAGGACAAATAACATCATCTATGTCAATATTTCGAGTTCTTTCGAGCAATAACCAGAGGTTTGAAATGAAAGATCGTAATGCAGATCGTAATGCTCCGCAACAAAAGTCATAAATAGCACAAAACTTGCTTACCCATTGTGTACCCATGCATCTACTCGGTCTCCAACTGCCCAAAGAAAGTTGCCTACAGCTGCTCGTCTTCGTTTCCTTGTTCCTTCATATTTTACAGTCATAAACGGATGAGCAATGCGTATTCTAGGAGGCTTATCAACCTGTCCTTCGAGAGGTATCCACTCTTTCTGCTTATCAGAGCCTACAAAATTATTTACAAAGCAAGGTTCTTGCAAAATTAGCATGCTCCAATAGCAGAAAAACGAATAAATTTCACAGCACTCAAGCCGTGTATGTGGCCAAGACTATCTAGGTTTACCAGCATTGGCAGGAAAGTCATTATAGTTCACATATGCTTTGCCATCTTTCAAACTGAGAACCTTAGCTGAATACCATATCCTTCTTGCATTATCCTCGTCAAAGAGAACCTGAAATTTTGAAAGGTGGTGATAGCAAAAAGTAAATAGTGAAATGAAATAAATTCAAACCTATTTATAGAAAGACCAAAGAGACAACAAAACGCTTAAGATAGAATTCCATAAGAAGTGTCCACTGCACTGATTTAGATGAACATAAAGGAAACAATGTTATTACTAAACGAACCGGGAAGACATACCTCAACAAGAGAACCTTCCTGTATGTACCTTTCTTTCAGATTTTCCCCTCCATGATCTTTACTAAGTTCAGGGTCTGGAGCATCAAAGGGGGCAACTCCTGAAATGCATTTGATCCAGTGAGACGTTATTTAGTCAAGATAAAAATAACGAAAAGTTTCACCTTTCATGCATGGAACCACGAAAAGATAAATATTTTGGCTTGCCTGTCTGATTCACCGCGGATTGCTCAGGTTCATCTTGAGAAGATTTATTCCCCTCATCAATTGTTGGTAGGATGCGCTTCTGGCTAAAAAGCGCATTACCTAGACCTTGAAGAGACTTGTTATGACCATCAGCAAATTCCAAAGCTGCCTGCTTCTCATTGTTTGTGCTTGCCATCGCGGCATAGCCACTAGCAGCATTTGGAGCTTTCCAATAACCCTCCGGACCAGCTTCTACCAGATCATTTAATGTAAAAGGTAAAGGGTCCCCCATCGCAATAACAGCTCCTGCTTGGCAGACAGCAACTGCAGCAAGTTCTGCAGCTTTCACGATTGCATCTAAATTTTCAGCACGTTTTGAAGCGGCTGAAGCTGCTTCCACTCTCCTTCTGGCTGCCTCCTTTGCTGCAGAAATAACTGAAGTAGAACTAGTGGCTTTATCTTTGCCCTTAAAAACGGAAACGGGAGTTGCTCTCGGCAAGTTAGTCCCCTGATCATTATAGAAAATTTGAGATGCCAGAGTATCACTGCCCGTCCTACTTGACACCGCCTCATCGAACATCAACTTAGCCTGCATAGCAGCGTCACTTGCAACCTTAGCAGCAGCAGCTGCTGCCTTTGCAACAGAAGAAGCTGCAGCAGCAGCAACAGCAGCAGAAGCAAGCATTGCTTCAATTTCTGAAGCTTGTCCAGAATTCCTTTGGATAGTTAACTGACTCCATATCCCTTCAGAATGCTTAATTGCTGCTGCAGCAAATGCAGCAGCATCTTCAGCTTGCAACTTAGCCTGCTCAATTTTACTGCATGTCTCTTCAGACAACATAGCCTTCTGCTCTTTGCCATGATCCCCAATTAGCTGGAAATGAGTTGGGGACACTGATGAAGAGATAGCAGACAGGGAAGACATGGGTATAGGCAGATGCTTAGTGGAATCCAGCTCTGTGTGAGGTGGACAATCAGGAAGAACATGGGGAGATACCTCGTTTTTTCTCCTTTTTCTTGTCTTCTGATTGCTGGTAGCATGCTTTTTTTCAGGGTGAGGAGACATTTTACTAGCTGGTTCCGCTTGTAAAGTTGTTGTCCCAGATGAAGACAAGGGGACACCAGAAGTGAAGAAGGAACTGGTCGTCAGGAATTGCAGGTTTGAACTTTGTGGCAGTGATGAGTCCCGGACAGGTGTTGCTTGAGTTGTTTCAGCAGTTAGCTGTCCTGAAAAATGAGTCCGCGTGTCCGGCATTGATGTTTGTGATGGTGTGACCCAAGGCACTGACGTCTGTGATGATGCAACCCAGGGTAGAGATGAAGCCTGTGATAACCATGGATTACCACTACCTGGATACTGCTTTGCGTGAGAGGACTGATAACCATGAGCCGGGGAAAATATCTGATTAGGGTCCAAGTGTGGACCTCTTGTCATGCCAGATTGAGATACATCATGCCACAATGGTGATGGCAAGGACATCAAATTAGAAATCACTGTAGAGCTTCCCTTCCCAATGGTTCGACTTGCAGTCACGTTTACAGGGGTCACATGTGGTTTGCTTTGAAGAGGAGTAGATCTTGAAGGTTGCTCATGGACCCTGGCACCTGAAATTTTCACATCTGCGGATATATAAGTTAGCACACGATATATATTTTAACCTACAAACACCCACAATCCAAAAAACAAAGAAAGAAAAAAACCTGAATGAGAAGGCAAAGGAGTTCCAAAACTAGCACTTGGTGATTTTTGACTATTGAACCTTTCTGCGGAAACACGCCAAGTACCCTCCCAGGCACTACGTGTGCTATCTGCATTTTTATTCAAAACAAATCAGAAGGAATACAGCAAAAAGGATACCACTATCTTTGAAAAAATCAAAAGACCCACCAGTATTTCCAAATGCTGAAATCATGCAAGCCTCGTCAGGTGGAATGCCTTGACTGCAACGGTAGAACGGAATACAATCAAAAAATCTGTGTGTGTGTGTGTGTGTGTGTGAGAGAGAGAGAGAGAGAGAGAAGCATGACATATATTTGACCAAGCTTACATCAGAGATCCATATACAAAAATCTGTGCACGCAACTGAACTTGTTGTGAGTCTGTGAAAGGCTGGAGAAATAATGTTGACCCAGTACTCAAGTCAGAGTTCTTTGAACCACCTCCTTCATTATATGAATATTGATATTTCTCATCTCGTTGCATATCCCTACTCACAATAGGAACTGTGTTAACAGGTGGGTTGGATGAAGTCCCATTCTTCTTATTCACGTCCTTCTGTGGAGAAATTTCTTTAGCAGACCTCCTCCTTGAAGAAGTTGACCTTTCAGTTGAACCACTAGGCGCAGATCTAGTTTTATCCTTGTGAGTTTTCTTGCTATTAATATCAACTGACGGGCGAGGCTCACTGACTGCCTTCGGACTAGCCTTTTTTAAGCCAGGTGTCGTAGAACACATTTCCTCAGCCTAGAGATGACATGAAATAAATGGCAGCACAATCCATAAAATAAATAGACATAAGAAAAAAATTCATATCACAATTCGAGAAAAATCATTTGTGTTCCAAGAGGACAATGAAATCTTACCGGTGGTGCTTCATAGGATTCCATAATAGAAAATGGTTTCCACCCGCTAACAGGTGACTTTTCAGAAATAGCTGTCGTTGACCCAACCTCAAATGTGAAAGTTCTCTCTTCAGATGCATTACTCTCCTTAGGATCACAAGTATTCAACTTGTTACTATCAAGATCCTCGTCGACACTGGAAGCCTGAGGCAGAACACCTGATGCAGACAATGACTGTTCAGACGACTGTTTGTCAACCTCTTGATGGTCCAACCCCCCAGAAGAAGGTTCAGCACAGCCAATGATTGTTGGTGACCCACAAACGGGTTCAAGAGAACTTGGATCTCTATGTTCAGCTTCGAACATCTGACGTTCAGAAGAACTTCCAGGCAAATTAACAGATTGAAGGGAGTTCTCATTACTGTCGACTGCATCACACACAATAGTCTCAGGCATTATTAACTAATATTAAATGGCTACTTAAATGACAATCAGCGCAGTAAGAAAAACATAACGCTCTATGTTGTTCCAAAACATTTCACAATCAGATTTTAACAGCCATCATTATTATAGTCACGATCACTACAATTTTCCTTACCTGTCAATCAGGATCTACATAAACCAACCGGTGAGAAACAAAGTTACATGACATAGTGGCTACCACAAATCGAATAACACAAATACATTAGCATATGAACCCTCTAAAAAACAGACGAATTTGGTTCACCGTTCAACCCTGCAATGATTTGTCATCTACAAGTAAGCTGAGAAGTGGTGCTACGGTCATAAACGAATAAGAAGAAGGCCTCAAAATGATCAACGCCCCCCCCCCCCAAACAAAAAAGCATCCCCAACAATACAGAAACTCCCAAAAGACCACTAAAACATTGAAAATAAATTTATAATTTCCTCATCAATAAATCAAACAACCCTCGCTATGCCATCAAAAGGCCTTGTTGCTAGATCTGCCTAAATGCCACAAATGCAAGGCCACGACAAATATAAACCAAGGATTACACAACCTAGAGAAAAAAAAAGGCATAAGCAATAATTGATCAAACTAAAGTCAAGTCTACACGTTTTGCCGCTGAGAAGTAAATCAAATTACGTCGTGTCACCAAGTATCAAAAAAAGAGTCATCTCCAAGATATTTTCAGACGTAGAGCATAGAATGGTTTCTCAGATAACAAGACATTTTCAGACGTAAATCAAAAAATGAGACGAATTCACAAATAAATGCGTCCAGTTAAGAAAACAAGTAGGAAACATAAATAATACGAATCTTGATCTTAAAAACAAAATAATACAAATAAATTAATGCATCCAGCTGAGATAACAGAACAGAAGAGAAAGGATAAAGCATATGACTTGACGATCAAATAAATAATACGATATTTGCCTAAACTTCAAGGATTGGGAGGCAGCAGAGAGATGTAGTTATCTTAATATTATATTTTATGATACAAAAACGATAAGTTCTCAATCTGTTGGACTTGATCCGCAATCAGAGAACCACTCATTCCCCCACAGAATGCAGCGCTTCCACTTCAAGAGGTCATCATCCAAATCATATGAAAGAAAACAAATACATAGATCACATCCAAGAAAATATTTACAAATCATTACCTGCAATTGCTCGTATAGTCTCCATAATCGGACGTCTTTCTGCGGGATCAGATAGAATATGAGCATCTTGATCTTGACCTGAAGAATCTCCCAATTTTTCATTCATCTGAGATTTCAAATTATCTGGACGCACAGAGGACCTGGCACTCTGAACAGTGGGGTCTCCACTCTCTAGTTCGTGGCCAGTGCTATATTTCTCCGATGGATTGGTATTCTGTGTATGGAAGTTGCCCACATTCTCAGAGTCCTCATCACGTCCATTTGGATTGATAACTTCCAGCACCACCTGACCAGGAGCACAAGTACTATCATCTACGTCCATTGTATGATTCTTAGGCACTTCATCTTCAGAACTCTTCTGAACCTCTGCAGACTCTGAGACACCGGAAGCAAGTTCGAATTTATGGAATCCCAAATCATCATTATCTCTTTCTTCTCTTCCTTGTGCTCCATTACCTGTACTCTTTATTTCATGTTCCATAATCAAAGAATCTTCCACACCCTTGCTTCTTTCAGGTTGATGGCATTGCGCATCTTCACTTTCTTCAGGGGAAATCAAAGGTTCCTTTAGTTTTCTTCTTCCATAATCATCAACTGACTCAGCGGTTTTCGTCATTAACACATTTTGAATTTGCAGATCATGATTCTCCAACAGAATTTGGGGTTCAGAACTGGCATCATGGGGTCCTTTCACATGCTCAAAAGAATCAATTTTCGTAGACCATGCAGACTGCTTCGTATCATCGGACCGACTGCTTTCAACAGAATGATCCTCGGGACTTATTTTACCCTTGATAACCAAAACATCAGTCTCATGTGATGCTGTCACAGTCTGACCATTGGAAGCATTGCCTTTGCTCAGAATCTCTATTTGGTGAGCAACGTCTTCCAGTAAACCATCTTTCTCAGAGACTGCATGCTTACTGTATCCTTCCATTAACAAAGAAGATGGCTTGATCTTCATCTCTAGATTAGATAAGCCTTCTGGAACAACATGGCCCAGTTTGGGGACAAATACCTCAGAATTTTCATTAGTATGTCCACTTCCTTTTTTCACAATTTGATTCTCCACTTTATCAGAACCATCCGTGACCAGAATTTGTGGCCCTACAGGCAGCACATCCTGAGGATAATTTTCTCGTATTTGCTCAACAATTTCCTTTGATGATAAGTTTCCAGAATCTTTAGCAGAACTCTTGACGGGAAATGTCCTTGGATCCATTCGGTCAATAGTGGTATCCCGAATTTCTTCAGCCACCAATTGGGCAGAATTATCACCCGATTCACTCTTTTCCACAAATTCGTCATCCAATTGGCAGCTATCAAGGGTCATTTCATTGTCGTTGTTGTCAAATGACTTTTCCTTCGTCACAAAGGATTTGTCTGTAGCTGCAGTTATAACTTCTTTCAAGATACAATCATCAGACACAACTTTGCAAGGGCTTATGTTCATCTCATCAACGATTCTACCTTCCAAATTCTCATCATTGAATGTGTTAGACGTAACTTGGGCATCAGGCAGTTCTGCAGTCACACTTTCATTCAATCTGGGCAATTCTTTCTCACATTTCTCAGGAAGTAGCACAGAGTCCTCATTCATAGCTGTCACCCCCTTTGAATGAACAGAACTGTCTTGAAAGCAACTAGGATCCATGTGATTATTTACACCACTCAATTCATTATGGGCATCCAAATCAATAAAAGATGTTCTCTTGTTGATCACGTCATCCTCTCCAACAGATTTCAGTAAGATCTCAACAGACTCGGACGATGTAGCTTCAGACCACACATTTTTTCGCCTAGAGATAGAGCAGGGTTCGGCAGGACCAGAGTTAAACTCCAATGCTGCGTTACCAGATGAGAAGTCTTCAATCCAGTTTCTCTCCTCTTGATCTTGGATGCCAATCAAAGACTCAGGTTCAACTAGACTATCAAACCTTAGATTGACCTGAAAATGTTCGTCCAATTCGAACTTGGGCAGAGAAAATGATCGTAAACCTGATGAGAATCTGCTGTTATCTTCCCCACTTAGCTGAAAATTTTGGCTTTGAAAATCATTGCCATCATAATCCATCGGTGTATCCCTAAAAAAGTAGAATGGAGATGCAACTGACAAAATCAGACGCCCATCTGATTAGAAGAAACAAAGAAATGGGAAACCCCAAAAGCACATAAAAGATAAAAGGAAATGAGGAACATGGTTTCAACCCTGAAATGATTTGAGAAGCAATCAAATCAGCACTGCAACTCAATGAAAAATGTAACATAAAATACTATAAGTTAGTTCCTTAAAAATAAAGAGAATCTAAGTTATACCAGGGAGGAGAGAGATCTTTACCACATTTTTGCCAACAACTAAAAATCCATCCTATCTAACTTCATGGATCAAAAACCCTTCATGCATACTCACAAGTTACCTATACACCCAGATTCCTTTGTCCCAAACCCCTTGGGTGTTGAACAAGGGATCTCACTTCTCACCCAAGCGAACAAACTCAAAAAGATTCTCGGAAGATAACAATTATATTTAAATCCTAAATGATATTCCAAATATCCCATTTTTCTATTCCACTATAATATTGACAATCAAGATTCAAAAGTTCTTATTTCTGGTCCCCTAACCGCCCCCCCTCTCCGAATCACCGATCCCGTGAACTGTATCTCTGCAATTGCAAAAGTTAAAGCATTATGACATTTATACAGGTCGTTCACATGACTGGCAGTCGATGGCAGAGGTGCCAGTGATTGACAAGTAGAAAAAGAAAAGGAGAAAATAGCAGAAGGGAAGAAACTGGATTAAAGAGTACGTGAATGGAAGGGAAGATAGCACTTCCAACTGCGGTTACGGAAGGATAGGATATGAATTCCCCAATGCACCCTCACCCTCCCCTTCCCTCTTTCACCTTCGTCCTACGTTCTTATTTTCCTCTACATTCCCTAAAAAAACGTTTGCAGGTGTTGCAAACTGAAAAATAATATTAACATTAAACCCACACTATCCCTTATCTATCCGCTATGTGGGTCACATGATTAGAGTTTACCACTCTAATTTTGACCATTTCTAGGTTAACATCAAGTCAAAACTGGCAAACTAGGATTCAAAAAAGTCTTAAACGACTAACATATTGTCTCTTTTAACAGAATAGAATTGAGCGGATAGGATAGTCAACATGGAGAATCATTATATAATATCATGAATTCCTTAGCATTACACCAGTCTAGATATCTATATAGAATAAAATTCATGAACTTAGGGATAGCATTACATAAGCATCAACTATTATCAAAGGCACTAAACGAAACAGCTAGCGCATACAATTAAATATTGGATTCACGAAAATATCTTAACGGTGTCATCACAGAGACCTGATGCACCAACATTCAGTTATACTTTTTCGTTTTTCCAAGACAGTTTTATTACCTTTCTAAGGTAAGAGAGAGGAACTAACTTATTCAAAGTTTGACCATGGTACGGAATCATTGTCTACAATCGATTGTGCATGCACTGTCCATGTAATAAGTCAAACCAAATGTATTGAACAGATAATGGATCCAGGCTAAATTCCCTTCCAAGAAGGGAATACTAAGGAAACATGAGTCGAAAATTCTATTTCATAAAATGTTCCCATTTTGTGGAGACTAATGGCACCAACATTCATTGTCACTCACACGTCGGTGCATGCTCAACAGAGAAAATGTGACTGTCGTACTGCATATAGCCCTTTGAATGTACACACATTCTATTTCATCGCAATGTAAAATAGAATGTGTGTACAATCATTGCCCAGACCTTAGTAGGAGCAGAACAGCTACATTCGGTTTCTTGTTCTCAGACAACTACACTCATTCAACCACAATTTTACTCTCAGACGATAGAATTAATTCACTGAGATACACCTACAGATGTGTTGATCAGTAAATGGGTAAGATCAACAAACGTAAAGGTCAGAGTCTACGTCCTGTATGAGTAATGGGCAGAAACAGCTTCCTTTCCAGAAGAGAAATTAACGCAATAAATTTTAGTTATGATAAAACTACCTAAGCGAACATACAAATCAATGAGGGTGTGTCCCAAACTAAAGCAGTCGTCAGTTTATTGTTTAAACCAGGGGGGATCCTACATGAGGTAGATAGCAAAAAACCCAAAGTGAGATAATAAAAACCAAACGCAGAAAAAATAGAGAAATAATGATGTAAAAGAGGAAGTAACAAGACTTGAACGTTCGTAGCAGCTTTTGCTGTTTAATGTCTCGAAGGACACATTAAAGTAGCTAGTTTTGGAATAAAATTATAACATTACAACATGAAAGCCTAAACTCAAACCAACTCCCCAAAAACCCTAACTCTAGTCTCCTGTTCTAAATAAGGAAAAATAACCTAACTTTCACATCGTCTACCGTGAAACAGACCAAGTCCAAGCTCCCGCGTTCTTGTTTTCAAAAGAACCCTAGTTCCCCGTCAACAAATAGTCCGAGCAAAGTGTAGCGCGGCAGCATCGAAGGATAACGAACGAGGACGAAACAGGGGATGGGTGAAACCGCGAGCTAGAGAACGTACCACAGTAAGAATTCCTAGGTCGCTCCTGACACCCTCCATCCGGTGACGAAATCTAAACCGTCTCCTGACCGCGCCCCAAATCCTACGGTGATCCGCAGGCTCATTTCCCTAGGGCCTTAACAAGCATCTTCCGCCCTACCGCCGCCCGCAAAACCTTACCTTGGCGGCTCCCCGACATGGATTCGCCGTCTCCGGCAGCGTCCTCCACAGACCCCGGGGAAAAATTCTCCGGGAACCCGCGGCGCCGGAGCAGCGGAAGCGGAACGAAGGACGGGGCCGCGCGCCGCCCACTCTCCCCTCCCCTTCCTCTCGCTCCCCAGCCCCCTCTCCCCCTCGCCCACCCTTTCCTCCCACTCTACCTCTCCCCTTCCACTCCACACCGTCTCTGTGCCTCCCTCTCACGGTGCACGCTGAGTGCATCGAACCGTGAGAAATATGTGACGGGCCGGTTTTAAAAGGACACATCCCAGATGGACAGAGGCATTTTGCAAATTAACCCTCACCTTTACCAGACATTCACAGTGCCGTGGACGAAGAGGTTTGGAGAGGATTAGCTCACTCCTGGTAACCTTACCGCCTCCGACCCCCCATCCCCCTTCCTTCACCCTTTGTCTCACACCGGGGACGTCGCAGGGCATCCCCCCGCTCTGGCCCCGGACCCCCCCCTCCCCTGCTCCGGTTTTGGATACGGGTTCGGAACTGAGCACACGCTAACGATAACCAAAAATTCATCCGAACCGGAAGTGGGACCGGAATCGAGCCCGACACGAGGAGAAAAATATGCAAAAAAACCTACCACGGAAAAAGATTACCCAGAATAACAAAGGCTGGAAAGTCAACCGTAGATCATATGGGTTAGCCAACAGACAGCCTCCGACCTAACATCGTTGACGGAAGTCAAACAAATTCGAGGTCAACTCGGCGAACAAATCCCCGAATCTGGTATTGTACGGCGACAAATCTATATGATCATGCAGCCTCTGATCAGCGTTTTCCGGCATCCAGGAGACAAGGTCGTCAACGCTGAGAGAGGAGCCTTTGGCGTGTATCTCCCTCTGTAGAAGTTCAGCTGCACCATGCGATGGCCGCGGTAAGATAATCCGCGGGCCGAAGTCTGACTATGGAGGCAAGAAGAGGGTAGCAGGGGTGCATCACAGAATGAAAGATGTGGAGAGAGAAAATTCAGCGATTTTTTATTTTATTTTTTTAATGATGGTCGACAGGTATTGTCCTCGTCGACCAATTCAGAGCTTCATATATCACATTGAATACTTGAAGTAACAGCAGAAAATGAGCATTGAACAGGTGCCCAGCCTTCCATGGGTTTCCCTGAGACAACCGATGCATAGCCAAATCCAATCATTAAGTGGGTTGCTATCACCTTAATCAAGAACACAATCTGTCATGTTCAATAGAGTTGGGACTGATGATGTGTCCTCCAATGTTTATAGCGGCCTGTACTAAGCAAAAGCAAAAAAAATGGATTGAAAGGTTTTCTTCAGAAAACCTGAGTGAAAGACACTGCTTCAAGATAAAAGACCATTGTTATGATTTTGAAATCAGATCAAGCCAAGGTAGACAGACATGAAGCGTTTCTGTCTTCAATCTGGGTAAGAAACCCCAAATACCCATCATACAACACATGCAACACTAGTCAAAGATGGCAGCATTCAAGAACTAGACTGCGGAACCCACTTGTCATGTCCAGAGCTTGCATGAGAAATGATGCAACCATAGAAATCCGAAATAAATCAAGCGCAATAATGTAAAAAAAACGAGATTAGACAGACAAAAGAGGCCTTCGGAATAGAGCGAATCTTCCTGGAGAGGAGAGATGTGGCGTACCCCATATGGTAAGTATGAAATCCCAGTATCTTAAGGTGAGGCTCTTTAACTCGAAATATACCATACTTAGATGCATTTCAGGAGAAGGGTACACGTTAACCCATAATGAGAGGCTTTCTTGCTTGTCCAGCATGGCTTTCTCCACTCTGTGGAGTTCCTCCAGGAAAATATCTTTTCCAGTGATCCTCGGTGAAATAATAGGGAAAAAACAGCGGGTGTTTCTTCACTTTTCCAAGCTTTTGATGATCCAACAAGTAGTTGTTTGGGGCAGAAGATGCAGTTGACGATTGCTTCAGTTTCAGTTGATATCCAGGAAGCTTCTACCGCAGGCCTACAAAACCAGTCCTTGTCATTTCCAATTACTCTCCGAGTCTGCATCCGCAGATGATCTGAAAAGGGGAGGTAAGTTTCCTTTGCTTGGATTCCTAGAAGGTTCACCACATGCCCAGCAATACACAGCAATCATGTTTGGGTACATGTGGTCTTTCAAAGGATAAAGGGAATGGTGTTTGGTTGCGGTTGGTATTTCTTCATTAACTGAAAAGCAAGATAGAAAATAACCATGTCTGGACCAAAGGCATTCCATAAGCTAGGGGGAATTTCAAATGAGATTACTGCTAAAGATAAAAATAAATATGATGAAAGTATGGTAGAAAAACTACATTACATATG